CCTCCTCCTCCTCCTCCTCTTCCTGGTCGGGGTCGGGATCCCTCACCGGCGACGTGCCAACCTCACTCCCGCTCTCTCCCTCCAACCCCTTTACAATCCCCATCGCCACCTCTACCCCGCCACATCTGACTACCGCCTCCTCAAGTTCGCTCACTCTCTCCCTCCACTCCTGTCTCATCCTCTTCAACAATGCTCCAGCCCGGCGCAACATTCCCTCCATTCTGCCCCACTCCCCCTGTAAATACTCAATATATTCCTCATTATTCTTCCCTTCCCCTTCCAACCTCTCCACATCCCTCAGCAATCCCCTAATCTTCGCATGAGCCGCGACCAACGCAAGCAACCCCTCCCTCTTCCCCAACATGGCACAATCATAATACCTCATCACCTGCACCCACGCACGCTGAAACACCTCCGGCGCCTTCAGCATCATGTACCTCAGATTCCCGTCTGTATCAGCGTAATTAATCATTTCCTTATGCGGGGTATTTGGTATCCGTGCCAGCGCCCTAACCACATCCTCGTCGTCTTGCTCCGGCCAGGGCACGTAGCTATTCGGGTCTGTGGGGTCCCATGCAGGCAGGACGGGGTCGTATGCGAACTCGTTGATCCAGATGTCACGAGGGAAAGGCCGTTGGTCGGAGTAGAGGGTGTACGAGGGGAAGGGGATGGTTGTGAGGGGGGAGTTAAGGCTGTAGAGGATATTACTTGACGAGTCGCGGCTCCCAGTCGTGTGGGAACTCTCTTGGTCTCGTTCGGGGAGGGGGTTGAAGATGCTGGTACTCTCCTGGGTTGTTGTTACGTTAGGGTTAGGGGTATGCGGGGCACTAACAAGATCAGGCGTCCTCGGGACAGAGGAAGGGTCCTTAGGATCGGGATTTAGCCCTCTCCCTGTGCGGCGGGGTTGAGGGGGGAAGCTAGAGGTGATGTAGGAGGGGTCTAGGGTCGGCGGGGGGGTTTCTTCGTGGGCTAGGGACTCGTGTTGACGATCATCCTCTCGTAAGAGGTTGTGCGCGCCCTCGTCGTCGTGTTGCGACTCGCGGTCGGGGGAGGGAGGGGGTGAGGGTTGTTGCATGTAGGTCATGATTGTGGTTTTTTTTTTTTAGGAACTAAACTAGAGAACAGTAAGGTGATGGATGATGGGAAGATCAAGTGTAATATTATGGGAAGGGAGGGTCTATAGGTCACTGTCTAGGGTGAGGCATCAGGGGAAAAATGATGCAGAGGCACGAAGGATAGGAGGAGTTCTGGTGTTTGTTTATGAGGGCTAGCACTAAGTAGGCTTAAGCATCGGAAAGCGCATAAAGACAAAAGACAAGGAGTAGATTGTCCGTTTGCGGGGAGCTCACGACAAGACAACAAAGAAGGGGGAGAATTTGGTATAGCATCATTGTCTTGGGCGCAGCATGTGTTTGCGTCGCAGGGATAATGAGGCTTGATTAGGCAAGCATTGCCATCCACGGTTTTAGCCATTGGAAAGGCTTTGCTCTTTGTTTAAGTATACAGTAGCCTGAACCATGTCTACTACAGACAGGCAGACCAGCTCTGGTCTAGCTCGATCTACTACACTCTCCGGAACGAGCATTTGGAACTGACAAAAAAAACAGGAATGCTAACTGTACCAGCTGCGCGCTCCCGGCCCTTGGGTCGACTCTTCCTCTCGATGAGGAATCATAGGCTCACGGATGTTGAAGGTCTCGATGATATCCCGCCAGGTGTCCATATCGATCGACATGATGGCCTGCCGTCTAGTAGACGTTTTGGCGCGTGTCGAGCCGGACGATGACTCTTTTGCTATTGGGGCTGCGAAGGTCAGCATCACATATTTTTTTTTCTAAAAGAAAATAAAAAAATAAAATTAAACATAAAATAGATAAGAAAAGGTAAATAAAAGAAATAATGCCGTGAGACCTACATATCGACGGCAGCCCATTCTCATCAAACTCAAGCTTAACGTTGCCCTCCCTAATAAGAAAGCTCACATAGAACATATTCTCCACTGTCTGCCCGAACGACCTCGGATTAATCACAAACCGCAACAAGTCAATGCCGCCCGTCGACCGTAGCGCATATCGATCCATCGCCGCCCGCTCATCGTCCGACGTCGCGTCCTCCGGCAGGTTGTTGATCTCCTCCTGCGCCTTGTCCTGCGCTGTCCGCTGCGACGCCTGCAGCTGCACATAAATCTTTTTGCAAATACTCGGCAAGTCGTTCTTGTCTGACTTCTTGAGGTCCTCTGCCTTCAGCTCCTGCGGGCGTGTCTCCTCGAGTCTATCAACGCGTAGTACCTGCCCACGCTTGCCTTGCTTGCGCGCCTTCTTCTCAACCGACAGGGGGCCGAGCAGAAAGCCGGGGAGGGCTGGCCGCCGGATGGAGGGCATGACAGCGTATCGGCCGAGGTGCGCCCAGTTCAGCATATCGCCATCATTCTCGTTAAACTCCACATCTTCCTCGTCACCACTACCCCGATTGGCAGGCATCCTCCTCCTCCTGCGCTGAGTACTCGACAACTCCGGCGCATCATCATCTTCGATTCCTCCTCCCTCCGTCATAAACGTAATAACCTTAGACACAAACTCATCCACATCAACCCCCCCACTCGACAATCCTAACGTTAACTTCTGAATCCTCCTCGCCGACAAATCTGCAGCCAGCACCAAACCCCGCGAATCAATCGCCGCCTCGCTCGTCTGCTTAACGTTCTTCATAATCCTGTCGGACTCGTCGAAGAATTGGAGGAGAGACTTTGGGTCGGCTTGCATGTACTCGTCGGGGTTCTCGCGCAACTGTCGTTGCATTTGGCGCAGGCTAGCCTGGATCGCGCGGCGCTCTTGCATCGGTTGGTCCGGGTCGTAGTCCTCGAAGTCGTTGTCGTCGTCTAGCAGCATGGCGTCGGGGGAGGGTTCGCGGGTGCGCCGGCGGGTGTGGGAGGGTTCGTCGAACCCTGTGGAGGTTCGCTTGCGGGAAGACGACTCCATCTTGAATGGGTTTGACCTGTGAGGCTCTAGGGAGCAGTTTTGGGTATCTTATCTCGATGCTGTCTCTGAATGTTGTCTTGTTTAAGTGCTGTGTTCTCTAGGAACTGACTTCGCTCACAAGACAAAGAATTGCGCCGACGCGGGGTCAGAAGGACTGCTTTAGACCGAATAAGTCGTAGAAATGCTGCCAAAAGTGCAAAAAAAATTTTATGATGATATTTCCCACAGATGGACTTCCTCTGTTTTCATTGTTAAAAGCGAGTCTAGCAGTGCCGTTGGAAGGGAAAAAAGAAAACGAAAGAAAGAAAGAAAAATAAAAAAAGACGATAACTCTTTGTCGCGTCCCTCACCCGCGACGCGACTTCCATCATTTCATCCATCTCCAAGAGGGGAACACGGGCAGTCATATCATTGGTTGAGCCTGCCCCACATGATGATGTAACAGCCCAGTGGAGCTCGTCCCAACGCGGGCGCCCCACCAGACAAGGTCACAGCAGGGTTACAGCGCAGCGGCACGCCCAACCCTGGCCAGCTTATCCAGGCTGCAGCTGACCTCACCTCAACCCTCATGTCCAACCCTCATCTTGAACAAAGCTTCATCTCAGGCAGAGACGCGACACGGCGTTGTGTCCTTCTTGCATTCAACTACCCACGCTGATGTAGGGTTACGGAAACTGAGATCAACCCCTCCATGTACACACTTGAGCTGGATCCGGACGTCGACGAAAGATGGAGCCCTTTTCGTTCGCCACCTCGGACACGCTCGACTTTCCCGTCAGCATCCGCATGTGCGTCTCTGCTTCTAACTTTAGAGTATATAGTTTTTCAGAAGAGCGCTAATGAGAGTAGAATCAATCTGGAGGGCGCCGAGCCGCCGCTGCGCTATTCCACGCTGCTGGATCATCCCGAGCTCAGGCATATTGGCTCCAACCAGAGGTAGGATAGTGCCATGATATCAGCCTGATTTACGCAGAATACGAGAATATGTTTTGTACTGTCCTGTTGCAACACACTTTCTAACTCTCTCAGCACCCACTCCGACCTCTACGTCACCGTTCAAGTCTGGGCCGGCTCTAAGCCCCTCACGGTCCCCGTGCAAACGGCCTACAAGGCATTCCGCAACGAGCGCCGCTGGAACGAGTGGCTGACCCTGCCCATCACCTACTCAGCACTCCCCCAAAACGCCCGTCTGGCCATCACCATTTGGGACCTCTCCCCCCTGCCCGCCGAGGGCGCCCAGGGCAACGCGGTCCCCTTCGGCGGCACCACCCTGCCCCTGTTCGATAAAGATAACCAGCTGCACAAGGGACGACAGAAGTGCCATGTTTATAGGCATCGTAAGGCCGACGGGAACGATGACACCAAGACTCCGGCATTCTTGCCTAAAAAGAGGGCCCGTAAGGGGGTGCTGGAAGACAAGGAAGCCGAGGAGCTGGACAGGATGGAGAAGCTGTTCAAGAAGCATGAGATGGGCGAGATCCCTAGGGTTGACTGGCTCGATCAGCTTGTGTTCAGGGGGTTCGAGAAGCGCGGGCTGCAGTCAGCAAGGTCCTCACTCAAACTGGCACAGAGAGCACAGCTAGCCCAGGACAGCGGCCCAACTAAGCCACAGGATCCGAATGCGCCCCCCGAACCCTCAAACTACATGCTCAACGTCGAACTCCCCCGCTTCGACTTCCCCGTCGTCTTCGCTGACCACGAGTACCCCCCGCCCCCAATTTCTTCCCTCCAACCCCTCTCCTCCTCCCAATCCAACGTCATCCTAAAACCGCCCCCCGAAGTGCATTTCGGGCCCGGCATCAGCCCCGAACAAGAAGAAGATGAAGACTCCTCCGAAGAAGGCTACACCGGCCGCCTCATCCGGGTCTACGACCCCGAAGTCGCCGCGCGTGACAACCCCGCCGAAAGCAAGCACCGCCGCCTGGTGCGCAGCCAACACCGCAATGGGATGCTCGACAAGGACCTGAAACCGAACGCTAAAGTCCGCGACGAGCTGAACACCATCATGGCGTACTCCCCCACACACGTGTTGACGCCGGAGGAGAAGGATCTCGTCTGGAAGTTTAGACATCACTTGACAAGGAACAAAAAAGCGCTTACCAAGTTTGCCAAGTCGGTCAATTGGCAGGACGCGAGCGAGGCGAGGCAGGCGGTACAGCTTCTGGGGAAGTGGACGGATATCGATGTGGATGATGCGCTGGAGTTGCTGGGGCCGACGTTTGATAACCCTGCTTTGAGGGCATTTGCGGTGGAGAGGCTGAGGAAGGCGGATGATGAGGAGCTACTGCTGTATTTGTTGCAGCTGGTGCAGGCGCTGAAATACGAGCATATATTGCCCAAGGGGAGGGAGGGGCAAGGACAACAAGGTCAGGGTCAAGAAGGGACGGCGGCAACAGCGAGCTCAGGAGCTCATGATTCTTCGTTGGCAAGGTTCCTCATCTCCCGCGCGGTCGGCAGCTTCACGCTGGGCAACTACTTTTGGTGGTATGTGATGGTGGAGTGTGACGACAAGTCGGCGGACCAGGGACCAGACAACCAGGCTATATACGGCAAGATTGCGTACGACTTTATGGCCGAGCTGGTCAGACAGCCCGGCGGCGAGGAGGTGCGCAAGACGCTCAAGAGACAGGCTGAGTGGATCGCAATCTTGTCGCGCATTTCCGGGGAAATCAAGGAGTCCAATGAGAGCATTGCCAAACGCACGGAGAGGGTGAAGGCGTTCCTGGCTGATCCGAGGAATGAATTGGTAAATATTGATCCGCCCCTGCCGCTGCCCCTAGATCCGTCGGTGCAGATTGTGGGCGTCGTGCCGGAGGAGACGCACGTTTTTAAGTCCTCGTTGCACCCCATCAAGGTGACCTTCCGGACGACGACGGGGAAGACGTATCCCATCCTCTTCAAAACGGGCGATGATTTGCGTCAGGACCAGCTCGTCATCCAGATCATCGCCCTGATGGACTCCCTCCTGAAAAAGGAAAACCTTGACCTCAAGCTCCTCCCCTACAAAATCCTCGCCACCAGCACTTCCGCCGGTCTAACACAATTCGTCCACTCCATGACCCTGCAAGCCATCTCCTCCAAATACCGCGCCAACCCTGCGCTGGCCTACCTCAAGCAAAACAACCCCGACCCCCACGGCCCGCTCGGTCTCCGTCGCGAGGCCCTCGACACCTTCGTCCGCTCGTGTGCAGGCTACTGCGTCATCACTTACATCCTCGGCGTCGGCGACCGGCATCTAGATAATCTATTGCTAGCTCCCGACGGACACTTCTTCCACGCCGACTTCGGCTACATCCTCGGGCGCGATCCCAAACCCTTCGCCCCGGCAATGAAGCTCTGCAAGGAGATGGTCGACGCCATGGGCGGCAGCTCATCCGAGCACTACAAAAAATTCAAAGAGTACTGCTTCCTGGCGTACAGCGCGCTGAGGAAGAATAGTAACTTGATATTGAACTTGTTCAGTCTGATGGCGAACGCGAATATACCCGATATCAAATTGGAGCCGGACAAGGCGGCGCTCAAGGTAAAGGAGAGGTTTCATTTGGAGATGAGCGAGGAGGATTCGATACGGCATTTGGAGCGGATTATGGACGACAATCTGAATGCGTTGGTGCCGGTCGTGATTGATAAGCTGCATGAGTTGGTGCAGGCGTTTAGGGCGTAGGGGACGAAGGGTAGACTAGGTTAGATATCATGGAAGTAAGAGGCTTAATGATTTTTTAATGAACTAAACCAGATTTCCCTTCCTTTCCATTGCTCCACTTCATCCAGCAATTGCTAGTAGTATACAACACGGCTCAGCGCTTCTACGTGTCCCCGAAAATAAACACACCCTTCCCGCTCCTAAACCCCTCCAGCGTGCCCTGAACAGCCTCCTTGAGCACCTTCTCCTCCGTCTCCCAGTCCCACCTAATCTCCTGCACCGGCGCCTCCTTAAACTTGCCCTCCCTCATCAGCTCAATGATCTCGTCTACACACTTCTTCTTCTCCGCCGGATTCTCCTTCGCCCACTCGCTCAGCCAGAACCCTTCAAACCGCAACCTCTTGAAAATCTGTGGCCCCGTCGGGAACGGGAAACTCTGCCTCGACATGCCGCCATAAGTCACCATCGTGCCCTTGGGGCTCAGCGCGCGCACGATTTGCTGCGCTGACTTCCCTCCCACGCAGTTCAGCGCCAGCAGGAGTGGTTCTTTTCCTCCACGAGTCCACTCCTCGTTCAACCGTTGCGTAAAGCTCCGGTCCAAGAATTCGGACTCGGTAACAACCACCGTCGCGCCCAGGTCATACAACTCCTTCTTCAACGCCTCCGTTTCCTCGGCCGTAGCCCTCTCCCTCACGACATTTATACTCCTCAATCCCCACAGTCTCCCCAACTGTATCGCCGCCCTCCCTACCCCGCTATTCGCCCCGTTCTGCAGGAACCATGCCCCGCCTCGTACATCAGAACCCCCTTCCTGGTACATCCTCACACTTACCCCCACCAAATCGACATAATCCCTCAACATACGATACGCACTACACGGATTAACACTGACCGTGGCAACTTGCACAGGCGTGAGCCCTTCCGTCCCCTTCTCCCCGCCGATCCTCCACAGCTTCTGCTCCGCCTCCTCCACAAGCACATGCGTCCTGAACGTGCCGAACCCCGACGACGAGGGGATGACCCAATCTCCCTTTTTGAAAACCCCCCGCTTGGCGATCTCACTCCCCACGCTGACTACCTCAAACACGCCTTCATTTCCCGGCACCGCGGCCGGCTCCGCCGTGCCCAGTAGATTCGAAAACGTCGGCTTGGCGCCGTACGTCCCCTGGATGGTGTTCACATCGGCTGGGTTGATGGGGGCTGCCAGGGTACGGAGGAGAACGGCGGTGTCGGGGAGAGTGGGGGAGATGGAGTGGGTGTGTAGGGAGAGCACGTCGATGGGTTCGCCGAAGCGGGGGAAGACGAGAGTCTTGGATTGGGTGTAGCCGTAAGGGGCGGATTTGTGGCGGCGTTGGGGGAGCTGAGGGGCGGTTTTTGGGAGTTGGGTGAGAGTAACACGGGAGGTACGCAAGAGGGTTTGCCGGGAGAGAGTTGAGATGCCCCCCAGGCGGAGGGCTGAGTGTGGTGAGAGGATGGACGCCATTTTTTTTTTTTTTGGAAAGGGGGGAGGGGGGGAGGGGAGAGAAAAGCGCGCTCTACGCTGCTCTACTGAGACAGGTAGATATGCGACGCTGGGAGTGAAGATAAAGACGAAGAGAGATTGGGGGGGGGGGGAAATGAATAAAAAAAAAGAAGAAAAAAAATAAAGGAGAGGTGTAGTCGAAAGCGGGGATGTTTGCAGAGCAATGAAATCAGCCGAGTTGAGCCGGGATCAAAACTGCGGAATAGATTTCCACTCATTCCACACAAACTCCCCTGGAGGATGGATGAATGAGATGGAGGTCCAGGCTGCAGAGCTTGTGCGGAAACCCCACTTCTTTCTTCTAAGCAGTCTCGTTTGCAGATTCACTGCAGGTTGATCTGACTGAAAATATCCCAATTTCTGTCAATTCAATTGCCGATCTCTCGTTCCGCAGACTCGAAATCTTCCTGCAGCTCTCATACTCAAGCACTGAGCACTGAGCAAGGAGTCGTTGAGATCCGCTTGCCCGAGCGATGACGTCTGAGTCCTGGACCAAGCTCAACGGCGATAAGATTGAAGCTTGGGCCAATCAACTTTAAGGACTGGATGTGACGGTTGAGCTTTACGAGATTTGAGACACAAGGTTGGAGACGACTGGACAATGGCTTGTACATAACCCTAACCTTCTTGATATTCTCTCTACCAGAAACAGGTTTCAGTAGTTCAATTGCTTCAAAACATATATCGAATATCTTGATGGACGAACCAACCGGAGCAATCCCCCTCTCCTTGGCAGAACACGACCTGTTTGGCCGGTGGTCGACCAGCGCGGCCGCCCAATGCAGCACAGCGTCGCACTCTCTTCCACAACGACGTCGTACCGACGCCATCACGCCCAGCGTAAATGTAGCATCGACTCCGTTGTTGGGCGTGTGTACAGTAAGCCATTGCTTTGTTTGGATCGTTGGGAGAAGTTCAAGATGGACGTTGGCATTCTCATTTTCCAGGGGTCAAAGCTCAGAAACAAAGAGAGGGTCAACAGCACATGTTCACCAAATGATGTGAGCTTCAACTTAGGAACAATCTCAAATTTGATTGCCCAACTCAGCAATTCTTAATTTCCATAAACACGTATCACACTCACTACGAGACTTCGGCCATCAGCTTGCATACAACTAAGGTAATGCAACATATAGTGTAGACAGGTAGTGCAAGTCGTGGCTTGGCGCGGCAGCATGACAAGGCATGTATGTCTCTTTGCTTCTTTTCTCCTTCTGGTTGTTGTTGCACAACCCCTCCAACAAATCCTCTCCCTCCTTCCTCCAACCTCATTCAATTCCTCCCGGCGCGGAATTAGACAGTAAGGTATACGCTTACTTCTCGAGAAAAAGAAAATTGAACTGCCTCCTTTTCCGGATTTTCTTACTCCGCCGAAAGAAATGATTGGGAGAAGAGGTATCAACACAGGCGTAGGGGGAAAAAAAAGGAAAACTGACGTGACATCAGTGGTTATGTAGAAATATGGGTATGTAGAATAGCAAGATAGCATAAAAGAAAAGCCAGAATAGCACACACTGAAGCAACCGAGCCAATGAGGTATGAAAAAACTTGTTGATAACATGACAATCCCTCTGCAAGCACCACCTAAGTGCAGCAGCAAGGAGCTCTTATTGATAGTGATGTTGCTGATGATGTTATGACAGAGGATAGAATAGAAAGTGTGCACGTCGGTGTGTGTAGATCCTCCTTCGATAGGAAATATGCCGAGAGAGTTGGGGATATATGTAAAGATCAGCGAAAGAAAGCAAAGATTACGTAAAAAAAAAAAAGGAACAAAGCCGCCAGCAAAGTAAATAAAACAAAACAAAAAGCCGGGGGTATCTTGCATTCTGCACCTCCTCCATCCTCTCCGTCGCCAACTCGCTTCCAGGAAGCTCTGTTCTCTCCATCAAGTCTCACATAAACGCGCCGCGACTGCACTGGGCTCAGCAGCCCATCATCATCACCGTTCTTGTATTCTCAAATCCCGCCCACATCTCAATCAAAAGTCCTTCCTCACTCCTACTTAATATCTTTAAACAAATCATCCCCAAACCCCACATCATCCCCATGAATCCCCAACTTCCTATTCAGCTCACTCAGCTCCGGCAACATCGGCGGCGGATCCTTCTTCTCCTCGCTCTGAGGCGACGACGCCAGCGGCGAGCTGCACTTATCATGGCTGCCCCCGCGCAGCCGACCGAACCAGCCGCTCGCGCGCTTCGACTTGCGCGTCGAGTCGGCAATACTGCCTGTCCCGCGGCTCTGCGGACGGTCTCCGTTTGCACCTGCGGCTGCCGCGTGCGCCGGGTTCAGCAGGCCGCGGCTGAATAGTCGGCGGATGGAGCCCGGCCGGGCAGAGAGGGTTGGGGAGGTCGGGACCGTGGATGCGCCTTTGGTGGTTTCGGAGGTTGGCGTAGATGTGGACTGCGGCGAGGAGACGTCGTGCTTCGAAGATCCATTGGCATTATCTTTCGCAGCGTCGCCGTTCTCTTCTTTCGGCGTGCCTGGCTCCTTGGAGGACGGCTCTTCTTGTATGGGCGAGGGCAGAGGCGGCGGGATGTCGGTACCGTCGGTCAGAGAGCCAAAGTTGAGGTCGAGGGCGGGGAGCTCGAAGCGCTTGACGGGCGCGTCTGTGCTCGTGGACGACGACGGCGCGGGGGAGGATGGGGACTTTGTTTTCGACGGCATCGGGACTGCTGTTTAGTGTGTGTTGTTTATTGTAGGTATGTGTTGGGTATCTCGAGTCGGGGAAAGCGTCACGAGACGTCCAAGGGGCAAGGCCAGAGGGACAGAGAATGCAGAAAAAAGAATCGAGAAATCAGAATGTGGAAAGTGGTGTGACGAGTGACGAAAGAATGGAGGGCAGGCCGGCACGATACGAGTGGGACTTTGGGGGGGGGGGGGGCACTGGGCCTGGATCGCGGCGGGACGTGGATTGGATCGATCACGGCTTGCAGCTGCAGCGTGCAGTAGTGAGCGAGCAGTGGGCGTCGGGCCACTGCAGTGGTCTGTCCAGTGAGCGAGGCTGCTGCGAACAGGACGAACCAAACAAGAGTTAACTCTTGACAGCGACGGGCGACGGGACGTCGTCGGGGAGACACTGTAGCTGGCAGCGCGTGCAAGAGACAGCCACGAAGGATGGATCAATTGGGATGGGTGCACGACAGATGCCCGTGTCGCCGGCTGCAGGTAATTGAGGGTTCAGGTTTGACAGATCGAACGAACGACGGTCAACAGCGAACGACGAACGAACGAACGGCCGAACGAACGAATGAATACGTAAGGGGATTGGCTATCTGAGCGCCTGCTCTTAACTTGCTCTCTGGTCGGTTCCCAGTTGAACGTGGAACGCGACGCAGTCTTGAGTGCCAAGAAGAGAGAAAGAGAGGGACGGGAACGGGGAACGGAACAGGAGGCTGACTTTGGGGCTCTCTCTCCCTCTCTCTTCTCTTCGGGTTGGAACTCGAAGCTGGGGGAACAAGGACTGGAGCCAGGGAGCAGGGGAGCTAGTGTAGAAACCTAGCAGGGGAGAAATGCCGTTGCTTTTCCACTTGCAGGCGCAAGCCTGCAGCCTGCTTTTTCAGCCACAGCAGCCCTGGTCCTCAGTAAGTTCTGTCACCACAGGGACCACAGCCAATCCACAGCGAGTACGACAGCAAACAAGCACAAAAACACAGCATCAAGACATCATCCACCCACATCCACAGCTCATCTCGTCAACACCAAAGCAGGAAAAGTGAAAACTGCACGGCACGACATTGCCAAGCAGAGCCCCCCAAAAGCCCAAGAAGAAGACCGGGTGGCTGGCGCCGGGGCCTAGCTGCCGCCAGCGAAGCCCAACTTGGCTCAGTCGGGTGGGTTCAAAACGGCCATGGTGATGCCACCAGAGACCGCCGGCGAGCCTAGCCCGGGGCCCGAAAATTCGTCCAATTTTGCGCTTTCCGGGGCTGAAGACCAAGTTTTTTTTTTCTTTTAAATATATATATAATAAGGTGCTCAGTTCCGTGTATGCGGCCATCGTTTGTCTGCACGTCTTGACAGCGTAAGGGCAAGGTATTGTGGATGCGGACGCGCAGTCTGGCCTGATCTCTTTTCCTGGCGTTGAGCCTCAGGCCAAGACCCTTGCGCCGTGGGTTGGGTGCAGAAAAAAAAGAGGTGGATCGAGCCGACAAAAGGGGAAGGAGGGCCCAAACTCTGGTTCGCTGGTCCATCCCTGTTCGGATTGTCCCGCTCCACATGGATGTGGGGCAAGTGGGGTTTTATGCGCTTAACGGATTTGCTCCAAATGAATTTCATATTGTCGCCCACTCCTTTTCATTGGCCGGTGGCATCATGAGGATGGCCGGCGCTCAGGAGTTAAGGAGACTCGGCACTGGCGCTGGCGATGTCATCTCAGTGCGTCCAGCAACGAAATGCTCTCTGTTGTGTAAGTGAGCCGGTACCTGCTACATATTCTCACCCTCCCGTCTCCTCTTCAGTGGTGGCAATGAAAACCCATGCCATTTGCTGGGGATCTTCAAGTCCGTATTGCTGAAAACCAGTGCGCCCCAACAACCACACTGGCGCGATATGTGATATCCCCCGTCAGTTCGCCGCAGAAGGAACCTGTTTGTGTCTGCGGATAACCCGTCCTCTGCGCAGCCTTGCCCGTCTTCCCCAAGCACCCCCTATTTCTTGGGAACAGCATACTTTAGTGTCCATTCCCTCGCTGTCGCGATCGCCGCTTGCTCGTCCTCCTTCCAGCTCTTCGCCACGTCTGCCGCGAGCGGGTCGTCGGGGTTCGGCGCGCCGAGAAGCGCTTGGATGGACAGCAGGATCGTGCGGATCTGGAGCGCCGGGGACCAGTTGTCTGGGACCGTCAGTACTTTCTCTTAAGCCTTCTCTCCAACCTGGCTCTCAACACCCACTCTTCAGCACATCCAAGCAGATGCGGCCCAACTTGTCAACATTCGGATGGAAGATCTTGGTCAGGAAGCGGATCTTGGGCGGCGCCATCGGGTAGTCCTCAGGCAGGAAGAGCTCGAGCTTGAAAACGCCGCCTAGCAGACACGGTAAGCAAAGGGTCGGTTGTGATGGACCTGGACGTCAAGGAAGGCGCACCCTCGTATGGCGACTGCGAAGGCCCATGGATCTCGACATCAAAGTAGCGGAGGTTGTCTTCGTGCGGGACGGCGCTGATCCCGGGGACCCTGTTGAAGGGTGTTAGACTCTGGCGCATGGCGTGAAGAGAGTAGGTTGACTGGCTTACGGCTCGGCCATCAGCCGCTCTGTCTCCTTGACAATGCGCTTCGGTAGACCGGCAGCCATGATGCTAGTGGGATCTGGATGTGGGGCTCGATGCTCTAGTTGGAGGAGAAATTGTGGTCGTAGAGCTGACACGCCTAAACCGTGAATTCAAGGGCGGGGAGGGTTTGCGACAGCGAAGGGGATGAGGGGTTCACGAGTTACGTGACGGGGCAGCCTGCGCGAGTAAGTGCCCGTCTGAGCCAAAGTGAAAGAAGTTGACTGTCACGGGCCGTAAACTGAACTGGAGCAAGAGGCAAAATGTGCAAGAATAGCGTCAGGCTCCCAGGCGTGGTAGTGCCGCGAACAACGAATGCTTAGGTGTGTTCTCTCTCTGAAGTCCTGGGGTCTCAGGCTGACTGGGCAAGTGGGATGAGTCCATGGACGAGACCGAAGGTGAGGCAGAGGGGGGTTCTCCGATAAGCGCACGGACCACCGTAGGCGCTTGTCGATAAGATGCAAAAAGGTGGGTATCAGGAAAATCCACTGCCCCAATGCCGTCTCCCCCAAGCGTCCGATCTCCAAACTTGGGGCTTTTGCTGCTGCAGCTCTACTTTAAGGTGCTGGGCCCTTCCCTTTCCCGGACATCTTCACCACCATCAACCACAACAACCGCAGCTGGATCTATGCATTGAGGGACGACATACCCCTATGTTCCGCGGGCTCTGGGGAGACTGAATCCCAACTTAATGCCGCACTTACAGACATCATCTGCCAACTGCATACTGCACCACCTGACGAACATCACCATCTTCGCTGTTCACTCTTCACGTCAGCATCTGGACTGGAACTGGGCATTGGAGTGACTGTACACCGCTGCTGCTGCTGAGACTGACCCGGCAGCCACAAAGCCTGGCGGGTGGCCGTCCTTGGGGAGCGTGGAAGGTCCGGCTGGCCGCTCAGATGGCGAGGCTGGTGACAACCATTGTCACCAAGTGCTGAGCGTACTTAAAAGTTTAAGCTGAGAACCCTGAGGGCCTGTCGTGTGATGGTGTCATTCTTGCCCCCCTGGCTCTTGTTGACCACCCTGACATCATCCGGCGACCTTCCTGATCCTGGCCCATCCAGGCTGCCCACTCGTTGTGGATCTGTCGCTATATCGTCAGCGTCCCTTAGGATCTGAACCTAAACCACTGGCAACTGGCACTGCTACAGCAGTTGGGCATCGCTGTCCACTGTTTTGGTCCTGTACAATGCACCGTGTCCTGCCCGCTGCATGCTACCTAGTACCATGTCTCTGGACTTTGTCCATCTAGGCGGGGGTCCCCCGAAGAAGACCAAGACGATCAAGTCCGCCTACGACAGCGAGAGCTGGGACAACGACTGGGCATTCCATGTTGATGGCCTCGTCGGCTCGGCCACCATCTCGCCCTCGGGCCGGGACGTCGCCCTTGCATCGTAGGCTCTGCAACCCCCCCCCCTTCCTCTCTCCCCTTTTTTTCCTTCCTCCTCCTCCTCCTCCTCCTCCTCCTCCCAGCTCTTTACCCCTGAAACCTGATTGCCCACTGACATCCCTATCCCCCCAGACCCGAAGGCCTCGCCATCATAGACCTCGACTCACCATGGAGTCCCCCCCGCCGCCTCAGCAGCCACGGCCTGCCCTGGCTGGTCGTCGACGTGCAGTGGTCGCCCTTCGCGGCCCGCGACTACTGGGTCGCATCGACGGCCAACCACCGCTGCCTCGTCTGGAACCTTAACATGCGGGACGACTCACCGACCGGCGCCATCGAGCACTCGCTGCAGGCGCACACGAGGGCCATCACCGATATCAACTTTTCGGCGCACCACCCCGACTCCCTTGCCACTTGCTCTGTCGACGGTTACGTGTATTGTTGGGACCTCCGCCGGCCGCGACAGCCTGCTCTTGCGTTTTGTGACTGGTTTGCGGGCGCCACGCAGGTTAAGTATAGCCGGCAAGATCCGAATATTTTGGCGTCGGCTCATGATCGGTGGCTGCATATCTGGGATATACGGAAGGCTGCCGAGCCTGTGAAGTCGATCTGTGCTCATACGTCCAAGATTTACGGGATTGACTGGAACAGGACGAAGCCTACCTGCCTTGTGACGTGCTCTCTGGACAAGAGCATCAAGTTCTGGGACCACTCCCAGGAGGGCGACTCCCCGCAGAGGGTTATTCGGACTGACTTTCCCATGTGGCGGGCTCGGCATACGCCTTTTGCTTATGGGCTGTTGGCCATGCCTCAGACAGAACCGGGCTACTTGTATCTATACGACCAGCGCTTGAAGCCCGACGACCCGGTTGATGGTCCTGTCAAGCCAGTCGCTGTCTTCCCCGGCCACGGCGAGCACCACAAGGCTAAGGAGTTCTTGTGGAGGAGTCGCGGCGGCGTGAGCAACGATGGCATTGACAACCGCGAGTTCCAGTTGGTATCCTGGGGCGAGGACAATAAGTTGCGCTTGCACAAGGTCGACGAGAAGCTGCTTGAAACGGTCGGCCATGTGCGTGGCGGCCCGGTGATGCAGAACCTTGTGCTTACACGCAAGGGGGCAATCTACAAGACATTCCGTACGGTCGAAGATACCGCTCATCGGGACCACAGGAGTCCGACGATGAGTGATTCGCGTGCGCCACAGAGTGCTCTAAGCCTGGGGTTAAGTCGCATGGGACATTCTTGGGGGAGGACGACCATGAAAGCCAAGAGCAACATGGTCAGGCACCTCGACAGGAGCCAGCTGCAGATCGACTGGCTCAAGCGCATCACCATGTCAAAACCAAAAACCGCCTCGGCCGATCCGGACGGCGAGGACATCTTCGGCCCCGAATGGGCCGACACCGAAACCATACAAGACGAGCTCCTCCGCATCAGCAGCTCTCTCCCCAACGTCAAGCTCGACAACATCGACATGGAGTCCCTCACAGTGCACGCTTCGCTCAAAGGACCGTGGGGTGTCAACCGCGAGACCATCTTCATCAAAGTCCGCATCGACATCCCCACCTCCTACCCCAAGAGCAAAGCCCCCCGCTTCTACGTCGACAAATCCTCCTTCATGCCCGACGAGACGCACGCCAAGCTCGAGGCCGAGCTGCATGAGTTAGCGAACCGCTTTCTGCAGAGGCAGCAGAACTGTCTGTACATGGCGTTTACCTATCTCTTGGGAGAGGTTGATCTCGAGTCTAGCACCGCTTACTTTAAGAATGTTCGCGACTTCGACGACTCCGACGGTCTCGCCGACGACAGCTCCAGCGAGGAAGACGAAAGCAATATCCCGGCTGGCGACTCCGTCATGTCGCAGGAGCTGAGCGCCAGCACCGAGCTTGATGCTGACGCCACGCTAGCAACGGCCCAGCGCCAGGCGGTTGCCCCGTTACCACGATTCTGTGGCGCGCGGTGGTCGAATGATGGCAGGCTGGTGTGTTTCTTCCCTACCAAAGAGGAGAAAGCGAGGGCGTTGTTTGGTGCGCTGCCGGATTCTTCTAGGGACAAGAAGGGGGAGCCGACGTTCGCTGGGTTTGGGAGGCTGGATCATGACTCGCCGCCGCCGAAGCACAGATTGCATGATGATGCCTCGGGGACGGAGGATAACCTAGATGATTCGGACGACGGGGCGTCGACTTCGTCGTCGACGGATTCCGAGCCGACGACGGTACACAAGATTGGCCTGTGGTACCAGCCTTATCGGCACTTCCGACGCACATGGAGCGCGAATGACTCGGTGCGATCAAGCGGCGGGGGCACTGGACCTGGAACAGGCACCGGCACCGGCACGAGCAGACGACGCCCGGGCCGACCGAAGAACGTGATTTCGATATACAACCTGCAGAGCGAACTCCCGTCGAAGAAGGCCTTTGCGCAGGAGTACGCCATCTTTGGCGACGGCGCCGACGTGTGCAGCCATAATGCGGCGGTGGCCGAGAAGTATGGCGAGCCAGAGCTCGCGCACGTCTGGCGGTATGCGGCGATGCTGTTGCGCAGGGATGTACCCTTGGAGATTCATGAGCGGTGGCATAAGGGCCAGCCGGTACTGGTTATTGCGAAGGACGCGGTCGCCAGGGCGAGGGAGGGGGATTTGCCGATGGAGGTGGAGGAGGAGGATGTCTCCGGTGCGCCGTCGACCGGGCCGAGCCTGGCAGGGAGAGTCAGATGGGGGTATCATCCGCTTGCGAGGGACATGATTGACGACTTGTTTGAGTACTATGAGAAGATTGCGGATATACAGATGCTGGCTATGTTGGCGTGCATCTTTGGGGATTACTCGATTGAGGAAGAGGCGGCGATCGCGGCGTCACATTTGCCACAGCCGAAGACGCCTTTGCCGATGAAGGCGCCGTCGTTTTCGTTGGAGTATTTTCCGACCGACCCGACGCTGTGGAATCTGAGCAATTGGAAGAGCCAGGCTAGCTCGGGTGTCACGACGCCCAGGACGGCGAATACACCTGCGGTGTACTCGGCTTCGCCCAGTGAGGAGGAGCTGCATGGATCGGTTGAGCCCAGGTCGAATTCCTACTCGTGCGGGGAGACGCCGCCTAAGGTTGTGAGGGATCATCTGAGGGATGTGACGAGTCAGACCCAGAGCTTGTCGACGTCGCCCAGCAACCGCCTGCTTCAGAGGGCCAACTCGACCGTCGCGGCTGCGTTTGCTGCTAGCTTACCCCGCGCTCTAGCCGGCATTGTGTCTGCTTCGCCGCCCGATCCTCTCAAGAAACGCCTCAGCCCGTCCGAAACGGCGCCAGGGACGTTGACACCGAATGCCCTACCCACCTGGGCCGGCTCGAGCGGGTCCAACGCCGGCGGCGGTCCCGACACCCCGGGTACATCCCGCACCTCCCTCTCCGACGACGAATACACCCGCGACGATTTATTTGCGATGGTACCCGTGGCGATAAACTGCTTTTCCGAAAACCAAGGCCTTTTTGACGACGACGGGTGGATGTCGACCCCGCTCATCGACCGCAACCGTTCCCAAGTGTACTCGAACTACCGCTATGCGTATGCAGAGATGTTGCAGATGTGGGGACAGCCTTTGTCAAGGTTGGAGATTATGAAGTTTGATGTGCTTAAGGAGGATAAGCATCATCTTTCTTCATGGTTCCATAGTGCTGCTGCTGGTGGGGGTGTCGGGGGTGCTGGGGAGGAGGGAGGGGGTCCCTCTGGACCGGCGAATACCCCTACGCCGTTTTACGGGGCTGTGCCAGGGTCGCCGACATCGCCGTTTGCCGATCGAAAACATGCCCATCTGCAGGATCTACTTAATTCCGGGCGAGCGGTCGACGTAACAGGCTTCTGCCGCATCCACCCCAACACGCCTCTCGAACCGGCCGAGTATTTACGTCCCAAGACCCCGGCTGGCCCCTCCCCCTCCTCCCTTGATGTCAACCCTCCTCCCAAGTTTGTCAACGGTGCCGTAGGCGTCTGCCACCTCTGCGTCCACTCGCGTGACCAATCTGATTTGATCCCGCAGACAGAACTCGAATGCGTCTACTGCTGGGGTCCGATCATCGGTCTGTATGTGGCGTGCCTGGCGTGTGGGTGTGTCTCGCATGAGGGGTGCTTAGCAGAATGGCATGCCCTGGGGGGTGAAGAGTGTCCCGTAGGACATGAGTGTTTGTGTGTTGAGCAGGCGAGTAGTGCCGAGGGGCCGGGGGTTTGGGTGGGTGTCGGGAGGGCATTGGGGGCTGCTGCGGCGGAAAGTAATGAGGAAGGGGGGGGTGGTTTTGTCGGGAAGTTGGAGGAGTACGAAGGTAAAACGGGACGGCAGGGAGGGACGAGGAGGAGGCCGCTGAGTGCGGATGGAGGAGCGGTGCAGTATCAGGGGCAGGGTCAGAGGAGGACGGGGGGAAGGAGTAATAGTATTACGGGGCATGACTTTGTTATTGTGGAGGGGAGTGAGAGCGGGAGCACAAGTACCGTTACGGCGATACGGAACAGCCCGAGGAAGGCATCTGGAAAGGGTCCGGGTCCGGGAGGGAAGAAGGGAGGTCAAGCTGCTGCGACTGGGAGTAGCTCTTCTAGCAGCGCCGACCAGAAGCCCGTCCGCCATCACCATATGGGAGTCCCCTCGCTAACCGTTACAAATCCCTCCCCCGGCAGCGAATCCCCCCCTGGACCCTCGGGAACGACAACATCAAGAGACGCGGCACCAGCAGGACGTTCCTCAACATTTATCTTCCCCTCGGCGCCCACCTCCCCGTCAGCATCATCCCCCCTCCTCCCCCCTCAAGCCCCTCCCTCCCCGTCTCCGCCTCCTCAACCTCCCCCCCTGCCCTTTGCCCCCATCTCCCTCGCCCACTCCTGCTGGTCTAGCCCCCCTAACCACCACCACCACCACCACCACCACCAACAACAACAACAACAACAACAACAACATTATCATCATCAACACCACAACCAACAACAGCACGTACCCCCCTCGTCATCAACATCCTCTGCGTCTAGTTCGCACCACAGTCCATCATTAGCCACGTCGGCGTTACTCCTAGCGGGAATAAAACCCCCTCCCACCGGCGACGAACCGGTATCCGCGGCGCAGCTGAGTCTGGGGAAGAGGCTTAAGAGGTCGCTGGAGGCGGCGGCCGCGCAGGAAAGGGGCCATCATTACCATGGGCAGGGGCATAACCCGGGGGAAGGAGCGAGTAACAGGCCGGGGATCATGAGGAGGAGTACCTCGGCGTTGGGGGGTAGTTGGGGGGGTAAACACAGGGGGTCGGGGTGAGAGGACTAGGGTTAGGGTTGGTCAAGGGGGTTGAGTGGGGTTATGTTTGGGTCTATTTGTCTATGCTAGGGAGATGATAAAACATAACGAGGAATTGGTATACGTACAAGCTTTTTTGGAAAGTGATATTTTGGGTATCTGGGTAGCAAACTATTGGTAGTGTCTGATATTATTGTGGTCTGGAGTAGGACAGGGATGTGTAAAAAGTGTGATGCGTAGTGAAAATAAAAAGGCAATAAGTTAATAAGTTCATCTCATTCAAGGTCTTACTCATTCCAAATCTGACAGTTTGCCATGGTAGATGATGGTCCCATGAGGTCTTTGGATCGACCTTGGTTCATCAATTTTCAATATATTTGTGTTCCTATGTTTCGAACCTCCTGGGGAATACTGACATCATCTTCATCTCGATACGTTTAATTGTCAGGGTAGAGAATCAATGAACATCACAGAGGCCATGGACGACAAAGTCACGTTAACAAACCTTCCCCTTTGAGAACACCACACCACTCTGAAGTGAGCTCTCTTTCTACTTGGATAGTTGGTTCTAAGCCATCATCAACTTCTAACGGGAGGAAGTTACACTACTTCAGTTGCCGCTAACTCACTTGATACCATCGTCATCAAGCAGTCACGAGTTAAGAAGTCAAGGTAAGAAGTCATGGAGTTCGACGGTTACACAAGCAACAATGGTGGCACAGCCGCCACATAGTCCTGTGGCGTTTCTCAGCAGGAAAATCTTACCATCCCTAGAACACGTTAATAGCCGAAACCGATATTAACCGAGCATTGTCACAGTAAACCTGGCTGATCAGGTGTTGTTGTCCAAATCATCAAGACAGTTGTCAACACTTTCGGCTGAAGTTACGCACTTTGCGCAGCTAATCGTCTATTTGGGAACAACAAGATGTAGCAAACTTCAACCAGACCCTGAATGTGATCGAGAAACAAAAAAATGACATGTCTACTACATACGCAGCTTCTCCCGAGATGTCTTCTGATTTCCAAGAATGTTCAGCTGGACAGGGGCGCTTCCTCCCTGCCGGATTCACCGTGTCGTCCCATGGCAAGCAAGCCCGCAAGCCCGCAAACCTGCAAACAAATTATGGGCGAACGGGCCGTTAGTGTTGAGTTTTTTTCTTAAAAAAAAGCTCCTTTATTCCATATGCTAGGTATCCATTAGTTTGAGCTTTAGGAACGTTCGAATCTGGAGAGGCGTTGTTTTCCTCCACGTTCCAAACATTCAAGAAGTGCCCCTTGTTTGCTTGTGTGTTGTTGTTGCCGGAACCGAGGCCATGGGCAAACATTCTTCGTAGCTGAGAAGACACAAAGGCATAGTGGACTGATACTTCTTATTCCTGTCGCACCCTGTCAAACTATCTAGAGGTACCCACGGACCCATTGTTGTGTGAATTGTTCCCTCCCCGCAGTCCAGGAATCTAGAATCCCATCTATAGTCCAGAACAGTCCAAACCTATGCTCAAATCTTCCCGGTCGGGATGCATGCATGCATGCGCTTGCTTGTGCAGGAAAGGCACAGGGTAGATACCTAGGGTGTGTAACAACAGTGGGAAGCCGGCGGGGAAAACAAATACGATCAAAAAAGGGGGGAGGGTGTTTCGGATATGGTGGGAAGGAAGTGACGTGGGGGTGGATGTTACACGCACCCTGAGCTTACTATCTTTCCCACTTCGATGAGTTATCTCGTGTAGAGGATTAGTGTGAATACTCTTTGACAAGTTCGGCCTTCAATCAACGTCACGTCACGGTTGAAATTGACAGTGACATCTATCCCACCACAGTGACACAGTACAATCCTGAGAGCCAAGTCCCTGTGCTCCTTTACCGGTCCACGTTAGCGGTCTGCTTGTCAGATAAGAACTTGAAGTGAACGAAGTGACTAGGTAGGCTACGTCACCACCGTTGTCCCGTCTGCTCTAATTGACCGAACAGATTGACATATTGAAGGTAGAAGTAGGGCTCGTAGTTCTACAGAAAGATGAGCGTGGGAGGGAGCATGGTGCATTGGCAGGTTGAGCCAACCACCTCAATCAATCGCGACGTAAGTATAATCCCATCAACACTGACACACCGACTCATCAACCACCCCGGACAACCGCCCCCTCCCTCCTCTCATCGGAGGGTTTTCCGACGGAGAAAGCTCCGCTGACCTAGTCCATCCAAACCGTTTACCGACCTCCCCCGCCTTTCCTTGTGCTTGCTTACTCATCCACCCACCTTCTTGTCCTTTTAAGTAATTCCTGAGACAAAGTTATAATACAGTTTTTGTCCAAAACCATGGCATGCCTCATTTTTTAACAAGCGGCTGGTAGGAACGTATATCTCACGTCGGTACACAACCAAATGTTTCCTTTCAAAAAAAAGTAAAAATGAAAAAAAAAAAATACACATCCCTGACGGCTGTAACTGACCACCCGCCGCTTTGAGCGGTTTTGGTTATCTCGAACCAACCCCCCCCCGCCTCTCGCAGCGAGTGACAGGCCGGTCAGACCATTCAATGCCGAAAAAAACAATCTCATTTGCAGCCCTTTCCCGGCCCCGTCTGGAACCCGTCCCCCTGCCGCCACCGGGTAGGCTTCCCGGGCCCAAGACTATTTTAAAAAAATGGTACGTACTTGTTGGCGAGTGTTTCAGCTATGATTCCTCTTGTCTGTCAACAGACTGACCGGTTTACCCCACAAGCCACGTCTTTTAACATACCATGGTGCGGATTGTTGAGACAGGCCCCAAGTCAGGGTCGGAGTCAGGTCACAGTCCGTCGGCTCGAGCTCGAGCTTATTATCAGCTCAGCTCTGCTTATTATGCCTCGGGAAATTGATCGGATAAGTACCTACCTACTTACTACATATGCAGCAGGGCTGGCGAGGATGGGATTGGACGAGATGATGGATGAGGGAATAAGGATGAGCAAACAGATTGGGAAATTTAGCCCCCTCACAGCCAGAAATATGAGGTTATCTGGCGATCGTCAAGATCTAGGCGTGCAGATGTTAGCGCCTTATCTAAGTTTGTTCTGTTTTTGAGTGCGTGCCCCGGTTCCATGGGGTTGGGTCGGGTCCAGCTCTTGCGGTTCAGGTTGATTACCAGACTTGATTCAATCGTCGAGACTCGAGAATATTTACTTGCTTCCTTTTCACTAACCATGGTTAGGGGTCTGGATTTGTGTATGCAATTCAGCTAGTAGGTACCTATGTATAAATGCACTTCATGCATTCAGATGTGCACTTTGTACGTACCTCGTCGATTCACCAATCCTCATGGCACAGCACTCTTCCCCCCCCCCACACCCCCCCTGCACTGTATAACTAACTTGTTAACAAGTCAAGTAACAAGGGATAGAGACCGGCGGTAAGCAATCTGACTGCTCCTCCCAATGGGCAGTGTCTTATCTTACCAGAGAAACAGTAATAACAGCATCGACCAGTAGACTTTGCGCGCAACCAGAAAAGCCTTGTGTCTCCATGATGACGCGGCTTCTGCAGGAGGTAGCCTACATGACTCCCGTCCGTTAACTTGCAAGATGCTGCGCTGACCCCTTAGCTGGAGCTTAGCATGCCCTGTCCTCTTCCCTTGTACTACAATACCGGTGTATACTATCTACATATGAACGCATGGGCCCGGGTCCCGTTCCCGAAGGCTGTGTGTGTATCGGTACTGGTACCTACCTAGGTATTTCTCTGCAGGCGGGTTTGCATGCCGCAGCCGAGATGATATATAGGACAGGTATTGCCACGTTGCCAACGACCAAGTCATGATCCATATCCCTACTTACCTCCCTCTGACCGACTTTTGCCTCTCTCTCTGTGTTTCTCTCACACACTCTCGCTCTCGCTCTCGCTCTTTCTCCCTCTCCCCTCTTCCGTTCAACGTCAGCTGCACGGCCTACTGGCCGGTAATATCTCCAGTATTATCGACGAGGTGTGATTTTGAGGTTGCAAAGAGCCAAATCCCGATAAAATATCGCCACCACCCCAACTGCCGTGGAGCTTCAAAGTTCTTCTGGGCAATGGTGCGATGTATACATAGAAAAGGGTGTAGTAGTGTACTGTACAACCGGAAGCACGAGTCAGCTCGCTAGACAGACAGGTAGGCAGTCAACAGGTAGCCACAGCGATGGATCACCCGCACACTACGGTTGCATCTCATTCACCATTACCATCTTGTCGCTCACTCACTTGCTGACTTCCGCAGCCGTCACATCACATCACATCACTGCTCAACTTCAACCCGCGGGCGGGTTAAGTAACCAATCCAGCGCAGCGGGTCATCTTCCGGTAGATGCTTGGATAGACGAACGGAAGGACGGACAGCACCACATCTCTGGGCACCGGTGGGGGAGAGGGGGGGAGGGGGGAAAGGGAGGGAAGGGGGGAAAGGGGCCTCCATGTATACATACATATCCGTCTTCTTCTGCTTCATAGATGGTGGGTAAGACAGAGACAGCTCCATCTGCATGATTCATGAGCCGGTCGATGAATCTGAGCCCAGGCCGGAAAGGACGGCGGACGGGAATGAGCAGCTGTACGACCACAGCCAAGCGATGGGCTTGTCCAGGGTGCCGGGTGATTGGATGGGAATATCATAGGTACCTACTTAGAGGGTCGCCGGGTGGATGAGATGTGTTCTGCTGTGTTAGGGCAGATATTTCCAAGCCGTGCAGTCTGCAGGTATGCTGGCATACTGTACCTAAACAGCACTGAGCAGCAAAACATGACGTTCCGCAAACGTAAAAGAAAAACTTTTTCCAGTAAATGAAAACTTCTTTGTCCTCCTTGGTCAACATGGGCCATGAAATCATCTGATTGTTCTCAAGTCCCCAATCACCACTCAATAAAATCTCCGCCCACGCCGACCTGAAGGAGAAAATGAACAGATGTCATCCTCCCAAGAAGGTTAACAGATAGGCTACTTGGCAAAGGACGCCCGCTCAACCCAGCTCATGGCAAATACCCCCCCTTGTCCCCGCACCACGCCACGAGATCTCACCGGTCGGTCAGCGGGGTTTGGGAGCGTCGAGGCTAGTAGTGATACGAGATCGTTTCATACCACAGTAAAGTACGTAAATTTACGGTGAATATGCTGAGAAAATTTCCGATTGCATTCTTCGGGTTAGGGTTATACTACGCGATCCTTTATACATGGCTGATATCGTGGGTGTGGTGGCAACCCTGATGAACTACCTACCTCAACCCTCTTCTGTCTCAACAACAGTGTGCGTATGTACCTAGGTAGGTATATACCCCAGGTTTTCGAGAAAAGTGTCTTGGAATGCATCCGATTATATGGATTCATTTTTCTACCTATGTGCTTTAGGGGTAATTTTCACTACCGCTTTCCAAATTTGGCAAGCGGTCATATGGCAGGACGTGCACAGCCTAACGTTATTTACAGCAGAACTTTTACGTCAGTTTGAAAAGGAAGGAATCTCAAAAAACAAAAACAAAACAAAAAAAAAGAACATATTTAAAAGAAAAAAAATTCTATCAGCTGGTCAAGCCGCGTAGCAGGGCTCTCCAACTTGGCGGTTTCCTTCCCCGATGCTCTGCAGCCAAACAACGTGATCAGGCTCCACCATCGGGGAGGGCTGGGTTCAGTTCGTCGGTAGCTACTGTGTACTGGTTTGTTGCACCTCTTGGTTGCTTCCGAGACAAAACGTGTCAAAACATTTCTGGTACCGGGAATACTAATTGATTTTGATGATCTTCCCAGTTCAAGCATTTCATGGATGTTGGAGGATTCGCTTTACCTACATTGCAATCGCTGGGCAGATACCAACCTAAATAACCTTTCAAGTTATTCGAGTGCCGCGGAATACTCTTCCGCCATGCTCGGCGAGCGCAGCAGTCGGTGTTGCTAGGCTCTACATAACAGCATTGAGTGGGCCATGGACGACGAGAGCATGACGCGCGCTCTACTGAAATATGTAGCGAAGCGACAATCTCGCGGCGCCAGTTTTCGAGACACAACTCACCTCCGATGGTCTGCTGCAGCAGGCAGATAAACGGTCACGACTACCTGGGGTATACGACCTGCCCTGACTTGTGTAATTCATGAAGTCGCTCCGTATCCCGTCAATAAGGATAGAAAAGATTTTTTTTATAAAAAGTACCTATTCGTAGGACGTGCGGGAGCCAGCCAGCCAGTCAGGTATAGGCCCAGCAGGGCAGAAGAACCTCCTCCGCAGTAGTGCAGGCTGCACAGCAGCCACCGTCAGGTAGCATTCCGAGCGGACCGGGGCCCGTTCGAGTAGTCCCGGCGGCGGCGGCAGGGCAGCAGCAGCAACGGCAGGCGATTGCTGTTTCGGGAGGATCGTCGAGAGAGAGAAAGGGATACATCATGGTTGTTTCCCCAGGCGGTAGTTTGCGGTGACGGTAGTGTACGAGTGGGGGGGTGTGAAGGAACAAACAACAAGAAGATGATAGTATGTGTATGTATCAGTCGGTCCAAATATCCGAGAGCTGGTGACTCGTTGACAGGGGCATTGGTCCGGCATCCCTTGATTCGCCGCACGCGCCCGCTTGGGGGCAGTTCCATTTCGGGTTCTTCCCAAATTCAGACAGGGCTGGGCTGCTGGCCGGCTCGCTGGGGCTGCTGCTAGGGGGACCCTGCACTACTGCACACGCGGAGGGGTGTTTTGCATGGCAGCATGGGCAAGCATGAAGGCCTTCCCACGCGTTTCCACGCTTCCCACGCGCCTAATTCTTCACCGGTCGTTCGCTGGATGCATCATCCGGTCAGCAAGCGTGCGGACGTAGCGCCCGTAGATGGGAAACAGCAACATGGTCAACAAGCCGAGTCGATGTGGTGGCCGCCTTGATTGGCCATCATTGGTCATCTTCCCCCTTCCCCCCCCATGGCGATTTGGTGACGGCGATGGCCGTGGGCCATGTGCCCGCTCCATTGTTACTTTGGGGTGGTTTGTGAAAATGGCCAAGGCAAGGGAACAAGAAGGCCCAGCCGGACGGATGGTTGATCGAGACGAGACGAAACCAGACGAGACGGCGGACCGGTAGACGGCTTATGCCTTGTACCTTGTGCTGGAAAGAGGAAGAGCTGTGTTGCACGCGGAACAAAGCGTTATTACCCATGGAACCTCCAAGGACCCCATGGATAAAGAGACGTGCGACCGGCGACCTACCAGACCCATGATCTCATCTTGACGACTCTCGTGTCTCATATCTGCTCTGCTGTACACTATTTGTATTTGTGTATCTGGCCCCCAGTGTCCCTCTGTCGCGCCGGCCCTGTGGTGTTGATATATCTTTGTTGTCTTCTTCGCTTGTTTGAACATTCACATATCTACCCTCGCTCTTTATATATATATATATATATATATCTATATCTATATATACCAATACCACCACCACCTACGAAGCAAGCAGGCCGTGGGTCGTCCTGGCATCACAAACGCAAAAAAACAAGAAACACACACACACACACACACACAGAAAAACAGACTCAAGTCACCATGGGCTCGCAACCACAGGTGCTGCACGATCCTGGACCCGACGGGTCGCGACTCCGGGTGTCGATGGACGAGATTAACAGCAGCATGGACTTCCACCCGGCGACGGCGATCAGCATGTCATGCGGCACAGTCACGATAGACCTGGCGCGGGGTAAGGTCCTGGTCATCTGGAACAGCCGGCTCAAGATTTGGCAGCTGCCCAAGGGCCGGCGTAACATCTCCGAGAGCATGCTGGAGGCGGCATTGCGCGAGACGTACGAAGAGACGGGCTACCGTGCGACGCCGCTGACGCTGAAGATCCCCACGCGCGCATCGGCACCCACTCCGGCCGGCGTTAAGAAGCTGGCCAAAGACCCCGACATCACCGAGGGTTATCCCAGCACCGAGTTCATCGGCGCCTGCATCTACCCGGACCCGCAGTCTCGTACGCCGTCGCTCAAGATGGTCTACTGGTACGTCGCCACTGCCGACAGCACCACCACGCCGGACGCCGACACCCAGGAGTTCTGGGAGAAGCTGTCGGCGAAATGGATCCCCCTGGCCGATGCCCCATCCACCCTGCGCTTCCGCGCCGAGGCAGAGGCCGTCGCCCAGGCCGTCGAGATCGTTAAGCGCTCAGGACATACCATTGGCCATGAGTGATATTAAAACACCTCAATTGCGACTTTACGATCGACTAGAGACATTTCTATTTCCTTTCTACTCGATATTATTTTTTTTTCATTTTTCTTGATGCGTCTAGGGCAAGACTTGGTCGGGCAAAAGCTGGCACTTGGGAGTATGGTTTCGGACGGGTTAATAGGTGACTGGGGTTTGGCGAACGGCGACTGGCACGGTTGGCTGGGATTAAGATGGCGAAGTGGGCCGTGGGAGATTGACGAAACTGATGAAGATGACGAGAAAGGCCCTGTGCGTTGCAGAGCTGGGCTAAGCAGGGCGGGCGGGCGGGCGGACGAATACGATGATGGATGAATGATGCGGTATTGCGGCCAACACAAAGCAGTAACCTGTACTCTATAATGAATCATAAATGCGAAGCGAGCAATCCCGCGTAATGGAGAAGTAGATTAGCGTAGACAACGCGGCAAGCTGGCGGCGGCGGCACGTCGCAAAGCTGCTGGCTGCCGGGCACCGGTGTGAAAAGTTGTTTGGGGGTGTAGCGAAGCTCTCCAGCTTCCCACTCACCAGACTTGAGGAAGCGTCCCGAGATTTCACGGTCGTAAGGTTGGGGACCTTGCGATGAAGATGTGGATCCGCCCCAGCAAAAAAAAAAATGGATCTTGGCCCCATCGCGTCTGCGATTGGTCAGCAGCCGCCGAGTACTGGTAAGGGGCGGCAACGTCGACCGGCAACAGGCAGGGGCCCAACAAGGCTCGGCCAGGGCGAGGTAGTCGGTGACATCAGAGCCTGCCGGGCAGGAGCTACCCCGCATTGACAGGGGCATGATCGAAGAAGGTGGAAAAGGGCATCAGGTTGTTGGCGCCGCGCGCTTCGTGATGAGGAAGCTGCCGCTGGAGATAAATGAATTTCCTGATTGATGCCTCGATAGCTGCCAATCGCTTTGGCTCATTGTAGCCGCTTAGTAGGTAAACCGTAGCATTGTGTGTCCCTAGTCCCTCAGCTTAGAAAACAAGAACAAAAGATTCAGAATGGTGGTCAACCAGCTGCGCGCCGCGGCAGGCAGATCGGTTGCGGCCTACCCCGCACCTCAAGGCCCAGCTGCGTATGCCGCGGGATCTCAGTACGCCCGCCGTGTCTCCATCCCATCGAGCATCCACCGCGCTGTTTTTGCGCCTGCGCCCAGCCATCCCTTCGCTTCCAGCACTTGTCTCAGCAGCGTCCACCGCCTTGTGCACTCGAGCTCTGTGTCGTCTAGGACCCTAGGATCACAATCACAAACCGCCAAGATGTCGACTATGCCGGCTACCTGCGGCCATAATGAGGCCTGCTGCAACATCCCGCCCGTCGTCTGGCAGGGCTACTCGCCCAAGGGCGCCTACGACGAGGTCGACGGCCTGAAGACTTGTACGTGCTTCTCCGGATGACAATGCTTGTTAAGCAGAGCTGACAGGACCAGACGTCACTGGCCCCGAGGATGCCACCAAGGGTATCGTTTTGATCTACGACATCTTTGGCTACTTCGACCAGACCGTCCAGGGCGCCGATATCCTGGCCACCAGCCACGCCCAAAAGTACCGCGTCTTCATTCCCGACTGGTTCAAGGGCGAGCCATGCCCAATTGAGTGGTAAAGTTCAAGCCAGCCTCCTCCATCCAAAGCTTACAGAAGGGCTAATTTGACAGGTACCCGCCGAACACTCCCGAGAAGCAGCGCGACTTGACTGCCTTCTTCCAGAAGAACCCCCCTCAGGGCGTCGCTGCTAAGCTGCCCGAGTTCGTCAAGGCCCTCGAGGCCAAGTACCCCAACATCAAGTCCTGGGGTGTCCTGGGCGTAGGTCCTTCCCATCCCTTGTTCCCATACTTCGGTATTAACGCAACCATAGTTCTGCTGGGGCGGCAAGGTAGTTTCCCTCGTCACCTCGGGTGACGCCAATCCCTTCAAGGTTGGCGCTCAGTGCCACCCGGCCATGGTCGACCCGTCCGAGGCGAAGACCATCAAGGTTCCCCTGGTCCTCCTCGCCTCCAAGGAGGAGCCAGATGATAAGGTTAAGGAGTTCGAGGACAACCTCAAGGTGGCCGCCAAGCACGTCGAGACCTTCAAGGATCAGATTCACGGCTGGATGGCCGCCCGCGCCGACCTGTCCGACCCCCGCGTGCGTGAGGAGTATGCCCGTGGCTACCGCGTCGTGCTGGACTTCTTCGCCAAGAACTGGGAGTGAGTGGATTCGAAAATAAAAAGCCCTCTGAATAATTTATGTGGGAAGGGGCTAAACTGGGTTACTTTTTGTGTATCTAGTGCTTCGCCAAAGCTCTGAATGTTGTTAGAACGACTTATGAAGAACGACAATTGTAAATAAATAAAAAAAAAAACTGGGATGACGCAATCATTTGTATCATGATTTCACATCGAGAGAGTTGGACACACTAAATGATGGCCATGAGCCGGGTTAGAAGTGATCTAGCTTGCCAGATATAGCCCCATGTTGAGTTTTCACTGCTCTGATATGTACCTATACATGCTCGCTCAACTCGATGACATAATAATCGCCATCTGGATAACCAGAAGCCCTTAAAATGCCCACAAATGCGATGCCTGACCTCTCTACACATAGTAAATGCTACAAAAAAAAGCCCTCTCATCCCCCCCTTTCACTCAATGCCCATTCATTGCGACAGATGGGCATACTCGCGGTTAAATGCGCGACCAATGACCATCCTCCTGACCTCCGACGTGCCAGCACCAATCTCATACAGCTTAGCATCCCTCAAAATCCTCGAAGCAGGCATATCTTCCGTGTAGCCCATGCCACCCAGAATTTGGATGCAATCCAGAGCGCACTCGGTCGCGCGCTCCGCGGCATACAGAATAGCGCCGGCGCAGTCATGTGTCCGGATAACACCATCCTCATCGACCGCGCGCGCCGTCGCATAGGTATACGACCGCGACGCCTGCAACTTGGTGTACATATCGGCCAATTTGCCCTGGATGAACTGAAACTGCCCGATGGGTGTGCCAAACTGCTTGCGGGAGTGGGCATACGGCAGGGCGACGTCCAGCGCGGCTTGCATCAGACCCAGCGGGCCGGCGCTGAGCACGAGACGCTCGAGGTCCAGACCTTCCATCAGCACGCGCACGCCGCCGTTGACGGGGCCCAAGACGTGCGAATGGGGGACAAAGACGTTGTCGAAGACGAGTTCGCCCGTGTTGCTCCCGCGCATGCCCATCTTGTCTAGCTTACGAAGCACCGCGAAGCCTTTCGAGCCTTCGGCCCGAGTGTCCACAATGAACGCCGTGATCCCTTTGCTGCCCGCATCCGGCTTCGTCTTTGCATAGACAATTATGAGGTCGGCATCAGGCCCATTCGTAATCCACATCTTACTTCCCGTCAACAAGAACCCTCCCTCCGTCTCAACTGCCCGCGTCCTCATACTAACCACATCACTTCCGCTCCCACTCTCCGACATCGCCAACGCGCCCACCTTCCGCCCCGCAATCAAATCCGGCAAAAACCTCGCCTTCTGCTCCGCCGTCCCATTCAACTGCAGCTGATTTACACACAGTTGCGAGTGCGCCGCATAGCTCAGCGCAATGGACCCACTGGCGCGCGACAGCTCTTCCATAACGACACAGTGCGCCTGGTACCCCATCCCCAAACCGCCAACGTCCTCGTCGGCCGTGATACCCAGCAGCCCCGCGTCGCCGAGCTTCTGCCACATGTCCGCGGGGAAGTTGTTGGACTTATCGGTGGCCGCGGCAACTTCCTCGGGGATTTCGCGACGCACGAAATCTTGGACGCGTTCGCGCAGCTCGGCGAGGTCGGATTGGGAAGGGGGAGTGAAGCCTTTAGGGTGTTTGGAGGAGGCGTTGCGGCGTTGGGAGAGGGATGGGAGTATGGGTTGGAGTGAGGGAAGAGGGCGCGAGAGAGGGGCGCGCACCACGGTGCGGGAGAGGGTACGGGAGAGGGTGCGGGTGAGGGAGGACATGGCTGTGAGGTTGGTGATGTTGGAGGAGGAGGTAGTGGTGTGAGTTTTGAAGTCGTTGTATAAGTGATAAAACGCGGGGATCACCCGGTCTCCCAATTGACAGCTTAGCGGGGTAAAAGAGAGGTTAAGGATAGAAAGAGCGTCCTGAATGCAACTGAATCGCCCCTTCCAGGTCGTCAATGGGAGAAAATGAGGATTGAAAATGAGGAAAGAGAGTCGCGGCCTCGAAGGGAAGGAAGACGTTGCCCGGGTGCCCCTTCCCGTTCTAAGCCGAGCTCTCTTCCCGCCAGCCAGTGCCTGGATCGTCTGGTCCCTGGCAAGGCGGGCAGGTGGCATCAGAAGGGGAGTGGCATGTGGCCAAACGGCCAGGGTCCGGCTGAACGGTTTCGGCTTATAGCGGTTTACCGCGGGCCGGGGCCCTTGGCATCCCCTAAACAGACCCTGTTATAGGCTGACCGTCCCCAATCACAGCGGGCGTTCGGACGTCATTGGCGCGCTGATCCGTCGCCCCGGGAACCTTGAGAGCTGCTTGCGGCGGGGAGCTACCCCAGATCTGTGTGAATGTGTGAGTGACCCCTCCGCGTGAGCTGCAAGCTTAGGTCCAGGACCCTGAGATCGAGGGGACATTCACCGACCGGATTTTTTTTTGTTCCTTGGTTTTTTTTTTTCGCCCTTTCACTTGTTTCTTCTGTCCAGCAATCGACCCTCATGTCGCTCTCGACACAATCGCGCGAGATGCTGCGCCTCTCCCGGGCCCTGGGCCGCCAAACTGCCCGGCCCAGATCATCACCAACCTCGTCGGCGTCGCTGATCGCACCCCGCACCCGCACCTACCACAACCTCCCCCAACACGCCTCCCTCAACCACACAAAACACCAAGTATCAAACAAAAATGGCATCCTCGGGCTGGCCCCGACCACCAAGCGCACCGTCGCCACCTACACAGCCCCGCACCACGCCGACGCCATCTCCATCATCAAGTCCAACTTGGACACCAGTTCGCCCGAGTACAAGGAGAATGAGCGGCTGATGGCTGAGACCATGGCCAGGCTGGACGAGCTCACACGCAAAATCCAGCAGGGAGGCCCGCCAAAGGCGCGCGAGAAGCACCTAGCCCGCAAGAAGATGCTCCCCCGCGACCGGATTACCGCCCTCATCGACCCCGGGACGACCTTCCTGGAGCTGTCGCCTCTTGCTGGGCACGAGCTATACCCTGAGGCGGAGGTCCCTGCGGGAGGTATCATTACTGGAGTCGGCGTGGTCGAGGGCGTGACGTGCATGATCGTCGCGAACGATAGTACCGTGAAGGGCGGCACGTACTACCCGATTACGGTGAAGAAGCATTTGCGGGCGCAGGCGATTGCACAGGAGAACAAGCTGCCGTGTATTTATCTGGTTGATTCGGGCGGTGCGAACTTGCCGCATCAGGCCGATGTGTTCCCCGACAGAGAGCATTTCGGAAGGATTTTCTACAACCAGGCCCGCATGTCATCCCAAGGCATCCCGCAGATCTCGGTGGTGATGGGCCCCTGCACGGCAGGCGGTGCCTACGTCCCCGCCATGAGCGACGAGTCCATCATCGTCCAGGATCAGGGCCACATCTTCCTTGCGGGGCCACCCCTCGTCAAAGCCGCCACCGGCGAAGTGGTCAGTCATGAAGAACTCGGCGGCGGAAGGATGCACTCCTCCGTGTCTGGAGTAACAGACTACCTGGCCGTCGACGACGCCCACGCCATCACCCTCGCCCGCCGCTGCGTCCGCAACTTGAATTACCCCTCCACATCCTCCACCATCCCATCCCAAACCTTTGATGAACCTTTGTATTCCCCCGCCGAACTCAACGGCCTCGCCCCAGTCAACCTTCGCATCCCCCTCCCCATCCACGAAGTCATAGCCCGCATTGTCGACGGCTCACGCTTCGCGGAATTCAAACGTGACTATGGCACGACGCTCGTCACGGGCTTTGCACACATCTACGGCCACCGCGTCGGCATCCTGGCCAACAACGGTATCTTGTTCAGCAGCTCTGCGTTGAAGGGCGCACACTTCATTGAGCTGTGCGCGCAGCGCGGAATTCCGCTGGTCTTTTTGCAGAATATTTCGGGGTTCATGGTCGGACGGGATGCCGAGAGGGAGGGGATTGCCAAGAATGGAGCGAAGCTGGTGACGGCGGTGGCGTGTGCGGATGTGCCGAAATTTACGGTCGTTGTCGGAGGCAGTTACGGGGCAGGCAACTATGGGATGTGTGGGCGGGCGTATAGCCCGAGGTTCTTGTGGATGTGGCCGAATGCTAGGATTGCTGTGATGGGGAGCGAGCAGCTCGCGAGTGTCATGGAGACGGTTGGGTCAGGGAAAGGGGAGAATGGCGGGTTGAGGGAGAGGATTGAGAAGGAGAGTGAGGCAGTTTATTCTTCGGCTAGGTTATGGGTGAGTTTTTTTTTTTTTTCCTACGGCGCTCTTACATTTCTTTTCTGAGGTTTCTTCGTTGCTGACATCCTCTAGGACGACGGCGTCATCCCTCCGGCGCACACACGCAGGTACCTCGGCCTGGCCCTCAACGCTGCCATGGGCGGCCGCAACGCGGTTGAGCCGGGCCAGACTAAGTTTGGCGTTTTCAGAATGTAGAGTATTTCGGCCCATCATTCATGTGAGCATACAACGTTTTGGTTACGCGGTTATAGAGTCTAATATTTTCTTGGGCTGTGTACTGTGTTATTACTTGAATTGTGATAGATGGCAATGTGTATGGTGTCTTGAGATGAATGTCCAGCTGATATATATATATATTTTTCCTGTCATAAAATGTTCCATCGGATAGGCAGTGTGTTGAATCAAGCAGCTCCCAGGTTACATGGGTGTGAAGCTTCCTCTCCTATTCTCTCAAAAGAATTGAGGGATCCCCTGCGCCATATGGCAAGCGCATAAACTAGACCAAAGAAGCTAGTTATCTTGAGATCCTGATGATAATAGCCGCCTATACTCTCAACGTATCGTCCAGGATTTGTCCTCGTGATCTGCTACCAGCGGGGCTCGTTAACGGTTCTTCGAGATACCCAACTCCAATCAAGCTGTTCGGACTGCCCCTCATTCATTACCTTCTCCACATTTGGGTTTTGTCCTCCATGGTTTTCTGTACTACTGGACAGAGAAACATCATTATTGCCTTACCTTTTACTTAGCAACCTTCTCAAACATTCAAGGGAAATTTTCCACAACAGCGGAAAACACCACAGCCGTAGCTTCTCTCTCTCTCTCTCTAACTCCTTTGCTTCTCCGCACACAGTTCCAGTTCGACTTAGCAATATGGAAGACAAACACTCGAGCCCGAAGCTTGAGAAGGAAAAGAAGATGTCCTCCTCCTCCTCCTCCTCCTCCTCCTCCTCCTCCTCCTCCTCGGTAAGCATTTCTCTCCATTATTGTCCCTTTTTCTTGTCCTTAGGGCTCGGGTACTCCTACCTGGATACTTGGCAGATTGGTTGGGCTAGAGGTTGGGCTGTCTCAAAGATCCCCACACCGGCCATTCGGCTGGGCCTCCACTTCCCGATCCATCTCCTTCGGCAGACCGGCTCCGGATCTTGGGGGTTCTCCGCATCCGTTATCCGTGCCGTGTGTCTCCACACCGGAGGATCTAGCTAGTCTCGAGGTATCATCCTCGTCTCCGGACGGGGACAGGTCAGGAGCCGGTAACGAACTGGCAGCACCGGCGAAAGCTCCCAGTGTTGGGGCATGTCTCCATGGTGGCTTTGTTCTCATAAATTGGAGGCTAGCTCTCCGAGAATGAAAGGCTGACTCTGTATGAGATTGGGAAGCAGACTGAGCAATCCCCCAAAGTCAAGCCACAAGCTCAGCCAGGCCAGCAGCAGTCTCAACAGGTTGAGAGAGAGTACCCTGAGAGGGTTAGACCGACTGAACAGGCTGAGCGGGCTGAACCATCCCAAAAGCCCGAGAAAACAGAGCAAGCCCAAGCCCAGCAGACTTTGTCAACTCAACAGATTCCTTCTCAAGTCCACCGTCCCCCTCCCACCCTCCCAGCCTTCTCCCTTCAAGGCAAGGTCATCGTCGTGACGGGTGGAGCAAGGGGTCTAGGATTGGTTATGGGACGTGAGTACCCCCACCCTTCCTCCTCCTTAATTATTCCCAGTTTTTCAGTATCATCTTTGCAACTCAGTCCTCGATCGATAATCCCCATAGATCAATATTTTCTCAGGGTGCTTAACCCCTTCAGGCCCTTGATAATGAACGAGGGTTGTCAGTGTTTGCCTACCAGTCGACTAACCTAACCCCCCTTCCCATACAACAGAAGCCATCGTAGCCAGCGGAGCCGACCTAGCCATAGTCGACATCAACGGTACCTTTCTCCCTCCCCCCCTTTTCTCCCAACCCCCATAGCGCCTCACTGACCCCTTGATGGAAAAGGCGAAGAAGCTGCCCGCCAAGCCCACCTCCTTCAAACTCATTTCCAGCAGCACCCCCCCTACGGCTCCCTCAAAACTCCGCACATCACCGCCCACCAAGCCGACGTGTCCTCCCCCACAGCCGTGACCGCCTGTATTGCAGAGATCCTAGCTTCTCATGGCGGGCATATTGATGGGCTGGTCACGTCGGCTGGGTTTGTCGAGAACTGGGATGCGGTGAGCTACCCCGTGGAGAGGATGCGACGGTTGTGGGAGGTGAATGTGGATGGGACGTGGTTATTTGCTGTGGAGGTGGCGAGGCACTTGGTATGTCTTTATTTTTATTTTTATTTTTATTTTTATTTTTATTTTTATTTTTTCCCTGATTTCCTCCCTGATGTGTTGAATGTTGGAACTGGAGCTGGGGAAGTGCTAATAACTAACTGAGGGAAACACAGATGCAGCGCAAGGCGAAAGGGAGCATGGTTTTCATCGGGAGCATGAGCGGTTCGATTGTGAATGTGCCGCAGGCTCAAGCGTAAGTCCCCCTTGTCTCTGGATAACGAATGATTTTCTATGAGAGGTTAACACCCTCCATGACAGACCGTACAATGCATCCAAGGCTGCTGTCCGACAGCTCTGTGCCTCGCTGGCCGTTGAATGGGCTCCCCATGGCATACGTGTCAACTGTATCTCACCAGGGTACATGTTGACTGATCTGTAAGGTTTACCCCTCTCATGTTATCCCTCTCTCACATTGACTATCCTGGACTTCCCTACCTCCACTCAGAGAAAGCCGCTCGTGATCATCTCCACTAGAGAGATAATTACATCCGCACTTGGATGTCGATAGACGCATCAAGACTAACTCATGGCCCTGGAATAGAACAAAGAAAATCCTCGACACCAACCCCCACCTCAAAGAGAAATGGACTTCAGGCATTCCCCTCGGGAGAATGGGTCAGCCACACGAGCTAACTGGTCCGGTAACCTTCCTCCTGTCAGACGCATCAACCTACGTGACAGGAGCCGATCTCCGGGTTGATGGAGGATACACTTGTATCTAAGTTAGGGCATCCGAGGCATCAGGCTCGAGCATGAGGAGTATGACTAGGGGTTTGGCTCAGCCAGGCTGCGGCTCAGGGCAGGGAGGAGGAAGAGCTTTGACAGCTAGAAGAGGACAATGAGGCTGTGATGATGGAGCAGAGGCATAAACAATGGTTGCCTTCATGCTCAATGGTAAGCAAAATGCGATTTGAGTTACAGCATCATGAACCCATTAAGCACCAATTCACAGCTTCATTTCAACTGCTCCCAACTCCCCAAATTCACTTCCAAGGATGGCCGATGGTGCCTCAGCCAGCCAGGTTCCCGTTTCCTTACCAATACTGACAATCCCCCTGCTGCATAACCAGTATGAATGCAAAACATGCTTCTCTCCACGGTCTCAGCATGTGACCTGCTGTCACGCTTAAATTGAACAGCGCCAAGGGGAGGAGAATGTATGCATGTCTCATAGCCACCCCGCATCTTAAAAGTACCATATCCACACCAAAGAGAACAAACGGAAAGCAGTGCCCCTCTTTCTCGGCTACAAGGGGCTTGTAAAAACTGGGAAATACTGTCAAAAATATAAGTACACTTATAAGCGTCCATGCATGGCAAACGCAACTGATGCAAGATGTAGATCGGATCTACAGGCTCGCCGATCATGTTACACAGCTAAAACTTTGGAGGGCCAAGCTGGCGGTTGAAATATCACCGACGGCGAAACAGCGAAAGGGAAAAAAAAAAAGACTAGAATGACGTCGTATGAGGAGGATGCTAGGATTAGTGGAAGGAGACAAGAAATACCTAGCTCGACGTATTTGTCAGTTCGATATGTATGTAGATGTAGCAGCTGACCTCTTTTCAACCAATTGGCCAGGGGCTCTGATTATGCACCGTGGAGAGATCTGCTGCCCAACTGCCATCAAACCCGGAGATGGCCACTCCGGAGTTCGTACGTGCAATAAACAGTAAGACAATTCATTTGTGAGAGCCTACAGGATACTCGACTCCATCCCCAAAGCCATAACAGCGTAGGCTGAAAAAAAAAAATCTCCGAAATAGAATGGCATGCAGCGGCCCGCAGCTTGCAGTTACAACCCACAAGCATCGTTCTTCTCGGGCCGTGTCGTCCCTAGATCCTGCGGCGACATCGGGCAGCAGTGCTCTGCGGGAATCAGGTCACAAGACCAGACGCATAATGGCCCGGGCCTGGAGCTGACACTACGTCTCAACAAACTACGCGGTATAAGCCTGAAACTCAGCCTTTGCTTCAAAGTTTGTCCCCTCACGGGAACATGGCAGCGGACCAGCGGCCCAAGCCTCCCCACAACGGACAACAGTGAGCCGTGAGTCTCCCTGGCCAAGCGGTCGGCACGGGCTCGCTTGCTTGTGCTTGGGTTGGCCGCTGATCCGTCCGTCGAATTCCAGAGAGAGCTGTCGGGTGAAGTGCGCCGTGCGATTGGCTCTCGCCTAGCCATTTTGGGCCATCTCATGGGGAACCCCTGCACGAGAGCTCTCCTTCCTCGTGGTGATTTTCCGGGGTTTTAGTGGGGCGGGACTATGAAAAGTGTGGCCAGAGTCGCTCGGTGTTGAGGCACCGAGATCGTCGGGTCGGGTCGGGCTTGTCACCGTCGGTGCACTGCTTCGGTGCTTCAATAAATTTTAGCCGTACCGTTTTGATGTTGTCAATGGTGTTTAGATAGCGAAAAAGCAAGTTGAACAGCAGGACTGGATAGGGTTGATGAGAGGTGGCGTTGGCCGAAGCTGGGTCCCGACGGCAAGGGGCATTTTGCGTTGCTGTTCACCGCTGTCCCAACCTTGAACATGTCCGACCTGAAGTTTTTACCTTTCCCCAGCTCCCATCCGCAGCATCATAGGTCGCAGACGGTCACGGACCCGAAACCGTGGCTTGCGTCACGGCCGTGATGACCTGCCCTAACCGCTCACCAAGCCCGTCCCAGCCACCATCCCGATCAAGCCGACGTGGGGGTTGTATTCCCTTCTCCAGCTCTGAACGAGGTTGGATGTCCTCATGAGAAGCAGAAGAGAGCGTTATCACTTAATAAGTGTTTGCGCTCGTGGCAGAGGATATCGAGTGCCGAGCCCTCAGCCTTGGAGGGCTGCAGTTGCTTATTGCGCGAGTAGCCGATGAGTCGCAAGGTATTTTTTTTGAATGTGTGCGGCCAAGCAGGTGAGGGGCCCTGAGTGGCATTCATCCCACGTGTCTCCATTTGGGGTTGAAGTCTGGGAAAGCCGGTGGTCTCGTGATAACTATGCCGTCGGCGATACTGTACATACGTTATGCTGCGGGCAAGTTAGGGCAGCCAATTGCATTACCCGTTGTAAACTGGAAATATGCTGACCATCGGCTGCTTGGACGGGTCCAGAAGAGTCATGTTGATGGTTTGATGTCTGTTTTGCAGATACAATGGTGATGGCTAACAAACGCTGAGGACTCAAGAGAGGTTTGAAGTCAAAGTGTGGGCGGACTTAAACGGAGTATTAACACCGCCAAAAGTCGTGCAAAAGCCCCCTGTCAAACGGTTTCGATTACGCTCAAAAAATGGGGTACAGGGCCTAACCCTGGAACCCTATGCCCTACTTGTATAGAAGGAGCCCCGGAGACTGGACCCAGCCAGAAGGAACGTTGGGCTCACTTCCAAGTTGGGTCATGATGGTCATTCGCCATGAGCTGTGATAACTTTAACCCTTGATGAATCCCTGCGACTTGCAACTTCTGTCGTACCAACAACGCCAGGGACAGCTTGGCAATTGGGTGCAAGGCACAAGTGCTTCACGTTGTGCTGTTTGCCTGACTGCCTAGCTTGATTCCGCGTTCTACTCCTTCTTCTTTCGAGTCGAGCTCAATCTTAAAAAAGAGTTTCTCTCGGTCAGTCCATAGTCGGTGACCACTGACCGTGGCGGCCCAAAGAGAAAGACAAGCTGCAGTCCGGACAAGGACAAGGCTGACTTTGTGCTCATCTGTGTGCGCTCTCATGCATATGCGTACAGCATCGCATTTGTGCACGTTAGGGTTCGCATTTGCAGCTTCCCGGCCCTGACGTGGCTTGACACTCAGTTAAGCTTTGACCGTCGTTGGTCGCCCTCCTCCAGTCGAGCGTCTTGTCCTAGAGTCTGGGTGACACGCACAGGAACGCGTCCAGCTCCCAGTCCGTCTCGACATAGTGTCAAGGGATGAAGAAGATAGCGTCTCAAACCATCCTGACGCCCTATCCTCTACTTCTAATTGGTACGTGCCTGCCAACATTACGTGGTATCCCTTCATAATGCTTATTGGACTCCCAGACAAAGGAAGCCAGCTCTGCCCAAGGTAGTGGCGCCTTGTCCCCAGATTATTGACTGTCTTTCTTTCGTCCACTCGCGCCTTGTCTGTCAAATTGAAATATTCAGACTTGGAACAGGCGTCCTCATTGACAGGCTGGACTGGATCCATCCTCAGCCTCGAGCCCAAAAGCCAGGCCCAGCCCCAGACCAGGGAAGGCTAAGGCGGTGACGTGGTCATCCTTCCAGAATCTGAGACGCGTCCCGCTTTGCACACCTTGCCCCAGCTCAGTTCGTCTCACTCGCCTTGCCCTCCTAGCTCTCCTCGCAGACCAGTGAAGGTGGATATTCCCCATTCATTCCCCTCTCCCCCCACGTTTCAAGGTGTCATCTCTCGGCAAGCCCATTGTCCACGTCCCCGGATCCTCCATGCAGGCCATTCTAACGGTCCTCTGATATCCAGAGCTTGTCCTAAGCACCATCCTTTGAGTCTTACACCGAGAGAAGATCCAGGGATCCCCACTTTAAACGGTTGCCTGGCCTGCCTATGACCTAGTGCTAAGGCCGTAAGGCTCAAGAGCACGTCGTGTGTGAGCTATGGTCCTTCACCTTCTCCAGAGCGCTCGCCACTCTCCACACGCAGCCATTCCAGCTCGGACGGCGAGCATCAGCCATAATGAATCCTGTATTCCCCATTGGGCCGGCCCTGCCCGTCGGCTTTTTTGAGAACACTCAAGAAGTCTATGCCGAGATTGCCAGCTACCCCGTCGTCCCTCCCGAGAAGATCAGACAGTACTGGAATGGTAAGATTGCCGTGCTCACGTTGCTAACATGTCACTAATTCCGAGCCCAGTCTATACGACGACGTTCCGGAGACTAGTCGATCCAAGCGCCTTTCGTTTGGAAAACTTCTGGTGGCACGTATGGGGCAGCGACAGGCGCAATCTGAGCGGGCCAGCACTTGCGAGACTGTTCCGAGAGTTCTCGACAGGTCCGACTATTGTCCCTCTCCAGCCTCCTCTTCGGCCGCGGAAACAGGTATGCTCTCGATGTATGAGGGGTTCACGATACCATACTGACTACCAAGCAAAGGCTCCAAGCCCGCAGGCTGCACCACAGGCCCCTCAGTCCCCAGTCGAAGGCCCAAGAACGGAGATTGGCGAACCTCCCGGAGCTGAGCCGGTCACAACTGAACCTGCCGAAGCCGTTGTCTCCAAGCCCGAGCCTTCCAAAGCTGAGGAGAAGCCCACGTCACGTTCACCTACAAAGCCAACAGCACCTCCTTCGATTTTAAAGAAGGCTAGGGCACCTTCGGCATCAGGGAGGAAACCATCCGCAAGGTTCGCGTCACCTCCTGTCAGTGATGATGGTGAACGGTCTGAGACGGAGGCTGCCAAGGCTGAGAAGGGTAAAGATGAAAAGGCTAAAACTGAGATGCCACCGCCTCCCCTACCTCCTAGGAAGGGAAAACAGCCTGCTCAACCCATCCCCGAAGAGGCGCCAAAGCCAGCTCCTACCACGACTGCAGCGACAGAACTAGTCCCGCCCTTGCCCCTAGCTGCCCCTCCTAAGAAGCCACGGCCTCTAAAGGTCAAGGGTGGTCACAAGAAGATCGTCGTTGCTACCGCGGCTTCTAAGAGAAAGCCCGTCCTTGTCCGCAGGGCCGGTTCACAGTCTTCGACTGGCTCTGACTCTGAGTCTCGAATGCCCGTGCCTCAACCGCAGTCCCAGAACTTGATGAAAAAGAAACAGCCCTTGACAGCCTCACAGCTGCTCGGCCAAGGATCGGTGTCTCCAGCCATGCAACTGACCCAACCAAAGACGCCATTGGCGCCGCTGAAACCGTCGGGGAAGCCGCCTGTCGTGGTCCAGGGAGAGCCATCATTAACAGTTGAAGGCGTGCCGCTGCCGAGGACGACAGTAGCACAACCATCATCATCATCATCATCATCATCATCATCATCATCATCACCACCACCACCACCACCTCCTCCTCCTCCTCCTCCTCCTCCTCCTCCAAAGCCAGAAACGAAGGCGACAACAATACCAAGGAGAACTTCACAATCAAGTGACACTTTTCCAGATCCTTCGAAACCCCTTAGCTCCGTCGCAGGGCCTTCGAAGCCAAAGCCTCAACCTGCTCCTCAGCCCTCAATGAGCTCATCGGTGAAGGATTATGCCCTTGGCACGAAAGTCCCCCACACTAGGGAGGAGCGCGAACGGGTTCAGCAACCTAAGCCTGCTCCTCCTCCAGTTGCAGGGTTTGTGAGTGAAGCATTCTCGAGTAGAGCCAGAGCTCCGCTTATGTCACGAACTCTTTCTACGGAACGCCAAGCCCGTCCGAAACCATCGGGCGGCGTGCTGGCGCTGCTCCCGGCTAGAGCTACGAGCAGTGTCTGTCTCGACCCAGCCCTGGCCAAGGCCCAGTTCGATATTCACCCCATGACGGAGCCGGCTATCCAGCAGACCAAAGACCTTCCCGATGCCGAGAGGGAAGGAGGCAAGAAGGTGTCGCCAGTGCTGCGTGACATGCCCTTCAAGCCTACGCCCCCTAGCACTACAGAGAACATACCGTTTGGCCGGACCAAGAGCGAACTCACTGTTATCCTGTCGCGCGACAAGGCACGCTCATAGACGCGCAAGCTGTCGATCTCGCGACTCATTCGGAAATTCAAAGGGAAGGATGAGGAGGATAAACAGTTTGAGGTGTTGGAAGGAGTGCTGAAGGATCTTGACAAGATTCGGGAGAGCGCTCATGCTGGCGGAAGCTCGTCACAAGCCCATCAGCGTCCCCGTGCCCCGCCCCGGAGACCCAGCGGCATGGAGAGCCCTGTTTTGGATGAAATCTTAGCCCAGATCGAAGGCACGCCGCTGCCCGAGTCCCAGGCTTTTTTGCCCAGTTATCTTCGTGAAGAAAAGGGTTTCAGCCCCTCTCCCACAAGCCACTACTCCGAAAGCGAGTCCCTGCTCGAACTCTTGCGTTTCGATACCACCGAGGTCCCCATCCGCCCCGGCAGCCGCATCCACGGGGAACCCGAAATCCAGCCCCGTCGCCGTGCCTCGCGCGACTCGAGTCCTAGAGGATCCGAAAAGCGCTTCCGAGCCTGGATTCGTTCCCATGAAAAGGGCGATATGCCGCACACGGCGCTAGAAGACACCCTCGCGGACCAGGCTACTCACGCCATAGGCTCCCAGGCCCACTTCCCCTCCACCCCGACCGGTCTGGGCACGCGCACCGACCCCTGGGCGCAGCTGCGGGCCGGAAGAATGGCGCATGGCGAGGTGGAAGAGTACACGCACGTTGGGACGGCGTACATTCCGGAGGTAATTCCCGAGGTGGGAGAGTCGGTTGAGGAGAGCGAAGGGTTTGACCCTGTGGTGTTGGAGCACATACAGGGGCGGCTGGACCGCGAGTCAAGGTTTGGGCGGATGTTGAGGAGACGCTGGTCGTGTCCTGGGCTGTTGGCGGGGAGGACGCAGGAACGGTTCAAGGGGAAGGGGAAGGCTGTCGAGAGTGAGGAAGAGGGGGGGAGTGGGAAGACGAGCCTGGAGGAGCTGAGTGACTATCAAATTGATTTGAGTTGGCGATCTTGTTTGGTTTCTGATCATTACCTATGGCGCTACGTTACGTTTCACGGCATAGCGATTGGCGTTTGGCAGCAGGTTGGGCTTTCGTTTTCGTTATTATTATCCCTACTCTTTATGTTTAGTTTTTTTTTGGGGGGGGGGGGGAGGGGCATGGCGTTTAATGCGTGTTTGATACCTGTTGGCGGACGAGGTGTCTAGACCAGCGAAGTTTTGACAACATTATCTTAGTTTTGCCTCACTCCGGCTCATTAAGTGACGATGAGGATGATGGTGATAAGTCATTAATACCTTCATTCATTATGTACTATTACTAAGTACCATACCCAATTGATTTAATTGTGTATCCTGTACCATCCTATCCAGACCTGTCCTGGAGAATCCTGTCTACAAAAAAAAAAAACCAAACTCCTCCCACCCGGCGCATATCTATCCTGTCATACTTCAGAATGAGTGAGAATTCCTGTCAGTATCAATATCAACCTCACCTTGCCTTTGTGTTCAAAGGAAGTCATCGACTACGTACCCAAAATTCACCTCCCAAGCATAAACACATCACCAGTAAAAAAAAAAAAAAAAAAAAAAACCTAGAACTTTCAGGTCCTCTGTCCTATCCAACCCAATGACCCCAATCAAATCATTCACTCCCACCCCCTCCTCCTTCTCAACAGCAAACAATATAGAGCTTCTAACCCTCGAGTCTAAACATCCGCCTCAACTTCCCAAAACGCTTCTTTCTCTCCCCACCACCAGAAGAAGACACCGTACCTGCTATGCTACCCGCCCCTGAGACACCCCCGGTAGCGACATCAGTGTTTGATCTTCCAACATCGGGGATGGGTCCCATGAATGAGCCGGCGTCGCTAGCTGCTGCTGATGGGACCGCGCTCCCTGTGTTATTGTTATGTCCCGAGAAACTGGGTAATACCAACGATGACACCCTCCTTTGTTGGACTTGCTGTGGGGGGTGTTGACTACTTGTGCTGTGGGAAAAGCGTGGCAGGCGGAGGGAGCCTCCTGTGTGAGAGGGTCTGGTAGGGGGGGGGTTGGTGGCGAGGGTGCGGGTGCCGAGGTTGGCGGAGGATGCTGCTGGGCCGGAGGGGATGGAAGAGGAGGTACCGGTGCGTTTGAAGAGGGGGCGAAAGATGGATGGGGAGGGGGGTTCAGGGGGTGGTTGTTGTTGTGGTTCGGGCTGTGGTTCGGGTTGTGGTTCGGGTTGAGGTTGGGGCTGGGGCTGGTCTAGGGGTTGTTGGGGTTCGTCCTGGACGCTGAGAGTTGGGGCAGCATTCTCGGCACCAGCAGGGCCAGCATTCTCCCCGCTGACAGCTCCCTGAACCTCCTTCTCTTTCCCCTTCCCGCTCCCCCTCCCCCTCTCCCTAACCGACTCACCCCTCTTAATCCGCTTCTGCAACTTCCCTTTCTTTCCCGACACAGCCTCCTCAACCTCCGTACTCACCTCCTCCTGCTCCCCCTCCCCTTCCTCCTCCTCCCTAATCTGACTCTCGCTGCTCCCACGCCTAATCCTCCTCAACTCCCTCACATCCCTCTCCAACCGTGTATCCCTCCTCGCAGGACTCTCGATCACCTCCGGCCGGACAATTTTCCCCGCTCCGTCGACAGAAGAGTCATGTTTCTTGCGCTGGAGATGCAAAGGGCGCAGCACAGAGATGAGGCTGTTGCGACGCTTCTTCGTGGTACCTGGGGACCGTTTGGTCGGGGTCGTATCCACACTCTCCGCACTAGGGATGGTGGTAGCAGTGGCAGCGGAGGGGGTAGATGGTCGATCAGGGGCAGGCAGCTGTCCCCGGCCGGAACGGCTTCGCCGAAGGGAACGATCAAGTTTCTTCACTGAGGAGGGGGAGGACACAGCAGCCGGCGGGGGCTGGCGCTCCTCTTTAACAGACGAATCCGACTCTTCCAGCTCTTCTGGCAGCGCCGTGCTCGCCACAGAACCAGTTTGACTCCTATTCGGGGCGTCAGCCCCTGCCATGGCAGCAATGCCCGCTGCCCTTGCCGCACCCGACAAGACGGGCACTGCGTTAGGAAGAGGCTCGTCATCACTTGAATCCTCAAACCGACTTCTAAACCCAGACTGTACACCGTCGTCCTCATCGTCACTCGAATCGGCGAACCGGCTCGCGAACTTCTTTGGCCCAGACGCCTTTACGCTGCTGGACTGGCTCTTCTTCCCGCCGTACGAGAGACCAGGCAGACTTGGTAGGCGTAGACCGAGGGGGCTCTTGCCTCGGGGCTTCTTTTTCTCCCCCGCTGAGAAGGATGCTGACCTCGCTGGAGGGGGCCTGGAGTTATCGCGGAGAGTTTTGCGCATCTGTCCTGGGGCGAGCTGCTCCTCAACCTTCTGCATGGGCGAAGCACCCGGGCTTCCAGCAGGAGGGGCACCCCGGAGCGAAAGCCGCTTGAATGGACGGTCGGCTTGAGCCTGAGCTTGCTCAGCGAGAGCAGGGGAGTTTTCACGCAGCGAGTGACGGAACCCAAGGCCATACGACTTGTTGGGGCGCGAGCGCTTGAAGCTGCTATCGCTGCCGGTCGAGCCGCGGCGCTGGAGGGGGACGATAGATTGGGTCGAGACGTCGAAACTGGGCTCGGGCTGGGTTGCTGAGCGTCGATGGTTGGTTGCTGGTTCGGGGGCCACAGCAGCCGGAGCGGTAGCTTCCACCTTGCTAGAGCCATTTGTCCTGAGGCTCGATCGCAACTTAGTCCCCGAAGCTTGAGCCGGCGCCGGTTGAGCGTCGCGCAGGGTACGCTTTATCGTAGATGTGGACGTAGAAGCTGACGCAGCAGGCTCCTCCACAGGTTGCGAAGAAGCAATCTCCTTCTCCTTGGCCTGCTGCGCCATCATCTGCTGCGCCAGCTCGACCGCGCGTGCCCTGCGCTCCAAATCATCCCAGACAACCGACTTTTGCGTTGCTTTCTTATGGGTAGTGGGTGTAGTGGATGGCTCGGCTTTCTTCCCGTTGGCCCCGTTGGTATCGTCGTTTCCATCCGGTCTATCCTCCTCCAGCTCCCTCGCAAACTGCGCCCTCTGCTCCGGCGTCAGACTCTTCCAAAACGCCTTCAGCCTCTCCCACTCCTCTTGGGGACTTGTCAACGAGGATGGCGTCCCAACCGCCGTGGTAGCCGACGACACATCCGTTTGCAGCTTGAGGGCTTGCTCAACCGGTTTCTGAGAGGGCGTTTCCGCGGATGTCCCAGCAGGCTTCTGAATCTGAGCGGTCGCCTGCGAAGAAGCACACTGAGTAGAGGTACCGTCTTGTAAGCCAGCAGGCTCCTTCGTCCCCATCGGCCTCTCCACAACAGCATCGATCGACTGGAACCCGGCGCCATCAACATTTGCCAGAGTCTCGTATGCATCGGCGTAGATACTCTCTGCATCACTCGACGACTCATCATCTGCTTGAGTCATCGTCTCCTGGGGAGTGTTGTTCTTTAGCTTCTCCTCCGCAACACTCTCTTCTACAGGCCACATGCTCCCCGCAACCGACGAGGCCGGCTCCGATTCACTATCCGGAAAACCGCCAGGTAAATCCTTCAACTGGGGGCTTCTTGCTTCAGTCTCTTTCGCAAAAACAAGAGGATTCGTCGTCAAACGAGCCTCACCCTCCGACGAGGACTGTTGCTGGTCCCGGACCACCTCTACTGCAGACAGACTATCAGCGGGCACCGCCGAACCATTAGCCGCACCAAGCAGTCCGCCCTCCTTCACAACGGCAAATTCCTTTTTCGGCGAAATCGGCGTCGGCTCATACTCCGAATCCAACAGCGACGAGGTATCGCTCAGGAACCCGTCACCCTCTCTGCTAGTCACAATCGGCGGGAGGGGCTCCCTCACTTTGGAAGTATTCGCCTCGTTCCTTGACGGCTGCGGCAGTTGCTGTGGCTGCTCTTGTGCAGCAATAACCCCACCGATGACATGATCACCACTCATCCCAAGCACAACACTCGGCCCGGAGCTACGTCCCTGATGAGAAGGCTTGCTCTGTATCTTCGGCTTGACAACTAGCGGCCGTTCCTCCTCAACCGTAGATGTGTCCCTCGGCTTCTTGTCCCTCACACTCCCGAAACTAGGCAGCGCCGGCCGCGGGCCCATGACACCCTCATCTGCGTCAAGCGCCGACAAGTCCTTGTTTGAGCGTCTCGCGAAATGACCGAGCCAGCTGTGCCGACTCGAAGGTGCCGATGACGAGTCGCTCCTGCTCTTGGACTCATGGTGCTCCTCGTCTTTGCCGGGCATGGTCGTCTCGTCGTCGAAGCTGACACGGACAGATTTCTTTCTCGTTGCAGGGGCAGCAGCAATGTCGTGGGTAACGCTACCCGACGCCTCAGATCCGTCAGCGCCACCGGCTGGAGACATACCGCGCGGCGAGCTGGTGCTATTCTTGAGCGCCGACTTCCTCGGTGAAGTCGACCTCGGCGGGGGTGAATGCCTTATCGTCGGATTATGCTCTTGCACGGCGGTGCTGAAGTGAGCGTGCCGCACGGGACTGTTGGAGTGGGTCCTTTCCCGAGCAACCTGCGATGTCCTGCTGTTCTCCCTACACTCCTCCTCCTTCGCAACCTGTGCAATCTCAGAGTCGGGCACGGGCATCGGCTCGATATCCGCCACCGTCGCAACAACCGATATCTGCGACACCCTCGCGGGATGTGTGACACTAGCCGTCGACGTCCGTGATGGCGATCTCCGAAGGTGTGTCACAGGGCTTCCTTGGACCGGCACCCTCGTTCGGCGGGGGACTGAGTCAAACGCATCGGCGATAGCTTCAGACGAAGTCGTTTTGGTCTCAGTCTTGTTGTTATTATCATCTTCCGACTCCCCGGGCTCAGGAACCTCGCGTACGACAGAGGGCAGTCGGCGGACCATCGGCCGGGGCATTTCGAGGGGCACGGTCGGTTGTACAGGGACCACTACTGGGGGCGGCGCTGGGGAGGTTTCTACAATCGGCTGAGTGTGTTGATCGACCTGGGTGATGATCACTGATGTCGCCGTGGGAACTTGGACAGAAGCAACTACCCCCGGATCTTGCGCAGGTATTTCGGCAGGCTGCGAGAGCTGCGATTGTTGCGAAACAACCGACTCCGTGGAACCCTTCGGGCTGTGAGCAGCATCAATTCTTGACCGACGCAATGTCCCCGCAGCAAGAACCGAACCCTCCTTCCGAGCCTTCTTCTTCCGTTTTGTGATTGGTTGTTGAGCGGCACCAATTTGCTCCAGCTCCTGTTGTAGAGCTCGTAGTTCTGATTGAGGGACCATCCTCCTCGAGTTAGGGTCGTAGACGAGGACCTGGTCATCAAGAGTTGGGATTGACTGACTCGAAGCGGACACCGTGGTGGCCTGGGCAGTTTGTGACACCTGCGAACCGTTGCTAGCAGGCCTGTTATCGAATGTCTGCGACAAGCTCGTCCGCATCGGAGCTTGGATCGGGTTGACCACACTCATAGGCGCTTGGCTCAGGCCGAATGCATTCGCGGCCCCGGCATTCGAGGTACAGCTGTTCGTCAAAGGCGGCGAACTCAACTTCGTCCTCGTCGGATACGAAAAGTTAATCGACGACGACTGGCTGCTCGGCCGTGCATTCTGATCTTCTCCGATCCTTGGCGGACTCGACGGCGGACTCGCCATCGCCGGATCAATCCTCCTCATATTCCTCATATCGCCCACCTTCGCAGCACCAAACCACGCCGGCCCCTCCCCAGAGGCCAGCGTTTGCGAAGCTAGCCTCAACGGCGTAGCATTCACCCCCAAACTCACCGTCTTCCTGTGCTGCGGCCTCTGCTGTTGCTGTTGCTGCTGCGGCACTCTCTCGTCGCCCTCCCCAACGAACCCCTTCGGCAGCGACGGCACAGGCGGCGGTGCTTCCTCCGCCACCCCTCCAAACAACCCTCCCGGAATCCTCGGCGACGACCTTCCACTCCCCATGTTCACAGGCCTGGGACTCGGCGTACGAAAGGTGCGCTCTGTCATCGAGGCGTTACTCCCTCTCCTCCTTAGACCCGTACCCCCTCCTCCTGTTATGCTACCGCCGTCTCCCGACCGGGAAGAAGCGATGGATGCGCTCCGGCGCAGGGTTCGTTTCGTCTGGACCTCGGCGACATTGGTGGGGGTCATGGGGCGCGCGCGCAGGGCGGCTGCCGCGGCTGCGGCCGAGAGGGAGGTGTTGGAGTCATGGCGGCGGAAGACGGCTGCCGCAGCGGCTTGGGCGGCAGCATCGGCGGGTTGGGGGATCGTGTTGGGGGTTGTTGATGTTATTGTTGTTGTTGTTATTGTTGTTGTTGAGGGGAGGGTGAGAGGCTTGTAAGGTTAGTATCGCGTTTTACAGGGGACATAGTGCGGGAGCTGAATAAGGGGCACAGCCAAGGTAGACAGATCTCGGGACAAAATTCGGCGAGTTAGTGTATCAGTGTGGATGTCTCGGTCGCCGGAGGAGTCTTGCCCGGACCGAGGACCAACATCTCACAAAAGGGGTCACAGGGTAAAATTTGATTTGTGCTGGCTTGAAAACGAGTCCTCCAAGAAGATGCGCGATAACGGGTACATACCGGATTCGATGCTCGTTGATGGTGATGATGTCTGCGAGAACCAAACATGCTCGGCTCGGTCGGCGCAGATCGAAGTTATCTGCACGTGCAAATGACGAAGGTGTGTCTTACGTGCCCGCCTACACGGGGCTGGGCAGCGCGGGCAGTCAACGACTACTTCCTAGAATCAATCATGTAGGTATAACCGACGTAATATTCAAGGTAGGACGCAGGTGTCGTTGTTGAGCCGTGTAATCCGGACGAAGCGATCAGGGCTATGTGATAAAGGATGTCAAAAGGACGGATGGATGCGTTGGCGTTGTAGGACAAAGAGGCTCCGATCGATCGATCAAGGTTTGGACCACGGCACTGAGGTTGCTCGAATGTGGAAGACGGACAGAAATGATGAAACAAGAAAATGCGGATAAGGATACTAAAAAAAAAAATTAAACCCAGACGGATCGACAAACAGATGAATAAAGGGTTTCTGCCCTGGTCCAGATCTTCCAATCTACCATCGCATTGAATCAGCTTCTCCTCGACAAGACAACATTCAAACAAAAAAAAAAAAAGAAGTGCAATGGAATGGAACGAAAATAAACGAAATATCATGCATGCCCAGTTCAGTCCAGTCCACGTTCCGTCCGTGATGACCACGTCCACGTCTCATTCATTAGATCCTCTGTGCCGGTGGAGGTTTCAGAAGCCCCTTCCAATGTCCAATGGTCCTTGGCCAGCTGCCAGCAGCGGCATTTGCAGCGGGCCGGCAGCGGGTCCTCCATCCAGCTGGGCTGATTTGGGGTCTGGGTCCACTTTGCCTGCACCGCCATCATGCGTACCGGGGTCTTGGTAACCTACGGTAAGATACAATCACCTGGTGCTGATTCTCATAGTATAACTTACATCATATAGGTAATGCACCGTATTATTCCCATCTTTACGGTATATTACCAACCGATCCCTGTTCCTGCAGTGCAGCTAGCTCAGCAAACTCCACACCCCCCCTTGCCCGCCTGAGTGGATGATCCACTAACCTGCAGGCCGCTGCTGCCACCTGTCAGCCCGTAGTGACCGGCACGCTAGCGGCCAAGCCGTCCATCCGAAGTGCCATGTGCTCAGCAGCTCATCATCAACATCGCAACCATCTGAACGGGACAGCTGTCCGGACTGCACGTCCAGCGCAAGACAGGATTAGTGTAAACTGCAGGTTCGGTGAACAAACCTGGTCAGTCTGGTGCACTGCTGATGCAGTGTAACGGGGACTCGAGTCTGTCTGTCTGTCTGTCTGTCTGCTGTCTGTCTGCTATCTGTCTATCTGTCTGTCGCTCTGTCCAATGTAACACAGCTCCAGAACATCCATACGAGATCACGGAACAGCATTAGTCGGGATACGTTCATTTAAGGTCATGATCATAATTCCGTTCGCTGCTACATACTCCGTCCAACGGGTCTGTGTCTCCCCTTTCCTCTATCAGGCCCGGAGAAGACACCAAAAACTCTAAGCCCATAAAGTTGCCATACCGAATCCCTCCTCCTCCTCCTCCTCCTCCTCCTCCTCCTCCTCTTCCTCCACCGCCACCTTTTTAATCCTCGTCCTTCTCCTCCATTGTCTTTCTTTCCGTCGCTTACTCACCCGTTAAAGTTGAGGAGGTGTAATTGCAAGTAAGGGATGAGAAGGGGGAAACTTCAGGTGAAAGTCAAGGTAGGCAACACGAAGAAAGGGCGCGATGAATAACGCTGAATACCGGCGGACGATATGAGGTGCTAGCTAGCTAGGTAAACAAGACGCTGACAAGCTAGGTAAGGCAATCAAGTAGGTAAGCTTGTTAGGGGGAAAAAAAAAAAAAAAAACGGGGGGGGGGGTGGAAGGGGAGGGGTTTCAGTGAAGCCAGATAATAACGCTGCGGTCTTGCGAGAGACGGGATTGAAATCGATGTGTCGCGAATGCCTTTGTTTATCCGGCAGACAATGCATCGTCAATCGTTCGTGACCGCCAGCAGCTGACTCCGAAACACCATCTATGTAGTATGTGCATACTTCCTCTAGACCAAAGTCGGTGTATGGTCTCCTCTCCTTTCCGATCCTGCTCATCCATCTGAACTGCACCAAAAAGGGATACCGCATGTCGATGCTGGTGTACTGGCTAGGCGTGTTCAATAATCTCAAAGCAGGGCCGAGTCGTTTCACACACCTATCCCCCAGGTGTCAGGTTACGAGCACTACGTACCGCCGCCGTCATGCCCATAAGAGCTCTCTCTCGAGTGACCCGGAGCATCACCATGTCGACCGGCTGGCCTCGGATTGACCTCCTCTTCGAGGACGTACTCATAGTCCTCCTCGTCATAGTACTCATCCTCGTAGTACTCTTCATCCTGGCCACCGTCGTCGTAGTGCTTCGACGGCGTGTCGCGCGCGTCAGCGGAGTGATGGAGATCCTGAGCAGCGTGATTGTTCTTGTTGGACATCTTGCTGCTCTTCTTGCCCTTATGCTTCCCCTTCTTCATTCTCTCCCACTGGGCACGCCGCTGCTGCGCCAGCTGACGCTCCTTCCTATCTTTGATCTCGTACTGCCGTACCAGGGCCTCAGGCGGGTGCCCAAAGATCGCCTCATACTCGCAGAAGTGACAGATCCAGATCTCCTCCGGCTTGGGCGGATGGCGCTTGTTGTAGAGCTGCGTCTCCCGGCGGCGGGCCTTAGCCGCTGCCAGGTACTCCTTCGCCAAGCTCCTCCTTGAGCTCTTCTGCGGTGCCGCATGCTGATTCGGTTGCCCACTACCCTTCTGAGGCTGGGCTTCCTTGCTCGCTACGTCACCCGTCTGAGTCTGGTTCTGAGCTTGGGTCTGGGCCTGAGCTTTCGACGGCGCCGGAGCGGTCTGTCCATTATGCTGCTGTGAAGTCGAACTGGTCTGTGTCCAGCTCTCTTTGTTGCTGGTCTGAGTTTGGTTCTGGCTTTGATTCTGGCTCGACGCTGACGGCTGGCTTGTCTGAGTCTCCGACTTGCGGTCAGAACCAGGCCAGGAAAAGCCACCCGGGACTGGAGAGTCGCAGGTGAAGGTGAACTGGGTAGACGCCGGGTTCTTCTTGGAAGATGCCTGCTGATGGAGAAGACTGACATCGTTCTCTTCCGGAGGCAGCTTTTCGGCATTAGCAATGGCATTCGAGATGATCCCGGTGCTCTCGCCTGTCCGTAAGTGTCAGCAAAAAACAGTCTTCAATGAAAGGAACGTACCAAAAGAGTTAGCTATTGTACTCACCTTGCCCTGACGTCCACTGACCGACGCGCGACTTGCCGCCCCTACCACTCCAATTGCTAGTCGAGTCGAACATTGGCCGCAGCTGGTTCTTGTAGTTCCTGGGTCGGGCATATCTGCCTCTCCCAGAGCCCGAAACATTTGACATGCCCGTCGCCAGGTTGCCACACCCATAGTAAGAAGCCGACGTTGTGTTAGACGCCTCGTTCTGACCTTCTGCGGCCTGGGAAGTCAAATTAATCAGGCCATTGCTTGCTGAAACGTCCGACACTGTGTGACTGGCAGTGGGTATGGAATCACCAGCCGTGGGAATCTTCCTCTTCTTGTAGTTGGTATTCTCAGAGGGAGCATCGCCGTCAGCCGAAGACGTTGTCGATGGAAGAGGAAACTCAGAGTAAGAACGACCTTGATCCGACTTGAGGCGCGTCGGGAGGGTAGTTGTCAACCCCGGGCCTGTAGGGGTGGTCATGTCTTGCTTGGATGCCGTGGAGCGCTGCTCCGAGGTCCCATTGTCTGACGCGCCGTTCGCCTGGCTATTTTTCTCGCCGTTGGTTTGACGATTGGCTTGGCCATTGGCTTGACTCTGCCGCTGCTCGGGACATGGGCTGCCCTCTCGAGCCTGCGACGAGCCAGAATCTTGGTGATCGTCCGACGACGGGAGAGGGTATGGGTATGGGAAGAGCGGTGCCATGGTACGCGGGTCGGGGGGGTATTGAATCGACTCGGCAACTTCTGGCGATAGGCGCTCGCGCAGACGCCGCTTGGGTAACGGACGAATGGGTCTGTTGGGGAAAAGCGATGATGCTGTGTCGGCAGCCATGTTGGAAGCTTCCGTGGATGAGTCGTCTTGAAAACGCTTTGCTGGGGTATGACGAGTTAACCTGGAAATCCGTGTCAGAAGCCTCGATACCGCGTTGGTAACGGAGTTCGCAAGCGTAACCAAGAGCCTGCCAGGGCCAGAGGCAAGAAAGGCCCTCCTAGCGCCTCGCACCATAATCCAGACGGGAACCCAGGAGGGCAGGCGACTTGGAGGCTAGAAACAAGGAAAGTTGAGGTGATAGATAAGGTAGGCAGGCAGATAAGGGTACGGATGGTAGGTAGGGGGTAAGGTAAGGTAGGGAAACGGGATAGATGGATAGATGGATAGATGGATGAAAGAAACTGCAAACTGCCAGAGGGGAAATGAAGCCTGCAAAAGTTGTTTTTGGGATGTTGCTTCGTAGGTTGCGGGGTGGAAAAAAGGCAAGCGCTCCAACCCGATCGCAAGAAAAGAAAGTTTGGCTCCAGCGCTGCGGCAACCGCTGCGACAACAACAACAATCACGCAAAAAGAAAACGGGAAGCAGATGGGAAGGCAGGCAGTGGGTGGAAGGGGCAGAGGTAGGAGTGCTGTCAAAAGCGACGGGAGCACGGGGGGGACATACCCTTCGGATCCGGACCTCACATATCCCCAAAACCGCTCAACCTCAAGCTCAGGCCGGCAAGTCTGACGACTACCGACCTCCGACCTCCGACCAGAAGGTCCTCCTCCTCCTGCGGGGTCTCCGCTGGGTTGTTGCTGACTGCACCGGGGGCCGGTGCAAAAGAGAACCGGGGGCTAAGGTCCTTGTCCTTGTTCCTTGCTTGCTTCTTGCTTCGTTCTTCAATGGACAGAGCTTGCTCTCTGGGATGGCAGTGCAGCAAAGGTGTCCTCTTCACTCCTTGTCCTCTGGTCTCCGGTCTCCGACTTTGTCCAACCTCTAGGCTGCCCGTGGGTGGGGGAGGGGGGCGGACGTGACCGAGATTTGTCTCTGTCCTTGCTTGTTCTTGTCCGTAACCTTGTGTTATCCGATCCGATCCGATCGTCACTCGCACTCGTACCGGCCTTCTTCGCTCGCCAATACACACGGATCAGTCTCCATTAGTTCTAACATGGCGCCGGCGATAGCAAGCAGGTAAGAAGGGCAGAGATGAATTAGGTATAGGTAAGGCAGGTAGGTGTCTTGTGCTCTGGAGAGGAGAGGGAGGACTCAGTCTCCAGCAGACAGACGAGGCAACGCCCGCGGCACTCGGCCAGGCGAACCTGAGTGAGAGGCCCTTGAGCCTTGAGCCTGGAGTCGGATGGTGGACATGCCCCAGTCCCATCCCATCCGAACAGTCCTCACGGCCAGGATCCAGGGGCCGAATACCCGGACGACCTAATCTGGGCCGAATGGCTGGCCGGCTGGGCTGACTGGCTGGGGACAACCCACCTTTTTTAGCTTTTTCCCTGGGAGGAGGAGTCAGTCGATCGGCGCGCGCACGCAGAGAGGCGTAGAAGAGAAGAACTAGATAAAGGTAGGTGACTGGACTGGGCTCGTGGACGGCAGCACGACAGGCAGGGCACAACCTCAAGGCAACGACCTCGGTGAACAGCCAGGCAGCTCGTTGGGCGATGGCTCGAGAAGCAAACTGAATGCAATCTGTCTTTAGAGAGCGTTCAGGAGGACAGCGTCGAGTTGACCTTTAAACCTCGCATGCAGGCTCGGGCTCAGGCTTTCGCTAGCAGGTTCTGTGGACTGTGGACTGTGGACTGTGGTGGAGGAAGGGTGTCCAGTGGCCGCGCCCACCACTGAGCCAGGACCTAATCAGCACGGCTTATGTAAGCAGACAGAGTGCCAGGATCGGCTGCACGGCGCCCGCTGGCCCTGTGTGAAATGTGTCCGATGATTTTCCGTCTCGCTTGTGCGGGGCTGTCGGGGCCAGAGAAGGTTCGATTGGGGGCTTGGAGAGCCGTGGAGGCCTAGAGGTTCACTGTGTCAGGTCTCGTGATAGGCACACGGCCCTGGACTCCGGCCACTTCAATGAAGGAGAACGGCCAATGCTGCCAGTTTTTTTTTATTGTTATTATCATTATTACTTTTTTGCTTCACATGGAAGTATGATTTTAGAAAACGAAACATGTAAAATCCCTTCAGATATATAATCGGCGTAGTCTGTTCCTTTTTTTTTCAATTCTCCCTTCTGCTGATCTGCTTCTTAAACAAAAACCCCCTCGCTCCCCCTCCAGTGGGCGTGATGTCATCCCTCGATCCGTCCCAGCCTGCCAAGGGACACCAGCCTCCGGTCCCGCCAGCCCCAGCCGCACTGTGTACATCAGGTACCGGAGGACAGTGGAGCTGCTTGGCCCATCATCAGCCACGGTTATGATTGGCTACAACGGCTAGCTTAGCCCCGCACCAGACGGGCAGCCCATCCCAGTTAGCCAAAAATTGCTGCCGTGAGTGCGCGCGCAGGCTCGGGGAAAAGAGCGTGTGGGCGTGTGTGGGCGTGTGCAGTGCTTGGTTCTCAGGGCGAGGGCGCACCCACACCCGCTTGCAGTCTCGACTCTATCGTCACCCTCTGGTCTCGTCTTCTTTTCTTCTTTCCTCCCATCTCACCACCTCGCGTGTCCTGCTGGTTTCTGAAGCAAAAGCCGTCGTTGGGCCAGCTCCCGATATGATTAAATCCTCTTCTTTACTGCTACTGCGTCGAATCCATCCGATTACCCAGACGGTCGCCTAGCCCAGCACCGTCTCTGTCCGCGGTATTCTCAACACCACGCCGTTGTCCTCTTTTCCTCCCCTTCTAGTGTCGCACAGTGTTTTCCGACATCGAGACGCTCCGTTCGACCGTCAGCCATCTGTTTTCATTGCGATTGACGTCAGCAAGGCGTGTTTATCAATAATCCCACGCCGTTAGCTGAACGCTCGCCCTCGAGTCATCAAGCTCGTCGTCGAGTTCCTCTGCCACCACCCGCTTCAGCCCCCAGGGACGAGATCACTTCTACTGCAGACACCTCTCGTCCAAACCAGCAGTTTTCGATTCTCATCACCAAAGAGCATTCGACATTTTGAGCGTACATGCACCCAGACACCAACTACTGATTTTCTTTTGGCGCTGCCGTTCTCCAAAAGAAAATCTTGGTCCCACTAGACCTCCAGCCCGCTCCGCCATCACCCGACCGCGAGACCGTCCTTGGAGGGCACCACGAAACCAACACTTCCGAAAGCAATTCAAGGCCAACGGTGATTCAGCGGCATCTACAATACACATAAACATCCTTTTCAAACAACTAGTTGGTAGGTTGACGCTGGCAACCGCACGGCTGCACCCGGACCAGTCGTGATCCAAGCTAGCGCCTACCGCTGAATCCCTTCGTCTCCCGCGACTTCCGAGTCGCTTCCATCTACCCAATTCCTCTACCCAACCTGGTCGTTGCGACAGCGGCACCCGCTATACACAATGGCAGGATCTGATCCTCGGCGCTCGTCGCGAGCGCGATCCAACAACCAGTCGCACAACTCGTCTTCGGCATCCAGCGTGTCGGGGCGTCCTGAGCGCAGCACCAGAAACAGCTTCAACAAGGGCGTTTCACCTCAAAAGTCAGCCTCGACCGGCTCGCTCTCTGAGCCGCCCGAGGATTCCATCACTGCCGAGGACCCCTTCGGCACCCGTCGTCGCACGCGCGGCCAGGCCGAAGACCGCGAAAAGGCCTCTTCCAAGCATGACACCAAAGACACGGCCCACGACGACGAAGTCCAAGAGGAAGATGAGGCCGTTCGCTGCGTCTGCGGCAACGAGGAATACCAGGGCCCTCCTCCTCCTGAAGACGAGGCCAAGCATGGGTCCAAGCACGATCCCGATTCCTTCTTTTCGGCCGACGTTACCGACGACACCGCTGGGCTGTTCGTGCAATGCGACATTTGCAAGGTGTGGCAGCACGGCGGCTGCGTCGGCATCATGACGGAAGAATCCAGCCCGGATGAATATTTTTGTGAGCAGTGTCGCCAGGACCTACACAGGCTTTGGACAGCAAGCAACGGGTAAAACAATTTTGCCTAAATACCGACACGATGTGAACTTTGGCTGACAGAGATGCCTCGCAGGAACGTCTACTCTCACTACCTCCCGCTGAGGAAGCACGCGAGAACGTCATCCCGAGCGGCCAGAGAATCTGCTCGTTCGCCGACCAAGGAGACCCAGACGCGCAACAACAGTAACAATAACAGCAATGGTGGGAGAGCATCGTCTCAGAGCCAGACCTCCAAGCGGCGTTCTACCCTGAACAGCCGCGAGGCTGGCTATGACGAGGCCGAGGCCCTGAGACGAGCTATTGAGGCAAGCAAGGAGGAGGCCGAACAGGCCAATCGGAGACCCAAGAGGGGCAGAAGCGACAGTCAAGAGTATGTTTTCCGTGGTCGGCCCGTCAGATCGGCAGGAGCTAACGTCTCCCTAGGAAACCGGACAACAAGAGGCAACGAACTGACTCACGATCGGTTTCCCCTCCTCCAGACACAAAAGCTGAGGAGTCTGACGATGGAGGAGCGATCACCCGCAACGGCAAGTCGAAGTCGCGCGGCGGCGCTGCTGCTCGAAACCAGCGCAATGAGAAGCCTTCCGAGAAGGAAGAGAAGGAACGTCAGGCTGAGGCCAACAACATTAAGAACAATAAGAAGAACAACAAATCGGATCGCCGGAGAGCTGAGGGTAAGCATATCCTTCCCATAAGGAGCTCTAGGGTTCTCGCTAACGCAACAGACTCGGACCCGTCAGAAGAAATGCCCCTGGCCGCGTCACGAGCCACAACGGCCAAGACTGCCTCCCAAACCTCCAACACGTCTAACCCTGCCAATACGAACTCCATAGCCACGGAACCAACACAACCTCAGGAAGCCTCCGAACCCCCTCCCACCTCTCAGCCCACGCCCGACTCCCCTCCCGCCGTCAGCGTCCCCGCCTCCAAGTCCGACTCCAAGAAAAAGTCCCACAAAAAGAAAGGTCGCAACCAATACACCCGCGACCGCGACGACGAGTCACCCGGCGGCTCCCAGTCGCGCGAAGCGAAGGATGAGGCAGGCTCTACGGGCGGTGGCAAGCATGAAGGTAGCGCCGGCAGCACCGGCGGAGGGAAGGGATCCAAGCACAAGGGCGGTATGTCCAGCAAGATTACCATGAATGACATGCGTCGGCGGGTTGGGGCACTGCTGGATTTTATTTCACGGACGCAGCTGGAGCTGGCAGGTGAGGGGGGTCCGATGACGGGGATTGTAAGCCATGCACCGAATGGCGGCTCGGCGGCCGGAGGGGGGGGGGATAAGGAGGGTGAGGAAGGGGAGAGGCAGGAACGGGATTTTAAGGAGCTGGGGTGCTTGGAGATGATGGATAGCTTGACGCGGAGGCTGGTTAAGTGGCAGCAGCAGTATGCCAACTGAGGGGAGGTCGTGTTGTTTTCTTTGTTTCGGTTATGTTTTGCTTTGCATTTTTTGGGGCGTTGACGGGACTCTCGTCTTCTTTTCTCGGCATGGACCTTGCATGGTGATGGATGGAGGGGAGGGATTAATAATTACTAGGTCATGTGTCAAGAATGACACGAATTGTTGGTTTCTTTTTAAAGAAACCGCAGAAGGACGGATGATGATGATGATGATGATGAAGATAAAGGGGGAACAGGGTCAGGGCTGTTGCTGCTAATACTGCTATACTTTAGTTATCACTACGTACTACGTATACGGGAGGAATGGTTCTCACGGACTTCACTTAGGGTCGGCTAGTCGGCAACTTAATACCCCTTGATTGAGAGATGGATGGGCTGGGAGTGAGGGAAAGGAGAAATGGAAGGAAGAAAGGTTGGCTGACAGGCGCTTAGCGTCATTTGTCATGTATCTTTGTAGTTCCATGGGTTGGGACGGGGTTTAGAAAAGGCTCTGATCTGGCTCTGGCTCTTTGTTTTTGTTCTCGTGTCGTGTTGGTGTTGGTTACTTTGGCATATTGTATGTTCTAGGTATGAATACATGGTTTTTTGATGTGATTTTCATGTACTATTTATTGTCTTATGTCCTTTGGAGCGGGTATCTGACCTGAAGCCTGCACTTCCATCCATTCCCGTGGTCCCATGTGCAATGCCATAAATATATTATATATACACTCACCAACATACATAACACCACCTTTCCCCCTTCTTCCCCTCCTCCTCCCCCCCCCCCCAACCTCCTTCTTTTCCTCCCTCCTTTCCCCCGCCCTTCTTCCTTTCTCTTCCCTTCAGAAATCATCCGGCGCCGCCAACCCCAAAAACCTCTGCTCCCTCTTCGCCAGCCGTGCCAACTTCTCCCTCTTCCTCGCCTGCGACAGACTGATCACCTCCTCCTTACTCTTCGCCACCGCCCTCACCAACGTCTCTGGCGTCACCTCATCCAGCACTACCTTCCCCAAATCACCCCTCCTCCACTCCTGCACCACCCACTCTGCTGCCGCCTCCAGGTTCGGCTTGCCCCCTTCGCTAACTTCCCCATTCGAAATGCCACCACGTGTAGGAACTCGTTTACGTCGTTCGTTGGTCGGCGCAGGTCCAAGCGACGCATGTAGGTGAAGGGATCGGACAGGTTGAGTTTGTACAGGAGGTAATCAGCCAGCGTCTCTTTGGGGACGATACCGTCCTTTACGCAACCCACCAGCGCGAGCTTGACCATCGCCTCCGGGTCGGAGACATAAGGTATGAAGACCCCCGGCGTGTCGACGACGAACACGCCTTCGCCTAGGCCCGGCTCGCCGCCTTCCATGTCTTCGCCGGGCAGTATGCGCACGGGTGTGCCCAGCTTGCGCGTCACGCCTGGTTGGGCGCCGGTTTGTGCCGCTTTTTTGAACCGCCCCATGCCGTGGCCCCGGAGACGGTTAAGGAGGGTTGATTTGCCGGCGTTGGGCATACCCACGACCATGCACCGCAGCCCAGTGAGGGAGTCGCGCGAGATGGCGTAGTGTTTGATGATTTCCAGCAGCGGGGAAAGAGATGAAGAATGGGACGGCGTGCGGCCGGAGCCGAGGAAGAGGACTGCCCTCGCCGCATGACGACGCAGTTCCGGGGGATAGGGAACCCCAGAATTGGGAGGGGGGAGGGTGTAGAATTCGCGGAGATATTGCGCGACCTGTTTTGTCTGCTCCGTATCCGGGGCGAGGTCTCTCTTCGTATAGACGATAATCCTCGCCCTCTCCTCCTCAGCCGCACACCCCAGGCTTTGCTCGATGAGGGGGTTCCAGGAGGTGATGGGGAGGCGGAAGTCGCGGCATTCGATGATGAGGCCGACGTTGGTGAGGGACTGGCGCATTTTGTTCAAGCCGGCGTGGTGGTGGCCGAGGTAGTAGGAGCGCGGGATGTTGAGGGAGACTTCGTAGTGCGTGCGCGGAGTGAAGCCGACGGACCCGGCGGTCATAAGGGCGCCAGCGCGGGAGACAGTGCGCGCTAGAGCGCTGGCGGAGGAGGTTGTTGGGGGGGTGGCCATGGCTACGCTTGTTTGAGGTCGTTAGGTGTGATGTGAGATTAGATCGATGAGGTGACTGGTGGTGAAGGTTTGATTTTAAGGCCTTCACATATTGGTTTGGGATATGATTAAGCGGCAATCAGCTATCTTGCCAAGGCTCCTGTTAGACGAGATCAGTATTAAGGTGTGTCAGGCGTCGTCGTAGAGTGTGTAGTTCACATCAGAGACTAGATTGTTGACGGAGTGATTTGAGGCTCGATCTCAGGAACCAAAATCTCGGGGTTTGAGGTTTCACTTACACGATTGTCGAAGCATAAACCTTGATACATGCATATCTTATCTTGCAGTTACCGTTAAACCGCGAAACCAAACGGTGCTCGATGGCACTCCCGGTGCTTTTCTGGGCTCACTTGTAGCCTGTGGGAGTTACAATGGCCATTTTCAGGAAAATGAAGGTACAGGGCTCTCTGTCCGTCTCTGTTCTGCTGTTCTGGGCACACGTTACGTCAGATATAGCGGGAATCAAGGCCGGGTACTGCACCCGTAAACACCCCCCAAGTCATTTTTTTTTCTTGAACTTGAACGAAGCTCTTGGCTCCTGGACACAGCAGGTGTCACGAAGAAACTCAGATTTAAACTCTCATTCATGAGCCATAGATCATGCCCATATGGCAGTATACCAAGCTGTTCTCTACTACCCTACTCTATCCCAATCTCCCAATCCAAAAACTCAAGTCATCTAGTCAAGCGTCTATCCAACGGTTCCCAACCTGTTTCAACCTACCGCTTCTTCTTCCTCCCAGTATTCATCATCTTCTCCTCCCCATCCCCCGCGTACTTCTCCAACGCCTCAAACACTCTAGGAAATACCAGCTCATGCACATCACTCGCCCACAAAAAGTCCAAATGCTCATAATGCTTGATCTCGGTCGCCACCGTCCCCGGCGGCAGTTCCCGTCTCATCACCTCAATATCCACCAGCGAGTCGCTCCCCCCATACACAAGCACAATGGGTGTCTTGATATTCTTCGTCGGGTACTTGGCGACCTTTGTGTACCGCCTTGTGCTGGTCGTGCCGACGCCCACACCGGAACCAGCGCCCCATAAAAGGGAGGGCACGTCGTCGTCGTACATCTGGAAGGACTTGGTTCGGATGATTTGGAACCAGTGCACGACCGACTTAGTAGAAGTGAAGGAATACAAATGGGGGTACGCCGCGGTTTTCTGCGAGGGGGAAATATTCTCGGTGCGCCAGGCGAAGAGGAAAGACAAACCCATGTCGATCAGCTTGCAGAAGAGGGGCGGGTAGAGCAGGGATTCCCACATGGCGGCTGAGCTGAGGATCGAGCGGCGACCGAAGAGGAGGAAGAGGAGTTGCGGAGAGGCCTTGACCAGCGCGTCGACAATGCCGTTGGAGAGGCCAGCGGGCGACATGGCGGGTGCGAGGGCAATGAAGACGTTGACTTGGTCGTTCAGGCGGGGATGGATTGAGAGGGAAGCAAACGCTTGTGCGGTACCCTGAGAAAAGCCGATATACGATAGCGACGGCTGGCCGGTGGTATCCAGGATGTAAGCGATCGTGTCGGGAATGTCGTAAAACGCGAACTCATCGATCGAGAAGTTCCAGAACTCGTTCCTGGAAGGAGACCACTGGATCGACTTCTTGGAGTACTTATTCCCGCGGTTGTTGCCCAACCACACGTCATACCCGCGCTCGACGAGCACAAACGGCAGCGCGCGCTGCTCGTCAGTCAGGCAAACCCACACCTCGCTGTTCATAAGCAGCCCGTGGTGCAGGTAGACGACAGGCTTCTGGATGCTCCCCGGAGCGCTGCCGCAGTTCACGCGCGCGCCTTCTTCACCTTTGCGCCAGGCTAGACGGTGCACGCCGAGCAGGTAGCCGTCTTTGGTTTGCACGACGTGCTCTTCGGCTGTGTAGCCGAAGACGGCGCAGAGGTCGACGAAGTCAGTTGCGTTGCGGACGGCGGTTGTTAGAGCTGGACAAATTTAGTCTCTGGGTATAATAGAAAACAAAAAAAAAAAGAAAAAAGGAAAAAAGAAAAAACAAAAAAGAAAAAAAAGTCAAGGTATGAATGACCTACATTGCCTGCGCTCTGGCCGAGTCCGAGCCGGACTGGCCAGGCGGTTGAACACGCTTTGGGAGGCGGCATAGAGGAGGTCGAGGAGGGATGTAGCTGTCCCGTGGTCAGTTTAGGTTTTGTTGACTCGGTATGTGGGAGGGCTTACGAAGGGCGAGGGTGAACAAGCGGACAAAAGCCTCGATCCCAACCAGCATGAAGGAGCCGATCAGGGCGATGTATTCGGTGCTATAAGGTCAATATTCTCCGCATCTATCTACGTCTGGACGACAGGAAGAGCATTGAGGGGAGCCTACAAGGTCAGACGCCCAACGAACGGTAGGGGCATCTTAATATGTGTGTTATTCTGGTTGCCGGTGCCCCTTTACTATTGGTGCTTTACTTGTACTTCATGAAGATAATGAAAAAAAAAACAAAAAGGCAGATCAAACTTCCAACCAGAACCGGGCGACGACAAGCGATGATGTATGAATACTAAGGGCGGGGACGCTCAACCTGGCACATTCTATGGCGAGCAAACTGTTAAGCCTCGAGATCTCGGCTATCTCTCTGCCCAATGCCAATCCTGCCTTTTAGCTCCGTGCCGTCCCTACTCTGGTACCGTTAGGGGGCGGTCTCGCTCCATCCGCGCCAGGGGTGATGTCACAGAGAGCACCACTATCACATGAAAAGTCAGTTGGGCCGCTTACAGCGCTACAGCGCTGCAAGCGTTGGGCTGCCACCAGCCAGTGGGTGCTGGGTGCAGCGCCTCATTTCTATTGGCTCGCCTCACTTTTCTCTACACGGCAGGCGGTATGTAACTATGTAAAGTTACACATTGGCAATCTGTAATGTACGCTCAGTGAACTGGCCAATCGGCGGCCTTCCCCCCAAAGGCCAGAAGGCTGCTAAGGCTTGTCTTTGCGGCGCCAGGCGGGTTGATCGGCGTCGGCCGTCCAGGTTCCCCGTCTGGCGATCGATTCTGTCCTGCTGTTGACAACCACGCCGAGCCTTGCATTCCATTCGTTGTCTCGCCGTCGCTCTCAACCGATCGATCAGTAGTAGCAACTCCCCCCTCACACAGCCAGCCAAGATGCCGAGCTCATGTAAAGAGATTCGTGCGCGCCCCTGCTCTCCCTCTCCTCCTCCTCTCGCCCATTCTCCATCCCCTCCGCGAACGTGATCCCGGTCCATTCCCAACACCAGCACGCTAACACCCCGCAGGAGCGGCCCTGGCCCAATGCCTCCAGGAATCAGACTGCGTCATGGTGCACCGGCACACTGCTTCCGAGTGCCTGCGCGAGCCTCTCGTCCATACTCTCCCCACCAAGTGCCAGCAACTGAAGAAGGGCTACGGCGAGTGCCGGCGCGGCATGATCGACATGCGCAAGCGGTTCCGGGGTAACCAGCCAGCTAACTTCCGGCATCTGGAGCAGGCCGAGAAGTCGGGCGAAAACTACATGCTGTACGCGGGCAAGAGCGCTTTCGGCGGGGCCGCGCACGCGACAGATGGGAATGAGAAGGCGCCGAAGGACTGGAGGGAGCTGGAGAATGAGAAGTACCGGTTGTCGCTGAAGAAGGAGGAGAAGGCATAGGGAATAGCCAGGAGGGCTGGGGAGGAACATAAGAATTGGGAGGTCTGGCCCTGAATCAAGATAAGGACAGACCAGAGAAACTTGGACTGTACGACCAGAGCAAAGACATGCACCCTGCTCCGATGGATAACCAACGAGTCGGGGAGACAGGTTTTCGCATGTGATATATATCTGTATTATACCATCGCGTTGCCAATATACCACGGGATTTGACGGAGAAAGCCCCAAGATTGAGGGCCGAAACATCGAGAAAACTTCATGATGTCTGATATTATTTCGAAACCATATCCAACACAAGACACGATTAGTTGGGCATTCCAACACCAAAAGCTTAGAAACTTGGGGTTCTTGGAGTAAGTGATCCACAGCCTTGATGCCGGCTCATTCGACGTGTTTCGTCTCCAGAGCCTTGAAAAGTAAGCACACCAGTTAAAGCTTCCCTTTGCTTTCTTTCCCATTTTCAGCAGAGCCTTGTGTGTTCGGTCGGTCGCCCATCGAAAAAAAAAAAAAAAAAAAACAACAACCACCCTTGCTCACAAACAAGCTCGCCAAGAGCCAGACCATCAAACCTTCAGCGGCTTTAATCCAACAAGCCGCGCCTAGGCAGCCTAAAGAAATGGACCATCACCGCAGCGCTACGAAGCTAACAACCCACCGTGGCGCAGCTACAATACCCAATCGCGACTTACTACACAATAGTACATCGAGGCTATCATGCTCTTGCGTCCAACTTTGCTCTTCGTCTGATAGTCCCTCATCTCAAGAGCTGGAGCTAGGACCCTTTAAGAGTGCGCACAGGAAGAAACTGGCTTACCTTTAGGCGTGTTTGCGCCGCACTCTAAGCGTGCAGCAAACTACCATCCACTCATCCTCGGCATCACTTATCAGTTGTCATCGCCATCAAAATGGCACCCAACCTCTGTCCCCACCCATCACTAGCAACTTATTGCCGTCGCCGTCGTTGTCGCTGTCGCCTCCTGCGCTCATCCAGGCGGACTTTCTTCCTTCTGCTGGGCACACTCACCCTCCTCACACTCTGCATTTTTATCCTCCATCTCCCCTCCCTCCATCAAGTCCTAACTGCCAGCCCGGGTCTATCATCATCACCCTCTTATGATGAAGATGCTGCCGGCGGTTCGGGATTCCTAACCTCCCTCGGCCGGATGCTCTCCGGCTTGCTACCTCCCTGGAAGAGGGGTAATGATGAATATGACGATGATCGGGACAATGTCCAACTCCCTCCGGGCAAAACAGACAAAGATAAGGATAAGATCCCTGCTCTAATCGCCTACGGCACACACAACCACCCGCCTTACTCAGACGACCCCATCACCATCATCGCCGATTTGCCCAGGGAACACATCCCTGTGTATCATCCCCCGTCCGGATCGCCTACCAGTCGACCCGGGAACCCTCCGGGGAATGATCCCCACCCTGGCGGCAGGCGACTCGTCATCGTAAGCGACGTGCACGCGAACCTCTCCCCTCTTAAAGAGTTGCTGCACAAAATCGGCTTCGATACCACCAAGGGCGATCATCTCGTTTTAGTGGGAGATATGATCGCCAAGGGACCGGACAGCAAAGGTGTACTGGACCTGGTAATGAGCTTAAACGCGAGCGCGGTCCGAGGGAACCATGAGGATAAGGTATTGGCAGCGGCGAGGGAGATTGGACGGTTAAAGAGTTACGAGTCCCTCCACGTTCAAGGAGACGCCATGGAGGCAGAGAGGAGGGGAGATGTCTCGGCCCAGTACGGCAAAAAACACGCGCACCGGATCGCCAAGGAGCTGACGAAGGCGCAGCTTCAGTGGCTGCGTTCGCTGCCGCTCATTTTGCGGATCGGGGCGTTGCCTGACGCGGGGGAGGACCAGGCGCCGTGGAATGCGAGTACCTTGGTGGTGGTGCATGCGGGCTTGGTACCCGGCGTACCACTAGAACGGCAGGACCCGTGGGCGGTGATGAATATGCGGAGTTTGACGTACCCGGGGAGAAAGAAGCATATTAAGTTGGATGGGAAGGACGTTGTTATTGAAGAGGGAGGAGATGGGGAGGTGGATGGGGATGTGCTCGAGGAGACGTACCCGCATTTTCCTGCTAAGGCGGTCGCGGTGCCGGTAGCTGGGAGGGAGGGTGAGCCGTGGAGTCATGCTTGGTAAGTCAAGTTCTGGCTCGTATACATCATCTTTGACGAACACAAGTGATGCTGATGAAGTAAGGAACCGCCACCAAAACCACCTCTCCCCCTCTAAGTCCCACATCCTGGCCATCTACGGCCACGACGCCGGCTCCGGGCTACAGGTCGACCCCGAAGTGGACATCTCACCCTACCATCCTAAACCCAAGCACAACAAGAAGAATCGTAAATTCAGGCGCTCGCTCAACCAACCTCCTAGCCTTGACGGTTTCGACGATAAAGACGAAGACTCCGCCGGCGACAGACTCCTCGATCGTCGTGGCGTACTCAAGGATGGCACGTCAGCCAGCAAGCACAAAAAGCAAAACAAGAAGATCAAAGAACGCGGCCTGCGCTACGCATTCGGCATCGATTCCGGGTGCGGCAATGGGAAGAAGCTGACCGCGTTGATCATTGATGTGCCCGAAGAGGGCGTGATAAGGCATCGAATTGAGCAGGTTCATTGCTCTTAATCAACGTTATGGACTTTTATGTTTTTTTTTTTTTTCCTTTTCTTATGAATGAAACCCCAATTGTGTTTTTTTCTTCTCTTTTCTTCTATTGCGTTATGTCTTAAAAGTCTTGCTTAATAGCGAGGAAGTGAGATGCTTATAGAAGAGAAAGATAGGGGGCTTCATCGGTCGGATGACGAAGAAGTGAGGGATCGAGAGCATAGCACATCATCGCATGACGTTGACAGTCATGAGAGGGGAAAGGCAAAGGGGAAAGAAAGAGGGGTCATGTTAATAAGCACGGGAACACAACAGATGTCTTGAAAGTGGATGATGAGTGGTCTTACCCTGCATACATCTACATTCCCAAGTAGTGGAGTGTCATCTTAACGTCCCTGAAGACAGGCCTGACTGGCATATGCCGCCTGAGTTACATTACACTCGCCGATGAAAAACCTAACAGAAGGAGGATTGGTGAAACCAATTTGGAGTAGAGAAGTTGAAAAGCGCAGGCAGCATTCACATATTACAGCAGTAAATGGATATCTCGCCTATGTAAATGAGATTCATTCAGGGCTTTCCATCCTATTAACCTGGTTGGACATAAGCAAAGGTTCAATGCTCAGTCACATCTGCTCTCCATTGCATGGCATGGCACAAACGACTCCATACAAACACCATCTCATTCTCTGCTCAACTGACGATTATCTAAGGTCCATGTAGACCCGTTCTCATCTCCAAAGAATACATGTGTGTGTGTGTGTGTGTGTGTGTGTGTGTGTGTGTGTGTGTAGAATGCGTCGCAAGGTAAGCAACGAACGCAAAGCAATCATCAATCAATGATGCAATAGCTCATCAGCAAGTCTACACTCAACCACACAACCAAATGCACCCAAAGCAGATCAAACGCCATGACAAAATGGACAAATCTCAGGAAGCCAATGATGACAGGCTCTCCCTTTCATTTATTAATTTGTTTTTTTTTTAATTTTTCTTTCCGGCATTCCTTCATTACCCTTTTGATATAATTTTGAGAGAACACCTTAACATCATTCATCATTACCACAACACATCCCCCCATTTCATTTACGCCTGTTCCAGCTTGGCGCGGATGATCTCCTTGAGCACGACGGCGTCAGCAGCGAACTTGCTGATACCCTCGCGCAGCTTCTCGGTCGCCATCTGATCCTCGTTGAGGTCGAAGCGGAAGCTGGGCTCGTCGTTGATGTAGCTGCGCTTCTGGATGTCGAGGGTGGCGGCCGCGGAAGCGTCGAGCTTCTTGGTGACCGGCTCGGTCGAGTTCAGGAGCTCCTCAAGGAGGGCAGGCTATGAACTGTTAGTCAGTGGGTCACAAAAGTAAACTATGTAAAGGGGAACACACAGAAATGGTCAGGTAGTCGCAGCCAGCCAGCTCGGTGATCTCGCCGGTGTTGCGGAAGGAAGCACCCATGACGATGGTCTTGTAGCCGAACTTCTTGTAGTAGTTGAAGATGTTCTTGACGCTGGCGACACCCGGGTCGTCCTCCTTGCTGTAGCTCTTGCCGGTGTGCGCCTTGTACCAGTCAAGGATGCGGCCGACAAAAGGCGAGATCAGGTAGGCGCCAGCCTCGGCGGCAGCAATGGCCTGGACGATGGAAAACATGAGCGTAAGGTTGCAGTTGACTCCGTGGTCGCGCTGCAGGATCTCAGCCGCCTTGATACCCTCCCATGTCGACGCGATCTTGATAAGCACGCGGTCCTTGGACACGCCTTCGGCCTCGTAGAGCTGCGCAACTGTTAGTACTTGTCCATATGTCATGATGAGCTAGTCTATGGACCTGCCTTGATGAGGTGCAGAGCCTTCTCAACAGACTTCTGGGTATCGAAGGAGAAAGCAGCGTCGACTTCAGTCGACACCTTGCCGGGGATGATCTCGAGAATGCGCTTGCCGAACTGGACCAGGAGGTGGTCGAGGGCCGCATCAACCTGAGTCTGGATGTCACCGCCCTCTGCCTTGGCCTTCGCGATGGCCGCGTCCAGCACGGCGGCATACTCGGGCTTCTTGGTGGCAGCGAGGATCAGGGACGGGTTGGTGGTGGCATCCTGAGGCTTGTACTTGCCGATGGCTAGGCGTTGTCAGTCCGGGTCGAGGGCAATAGGGGTCAAGGTCTTTTTGGGGGAAGGGGGAAGGGGAAAGGAGGGAAACGAACAGGCAAAGTCACCAGAGTCGCTGACGACGACCTAGCGGAGTCTGTTAGCATTTGCCTTGCGAAGAGAACCTCTTGAGAAGATCTTCAGTTGGTCATTGAGGGTTTGATATCACCACATCGTTACTCAATCTGGTGTCACGCCCAACAATGACAGGTTTGGGGGGGCAGGACGTACGGTGCCAGAGGCCTTGAGCTGCTCGAGAGAGTTGGCCATTTTGAAGAATGTAGGACTTAGTGAGCCGTTCAAAGATCGAAAGCGTTTGTATGGAAAGCTTGTTTCTTTTGTTTTTGCAATGAAACTGCCAGAGCAGACGAGCAGAGCACAAAAAGAATGTGGTTGAGATTGAGTTCCGAAGAGAAACAACTTTTACGTTGGGAGGGGGGGGGCCTGAAGGGACAGGTCTGGCGGATAATATGGCCCTTCTGGGTCCCCTCCTCCACGCACTGGGCTTGCTTTGGGAGGGGCGTGGGGCAATGAAGCGTCGTCATAACGCCGCCCCTGGGACCCAGGACCCCTCCTTCCTTGCCCCTCCCCGCCGCTGCCCGCTGCTGTCAAAACCTCATGTCCACGGGTCCTAAGTCCCCAATTGTGCTGATCTTATTGGAAGTCGAGTATCTACAGCAGCTTCGTCTGATGTTTTTGTGGCGATATCACGGTCTTCTGAAAGACCCAGTGGGCGACTGAATACGTCGAACCCTCTTTTGCTCCCGTATTTCACTTTGAGAGCCCAGATCCCAATGTTTCGGCGTTGCAGTCGCCAGCTAGCAGCCGATCGGTACCTCAGGGCAGGTACTTTCGTTCCACTTTAAGTCTCCCTCCGCATCTCGCATCACAAAAGAAACCGCCCGACACCCAAAATGCATGGTGTGGATCTCCGACAGGCGTCAACCCGCCGATCCCGGGTCTCACCAACAGGTAAGGTCCCAGCCCCGACCGCCAAGCTGCCCGTAGACTCCGGTAGGTGTCTGGAGCTCTTCCATTCCACGACATTCCTGTTGCAACGCTCACCTTGACACCTTAGGGAGCTGATGAGAGGGAAGGGGAAAAAAACAACCAGACAGTCTTCTTATTCATCCCACCATCACCACAACCAACCACACACCGCCTGTCCCCAATCCGCCACGAGCTTCATCATCAATCACGCTCTTCACCTGACAAATCTTCCCCATTCGAACACCGTCGAAGCAAAAACCAGGAAACGGACGCATACCACAGTGTAGCAACCCCCACGGGCCACGGCAGCAGCCGACGATTGGACAATTCCACACGGCAATTATCCACTTCTTGTAAATAGCCGGGAAACGAGAAAAGGGAGGGGTCAGCCTGGTCTGGTGGTGTCTGTGTGACGGATGAACGCCTCACTGCCGCTGTTACGGTACAACCACGCTTCCCGCCGTCTCACCACCCCAGCCTAACCAAAAACTGGCCAGCAGGGTAGGCTGGGTAGGTACGTAGCTGCATTGGCTCTAACAAAGTACAGGCCGGCGTGTTGGGCTGGTCGCTGGGGCTGATGATGGTTGCTGGCGGCTTTTCTCCTAGCTCGCCCGCGGAGAATTCATCCAGCGAAGCCAACCCCTGTCTGGATAGGGAATTACGTACATGAAGAAGTGATACGTATGAAGGTAGGTCCCTGGGGGTAAGGTAGTATCAACATCGTAGCTGGCGAAGTAAAAATAAAATAAAATAAAATAAAATAAAATAAAAAGAAAAAAAAACAACTGACATCTCCGGGCCTTGATATCAAGATCGTGTCGGCTTCGGGAGTTGAACGGCGCGCATTCACCCGGACGATGCTTGCAACAATGCTCGTTGCTCACGATACTGATCAGCGATCGCTCTTATGAACCGGGAAAAGCCCAACCGTTTGATTTTTGCCTACCACCCTCTCCTTACTCATCAGTAGACATATGTAGCAACTGAGAGGCAATTTTCCATGAGAAACCGTCCCTGCTACAATACAGTAATCATAACATTGCCTTTGATAAAAGACCCAGCCCACTGGAACTCTCGCAATACACCCCAACCCTTTAATCATCCGTGATATCACCATACTCCCACACACCACGCCGGTTCTCCTTGGCCTCATTCTCCGCCTCCTTGAGGCTCTTCAGCACCGGCTCAAACACCTTACTCCTCTCCCAAGCCTTGAGCTTCCTCGCGACCAGCGCGTGGCCCTCCTGCACCATGCGGCGATTAATCGACTCCGTCACCTTCTGCGCGCCCTCCGACTCCGGGTCAAACAGCGTGACGTAGTTGATGCCCTCCTTGGCGTCGACGTAGTCAAAGCTGCCCACCAACCTCTTCCCCTCCGTCAACTCATACAAGAAGTTGATCGCATCACTCAGGTAGTCCGACGAGGCCGGCAGCTGCACAAACGACAACTGGCAGTCCACCGCCTGCGGCTTGAGCCGCTGCACGCCGAACTTGGTCTGGTCCAGCGGCCGCAGCTTCGACCACGGCTGCTTCTCGGTGTTACCAAAGTCAATGTACACCACCTCTGCAACCTTCGCGGCGCGATCGTTCGACCTGATCCGCGCGCGGTACCACTCCCCGTCCGCAGAGAACTTCGCCGACACGTACTCACCGGCCTTCGGCGCATCCTTCAGCGGCGCGCTGTTGACAGGGCTGAGATGGAACTGCCGGAACTCGGCCATCAGCTTCTCCAGTGCGTCCGTGCCCTTGCCAATCTCCTGCACCTTGATGCGCCCGTTGGTATCGACATGCGTGACGACGATGTCACGGTAGTCGTTGGGCTTCTGAGTAATCTCGACCGCAGCCTCGGCCGCCGGCTCCGCGGCACCAGATTCCTCCTCCTCTTGGGCCTCCTTGGACGGATCCCAGTCGTGCCACAGACCCTTGCGGGCCTCTTTGGCACGGCGCTCGGCGGCGAGCAGCTCGGTGGCATTGCCGAACTTCTCGGCCGAGTACTGGTGCACCTCGGCGAGACCCTCCTCGACAAGGACCTTGGCGAAGCTCTCGCGGCCGACGTACAGGTCGCCGATGAAGCCGCCGACCTTGTCGATGTCGTAGACGTCAATCTCGCAGTCGCGCTGATTGCAACGGCGGTTTGCCAGCTCGAGAGCCTCGTTACCGAAGGGCTCGCTCTTCTCTTGCGGGGTGCGGCCGGCGCGAGGGGCACGGATGCCGGCAAGGACGAGTGTAATCTTGACGCTCTCGCGGGGGATCAGGATGGTGAAGCGAGACCCGGACTTGCAAAAATCGACAATGCCAGGGACCTTGCGTTGCCTGACCAGCGTCGACAGCTGGATCTTGGCCTTCTGCAAGCTCTCCGACATGTCTACGTACTGCCGGGTCTTGGGGGGCTTGCCAGACCACATGCCCTTCTTCTGCTCCTTGGCGGTCTCCTGGGCGGCCAGGAGCTCGTCGTAGTTGGGAGCGCGGTCAGTATCGTCCTTGCGATGCCGGATGACCGAACAGTAACCCTCCTGGACGAGAAGCAGACCGATGTTCTTGCCGCCGTGGGTAACAGTAGCAACATCGCGAGCCTCAAACTCCTCAGTGGCAGGCTTGCTGCCATCGACCGAGATCTTGACATGCTTGCCAATGAGCTTCTTGCGCAGGAACTCCTTAGCCTCGTCCCGGAAGGGAGCCTCGGAAGCCTCGTTGGTACGGGGACCGCGGACACTGCTGAACTGGATCCTCTTCTCGGGACCGTTCTTGGTGCGCACGATGATGGTATCCGCGCTCACGATCTTGGCGACCGTAGCCTCGATCTCCTTGTTATCAGTAGACTTGCCGACGAAGCCCTTGTGCAGGCGACGGCGCGCATTCTGCGCAGCTTTCTCGGCGGCACGAAGGGGAGCCATGTCACTGCCAAGCATGGTCGAGTGGAAGTCGTTGCAGCGAGCCAGACCCTCAGTGAGCAGGAACTCGGCGATGTTGCCGCGGGGGTGTAGGATGACACCAATGAGCTGGCCTTGAGGGCTCGCGCCGACGATCTTGACCTTGACCTGGCGCTGGTGCAGGCGCTGCTCGACATAGGCACGCGCCTCGTTGCCGAACTCCTCGGCGGGCTGGGTCTGACCGGTCGACTGATTGACGCGCTCCGTGGCGGGGGCGCGGATACCAGCGATCAAAGTCATGACCTGGAGATGCTTCTTCCCCGAAAGCATCAGCCGAACGAGGAGCCGGTCGCCAGTGATGACACGCTCAACAATGGCGTCCACAGTCTTGCCCTTCCACTCATTGAAGAAGGACGGGCTGCCCAGGTCGTGCTGGACCTCGATGACGCCGCCGGTGCCAGCGTGCAGGCCCTTGCCCTCCTCCTTGGCCTGAGCCTCCAGCCTCCGCAGATTGTCAATCTTGTCGAGGATCTCCTCGGACTCCTCCTTCCTACCGGCCTCCTCGCGAACCTTCAGCCATCCAGCTTGGACGGAAGCTTCTGGCAGCTGGGTGCCATCCTGAAGCCATGCGGTGCCGTACTCCCGGCCGGAATTGGGGATCGTGTCTGCAGTCGCACGCATTCAGTCAGCCACGGTGTTCAGAGAGAACAATTGGTCACATCTGATGAAAAAGGAAAATCAGGGACTCACACAAAACGCTGAACTTGATGGGCTTGCCCAGGGTCAGTTCCCGCAGGAACTCGCGCGAGTGGAAGGCGAACGGCTCCTCGGCGTCCTTGCTGAGACGGGGAGCCGAGACGTAGGCAAAGGAGAGCGTCTTCTCAGCGCTGGGGTTGTTGGGGTTGGTGAGAACGAGGGTGTCGCCGCTGAGCACCGACTTGACGTTGGCGTAGAAGACTGGAGCCATGGTGACGACAAAGACAGGCTTAGACAGACAAGCCTAGAAACGGCCTCTGTCCGAAGGTTAGCAGAGCTCTTCTACTTTAAGCTACCGAGGGTAGAGTTGCGGTATCGAGCGTCTTGGCCCCTGGTGGGAGGTGCCATCATCAGCTAGGTTGGTGCCATCACGGTTCTCAGCTCCTGGGAAAACTCCCCCGCCAAGAACGGAAGATGGATATGGACGATTTGCTTCGCACAAGCAAACTTGGGCACTGACGAACGTAGAGCACATACCGTTCAAGAGAAGAGAGGCGTCTTGGTAGGGAAGAAGCGAAAATTGTTGCTGTATCGGAGCAGACAGGCAAAGACAAAGAAGCCTGATGTCGCAAGACGGTGAGCCAAGTCCTTTTTAACAGCTTGCTCGATCCATCAATTGGGCCGAGATTGTGGGGAAAGTTTCGCCTCAGGGACCAGTCTCAGGGGGGGTTCCCCACACGTACTGTGTGGCCCCACCAGAAACTGGCACCTCTCGAACGTATCAGATGGTGTCCAAAGAGACGGAGGCCAGTCGATTCGGATGGAAAGCATAGGTATCTTGTTATACTAATATGTTATTTACGAAGCGGAGTCTGAACTCAGGCAGAGTTGCGTCGAGACTAGAAATGATCCCGCAAGCCCAAGCGTGTGTGACATCACACTTCTAAGTTGTGGGGCTCCCGTCGGCAGCCGGCAGCAAGCGGGAACCATGAAACCTTAGGTAGTTTATAAATTGACAGGATGCTTGCATCTACCTTTCGAGGGAACCGGAAGAAGCGTCTTGAAAGGGAGACTGGGACCTCTCTCGCGCTGAATGTTGACGTCTGTTTTGCAAACGTGTCGAAGACCGCCGCGCCCCTCCCCCCCCCCTTTCCCGGGGCAACAGTGCATGGGCAATTCCAAGCGCCAAGTCAGCGCTCTCCAGTAAGGCGCTACAGTATGAAAACTGTGTTCCGTCCTCTTCACACCTGCATCAAACCTTTGACCCCGCGCCAAGTTCTCAAAATATTTCGTCATTTGTTCCTAACGCTATCGACTTTCAGACCTCAGTTTGTTCCTAACCAGAGCTTATATAGGCCAAATGGCCGGTCTAAGTCTGCTCTCGACTCCGCGGCATGAGGAAGGATGCTCCACTAGCTGATGGAATGGGCCAACTGTCCACGTCTACTCCTGTAGCTCCCCGCCGCACCAGCCCGGTATTCACAGTTCCGAGGGGATGGTCGATACCGGTAATTTACTGGGCAATGCCAATAACGCCTTGGAAATGTCAGCATGAATTGCCCTCAGAATCGTGAAGGAAGGTCTGGACATACCGCAAGCAGGGCGCGGGCCAGCATTGCCGGTCTTAAGCGACTCCTCGTTGCCGCCCTTGCCGAGGTCATCAGTGCCAGCATGAACAACCACAGTGCGCTGTCCCGTGTTAGTAGAAAAGCACAATATCGGGGTATCCTTCTCAACGTACGCCAATAACGCTTTCAGGACCAATCAGCTTGACGAGATGGTCAGTCATGGTGCCCTTGGAGTTGCCGTTGGCATCGGTCTCGATGTTGCCAAGGTCGCCGACATGGCGGTTCTCGTCGGTCGGGGCGCCGTGGGTCTTGCCATGGGGGTTGACTATGTGATGTTTAGCCCACATGATCTTGCACTCGGGCGCATGCGCACAGTCATTCTAGCGGGCCGTAGGAGTCAGGGAACCTACAGTGAGGGCCAGCAGAGGTGCAGCCGTTGGTGTTGTCGCCGAAGGTGTGGATGTGCATGCCACGCTTGGCGTTGGGGTCGTGGCCGGTGATGTCCCAGGTGATGATGGTGGGCGACGACTCGGACTCTTGCTCAAAGGTGACAGTACCAGTGACCTTAGAGTCACCACGGACGACAGCGACTAGACACAAAGTACGTTAGCGACGGTTTGTTCACGCAATGGCAGTTTTGAAAGCCAAGTTACGCAGAAGAGCACGAGGACTTTAAGCTGGCAAACGAGTAACGACGCATTGCCTGAGCTAACAACCATCTCTTCCCCTAATAAAAGCTCTTCATGGACTCTTCTCAGCTCGCCTTCCTGGAGCGGGCAAGATCCAAACAAACTACACCATGGAGGGGCAAATATCAGGATCGCTGCTTACCGGCCTTGACCATTTTGACGGCTTGTGTTTCTGAGACTGAGCTTGAGCTGGAAAATTAGCTGTTGTTTTGCTGGTTGGACCGATCTACAAGGGGATGCAGGCAACACTGAGAGCTGAAAGCAAACCCCAAGAGGAATCTGATGGAAATGCCGAGCTGATGATAAAGCTGAGGGGGAAAAGCTCGGAGTCCGAGGCCGCTGGGTTTGTAAGGTGGGGCACCACCGGGCAAGGATGACGAGAGGACGTTGTGTGGGCTTCACCAACCCCGCACCGCCCGCCGCCATGCTTCCCACAACGAGGGATCCAGTTGTGGGCGGCAGGCACGCCAAACAAATTCCTGGTTGCAGAACCTGAAACCCACTGCACCGGGTCTAAGTTCGCAGGTTGCCCATGTTTTGTCGACTTAGACTGAGGACATTTTGTTCGGCAGCTTTTACTTGAGCCGAAACTCTCGACGTCATTTCTTGAGATGATCTTCCTATTAATTGACCTTCTAAACTAAACCCGAAGTTGTGCCTTAGCTAATCAATCCCTTATTGTGTAGCTTAAGCCCTGGATGCCAGAGCGCAACGAAACCGAGTTGTGGACAGGAAGGGTAGAATTGCGTCAAGTGCGTGCTGCAACTCCCTCCAGTCTAGAGGCCCCACTCCCTAATGCCGCCCCTACTGCCGTCGGTCAAACATCCAGAGAATTTTGTATCAAGCCTCGACACAAGTGCAAGCCACTTGCCATTCTGGTCAAGACACCAAAGACATTTGGGTTGCTGCGGACATAGCCAATGGCATCTCTCCAGAAATGTGTGCTTGTGCTGCGTACATTAGCTCCTAACACCACAAAAAGACATTCCCCAATCCACGGCTGCCAAACTCAGTAACTTGTCATGTGCACCTGTTGTGATCGAGCTGTTAGGAGAGTTATCTACCTAAACAAGCCAATGTCAACGAGCAGCATAGCTCTAGAAGATCAACAGAATGGAACACTTTGGGGGTAGGGTAAACACTCGAGACTCTACTGGCTGCTTTGCAGATGACAGGAGAATATCGATACTATGCCGCAAAAATTGCACAAACTCTTGTTGCGTTACCGGAACAAAAATAGATCATCAGCGGCCACGCTGACCGGAACGAGACTCGGGGGCTCCGGTTAGAAACTTCCAATTCGTCTGTAAATTTGCCCTGGGTACATAGATTATCTGCTCTGGTCCTTTTGGACGAAGTCCATAGATGATAGTTCATAAAGCTGAAGATAGTCTCGATCAAAGAAGATGCTGGCAACTGTTGTTCAATTGACTTTTTTTGTATTTTTTTTTTTTTTTGGTTTTTGATCCAAATCCAGTCCCGCATGTGGTGCGCAGGTGTGCTCGTCGCTTCTCCAGAAGCTTGACATTTATCCGCCACCCGATACAGTTAGGTGTGGCTGACATGTGGCTAGTGCTCCGGCACTAAGTCCGCCGAAGCACATTCGCATGACCGAAGCCCAAACCAGGCAGGCGCCCAGACTTTTTAGGCTTGGGTCAGGCGAGAGCAGAGTCAGAGAGAAGTGGCCGGGCCAGGAGCGATTGCTGTCTCAGAAATCCCCCAGTCACGACCTGATTTTTAGGACGAAAGTTTCGTAACAACCACGAAGCCGGCGCTGCGGCGCATCACCATAATCCATTGTGTTTTTCTTAAGTTGCTCCGCTGACGCTGCTCAATCTACGTGCCACACGCATGCACGTGGGCTGATCGTTGCAAAACTGACGACCAAGGCAACGGAAAGCGACCAGCGAAACCAGACAAACCACGCAACACAGCCCTACGCTCTGGGAAGGGGTCCTCCCAGGCCTGCATAGGACCCCCCTACAGGCTACCGTTACAACTTCCTAACAGTCACGGCTGTGGCACTCCACCCACCACAGACAAGCGTGCCCAGTGATCAGTGTCCATTGCCTGGGCAGTTCCCCAGTCCCCCACCTCCCGCAAGATACCTAGCGACACAGCATTTCCCTGCCCTCCAAACCACCTACAGCGACCCGGATCCCATGCATTTGATGGGACCTCTGCCAGGCGCACTCTGGCCGCTCGACGACGACAGATCGCGAATGTCGCTGGCGATTAACTGCTAAGGACCACCCGTTGGCGCCCATCTCGGTTAGCCTGGCTCCGCTTCCCCACGCGATTTTCGACCCCGCGCGACCTTGTTTCCCTCGCTTCTTTCTCAGACCTTTGCCTAGCGTCCAGGGTAGACGGGGTCTCTCTGACCGGCCTTATCACCAGCGCTGTGGCTCCATCGACCAATATCCTTAACGCAAAAAAACAATCAACAGCTCCCAATAACCGTGTTTCTGCTCCCTCGTCTGCTGCCAGTCCGCATATCATGGCGTTCCGCGGCGACGACACGCGCCGATACGGCCACGTTCCTCCTGCTCAGTACTCCGTCGCTGGGGCTGCGGCTGCCCAGGAACCTCTCACATCCTACTCTGCTCGACCGCCGAGCTACAATAGTGGTGATGACTCCAGCTTTTTCGACCATACCGCTACACGGCCCCAGACACACTACTCGGGGACCTCCGGCCGGGGTGAAGAAGAGTTGTTCATAAGCAGCCCGGCCTCATCACCAAGTGCCCAGCCAAACCCCAACCGCGCGAGCTACATTCCCAGTTCTACTTCCACAACCTCGGCCTATCAGCGCCAGTACCAAGTTCCTCCTCCTCCTCCGCCGCCGCCGCCTGTCCATGCGACGACGACGACGACGACGACGCCTACCACACCAAATACAACGTATAATCCCCAACACTTCGCTCGTTCTCACTCTACTTCCCTGCCTTACCATCCTCATCCAAGGTATGGGTCCTCGACGAGCCCTACCTACACGACCCCTTTGGTGACGAACTACACTCCACCGGCGTATAACCCAGCCGCGTATGCGAACACTCCGACAACGAGCACAGTTCCTCATCGGCACTCCACCATTGCCGGGTATGGAAACTACCGGTATAATAACTACTCATCTCCTGCTGTCCCTCAAGTATCCACAACTTTTGTGCCCCCTCCTCCCTCGAGCTATGGTGGATCACAACCTTCTTCAGCGACAAGCCCCTCAGTTCCGCAGCGGTACGAGCCAGCGCTGCATAGCCCTCAGTACTCGTCGGCTTCAACTCCATCGGCCGTTTCACCACAGTATGAGCAGCCCTCTTATTCGTACAATCCGGCTCAATATACAAGCTCGTACGCCGCGAATGGGGCTAGCCCTGTCTCGACTGCCTCATATCCGGTGACAACTTCTACGGCGCCGTATCCCATGCAGAACCAGATCCCTGTTGGCCCCATGTACTCCTCTCCGGACCCGAATACCTTCGCCAATCGCACTACTCGGTCGGCTTCTCAACCACCTCCCCTACCATCACCTCCGATCTACATGTCGACGACTCAGCAACCGCTCCAGCGCCATCCGACAAATGCCCCTCTCCCTAGCCGCCCCGATGAAGTCGCTGAAGAACCAGAGTGGAGGACCGGAGGCGCTGAGAGTGACATCCAAGCTACTCAGGATAGTCTGATCCAGGAGATCGTTTCTGACCTGGGCATCAGCCATCCCCAGTCCCTGAACGGTGCGGCTCCGGATGTGACCGCAGACAATAGAGCCCACCGCTATAATTCGACCTCGTCGAGGCACACCACTGATTCGGGCGTTAACCTGCACCACTCCAATTCTACTTCTTCCAGGAGCAACAATGGCGGCGCTCCCTTGAACTACGGTTGGGATTCTGAAGAGAGCGACCCTGAAGGTGCTGCTGGGCTTATTGCTATGCGAAATGACGCGGATGATAGGCGTTTCGGTAGCCTTAGCTTCCCGACTTACATGGAGACACCTGTGACGGCTTCTGCTTCGTCAACAATTCCCGCTACGTCCCACCGTCCGTCCATTTCCGAAGAGACATTCCCTGAGCCGAGCGACTATGGTGGGATGGATCTTGGCATGTACGGAGGCGGCTATGCGGGCAACCTGCAGTATGGTACTGATGTCGGCCTGACGTCCGCTACTGAGTCTCGTCGGCCATTGCCCGACCCATACGCACAACCTGCCGAGCTTCCCCCGTTCCCGGATGTGTCTGTTGACTATGGTGGCACCGGTGGTCTCCAGGCTCCGCAAGAACGCCGGCTTAGCTTTGACGAGGGCGAGGAGAGAGTCTCTGTTCATTCTCGTCGGAGCAGTAGTGATGATCCCGAGAAGGACGACTTCCCCTACGACCAGATGTTTTGGCACCCAGGACTCACAAATCGTCCACTTCCAGCCATTCCAACCGCCCCTGAGAGCAGCTCACAGGCTTCGTCCCAGCCTGCAGTCACCACTGCTTCCTACTCGCAGCACACCTACTCTCTTAGCGCCGACAGCACTCTACCTTACCCACCAGGTACTCCTGATCTGTACCCGAGCCAGGGCTTTGCTCCTCAGCAGCCCGTGGAGAGGTCTGTGTCGCTCAACAACCACAGCACTACTCCTCAGGTACAAGCACCGGCCAGGTCTCGGACCGATGCCAACGAAGAACGCCGTCGGGCCAAGTACATGTCCCAGCCCCATCTTTATGGACCTGGCGCTAGCTACGGGACTTACGGCGCAGATGTGGCGTCGTCGCTGGCTGCTTACGACATGATTACCCTGCCTACCGGTCGCAGGAAGAAGTTTGTGCCATCCAAGCTTACTTCTGCCGACTTCAAGCGCTGCGCTGAGCCATGGGCGCTCAGCGGCGTTACGGCCTGGATTCGCGAGATGGCCGAAGGCGAGCCCGATCTGAAAAGGAAGACGATCGAGGAGGGAATTCTGAAGCTGTTCTGCGCCAAGGTGCCGACCATGAATGTCGCCGATGCCGAGCAGCTGAGCGCTAATGTCGTCGATTCCATGTTTGCTGCCGGCATCCTGCTCCCCGATGAAGAATGGGTCAAGTTCGGCTCTGGCGAGCTCTCCGGTGTATTGTGGCAACTGACGGGCTCGGGCTGCTATGCCCCCAAGTTGCACGATAGTGAGGATAGCGTTCCCAGGTTGCACGACAACGGCATACCGATTAGATGCTACTCGCATCACTGCGGCAGAACCCTGAAGAAGATGAATCTGGACAACCTGAAGGTTGAGGAGGAGCCTCCCATCCTGGACTGGGCGACATTCTACGGTCTGAAGAAGGAGGACATCGAGGGCAAGCCAAAGAAGGAGATCGAGAGGCAGAACGTCCTTCACGAGATCGTCACTGGCGAGGAAGAGTACATGGGCCAACTCAATGTACTCCGCAATCTCTACCGCGACCAGTTGCGGTCATGGCAACCGCCGATCATCGCTGAAAACCGGATGGAGAAGTTCATCGATGCTGTCTTCGGCAAAGTGGATGCTGTACAGCAGATCAACAAGGAGCACCTCCTTGCGCAGCTCAAGTACCGCCAGAAAGAACAAGGCCCCTGGATCGTCGGCTTCAGCGACCTGTTCCGTGAGTGGATTCGGAAGGCCAGGCCCATCTACATCGAGTACTGCGCCAACTATCCCTATGCCGAATATATGATCAAGAAAGAGGCCGCAAGGAATCTTCTCTTCCGCCAGTTCCTGGAGGTTGTCCGCGAGCACAAGCTATCCAAGCGTTTGGAGTGGAGAACATTCGTGAAGGCGCCCATCACGCGTCTACAGCGCTACGGCCTTCTCCTGGAAACGGTCAAGAAGAACATGATTGGCGAGAGCGAGGAAAAGACCAACCTCGAGAAGGCCCTGGAGGAGATCAAAAAGGTCACGCACGAGTGCGACGAGAAGGTGGCAGAAATGGAGAAGAAGGTTATGCTGTTGGAGCTGCAGCACATGCTAGTAATGCGCCCTGGCTTCCAATCCGTATTGAACCTCGACCATCTGGGTCGCGAGCTGTTGAAGCAGGGTGAACTTCAGCGTCAAGGTTCCAAAGGTGTCCGTTGGGTCGATACCCATGCGCTGCTCTTCGACCATTACTTTATCCTGGCCAAGGCGTTTATGGCCAAGGATGGTTCTGGCAAAAAGTATGACGTGTCCAAGGAGCCTATCCCGATGCCGTTGCTCTTCCTGGAGAGTACAAACGATGAGCCAGTCGCAAAACAAAAGAGCCTGACTGCTCCGCTTACCCGTACGGCGGTAACCGGCGCTGGTTCTCAGCTCATGAGCAAGTCGGCTACCATGTCGGAGAAGCCCGGGGCGGACGACGACGGCAAGATCATCTATCCATTCCGGATCAAGCACCTCGGCCACGAGATCTACACGCTCTACGCATCTTCGGCCCAGGAGAGGACTGCCTGGTGCAATGCCATCATTGAGGCTAAGACGAGACATGCCCGGGCGCTTCATGCCCAGAACGCGGAGCCCTTCCGCCTGCGTGTAATTTCCGACTGCGCCTTTGCCTATGATTCGACCTCGCCTATGGGCAGACAGCCGACCGTGCCCATCCGAGATACTCCTCTTGACAGGGCGATTCGCGAGATGGAGAAGACCTATGGTCCTGGCCGAGGTCCGCCGCCGGTGTGCAGAGCCACCGTCAACTGTGCTTGCGCCTTCAACATGTTTGGCAAGTCGATCATCGCTATCGGTACCGACTATGGCGTCTACATCTCGGAAGCTTCCAATCCACGCGGATGGACCAGGACGGTTCAGCTCCCCAAGGTCACGCAGATCGCGGTGCTGGAAGAGTTCTCGGTCTGCCTGCTGATTGCCGACCGGTCCTTGATCTCCTATCCTCTTGACATCATCGCTCCCGTCTCGGCCTTCCCTCCTCCGACATATGACAGCCCCCGTCGTGCTCCTCAAAAGTTGGCTAAAGATGTTTCGTTCTTTGCCACAGCACGCATGAAGGACAGAATGCTCGTCTTCTACAAGCGCAAGGAAGGCATGCACAACACCTTCAAGGTTCTGGAGCCCGTCTTCCAGCGATCGACCGAGAAGCGCTCCCGTCTGTTCGGCCGTCGCTCCGGTGGCACAACCGAAACCTTCCGCGACTTCGACGAGTTCTACATCCCCGCTGAGTGCTACTCGCTGAACCTCTTCCAGACCTACATCGCGGTCTCAACGTCCAAGGGCTTCGAGCTCCTGACCCTCGACAAGAAAGTCCCCCAATCTATCCCCCGCGAGCTCAACCAGCCCGAAATCGCCAACATCGCCTCGCGCATCAAGGATACCATCCCTCTGGGCATGTTTAAACTCAACGACAACGAGTTCCTCCTTACTTACGAGGACTGCGCCGTCTACGTCGACAAGCACGGCGAGATCTCGCGCACCCTCATCATGGAGTACAGCGGCAAGCAGAAGAAGGCTAAGGCAGCCACCATGTTTGGGCAGTACCTGCTTCTGTTCAATGACGATTATGTCGAGGTGCGAAACGCGGAGAACGGTCGGCTGAGGCAGATCATTGCCGGTCGGGATGTCCGGTGTCTGGATTATGGGTATCGTGGGCCGACTGGGTCGGGAGGTGCGAAACTTCCGCCGGCGCAGGCGCTTGCTGCTGCCGCGAAGGATTCCAAAGGGACAGTAAAGATTTGCATGAGTCACCCTGAGGTGTCGGGCGGGCAGATCGTACTGGAAATGGTGTTGAATGATGGGCATGTGGAGTCGTAAGGAGGTGAGATGAAATTGGGGAGAGGGATCAGACAAATACCAAGGTGTTTTTTTTTTTTTTTAGTGTTTTCGTCCTTTTCTACTTGGTTTTGATCTCTAAATATGTGGAAAGGCGTTGTGGGCGTGGCTGAGCTGGTTCTGGTGATAGTGATATGTATGGGTCTTGACGGTCATCACTGGGGTGTGAAGGTTGTTTTAGCCTTCCACATTCTTTTTTTTTTTTTCCTTTTGATTTCGCTTTGTTTCAACCAATAGCCTCTGGTTCGTTTTTCATCCTAAACGTTTGTTCAAGTGGCTTTAGTTTTAAAAGATCATGATTACCCCCTCGTCTCTGTGTTAAGAATACCGAACTCGTTGTGTCTTAAGATTGTTTGGTGTTACGGATAGGTTTGGCTGGGTGCTTGGTCTATGTATGTACGGTTGACCCATGTATTTGTCTACATGTAAAAGCATTGGATAATAGGCCAACGGCAGAGTTTTCTGCTGCGTGATGTTCTCTCCAAGTCAAAGCGCATGCACCCTGGCGCTCCCACAATTGGCAATCACTGAGGGCGTCTACAGTCGGGCACAACTTACTTCTGACGAGCATGCCCTCATCAGGCCTGCTCAAGCGCCTTCCAACCCGTACAATTTCAGCTGTCGAGTAGACATGCCATTAAGTCTGCCAATGTGGTCTCAAGTCCCATTCTCCACTTGCACTGGGCCAAAAGCAGTCGGCGCTCACCATCACCCTGTACCAACCACATAATCCGCTGCTCCCACCAATAAGTGGTCATTGAGCTTTATCCAGCAGCTTCCAATTTCCCAGCTCGGCTAAACAAATGGCTGTTCACTGGGTGGCATTACACTGTATGCCACTCCTCGCTGGTGCCAGTATCAAGAAGGGATCTAAGCATATAATTTTTTTTCTTGTAGGGAGCTTACAATTTAGAGAATTGTATCACAGTTTGCTAACTGTAGTATATGAATGTGTACCTCCTCGAGTCCCTAAAGAAACTAGGCAACAGTTACTGCACATGAAAAGAGCTTCTGCCTTGCATATTACTCGGTAATTAATACCGTGCTCTAAACACATAAAAGTCAAAACACTGATAGGCTTACTACCCAAGAAAGTCTTCTTATTCTCCCAGTTCACAGTCCCAAAATCAACGCAGAAGCAAAAAGACAAGACCGAACCCAACCTCAATGCATGGGGAAACTCTCTTTGGATGTTGTCACGGCCCAGAGGTGGAGCAAAAATCTCCCAAGAATGGAGTACTGGAGAGATGTGAAAAAGTAATGCGCCAGCCGCGAATCGAACGCGGGGCTCATCGAATCACTTGCCCGGAATGGCAACGATGAATTTTACCACTAAACCACTGGCGCTTACAATTGTCTGCTTGATGGTCGGCAGAAGGTTGCAAGGTCTTCTTAAACCGTCCGGAGCTAGCCCGGTCTGAATGCTACGTGCTCTGCGACCACGATACATACGACAACTTCGGATGACGGAACCCAAATAATTTCCATTCAGTTTGAGGACAAGTTTGTTGATCATGGAGCATTTTGGATCGAAAAGGCCGCAGAATAGAGAGAGAGAGAGAGAGAGAGAGAGAGAGACTTGCCAGCGACTGAGAGAGAGGCAAGATAACCAAGGACAACCAGATCAAGAAACACCGAGCTCACTGAACGGTTGAACATTAACACCATATATCCTCCAAATATTATATACAACCCCCCTTGCACCAACTCCCATCTAGTCATCATCCCAATGATAATACCTGCGACTAATAATAATCGGCCTTGCGGGATCCCAAGGCCCGTAAATCTCATTCTTATACTTCTGTAACGAAATCAACCACCAACTACACCCTCCCATAGCCAACAAACTCACCACGCATCCAACCACCATGCCCACAATGGCTCTCTTCCAAGGCCACGCCATAATCCCACTCACGCACCCACTGACTCCAACAGCCTCACAAGGCCTCGCCGGATCCCCCAGAATAATGCCCACCCCGGCACCCGCACCACACACCAATGCCACCGTCAACAAAACATGATACCTCCAACTCCTATGCCTGGCAAGCTGCCTAAAAACAGGAAAGAGCCCAAACACCTCAATGCTGAACAGCGTCAGCGAAAACACCTGCCCCGTCGAGGGCAGTCTGCTCGCCAACACAGTCGACGCCATCAGCGCCGCATTCGTCGACAGCGACGCAACAGGCATCTTTTTCTTCTTCATTCCTGGGCCCGGACCAGGAGCGTGAGAGGAGGAGGTGATTGCCACCGCCGCCGCGGTGGCAGAGGAGGAGGACCCGGTGCCGCGGCCGACCCAGCTCGTGCCGGAGTAGTCGAAGAAGAAGATGTTGAGGGCGAGCAGCCAGAAGGACATGGCCCAGATGCTGTCGGAGGAGGTGGAGCGGGTGAGGGATTTGAGGATGGGGGAGAGGCCGAGAAGGGTAAAGTAGATGAGGATGGCGGACTTAATGGTGCTGATGCGGGCGTACATGCGGCTTGAGGGCGCTGGGGAAGGGGGGTTGAAGGGCGGTCGGGGTAGTCGGGCCCTTGCCCTTGACGGGGTGTTGTTACGTTTGGAGTGGGAGGGTTGGCTGGGTTAGGGGTTGTGCTGGCCTGGGATGAGATGGAGTTGAGGGAGCTGACGGAGCGTGAGTGTGGGTGGCCTGGGACTAGGAGAGTATTGCCTGAGCCATTGCCGTTTTCCCCGTTATTGCTGCTGCCGTTGCCATTGCCATTGCTGCCGGTGGTGGTGCTGTTTTCACCATTGTTCTGTGGTTGGGAAGCCTGCAACGACGCGTTCTGATCTTGCAAGAGGTTTGTAGTCGAGCTCGCGGCTGATGGCAAGTTGGACGTGCTGGTCACAATGCTGGTGGCTATCGACGGCCGCCCGGGGCCTGTTGAGTCCTGACGCCGAAGAGAAGGAGGCGGCGCCGGCGGGGGGGGGTATTCTCTGCCTATGAGGGTCCTGGCCTCGTGGTCCGGAGGAAGGGACTGCAATTCCTGGGTGACCCAGTAGTCCCATATCAGCCAGCCGACAAAGGTAGCGAAGCTGCTCCACCCGACAACGGCGACAGGGCTGACCCGCTCTTGGAAGATGCCGACGAAGCAGACGATGAAGATGATGACAGAGCAGACGTGCTGGACGATGACGGTAGTGTCGGCGACTAGCGGCCAGAAGTCATAGGGACGGACACGGGGATTGCGTTGGAGGTTCTCGAGGAAGGTAGCTTGGTCGGTGTAGTTGTCGGGATCTGCCTCATCCTTCGTGTTAGTCTCGATTGCCGCTGATATCTATACATAGCACTAATATCCAGAAGACCCTTACAAGACTGCTTCACCCAGAGCAGCTTCTGGAAGCGCTTGCGACGGCGACTGCGGCTGCGGCTGCCGTCATTGTGCCGGATGCGACGGCGGTCATCAGCGCTGGGCCCATTGCCGGCGGCAGAATTGGCATACGGAGTCGCGCGACGGGGCGGGGAGGTCGGGGCGTAAGCGTCCTCGGGGGACAGATGCGAGGAGGAGCGATGATGGAGAGAGGACGAACGAGAGCTGGTCGGCAGACTGGCCGGGAGGGTTGACGATCGTACCAGCTTTGGGAAAGGCGTCTCGGTATCGGAGGGGATGGCCGACTGGATATGGGGTCCGGGAGGAGGGGCCATGGGGCCATGGAATTCCGAATTATTGCAATATGGCAATATAAAATACCGATCACGACGGCCGGCGACGGTGCTCCATTCACTGTACTCAGACGCAAGCGAACATGGGATCTCTTATCGCTCAGAATGGAATGGCATTAGTAAATGCGCCTTGTCTCATAGTGAAATGGTGAGATGCTTGTCCGTGATGCTAATTGGTATCCAAGACGGGACGAGACACGACCAAGCATGCTTGACAATCGTGAAGCGCGACTCGACGTCCTCAAGGGGTACACGCACGGACCACGTCTTGGCTCTGTGGGCCAGCTTTCCGCTGGCTGATCGACGTTGGGGGCCAAAACTGGCACCCCTCCCTCCCCGCCGTGGAGCTTGACATTCCGATCGTCTTGGCACCCGGGCGCTGGAAGGAGGGACGAACAGCTGCTATTCTCTCATCCGCCTCAAGGCTTGGCAAGGGCAGCGTGCGAGATGAGCGCGTGGATTGTTGAACTGCGAGATGGGTGTCAATTTGTGTCCGACGGTTGTATGTGTACCTCTAGACTTCTCATCCTCTGAGAGCTGTTTGTTGATTGCTCCGTGTCTACCGACACATATCTTCGCTGGGACCTCGCAGCACGTGCCCTGGCCTATCGCCAGGATGGAACGAAAAGCGAATACGCCACAGCCCTATGCAGCGCCTAGCGGATTGCTCCTTGAGACCCTTGCTCCCTTGTTTTTTTTTTTCTCGGACTTTTCCGCTCGTGTCTGTGGTGAGGCGCAGCCGAACCTACTGTGCACATGGCAAGTTTCTGCGCTCTATGAGTAATCCATAATCCGTAATCCGTCGCCGGTAATTCGTCCTCAGTCTCAGGTCTTTTCTAGCATTCGCTGAGGTTACGATGGTCTTGCGGACCGGCCATCAGCGAACTTGATAATGCAGAAGATAAGATAAGGAAATGTGCAGAGCCGTCATCGTTAACCATGGTGGTCTGCCGTTTGCCATGTTGCGCTGTGCAGAACGGCCGAGCAACTGTGAAGCCGTTGTCGACCAGCTTGCAAGCTTCCGAGCGCCACACATGCCGGGCAATGTTAGTGGATGCGGTACTTGCCCAAGTAATACACGTGAACACAGTAGGTTATCCAGCAAAACCGTAGAACAATTGGATGCCCACTTGCTGCACTTCCCCGGCGGGTTCCTGGTTCTTGACGGCGTACCTGTTATGGACGGCCTACAACGTGACGGAATCGTCGGTGATAATACCTAACTAATAATCAAGTTACAAAAGCATAGCTTGCATGCTGGCATGCCTACCCGTGGGCTCCCCGGCTGGATGGAAAGTGGACGTAAGATCGACATCAATGCTTGCAGAAACCTCTCGGTAACCTTTTCTCGGCGCATGGGTGCGACCTACTAGCAAGTCGCTTCCAGATTTCTCTGGTCTGCCTAATCCTTCCCATCGTGCTCTAAGTACCCTAATCAACCTCAAGAGTTAATGCCCAATGCGTAGCAATGGATGTTTAACCCCCGCGTGTCAGCGTGCCATTGTCCCCAGTCTCCGGATGTGCACCTCAATGGACATAACCTCTCCCCCCCCCCCCCCTCTCTCCCCAAAAAGTATCAGTCTGGTCGTGGCTGTACCTACCTGCCTGTAGGCTTTCCTGTCTGATCTGGCCGCGGAGCTGCTGGGTCTTCCGCGACTTAAAGTATCCGTGCTGTCGACTTCTCATTCCTTCCCTCCTTATCCCTGTGCGACTACCTACCCCTTTATCCTCCCCACAGAGCCAAGGAGAAGCGAACGGACTGCCCTTTTTATACGGATGCTTTCCTTCATACACTTCGATTCCTCCTCAACTTGACCCATTCCTTGACTAAGTCTTTCGAACCTCAGTCTACCGTGCGCCTGACGGCGGCAATTATCTACGTCACATTTTTTTTTGGATCAGGCATACTTCCTGCTTTATCCAACTTTGGCCTTAACCCGCAGAATTAAACCAACTGCTACACGACTATGAAGTTGAATGGTAGTTTTTACCTGGTCCTGGGCTGTGCCCAGGTAGCAGCATCCGCTGTACTGCCCGTCTTCTTCCCCAAGAACCCGAGCGAAGAGGCTCCCGATGTGAAGAGCATATATCCCACCCTGGAGAGCGAAACTTCCAGTCAGTCTCCTCCACTTGTCAAGAAACTCTACGCCGAGATCATGCTGCTTCGCGCACCGCGACCGCTCTTGGAAGCGCCATCTTCAAAATCCTTCACACTCCCGCCACTGTCAAAGCACAGAATACCGAAGCCCAAATCGCATCCACTGTCCGACCCGGATCGGAAGGAGGTGGGGGGAGAAGGGAACTTCAACGTTTGGGGCGAGGAAATTACTGGGGAGTCTTCTGTAGAGGGGGAGGAAGACGGAAGGACGGTCCAGCTGATCGACGTCATCATGGCATCGCCGCCCGCGCCGCCTCCGCCACCAGCTTCAAGTTCAACTGTCTGGCCGCTCCGGCCGGCATGTATGAGCGGAGTGCTGCCGAGCGATCGGAACGAGACCTTGCTGGTGTACTTGGCGTTGGCGTTTGTGGTGACTGTTGTGGTGTGCGAGACTTTACGCGAAGCTGTAGGGAGGTGAGTGTTTCGTCGGTCTCTTTGGTGACGCTATCATTGCTGACAACGGCGGCTTTGACTATGTGTAGCGTGAAGCTGTACCGTAGAGGTGCGATACGGCTAGAAGAGGATATACCTGATCCTGATCCTTGCGTCGAGGGGGAAGAAGCAGGAACGGTTGATGAAAAGAAGTCTTTACTCGTGTAAGTTATTGTGTGTTGAATAGACAACCAACTCAGAGATAGTATACATCCGACGTCAGTTTCCTTTGTCAGGCCATGTCTGCGCCTTGATATGTCGAGGAAGAATAATGCCCGACAATTCATGAATATCTGTTCGATCTGCCTTAATGAAGGCAAAGTGATGGAATGAGAGCATCTGTTTAAGGCAGTGCAGCTGCAGTTCCAGCAGGATCTGAAAGGTCGCGGACGGTGTAATCGGCAAGCAGCTTGATCCAGTTGCGGCCCCTTTACCAACGCCGTCATAATCCCGGGGGTTAAGGAGCAGCAAGCCGGGAAACGTAAATGTGCGGTGGCAGCTGGGCGTTGGGAGGGATTCCGGGAGCCTCTTCCAGTCGCCGGCGCTTAAAGGACATGATGGTGGGGGCGATGGTGTAAAAGATGGGGAAATCCTTCCCACGATCCTTCAGATCCTGGAGGAATTGATGATAAGCACATTCACACCAGGTTGCTTCGTCTCAGTCTCCCTTCCAGCTGGGGAAGTCAAGGAACTGCTCATATGTCGTCACTCCCAGGGGCCAAATGTCGACAAGCATACCATAATCCCATCTGTCGTCAGGATATAGTCGGAGCTCTCCATGACCGTTCTGATAGACTTTTGGAGCCATGTATATATTGCTGCCGATGTAGGAGATTGGTTCTTCGCGGCCCATTGCTAGCCCAGAATCTGCGAGCTCGACGTGAATGTTGTGTTGGGAGCGGAGGCAACGAAAATGTTGCCGGGCTTGATGTCCCTGTGAGCATTGGAAGGCTTCTGTCCGCGGAAACAAATCAAGGCTGATAGTCATTGACGCAAGATGAACACAATTTTGTTGTGCTGTAGGACATCATATCGATATAGCGACATTCCGGGCATGTGTTCAAGTCTCCAGAGAGACCAAGGGTCGGATTTTGAAGCTAACAGGTGCACAATGTTTTCCTTGAAGACAAATGTTGGTGAATATTGCTTTCCATAATAAGGATGCAAGTTGGACGTACATGGCTGACTCGTGACATTATCCGAGCTTTTCTCTGCCATGTCTCTTCGTTGACGCGTCTCCTCCGCAGGAGATCATCTCGGAGCTGTTCCTCCACGAAATCCTCAAAGTTCCCGGCAGAGAAGTAGTAAGCAACTGCATCAAACCCTCCTGTTCTCAGACCGTCCTGGAGGTGCCTGGTGTATACGTACCAGTCGGCCGTCTGGTGTCCAATGGTTTGGCAATAGTTAGGCGGTTCATGAGAGAGTCAGGGCGAGCAGAAGAGAATAATGGATAATTGGTGTTCTTGCCCCGACTGCCCTGTGATCGCTGATGACCAATTTGAAGTTGCTTCTCTTACCTTTGCCAGAATCAGCATATGTAACCTCGGTTCCAGTCAAGGAAACCTAAGTTTTTTTTTTTTTTTTTTTTTTTTTTTTTTTTGTACAATCAGTGGCTTGAAGTTGCCGAAGGTCAGGCTGAAGTGCTGGAGGTTGATGCGATCGACTTACAGCTCGACATCGCGGTTTCTGCCTCTCCCGAACACGGATCTATGAGGAGAGCTTGGGTGGCTCGCTGAACCTGAACTGGATATGTGGAAGCTAAGAATAGTCTGAATCGTCCTCGGCTAGACCGACAGTTGCCTTACGTTTATCATGGCTAGGCTTTGGCTTAGACTGCGCCAACAAATAATCTGGATAGGATTTTATCACTTCATTTGCCAAACTGAGGTTGCCTGCGTAGGGGTAGAAACGAGCAATGACGCCGGAATCGTACATCTCCTTGTCAGTGGATATGGAGGCTTCAGGCTTCGATGTAGGGGTTGAAGATATAGTTTTGTTTTGCAATCAAGAAAGAGAACGGACTGCGTAGAAAATTAGGCTCAACGATCTCGATGACAGAGCCATGCTGACTCTCTTCATGATGTCGAAGGTCGATCCAATTTTATATAAATATGCCTGCTGCTTGGGATTGACATAGACGCCGAGGCTTTGAAAAGCTTGTCAGAAAGGTCAGAACGAGCAGCCAAAATCCTTGGATCAATGCTCGGCGGTCAGCAATAGACCACAGGATTAGCCACAAGTCCAGTGTTTTCCGCATGAAAGAACAACTGTTGGCCTGACGGGCTGAGAACACGCCAAGTATGGCGCTCAACAGCCAAAATTACAACTTCATAAACAACACTCCGAAGTGAAGAACGACTGCGCGCATGAAAAACTACTCGATACAGTTTGAATGTTCTATTTGACATCGAAAAGCATACCATGCTTCGGTTGTGCCGGGTTGACATCCTGAATCTTCGTCGCAAAGATGTCTCAGGATGAAGCGATTGCCCATTATCTTCTAAGCTTAAACGACATGAAATCGCTGGTTTCCTGAGGAAACATCGGTGCCCAGGTGGTAATTTTGAGCTCCCCGTCGATGGATGGCATAAGCTTCAGCTAGACGAGCATATTGAGCTTAGAGAGTGATGGCTGTTTATAACCCCACCGAGGCTCGTTGTATCATGAATTCTAACTCAATATTATCTATAAGGCACAACAGCAGCATCTGGCTGAGGATCCAACAACATTCTCACAGCCTGTGAGCGCTGATGAGCTCATGGCACGCTTGCAGGATATCTCATCAAACGCAGATGGCAATGATGACAATGACGTCTCCCAGGCACCGTTGGCTAACAACTCAAAGGAGTATCTTCTATCAGGGAATTGAATGAGATGATTATTCCTCAATTCACTTACTCGTTATGCGCCAAAAATAAATATCTACTAGATCCTTTAGTTACAGCAAATTCAGTATCTATCATCATTCCACGGATAGAGCTCTGAGGGGACGGTAAGGGAATGTAATATGAACGAGAACAAAACGGCGGCGGTGACCAAAGCTGCCGAGGAAAAGGACAAAGAATAAAGTGGAGAAATGACCGCAGCTCTTTGGGCGTAATTCAAATTCTCTTGTTTTTGTATGTATTACTCCAAAGGAACAATGTCATCTTTGAGACATGAACGGCCAAGTTGGCTCAGAGCGTCTCCGAGGTCAAGATCAACTGGAGTCAGCCCATCATTTGAGCCCCGCTTAACACGAGCTAAGATTTAAAATGTGGGGCGTACTCGGGTGAAGAACCCGGTAACGATGTTATGTGTTCCTGTATTTGTATACAAGCTTGAGAAACTTTATGTGACGATCCAACTAGCCTTCCTGAGATTGGCTCGAGCTTGGTTCAAGGCTTTTGGATCTGAGAGACAGGAGTTCTCACGCAGATTCAGAAGTACTGCGGTCACCAGTTGGTTTTAGGCAACTGTTTGTATTGCTGACTGGCAGGTTCTTTTCGTTCCCCCCCCCTCCCCTTCTGCTGCGAGGAACCTATCTCTAACTTATATACTCAGAATCCTTCCTCGTCTCTTCTACCAAAGACCTTTAAGTCTTTCGTCGGAGATTCTCGGCTTTTGATGATCTTTCACTACTGACACTTAAGCTCTGAGATCTTCTGTTGGTGATTCTGGGCTCTGACAACCTTCCGTCAGAACCCCTTGTTTCTTTGCCGCTTGACACATTCTGTTTGTTAGTCGTGACATTATAGTTAACATTTCGTTCAATATGTCCCAGATCTTATGGACAATTAAAATAGTGTATTGTTCTAGTACTGATGGTACTGAAAGTTCTTGGGCCCGAAAGCCCGCTCCTATGTATTACCCAGAACAAGTTATATAAAACGGTGCGGCTGACGAACGTTAAATTAAGAAAAGTGGGGTGTGGAGAAGCTCCAGCTACGCGACTTGAAGCTTATGAAGCGCGAACTTCGACCTACAAAAAGTTATAACTGCTTAAATTCCCAGGGCGTGCTCCATGAAGGTGCGATTTCCTTTACTGTGATTCGGCCCACTCTTGCATTCAATAACCAAGTACTGTACGGATGGAGCTGCAGTTAAAATATCTTTCCCATTCCATGGCTGACGCGAGAAGCTTCGAAAAGTCCAACGCGACAACCTGAACTCCAGCTGAGCGGTAACATCTCGACGAGCGGTCTTCAATGTCAGTCATTTGCTGATTGCTGTAGTTCTACGACACTGTCTTGATCCACCCCCGAGAAGACAACATCGACGGAACCAGAGCGGATGCGACTTTGACGTTGCAACCATGTTCTCCTGGTCGTCTATCCTCCCGGATTTCACCCCGCTAGACGTATATCTCCCCCCCCCTTTTTTTTTCTTGCCATCTCCATCTCCACAGCATCACTAACGACCTCCTTCACAGCCCCATTCCCTCTGGTATACCTCCTCCCGCAACCCAAATCTCTCCCTTTCCCCCTACGACACTTCCGCCGAAGGCGTTACCAACCCAACTGCCCCCGCCACAACCCCCAATGCCGCTACGACAACAGGCACACCCCGCGCCCCAACAGGCCCCTCCAACCCCGCCCTCACCGCCGCAATAATCGAGCGCTCCATGCTCGGCCGGCTGCGCGCCGACGAAGCTTTGCTCGAGCGCCGGCGCTCCGCGATCGCGAACTATGGCAGTACGTGGCTGAAACCACCTGGTATTTCCAAGACATTGTTCCAGATGCGCGAGGAGAGGAGGGAGGCCGAAGAGCAGGCGGAGGCTCTGAGACGAGAGATGCTTGCGCAGGAGTTGGCCGAGGCAGAAGCTGCGGCGGCTGCGGCGGCTGCGGCGGGGGTTGAGGGGGATGTAACCGGGTTAGAGGGGGAAATTGGGGGTGCAAGGGGAGATGTGGAGATGGAAGGGGAGGGGGAGGGGATGGAGAGGGATTTGGATGAGGAGATTCCGGATGCGGATGCGACTGGGGGGTTGTTTGGGTATGATGGGAATAGTGATGATGAGGAGGAGGAGGAGGAGGAAGAAGAGGGTGAAGAGGAAGAGGAAGAGGAAGAAGACGAGGAAGATGAGGAAGAGTCAAGCCTCTCCCGGATTGAGGCGATACAGCAGCGTCGGGCGCAGCGGCACGAGTTGGCCAACCGCATGGCAAATATGCGCGCGACGGAGGACCGCATGCGGCAAATGCTGGTTCGTGGGGGGGCCGGCGGGCAGGAGTCTGAGGATCTGTATGAGGGCGAGGACGACTTTGACGAGGAAGAGCACGCGCAGGTATTGGAAGAAGACGATTTTGTCGGTGGCAGAAGCAGTCCTAGCCGGAGCCGTGGCGGTACTTACTCACATCATCATCGGCATCATTATCACCACCATGTTGAGGTTGATCCTAACCTTGATATGGACATGGACGCCAATCTGGATGATGATATCCCCGAGGCTGAAGAGCTTAGTCGCTATGAACATACTGACTCGGAGGCTGAGGTTTCTAGCGAGGAGGAAGGCCCCGAGGAAGAGGAAGAGGAAGAGGAAGAAGATGAAGAGGAAGAACAAGCAGAGCTGCAGGGAGAAGAAGAGGAGCAGGAAGAATTGGACGAAGAAGAGGAAGAAGGAGACGATGACGAAGATGATGGTCACGGTCGCCGGCTGAGTTATGCCCGTAGCTCGCGGGTCCTTGGTCGTAGGGCTTTCCAGCGCAGCACCCATGGGCGGCGGTCGAGCCTTGATATCAGCGGCTTCCTTTCACATGATGGGAGCAGCTTCTTGGAAGACAATTCACACCTCCGAAGGGGCTATCATGGCTAAGGTTGATGGCTACCTGCTTGTTCGCTTAATGAGTATCGATACCCGTTCTGATAGAGGGTCAGGCGTCTGGATAGGTAGTAGTAGGTTTACATCTTATGGCTAATGTCTACATATGAACGAGGTGTCATGTTTGGACATCTCTGATTAAGAACTGCATATGAGTGAACAGAAAACATAAACCATGTTCAACATTATTACAAAAGTCGTATCTCAATCAACAACAACAAGCCCCCGTGACGACAGAATGCAAGTCTGTTTTACACCACACAGCCCGTTTATTCATACCATTCATCCATCAATCCATCCATACAGACAATGCTCTGCAGTTTGTTATCCCAAAAAGCCCCCAACTCCAAGGCATTATTACTTCGTGCAGTATTATCATCGTTCGTCCAATTTTTAACCCGCTCATGACCCAGGATCCGTTTTGCTTAGAAAAGCCACACGTAAATAAACAGGATAATCACGGCCACGAAAAACCCCAGCCAGGCCTTCCAGCCGACGCCGGTCCGCTCGGCCATCAGGAGCATCCTGTTCATGGTGCCGCGCAGGCGCAAGCGTGTTTGGTCAAAGCCTTCGTTCATCTTTTCGGCGAGCGCGGAGGACTCGCGGATTTCATCGCCTATAGCTATCGTCATCTACGTACAATGTTAGTATTGGGAGATGGGGAAAAAAAAAAGGGGGGGGGTTGTACATCTTTGAGTAGTTTAACCTTGCCCATGATACCTTCTACTTGTTGTTCGTTTTGGCTCTCGAGCTCGTTGAGCACCGCGTCGGAGTATTGGCCCCTGTGTTCACCGTCAGCATCAGACATCTCAAGCCCCTCAGCGACTCCTTCTCTTTCTTCCTGATTAACCAACCCTCATCAACCTCATATTAACCTCACCTCCCTTCAAACCTAGTCCCAGATCTCGAGGAAAACAAAAGGGGAACTCACTTTTTATTTGGCGTAGCCGCCCTAAACCCCCTTCCGCCAGTTTCCCCCCCAACACCCAAATAAGGATTTCCCTGCGCCGCCCCGTGACTGTAGCCTCCCCCCACACCAGCTCCATACCCGCCGTAGCCACTACTCCCTCCCGTTGTCCCATTTTGATTGCTGCTATAGGGTGATGATTGACTGTGTCGGTAACCGCTGGCAGGGGACGCACTCATCGTCCGGTTGATTGTACTGCTGGAGCCGGTGTAGCCGCGGAAGAGGTCGGAGCGAGGGTCGCGTTGGTGGAGGGTTGAGGGACCGAATCTGATAATGTTAGTGCCAGTTTTTTTTTCCTCTTTTTTTTTGGGGGGGGGGTTCTTTGGTTATGTCCAGGGGGCAGGGTAGGTTACTGAGTGGTTTAGGGGTTGGAGGTGTATGCGATGCGATCGAGGATCTAGGTGTTGGCAGTGATCGAGATTCTGGGGGTGTAAGAAAGGTTATCGCCGCTCGCGTGGAGCATCCTGGACGCTCGTCGCGAGTCTCTTGCCATCGCTAGCATGTCGCGATCATCCCCAGCGTCGTCGCCGTTGCCAAGGCCCGCCCCTTAACAACCTTCAAAACCGCCAGATCGACGGAACGATAGATCGCGCTAGCATCGCCGATCTGGATCTCGTCGCTCCCACACCGATCATATCGCCTTTCCTCTTTTCCCAGCACAACCCCCCAAGGCGCTTGCAAAGAACCGGAGTCAACTCACCTTGAAGCCATTTTGCGCAATGTATGTAGTAGGTAAGTTCCCAGGCAAACAAATGTTCTGATCTCGGAGTTATGCGCTATCTGCCTGGCATCGCGCCTCAGTCTAGGCAGAAAGAATATAAATCAAGCTCGTTCCTGAGAAGGACAGAGAGGCGCCAGCAAAAGCGCACTAAAAAACGCGGGTAAGGGCGAGGTATGCGAAGCAAGCTTGCCCCCCTGGAAACTGTTCCGCTCCGTTGTAGAATGTCCGGTATTTGACTTTGGGGCAAGCGAGCGCCCTCAAGCAAGCGATTCGGCGACCGCTCTGGCCCTGTGGGCGGGTCGGGCAGAGGGCGGGTCACAAGGGTGCCAGCCCAGTTTCCCCTAGCATCCGGCTTTTTTTGGTTCTTAACTCTTTGTCCAGCCAGTCCCGACAAAAAGCGTCCAAAGCCCACTTTGCAAGAAAAATCTTGGCGATCGCGAAGATTGGCCAATCTTATCGGTACTGATTTCTTTTTTAAAGAACCGTCGAATTTGCTGCAAGGAGGAAGGGAAAAAAAAAGTTGGGTAGTCATCAAGTTCCATGCATGCTTTTTAGGAGATTTGCCACCTGTGATGATGGTGAGGGACGGGGCTTGCATTTGTTCCTGACATGGGTGCTACAACAATGGGTATTTGTGTGATCGAATTTAGCTTCTAGAAGGGAGACATGATCAAATCACTGGTAAGGGTGTTGTACTGGATCCTGCGATGAGAGCTGGAGTTGGGTCGCTTGCATGTGAATCCAAAGCGAGGTCTGGGAGACATCCAAGTGAAGACTTGTTTTGGTAGACCCAAAAACATCAAGGTGCCGTCTCAGGACGACGAAGAAAGGAACCACATCTCCCCAAGGCAATAAACAACAAGCATCGCACTGTAGTGGGCGAACAATTGAGATACTAGGTCAGATCGACCATATACTTGCTCGCCTTGCGGCGGCTATCATTGCTAATCCTCGAAATCGCCAAACCCAATCCCCAACTCCCATCCGGCCACAGACGCCTACAAAGAGACCTTCCGTGGAGTGGTCGGCGCTGTCAGTGACACCAATCAAGCTGCTACGGAAGACTGCCACCGTCCCAATCCTAAACCCAGATAACCCGCAAAACAAAGAGGTATCCAGCCCGATGGATACGTTCCCATTTCCCACAATTCTTTTTTTTTCGTTCATCCCAAGACGTATAGAAAGGAAAAGAGAGGAAAGTCGTATGACCAAGGGGGTATGGGCGCCGATCCAGCGCGCGACCCGATGGCCAAGCCAGTACGAGAAGTAAACTAGCCTGCTCACCGGTCGTCGTTGCAAAGTGCGCTTAGTCCTCGTCCATCTTGTCTTCGTCAACGTGGAAGTCCTCGTCCTCCTCATCGTCGTCGTCATCCTTGGGGGGGTTCTCCTGAGCGGCCTTAGCGAAGTCGATCACCTTGCCGCGGGTGCGACGGCCGACGATGTTCTCGGGGTCGATTTCCTCGAGGTTGTCCTCTTCTGGTGATGGTCAGCGATACGACTACATGCCGTTATGGGGGTTAGTTAGGGGACGAAGTGTTGACGTACCAACTTCGGCGTCCTCCTGCAATAAAGTTATTAGCATCGCGCGTCCGAGGATAAACAATCTGACAGGATGTAATTGTCTTACCTCATCCACATCATCATCCTCGTCATCATCCTCGTCATCCTCCTCGACCGAAACCATGGAGGTATCCTCGAGCTCCTCGGTGGCAACGGCCTTGCCCTTGCCTTTGACATCGGTAACCTCGGTCTCAGCGACCTCAGTGGTCTCAGCCAGAGTGACGGGATCATCGTTGCCGTTCTCAGTCGCCATTTTTGCGGTGTTGTGTAAGCCGAGTTGTTGTGGCTGTTACTAGTAGGCGAATTGGCTTGATGGATCGCTTTGTTTTGTTGTGCTGTTGTGTGTTGTGTTATGATAGAATTGCAAAACAAAGTGTGAGTGGGAAAGAGGAAGAATTGGATGTGGGAAAGTCGAAGGGCAGGTTCACGGGAAAAGATGAGAAAGGAAGGAAGGCTTGAGGAGAAGGTTGTCGATGCAAGGAAGGGACCAAGAAGGTGTTTGCTAGGGTCCACCACAGCAAAGGACTGGAGCTTCCTTCTGAAATTCTGGGCTCTCGGCATCCAGCTGCCTGCCGCCAGTGGGGTCTCGGTGTGGGGCCCAAGCTTCTCTGTTGTCGCTAATAACCAGCTGAAACGGGTCTGTGCACAATGGCGAACTGCCGTGGCAATAAATGGTTTGTTGAGGTTCGCGAGAGAGAGAGAGAGAGAGAGAGAGAGAAGAAAAGAGAGAGCGAGCAATAAGAAGAACAGGGCTGGCGCAATGTTATTGAGAGTGCTTTTTTGCGGACTCTCAGGTTCCTGGTGCCAATAGATTCATATAACAAACCCACACATACCCATGACTTCCCAGAAAAATAACATCAAGAACCAATGCCCAAAGATCATATTTAGCACTCTATATCACGTATGCATTACTTCTGCTCCTCTCCTGGACCTCCAGCAAGCATCATGAACGTAATAAGAGCAATTGCCCACCAGTATCTATGATAGATCAGTCAGCATCATCTCAGGCACCCCAAAATGCAAAGTTGAACACCTGGTGCAGGGGGACTTACTTCTGAAAGAAAGTCTTCTCCTCCCCCTCCACAGCCACCCGTCTCCCATTCTCGTCCAACACCACATTCCTCCTTTCCAACACAGGCTTCCCCCCCTTGCCAATCTCCACGACTGCCGCCTTGGGGCCAAAGTCCCGCGTATGCCCCGCATCAATCTTCACCCCACGGCAAGACACCCCTAGAATGTGCTCCCTCTCATCCTGATCAGAGGGTATCTCTTCGCTGGAAACAGTGAGAACAAAGTGCGGTGCGTAGCCCTTAGAAAAGTTCTCTGCTGAGAGGACGGTTGTGGCGGATTCCCAGCGTGAGGTGGTGGGGTTGTAAAGGCCGATGCGAACGAGGTTGTTGGGGGTGGTGCTGTCTCCCTCTTCTGGGAGAGTTGGAGGATCGTAAGACATTACCCTCGCCCTCCTCCCACCAGTACCGCTGTAGACCTCCTCTTCATCGTTATCCCCTGAGCCGTAGAAATCATCTTCCTTCAACACTTGCTGCTGTCCCTGTTGTGCCTGTTGTGTTGAGGCCCCGGCCTTAGGAGGGGTGCTGATAGCGATTTCGGCGAGGAGGGTCGGGCGAGCGTCGGGCGCAGCAGCGAGGGGCTGAACGTAGACTGAGGCGATACGCTCGCCGGGACGGGTGCGCGCTGCCGTTGCCGTGGCCAGCAGGGTCGAAAGGAGGAGGGCTGGGAGTTTCATGATGCTCTCTCTCTGCCGCTGTCCTTGGATCTGTGCCTGAGTCGAGATCAGGGCTTGCTGGTCGGTTTCGGGACAGCGCTGCTTCTTGGTAAGTTTGAGTGCAGACAACCGAAGAGTTGCTGCGCGCGCACAGGGATATCGACTGACAGACGAAACTGTTCAGTCCATTCTTTCGCTGGATCCAGGTCGCAGATTGCGGTTCGAGCCAAGGCGTTGGGGACGGCTTGGCGCGCGCGGGACAGCTGCATCCTTGCGCTGTCGTCATTGGCAACAGGGCTTGTGGTGTACAACTCCACCGTCCATTCAGGCTCTTGATCTCAAACCTTACTTGGACTTCAGTCCAAACTCGTTTTCGACCCAAAAGCAGATAGAATTTTGGTAAGACACATGATACCATGACAGTCTAAAGCACTTCGGAGCACTTCGGGTTTATAAACATAAGTGGTATCTCAGGTGCTAGGTGGCATGCACTCTTATGCTTGGACTCAACCAGGAGTCTCGCCAGTTTCCAAGTCCTCCCCTACCATGCATATGGGTAGTATCCAAGAAAAACTCCTACGAAGCCAATTCCAACAGGCCCATCTCTCTCAAACATGTAGGTTGGCTGAAGTCATGTGTTATCCAATTATCAACGGAGGCCCTCTCGATTCGACTCTTCTATGAGTCGCTATTGTCTCCCAAGAAGTCCTTCCTCGCTCGTGCCGGGGGAATCCTCCATCTCATATCCAGACCCCTGTCCTTGATATCCCCCGTCAAAGGTTTCATTGTCGTCAAGTCCATCGTCATCGTCGTCGTCATCGTCATCTTGATTTTGTTCTTCATCATCGACATCCTCATCCTCTTCTTCGGCCTCAAGCTCATAACCCGGGCATCGCTCAACCAGCCCCCTTATAATAGGCCACCAAAACTTCCGGGTTGGGGACTATCTTCCAATCAACCCTTCGTAGAAACTCGAGCTCCAATAAGTTAAGCTCAGCAACTTTGACGCCCCCCACCCGGGCGTACGTCGAATTATTCCAAAAAGCATCTGATAAGCCCTTGGCCGCGACGGTAGCAGCCGTGATAAGGAAGCGGTGCACGGTAAGCGTGTTGATGGTGAAGTCGGCGTACATGGCGCACAGCCGGTCGATGTAGTAGACCATGGATAGGAGGAGCGGCGGGGTGAGTGTGGCATGCTTGGCCAGGCGATGGAGGTAGTCGAGGACGGAGATGCCTGGCGCCGTTCTATAATGGAGCCACGGTCAGTCCCCTGACGACCAACAAAGAGTTTCAGTCTGTCACAGGGGCGGGGTCATACCGGGAGTGAAAGCGGGTAAGATTTCTTGATTTTAGAGAGAGGGCGTCATTGGTCTCGATCAGTTCGCCGAGCATGTGCGCAATCAGGACAACCATATCTTCAACCGGGCAGTGTTCATATCGCAGCGGCAGGATCTTGGGCGGTGCCATATCCGGCTTAGCTCGTTTCGGTATTGCGGAAGGGCTATGCGAGGACGAAGTTCCAGAGCACCCCGGCACCTGAGAGATTCGCCTCTTCGACGGAGAGGGAGATGGGGGAGCCGAGTGGACGCATTGCGCCTGATGATGTGATGCAGCCGTCTTGGAGCGTCTGAGGTGCTGCGCTGCGGCTACAGGCCGCTCATCGGGATGAGCCATAGCTTCTTCGGGAGCTGGGGCAGGCTCTGGGCCCCGTGGCACGGGATCGGGATCGGGCTGGGAGGTAGGCGTAGGAGGAGGGTGGGGAGCTTGTGGGTGCAAGGCGCCGGCAGGCGTCGTCCATGTGCTCCGTAGGCGGCGATTGTGTAGCAACGTCTTCGGCTACATATCGCTTCGACAGCGGCGTAGCTGAGGACGGGGCGGGCGTTTGTGTTCACTTAGGTTGTGGTCGAGCGGTGTGCTGAACTGAATGTGGGGGTACAGCGTCTAAGACGATCGGCCGCCTGGACCTGGGAGAAGAGAGCGGAAAGTAGAAGGCGAAGACGAAATTCGCAGTTAGGATGGTCGTAGGGCATAGTGAAAGGCGTGGCTGCTTCGAGGCGACGCATTGATTGGGAACGTGGGAACGGAAAACCGCGCCAACATAATCCCAACCTCGATGCCTCGTCGGCAGCGCAGGTGTGGTGCAGGACGGAGCATCAACGCCAGAGATGCTTTTCGACATTCGTGCGGCGCCCAGCCCGATGAGGGGTGGGGCTGACAAGGGCGAGGGGACCCACCACGTTCATCATCCTTGTCAGGTCACCAGGCTGCCCGCCGGCGGCCCCAGGACCACCACGCGGCAACCCTTCCGAATCTCCACACAAAGACGGGCTCGATGATCGGACAGGGGGCAGTTCCGGCCTCCCGGAACCTGCGCCGCTCAATACCCTGACATTACGGCAGCTACTGCAATGCTAGTGTCCTGACACTATTCTACACGACTGCGGGAAGCATGCGGGAACTTCTGGTGCTGCGGGGGTTTCAATACCCCGGATCATGGACTTCTGACTTTGAGCATTTAGTGTACAGCTGCAGTTTCAATATTGCTTCCATCACCCAGGCTGCAGCTTTGAACTGTTCCCGGGTATGCATGTAATGATCACTTCCAGCTGGGTATCCAAAAGGCCCAATTAATCCACTCAGCTTTACAACATTACAGCTGCAGCTGCCCATTCTAGGACTTCGCTGGCCCGCAACCACGCGGATCGGAACATGCATCGCCGGGTCAGATGGGTAGGTAACACAGAGGGCCCCGGCAGGAGCTCTCAGCGGTTACTCGGAAGAAATCAGATACCGTGATAGTGTGTCTCTAGCCGATAGCCCTTAAGCCGGCATGGCTTCCATCATTGGCTTGCGGCATCGAATGGACTGGACGCAGGTTCCAGGCTTGGCGGTTCGAGGGCGCGCAGATGTCCGAGGTGGTCCGCTGGCGGTAGAGTAGAGTTTATGTGGTCATCAGCGTCACCTGTTCAACTCCGCGAAAACAGGTCCAACATATATGGCGGGTTGCACAACTTGATCGGGATGACATTGGATGAAAATCTCCCTGCAGAAGACTCGATCAAAGAAATCGTGGCAGTTGGAAGGGAGGGGTGGGTCATCAGTCAGATCATTTGCCTACGTGGACATTGTAGTTGTCTGCTTTGTGTCTTCCTCCAGCAGTTAACCACGCAATGCCTCGTTAACATCAATGCTGTAATAACAAATTGGTAGTTCTGGAGATGTTTGGCTCACAGCAAGCCGGGATCGAAATGCTGATGCAGCCATTTGATGCACATGGTGATTGTACCATCAGATGATAAGATAAGCGATCGCTTGTGCCCCACCTACCGGGCCCCAGATGGAACCCTGGAAGATTTGATGATCCCTGCTCGCGCCTAGACTGAGCACGACCTGGTCTTCGTCAGAGGTTGGGGCCTGTGCTTCATTGGCCGATTTCCTTGACGTGCTATCATCATCCACGACACTGCAAAAAGCCAAACGTTCTGACGGCGTCAACCCATCATCCCAATATCCCGACCTCTGGCATCTGGCGCGACTGGGTGCTTGCCCTTCAACAACAATATAGTGACAACCTCTAAATCCAGACTATCTTCGGTAGCGAGTAACCGAGCGCATCACATTGATCGGCCGAACTGCTCCCGAGTTCCAGAACACTCCCCAACCAATTCCCCCCCCCCCACCCACCATCTTGTGTATCGTTGCTTCAACAACAGTTTGGATCCTTGCTCCTTATCGCTGATTTTCAGCCTAAGCCAAGCACTTGCATGACATACCCGGGATCTGGTCATCTGGACTTTCAACGAGCCGCTCGTATCCGTTAATCTCCAGCAATAAGCCTTTGGCGAGGCTCCCGTTCTGTCTTAGTTTATTCTTCAACCTCACCATCTACTGAAAAATCTAGCAAACTTCGACCATGGCACGAATTCAAACACCGCCAGTCCTCTCACAAATCAGGGTTGCTAGGAGTTACAGCGAGCAGGCTGTCGGGCTCCGGTCCTTGAAAGACGAGATTATTGGCCACAACCAACGAAAGGAGAAATGGGTTGAGTGCGGCATCTTAGATACGTTAGTCGAGATCTTGCAGAATAACCATCCGCCAGCTTCAAGGTTGAACGGGAAACAGCCGTATGGACAATTATCTGTGCAGCAAGGGACTTTAACTGACACTGAAGTGGTCCGGTTGTTGTCTCTACAACTGCTAGGCAGCTTCGCCTACGGTGAGTGTGTCCCAAAGCCGGATGGATGCCTATATTAGACTACAGTTTATTGACAAATCAGGCGGGCCTCAATTTCTTCAACCCTTCGATGCCGCGGGCGCTGTTCCTGCGATACTTGCCAACATCTCACCCTCCGATGCTCCTCCCCAGCTAGTCCTGGCTGCTCTCCGGGCGTTGAATTACACGGCCAACTCGGCACAGCTGGCACCCCCGGGCGCTTATGATGCGGTCGGGCTAGCAGACGCTGTGTTCTCCTCCAAGGCCCTCGAATCCTTGTACGCTGTACTCTGCCAGGAATCAACAGACGTGGTTGTGCAGGAACAAAAACGGCTCGTTGCGGCTTTGATCAGCCGGTTATGCAAGATCCCCCGCCACCAGAATGCCATCGCAGATTCAGGCATTCTCGACGCTCTGGCCACAATGCTGGCTAGCGTGGTGGTTGCAAGAGGTGAGGTGATTCCAGGAGCCGACTACTTGGGACAAACCGATGGCCTGGCTTCCATGATCCCAAGCCCCGGCTCCTCCTGGGACAGATTTGGCTGTCATTCTCGAGGCTTTGTCCGCCATCGTTGCGAACTCCCGGTACCGGTCCTGTGCACTGCTCAGCTCTCCGTCTATCCTGGCTGTCTTGCCCCACATCGAGATCATTATGCCCACGGTCACAGGCTCAAGAACTGCCTGGACCGCGCTCGAGATGAGTGGCCTTGGCAACTTGCGGGACAAGAACCCAGGGGCTATGGAATTTCTGCTCCCTCCCGTCCCAATTCCACAGTCCAAATTCCCATCCAGCCATTTCGCCCAATTTCCTCCTCTGGGCGTTTCTCCATCCCGCGACAACCTCATGATTTTCTCTGGTTCCCGATCCAGCGGTGGAGACCCTCCTAGCGAGGACTCGGAGGTAGATGATACCGAAAGTCCTCTCATCCCTTGGCTCATTCATCTTGCGCGTGATACGCAGGGCATGGAGAGAGTGATGGCCCTTTCTCTCCTGACTTCTCTCTATAAAGCTGGATTCGCAAGCCCCGAACGGGAACAGGCACTGGCTGTGCTTGTTGTCCCACTCCTCTGCCAGTTGATGAAGGAATATGATAAGGAGATCTCCAGCAGTACTCTGCAAGCGCCTAATGTCGAGCCGGACATTGCGCTGGGATGGTCTATCCAGGAACGGGCTGCTGATGTCTTGGCCCGCTTGGTGGGAGACAGCGAAATCCTGCAGCAGGCTGCTGCCGACTGCGGCGTCATCAAGATGACAGTGAAAATTCTCAAAGACTCGTATGAGCCTCAGCCCGTGCAGACGGCTCCTCGGCCATGGTCTCCCAATCCAGACAAGACCATGGACACAGGGGACACCAGTCTGTCATGCCGCCTGGGCCCCAATGGCTTAGTTCCAGCTTATGTCCACAAGCTGAAGCTGAGGGAAGCTGGGCTGAAGCTGGTCGCGGGAATGGCGACGCTCCAGGAACAGCTCCGTAAGGATTTGGCGGAAGCCGATGCTGTACCATACGTCGTGGAGTCGCTGTGTCCGTCACCCGGGAAGCCTAAGAGCTCGAAAGACAGCGACGAGGGGGCTACATCTGGGGGCACTAACCCCTATGGACAGAATCCAGAGAGCGTCCTGATCGCAGCATGCCATGCGACAAGAGCTCTTTCGCGGTCGGTTGACAACTTGAGACGGGTTCTCTTCGACAATAACGTCGCAATTCCCATCTACAACTTGATGAAGCACAGCGACGTCAACGTCCAGAACTCCGCCTGCGCTGCCGTAATTAACCTGCTGTACAAGGCCAGCCCGATGCTGAAGGTGAGCACACAGATTGTTTACATAGTGGTAGTTCTGATTTGCTAACACACGGATGGAACAGCCTCTTCTGGATGCAGGCATTATCAAGACATTGTGTGAACATGCCCATTCGCTCAACGCCGGATTGAGAATCAACTCTCTCTGGGCACTCAAGCACATCGTCAATTGTGACGAGAAGTCGCTAGTTGACAACAACCTGCGAAAGAGGGTCCTCGAAGAGCTCGAGCCCGGCTGGCTCGTCCAGCTCATCAGCGATGACATTTCCGACGAAGAGGCTCTACAACAAATCCGTGGGCGGTCATCGTGGCGTGCGAAGGACGCCGACGACGACGAAGATATGGACGCTCCCGAGAGCACATCATACGACGAAACGGAGTCAGCACCCGGCGGCACCTGGACCTGGCCGGCCCTCAGCCGCGTGTGCATGCCCCTGCCGCCACGGCTGCAACAATCCCTCCAGCGCCTCAGCGCCCTCCGCGATGCAGAACTCAACCCCGTGCGCCGCGCCCGCAACGACAGCCTTGACATCCAAGAGCAGGCCATCAGCTTCATCCGTAACTTTCTGTCCATTCCCGAGGAGGAATCCCAGCCCGAGCTGGTCGACTTTATCTTCTCCGAGATCGGCCAGGACAGGCTGTTTGGCATCCTAGCGGACAAGCTTAGGCGGCGCGTTGTGGGTGGTTTGAGCCGGCGCAGCCGCTCATCCAGCACGACTGGCGCAAGCGGCAGCAATAGCAATAACGAGAGCGCCGTGACTTTTTACCCACAACCTCGTGTTGTCGAGAACATCATCTGGGTCCTCTGCCACATCGCGGCAGCCCGTCCTCAGCACCGCCAGCTGGTGCTCGCTCAAAAAGAACTCCTGCGCCGGTTGTCAGAGCACTTCAACTCGTGCGACGTGGGAGTCCGTCGCGCGCTTGTGCAGCTCTTTGAGAACTTGAGCTGGAGCGACGGGGATATGGAGAATGCGGCGTGCCAGCAGCGCGCAAGAGAGATTGAGCAGATGGGATTTTTGGAGAAGTTGAAGGTTTTGGAGCAGAGTGATGTGGATAAGGACGTTAGGGCGAGGGCGGCGGGTGCGGTTGGGCAGCTGAAGGCGCCTGGGGCGGGGAGTTCGTGATTTCACTGAAAGGGGGGATGGCTACGATGGGCGATGAGGATGGAAAGGGGGAAGGACAGAAGCTGTGTACATAACAGATACATACGATACGATACGTTTCGGTACATGCCCGACATCGAACATCACAGTAAACAGTAGCAACAGCAGAAGCAGAAGGAGTATTGGTTTGTTTTTGTTTTTGGACTCAAAAAGGGATGAACGGGTTGGGGTTTAAGGTTAGCTTGGATTGGTGTGTTCATACGCAGGTAAATAACACAACAACATTGCTATATTGCATAAGCACCTTTCTACCTTCGGTTCTTACCACTGTGTGTGAACGACCGGGTGGCTTGTGATTTGATGAGATGGGCTAGGAGTTTGGAAGTGCCAAATTAATGCTATATTGATGCACATAGTGAGGAGTTCACGAATGGTTGCTTAGTTTTCCATGAATACCAAGTAAGCTTCAAGATGACGAGTTGAGAGTTTAACGGGGATCCTTTGTCACTGCCCCTTCCACTTACACGGGCTTTGAGCCTCAGCAACCGTAACCACAGTGGCTTGGGCTAAAGTGTAAGCGGTCTCAGATGATTTACCTTAGACTCGGGTAGTTACGGTCCAAGAATTACATCTCAGAGCCATCCAATTGACTGATGACGGATTCAGCCAGTCAAGGGATGAGAGTTGGTCACGGGGCTACGAATGGGAAATGCTATTGAGCTTCAGCTATGGTATGCTCTATGCTTCGTTCAGACCCATCATCCTTGACTTTGTTGACCTTGTGGTCGTTGTCGACATCATCATAAGCCCGGTAAGTGACTTGCGTATGGTTGATCGGCAATGGTTCGCTTGAAGGGGGCTTGTTGTCTTGTGAGCGAGGGGGTTGCAGGTGAGGAATCATCCTTCATGGGGCCCTGAACTGATGTCGGTTGTGGATTGGGCTTGGACTGTGTGTGTTAAGCACCCTGACTTTTGGCTGACCAAGCAGCTCAGCTTAGAGCAAGCTTGAAGCTTGGATGATGATGCAAGCTCCTTACAGCACAGTATACCAGCACCTACGATGTAAATTGGTATCAGAAGTGCGAGAGAGGGGGGGCCCTTCTACATAGCTGCCATACGGTATAACAACGGGAGCTAAGCATGCTGCCTGGGGTGCATTAGCGTCCTTTTGTTTCAAGCCATCTGTAGCATTGGTCGGCAGACTTGTTGGGGGTTAAGACCAATGGGAGGATTGGTCTTGGTCTGGACTGCGAGCAAGCCAACAGCAAGCAAGCAAGCTGGTCCTGAAACCGTACGCAACTACTGTAATTAATTAGGTCCTGACTAGCTGTGATTTTGCTGTCGTTGGTTTGTCATCCTCGTCGCCCGATACAATCCTCCATTACTCCGAAACGCTCTGACCTTGACGCCTAAGGTTCATCTGATTTACTCGTCCAGTGTCATATCATTTTTTTCTCTCCTATAATTCACATGTTATGGATTAACCTACAGCTCGTCATTAAAAGAGAAAAATTTTTTTCTTCTCCCTCAGACTTATACACTAATACACGGCAGTTCCCTTGTTGTGGCGTGACGTTGGCCGCGCTTGGGGACAGGACAGCGAGGTCGTCCGAACCGGCTGGAGTCTGCCGGACCCATCTCTCCGATCTTGAATGCCTCTCAGTCCCCACGCCATCGGCAGCCAGAAACAAGTTCTCTCGGCTCGCGGCGTCACAGCGGCGGTGGCTGCCGGCAGCGATGTTTAGCGAGGGTCAACCTGGACTGGCAGAGTAGCATCTGAGCAGATGACTTGTTGCGCAGGAAATGTCAATGGTCGAGAGTACTGGGATGAGAAGACCAATCCAGGCCATGTAAGTGAGGACTTCTCTCGTGATGGGCGGAGACAGTGTGTATTCTGCAGGGACAACACTGTTCTTTAAGAGACCAAACGTATAATCCAGAACAGGCCCCTCCATGGCTCAAGAAATCCACCGGTTGCATGTTGCTTGCAGCGTCCATCTTCCTGTTTGTTTTCGAAACCGTCCTCGGCCTCTGAAGCCAAAAGCGTTCAGACAACGTCGGCAGATGCCGTTCGGTGAGCGAGTCCCGTCTGTCAGATCACCCCGGCCCGATCATGTCACCACCATCCCGAACATTTCTCTTCATCCTCCACACTTCAAACCCCTTCATAGGGCGCTAGCGTGCCTTGTGAAAAGTGTACCCAGTGTGAGTATATCGCTTGATCGCTAGATCGAGCAAGTGTTGTGTTGAGCGGCGTTGATCCGAGCCATCCGAGCATTCCGTGCATTGTTCGAACAAAAGTTTACTTGATGGGGGCAGCGAGTGAGCCCACAGCCCTTGAAGCCATCACGACCCTTCCCGGCACCGATGCGGGGCTCGCGGCAGTCCGCCATGCACAACGACGTATGCCAAGACAGCCGTACCGCGCTAGTCTTGCCCGGCCAGTCCACGATTGCAACGAGTCTCGGGGTTTACGTTAGTCAAGGCCTGCAAAGGTGGCCAATCGCCGGCTTAGAGACAACTGCAAGGGCTCTTTGGAGGAGCCATGGCTTGTTCTCTTGGTATTGAGCAAGGCAACGCTGATGTTGATTACCGAGCAAGGAGATGTAAGCACGAGCGGCTTGTTCGAAGCCTGAATGGCTCAGGCAAGCCACGCTGCCTCAGGACTTGCTTCGACGTACTGTGGTTGGTGACTTGCAGATGACACAGGCTAGTACAGCGCCATTCCAGCCGTCCGAGGCTGCTCACATCTCACAAAGGAAAGATGGATTTGTCAGGGCACATCACGGGACCCTCTCCTCGCGCGGGGAGGGCATTCTCCATGATGGTGGCATCCAGCGAGGTAGGACATTGCTGCGGCTTACACCGGGGATGCCGGGCGGGAGGAGAGGAGGTTAGGTGACTTGTGATGAGGATGAGCAACGTCTTGTCCCTTCATCATTCTCGAGTCGGCGAGCGTCGGCATGCTGCAGGACTGGATGGACTCACAATTGGATAGTCGCGGGCCAGTGGATTACGGGACGAGCAAATCATTGTTGTTGGCTGGAGACACAAGCGGTTCTAGCTTGCTTGCTTTCTTCCGACCGGTCTGGTCTCTCTCTCTCTCTCTTTCTCTCTCTCGCGGGCCTGCCCGGCATTCGAGATGCTTCGCTCCGGAGGAACCCGTTCCCCCCTGGCTGGCTTGCTTACTGACACTACCCAATTGTTGAGAGGTGTGCTGCCAGGTCAGAAGTTACACTGTCTTCACGGGAGCCGTGTACCCAGGACGAGAGTTTTTGATATAAAAATCCGGGTCCTTCTCCCCTTTCGATCGTCTCTCCCCCTTGACACGCACCTTTCAAGCGTCTCATCGTTCATCACGTTGACTCTCACTCCGACTATTGGTGTAAACACACTAACACCATCAGCACAACCAACCAAACAAACAAACCCCTGAGTTACCCCTAACCATCCAACTACACACAACATCCACACAGCCGTCCCAACTCCCACACCAACCATGCCCTTCCTCCAAGCCCGCAACGACGCGGTCAACAAGCACCCCGCGCCGCCAACAATCGACTACCCGCTCACAACGCGGGGCTCAAGCTGGCTCTACTCCGTGTGCTCCATCTATGGCGCCGCAACCCTGATCACCATCGCCCTGTCCTACATCGCCAAGCAAAATGAGCGTATCTTCCACCGCATCTTCACCATCGCCTACCTGGTCGGTACCGTCGCCTACTTCGCGATGGGCAGCAACGTGGGCTATCTGGACGCGCTGCAGCCACACCAGGTGGACGACAACGGCGATAATAGGCAGATGTTCTGGGTCAAGTACGTACTTTGGGCGGTGGACTTCCCGCTCGTCTCGACTGCGCTCGGTATTGCCTCCGGCATTAGCTGGGCCGAGATACTGTATAACGTTGCGCTTGCGTGGACCTGGATCATCTGCTACCTCATCGGCACCGTCATCGGCGATGAATATCGCTGGGCTTTGTACGCGCTGGGCACGCTCGCGTGGCTGCTGCTGGCAGAGAACACGCTTGTTCGTGGCACCCAGGCCGCGGGCCGCGTCGGTATCAAGGGCGATTATCTCATCCTCGCCGGTTGGGCCAACCTCATGTGGTTCCTGTATGCCCTAGGCTATGGTCTGACCGATGCCGGCAATGTGATTCGCGTCACGCCCAGCTTCATCTGGTTCGGTATTACTGATCTGCTGCTCATGCTTGGTGTGGGCTTCGGTATCATTGTGGTGTTTGCCCCGCGCTGGGATTACGGCAAGCTTAACCTCTTCTTTACGCAGTATGGCCGCGTGGCGGTGCAGGAGGGTAATTTCCCGGAGAAGGACACGGCCAACAACGGTACTCAGCAGGCTGCTGCTCCGGCTGTCTAAACTTTCCCCAGGGGAACATCAACAAAAATTTCTTCTAAGCTGACGTTGTCCTCTGGACAATGTCAATTGGGAGACTACGGAATCGGAGCCTAGGCCATGTCCATCTTGTTATCTGGACTGTGCCAGTGATAGGTAATTCTCACATTTGGGAGGTGTTTTGGTACCTGTTTGACTACGAGATACCCCACGCTCGCTTGTTATTTGCTGGGAGTACTTCAGGGGCCGGAATTCGCAACATAATGTCTAATCTTTGACAAAAAAGTTTTTTTTTTTTTTCCTCTAGGAGGCCATGTACTTTAGTCACTCGTTAACATGATACCCGTTGGCTTAAATTTCTGTCCCTGTGTAAAAGCTTCAATGATGCCAGCACTGAACGCCAGCCATGAGAAACCCAAACTAAATAAGTAAAAAAAAAAAAGAAAAAAAAGAAAAAAATTGCTCAACTTTTAGGTATCATTCCATTATTCCATTCATTAAGTATCAAAAAAAAAGAGCCATGGTAATAAGCCTCCGCCCTAACTGGTAAGTCATGTCCATCGTTGTGATCGTTGTCATCGCCATAAGTACCACCCCAAAATAAACGATACCGACAAACCTTTTGCTCCGTCCAATGTTCCATCCTTTCCTCTCAAAAATAAGCTTCCTCCCAAAACTCCAACTGGTCAAAAAATCCCATCTGGCATTTGCCATCAATCATCCTTATTCCGATCCTCATCATCCACCAAAATCACCACCGTCAACGTAGCGGCGTACGCTTCCCGAATGGCACATGCCATGCTGTTTTCTGTCAGCACTTGCCATCCCCCAACACCACTCAGCAATTCTTAGGACACACACACACACACAAACAAAAAAAAAAAAAAAAAACTTAACCAAGTCTTCCCCACATCCGCAATAACAGCACTCAACCCCCAGTGCGCACACCATGCCCTTGCCAAAACCTCATTATCCGGCACCCCAAACGCCTCCACAACCAACACTCTCTCATCATCCCCGCCGCTCAACGTACTCGGACTGCTCACCCCTGTTCCTCCCACTCCTGGCGGTCCCCCTCCGATCGGCCTAGTAGGGGTCGCAGGCCCGCTAGAAGACATTGGCCGTCTGGAGGAGACGGGGACACCGTTCCAGTCGCGCACCTTGACGAGTTTGTCTGCTTTCACGGGTGTGTAGACGTAGTCGAAGAAGAGAGGGTGGGGGCCGTCGGAGCAGGGCCAGGCGGAGACAAAGGACACGTCGTAAGCGAGACGGAGCGGCCAGGAGACGCCGTCGATGGCGAATTGGATTGAGGCGTCGTAATAGCGCGGGGTGTTGCGGGGTTTGCTATTTGTGGTGGCGTTGCCGGTGTTGCCGTTACTATCGTTTGGGGTGTTTGTGGACTCGGATTGTTGCAGCGTGCTGGAGGTGTTACCCTTGTGGTCTGACACCGGCCGGAGAGACAGTAGTTCAATGCGGACGAGGTCGGCTAGGTAAGCGTCGTCGTCGCGGTCCGGGGCTACTAGAGAGTACTCTTTGACAGGAAAAACCTGGGTCGGGGGACCTAGAGGGTCGGAGCGCTCGCTCATGGTGCGGATATCCTCGGGAGTGACGCGGTGCGGGGGCTTGCGGGCACGGATGCGGGCAATTTGGTTACGCGCGAGGTCGTTTGTCGGACGGGCCGGGCCAATCCATCCGCCTACGGCGCGACAGGTCGGGGCGAGGACTTTGCCTACGATGGAGCTCGCCGTCCAGTAAGTGTAGGAGTTGCGATACTGGAAGCCACATGAGGGATGACCGTGCGTGAGCAGCGTCAGATCATCAGTCGCCTTGTCCGGGTCGATATCAATAAGGGAGTTCATGATAAGAAAGGGAAAGGTTGGGCCTGGAAGGACAAGCCCCGAGAAGAAGGCCATCGCGTGAGAGGATACAAGATCGAGGGTAGAGTCAGCTTCGCGACGCTTGAGACAAGCAAGGGTCTCGGCTAGGTTGGGCCACTTCATCATTTGGGCGAAGCGCTTCAGCATGCGGACCTGGCGGCGCTTGAGCTTGTAGCGCAGTTGGAGCTGGTCGGGGTTTGGGCCGTAGGACTCGATGCGGATGTTGTCACGCCAGCGGCGGGCTAGGGCGAGGTTCCATTGGATGGTTGGGGGGATCTGGGAGAGGAGTTTCTCTTTGGCTTCGGTCATGTGGTGGTGGGACTGAATGCGTAGTTCGAGTTCGAGACTGAGCAGAAGCTGGTGGAAGAATTTGCGGAAGGTGGCTGCATTAGCAGGGCTGGTGTCGAAGATGAACTTGGTGACGACTTGGTTGCGCGAATTGGTGAAGTCGATCCAGTCCGGGCGTGATAGTACCATGATCAGGTCCATAATCTGCTTATCTAGGGTCTTGTGCGGGCTCACGTACTTGTCGGGATCTTTGAGAAGCCTGCGGTAGAGATTGCGGTACATGAGATCCTCATCATCGTCCTCCAACCCCTGCTCAAGCTCCTTTAGCCGGGCAAGGATGCCCTCGAGGTCGATTTCCCGGGGCGCCACGCCAGAGTCCCGCAGGGCAATCGAGGGCGGCAGCACACTGGATAACGATACCCAATGGTTGAGAGTAATCGTGCCGGGCCTCTTGCCAAAGCAGAATGCATAACTAGGATGCTCCAGAGAGTCCCACGGGTAGGTAGCAGGCCCAGAACCAGCCAGTCGTAAGGTCATAAGCTGGACCATGGCATCATGCAGGTTCACACAGTCCGTCTCATCTCCCCGGTTACCCGCAACAGTCGCAAACAGAGCATAGTGATGTTCCGACGCATGCGGAATAGGTTTCTTGTGGCCTTTGAAAGCTGGCACACCACGCGAAATGAGCTGCATCGCCGGCCCCAGAGCGAGCTCCTCGCTGCTGGACATGCCAGACGGCGGCCACTCAGTCAGCGGCCCATAGTCGTAAGAGCGGTCCCGCGACTGGTCACGGCCCTTGCCCTTAGTGGCGCTGGGATCAGTGCGCCGAGGCCGTCGGCGACGATAGTGGTGATGGTGTGTCGACGACGATGCCGCCGCCGACTGGTCGCCGTTTGAGGCGTCCGGCTTGTCGCTGTAGGACACATCGCCTTCGCTGGCTCGTCGTTGGCGTTCCCTCTCATATGGCGGCTATTGAACTGTGAGCAAAGTTGTCTTCATCGCTCATTCATGATGTGGCATACGACCGACTTACGAGCTTCTCGCCCTTGCTGGCTGAGCTTTTGCTACGAAACAGACGGCCCAAGAGGCCCTTCTTTTTCGGCTCCGACATGGCACAAGGCTATTTCTGAATATTTTTCTCTCGACAATTCAAACTCTAGGTAGCTTTCGTTTTCTTGCGTCGCCAAGGACAGCGGGCCGGCACCAGGCATACCCGCCGCTCTGAAATTTTACTCTGAGGTTTAAAATCTGGTCGTTGCGTCTGAAGTGAGTGACTTGATCCGAATCCTGGTTCAGAAGCGATCGAGTGGAGCGGTCTGCAGTCTGCGTCGCTGCGAGGCGTCAAGCGTACGGTTCACGAGGCTGACCTCACAGATGCGCGCGTCATGCCATGCGGCTGCCAGCGCCCAGGCAGGTACTTAGACTAGTCTGCGGTGTGGTCTGCAGTTCCCAGTGGCTAATAGTAGTGAGCGGAGGTTTTATGCATGAGACCCGGACAGCGCGTGTGGGATGGATGGGGAAAGGCACTTTTTAACCCGCAAGTCTCATATACTGAAGAGAAGTCTGAGTAAGAAAGTTTTGTTTTGTTCTGTTTTGCTATTTCTTTTTCGTGGCCGCTGGACTTGGAGACTTGAGCCGGGTAAGAAGAAATGTGAAGAGGAAGTCGGCTGACGGCTGAATAGCGGTTGGGAGGTTGGGAAATGGATTGCCTAAGTTCAAGAATGTGATGAGTTTCAAGTCTCCCCGCCGCAAAGCAATGGTGCCAAGACAAATCAGTTAAAAGTCGACGGCGGCTACGTCACAGGAAGAGAGAGATTCAGGGACCTGAGTTGGCTTCTTCTTCGAAGATACCCAAGGTCGAAGTCGAGTGTCACGAGTGAGAAGGCCCAAGAGAAAAGTAGTTGTCAGATTGTTGAAACAACCAACAAGAGGCTCAGCCAAGAGTGAGTGAGACTGAGGCATTCGCTCAGATGAGGCCGAGTGATTGACACCCCTCCCTGGATTCGCTTGTTGGAGCCCCGTGGCTTGCACGTCCGCGACCCGACGGCGCGATGCACTGGGATGCAGCAATGACACCCGACAAGGGGCTGAAAACACTGGAGAGGAGAATCTGGAGTCCACTGACAGCAAGAAAGATGAGGATGCCGAATTTTCAGAGTCTCTGGAAAATGTGCTTCTTCGGTTCGGTGCTGCAAGGCCCCGACCAATGATCCCCCCCTCCACTGGACCACTCAACAGGTTCACTGCATAGCCCAATCGAAGCCTCTGTCAGTTGGAAGCTGTGCGTGTCCGTTGGACCATTCACTAGGCGCTGGGCCACCAACCTCCCCGCTGCAACCCGCGATGCGTGATGCCTGCTGCCATGTCATCCGCATCGCGCGCTGCCCGCCGTGGGGAAGCAGCCCATCCGTCGCCCGACGTGGAGCCAGCCAGCTGATGCCTTTGCCTTTTGGCCCTTCGGGGAATCTTGAGGCTTGACGATCGTCGGGACACGGAAGAAAAAAGGAAGAGACCTGTCGACGCTTGACCCACAGCGGGAAAGCTTGTGGATTGTCCACTTGCACTTGCGATGGTGTGAGACGCGATATACCGGACAGTAGAGCGGAGGTCGATCACCCCTCACGATGTGCACAGAGTGCGGACTTGGGACGAAATTGAGATGAACTAAAGAGCAGCGATTTGCATCTTTGATCTTTGACAGGACCCAGCCTTCACTGGACCCTTCAGCATCTGGTTCAGAAGGGGCAGTCTACACAGTCCGACAACCCATTGGCACTGTTCCGATAACTGCATCAGTGGGGCACCCTCACCGCCCGCAGTGCGACCGGCAGAATCCAGAAATTTTCTGGACTGCGACCGCGCTGCGCTGCACCAGCTCGCCGAACCGCCCACCACGGACATCCTCGAGAGACGTTCGCGGCGATACCAACAGAAATAATGGCTGCTGAGCTGCGCAAGAAGAAGTCAAAGTGTATGTCTTACAGACCATCTTTGGGACAAGTTGCAGGCATGCTCATTGAGTGCTCTAGCTGCCGTTGCCGACGCAGACGCGGCCATCTCCAAGAAGGAGAAGGCCACCAAGGTCACGAAGGCTACACCCAAGGCTGAGAAGCGGAAAGGTTAGTTGTCCTGGAAATCAATTGGCTTGTTATGATGTTAACTTCTCAATTTAGCCCCCGAGGAAGCATCTCCCGTCGCCATCAAGAAGCAGAAGGCCGACAAGGATGCCGTCGTCAAGAAGGCCGCTGTGGCCGCTGAGGATAAGATTGCCGAGAAGCCCGTGAAGTCAGTTCTGAAGAAGGAGACGTCTGCTAAGGCCAAGGAGGCTGCCAAGCCCAAGAAGAAACAGGAGAAGGTCGAGGAGGAAGAAGAAGAGGCCCTCGAAAACGCCGACGCGGCTTTCGGCTCTGACGAAGAATCTGAGCTAGACGAGCAGACTAAGGCCCTCATGGATACACTCGACGACGGCGAAGAATCAGATGAAGATGAGAGCAAGCAAGTCAGTACTTTTAAGAAGGGCCAAGATGTGGGCAAGATCCCGACTCCCAAAAAGGCCCCCCAGAAACAAACCAACGGCGACTCCAAACCCGCCGGCGACAGCCAGCCCGGCGTGATGTATATCGCCCGCCTGCCCCATGGATTCTACGAGCACGAGCTGCGTGGCTACTTCAGCCAGTTCGGCGAAATTACCCGTTTACGCGTGGTCCGCAACAAGAAGACTGGCGCGAGCCGGCACCGCGCTTTCATTGAGTTTGCTGACGCAGAGGTCGCCGACATCGCCGCGCGCACCATGGACAAGTACCTCCTATTCGGACACATCCTTACCTGCAAGATCGTCCCGCCCGCGCAGGTGCACCCCGATTTGTTCAAGGGGGCCAACAGGAGGTTTAAGGTCGTGCCGTGGAATAAGATGGCGGGGAGGCAGCTGGAAAGGCCGTTGAGCGAGTCTCAGTGGCAGGTGAAGGTTGCGAAGGAGGAGCAGAGGCGGGCAGCGAGGGCGGAGAAATTGAAGGAGATGGGGTATGAGTTTGAAGCCCCGGCGTTGAAGGTGCCGAAGGCAAAGCCGGTGCTGGAGAATGGAGAGGAGGAGAAGAAAGCTATTGAGACGGCCCCTGCCCCGGCTGTGGAGGAGAAGGAGAGCAAGGAGGTTGCGAAGAGGCAGGCTGAGGAAGAGGTTGAGGAGAAGGCGCCGGCACCTAAGACCAAGAAAGTCAAGGAGGACAAGCCGGCCAAGGAGGCGGCGACCATCTCTGCGCCGAAGAAGGGCAAGAAGAGCAAGAAGACCAAGTCATGAGGGTCAGGGTCAGGTGTAGTCAACGTGGTACAACTATTAGCTACAGATACGGCACATTGTAATTCGTCACCTTGATACCCACGACTGAGGCATGCGAGCTGCCTGCTTCAAAGAGTTAGCCAGGAAAACCGAATGGCCAAGTATGGGGCCAGACACACGGCCAAATGGCCGGCTAACCCCCCCCCCCCAAAAAAAAATTCTCATGTCTACGATTTCAGGTTGAAATAGGCCAAGACAGACATAAATAAATAACCAAAAGGAATAGAGGAATATATGCACCCAGCGAACCTGACAGACCTGGGCGGGAACCCTTTCAGGTTCCCAAAGGGCTGCGGTCAGGATTTCATAAAAGTGCACTAAGTTCAAGCTTGTTGCTCTACCTGCTTTGCATGTGAACCAGCCGGGTATTTGTTCTGCACCGAGGCAAGCGGCGGACTCATCAAAGTAAGCAGGATTTATGGAAAATATGTAATGGTAAAAGAGAAGAAGAGAAGAGTAAGAAGAGGTCGGTGACAGGAGACTGTCTCTTTAAAATGTTTGCTGGGCAGAGAGGTGGTCCGTGCTTAACTGAGAGTTTGTTAGGTGGGGCAGGGTGATTAGATAAGATCGAAGGAGAGGGAATGTTCGAATCTGCCACTTTCTTTGGCTGGTATGTTGACAAGTTGACAATAAGAGCTCGACAGCTCGCAGAATGTGATTGTGTTGGGCAGAATTGGGTACAGTTAAAATGAGAGAACGACTTGCCAAATGGGGAGTGCGGCGGGCCGAAGCGTGGTGCGTCCGTCTTTTGGACTGACAGCATAGAGGAGGAGGATATATCATTTGACTCCAGCCTCCCTTTCTGCCCTCCATCCCAAGACGCAAGTACCATCGAAAGAAGATGGAGGCCCAAGGTGTGGATGCGCACCTTGTGAAACCCGATCAAACTGTTCCTTGCATCGGAGGTAAATTTAGGGTTGATTAATGGTAGGTATACCAGATTACCTAAGGTATCTGCCGGTATTCAGAACACGAGGATGTTGAGGAATCTGGAACTGGATTCGTACTGCCTTGTAAACTTGTTACACAAGTTTGCCCATGTCCTGGACTCATCGGCAGGCTCGGATGGCAGCTAGCCGCTGATCCCAAGGCCCATCTATCCATCTTTCATCTCAAGTCGAACGGTCGACTCGAAGCAGAGCCTGTCAAAACCGACTTTTGTTAAGGCGAAGTCGGAAACCCGGAATCCCTCTTCCATCCAAATCCATGACTCTGCACCTGCTGCTCCATCCGTTCCATAATTATTCCGCAGGAGGCGACGCACGCGTTCTCTCTTGGATCGGGGAACCTGGAAGTTGCTGCCAACTGCCCTACGACTTGAACTCTGACACGATTGGAGCGCGAGCTGTTCCTTTGACTGACTTCCAGTCATTTGCGCGACAAAGGATTTGCGATTCGTGTCCTCATCAATCGATCCTTAATCAACCACTGATCTCGACAACGGAAGTGCAGCGCAGTGCCGTTCCGTGCAGCAGAACAGTAACCGAACGACCCATAACTCTAATTTGAAATTTAATTACGGCGACACTGAACAGCAATGCCATCCCCCGCGTTACCGAACGGTGCGGCCCAATCGCCATCAACAACCAAAGGTATGTATGTAGATGTTTGTTCCTGATACCTGATGGTAGCAATAAGAGCAGGCGCAAAAAAGTGGGCATCTCTTTGGCGTTTTATAGCGATTATGAGTGGTCCTGCTTAGTGAGTGGGCTGCTTACCGCTGGCTTGCTGATGAGAGGGGAAGGGTTCTGGATCCCTTCTGGACTTCTGGACTTCACGACGCGCATTTGATGCCACATCACAGCTGCGGCAACGGTCCAGCCAGCCCCTCTGCCTTTGTCCAATCCTTTCAGCTACTCGCTGCTTGATCTGCACTGCTTGGGCTGGACAAGGCTGGCAGGCTGTCCACTCTCTTCCTGTCGGTGCCTTTGCTTGGCTTTCTTGGTTCAACCGATCTGACATTGTCATTCTGTTCCCTCGTTTCACCTGGCAATCTTGGCGCTAATGGGAAGCGACGCACGCGAATGACTAGGTCCCTCTTGTTCCGCCGCCGCTGCTACCAGTCCTACTACCGCTTCGGCTCCTTCCAAGAAGAAGAGTAAAAAGAAGAAGCCCAACAAAAAATCTACCGCCGCCGCCGCAAACAGTAACGGGACACCCGTCGCTGCCGCTACCCAGGAAGAAACCCACAATGGCGCTGGGAGCGCCGCGGTCGAGAGCGTGGATAAAGACGAGATAAAAGAGCCTGAGACGACGACGCCGGGACCTAACAAACACGAAGAGGCAAACGAAACCCAGAGAGAAGGCAGGACTGAGCCAAGCGCCACCGCCGACGAGGACGACGACTCGAGGCCAGCCGTGAACGGCCATGACGGCCCAAACGGACACGTACCAGTACCACCATCACCGCTACCAACAACGAGCACAACAGAATCCGGGATATCAGGGACAAGAGAGGAAGACACCAAGACAGATACAGAAGCGGCGGGCACCGAGCTAGAACCCCCACAACCAAAAGAAGAGGAGGCACCCAGCACAAAGCCAGCAGCCATGTCCCAACAACAACAACAACAACAACAACAACAACAGGACCCCGCCGCCCTCCAGGCCGAGGTCGAGCGCTTGCGCGAACAGCTCGAAAAACTCCAGACCTCCCACGCCGACGAGATAGCCCAACTCCGCGCCGACCTCGAAGAGTCCGAAGCCGCTAAAGAGCATGCCGAAACCCAATACGAAACGCTCCTCGGCCGCGTCGAAAAGATCAAAGAGACGCTTGGCGACCGCCTAAAGCGGGACAAAGCTGAGTTGGAAGAGGCCAAGGACCGGGTCGACGAGCTAGAGCAGCAGAATGAAGAGCTGCAGAGGGCGTTGACAGCGAAAAAAGAGGAGGTGGAGGGGTTGAGGAGGGAAATTGATGAGCAGGGACGGGAGTTGGATAAGCTCAGGAGTAGGGTTGGCGTTGTGCAGAGGGATTGGGCGAAGGAAAAAGAGGAGTTGATGAGGCAGGTGGGGCATCTGAGGGCCGAGTTGGAGAGCACGACGGCCGCGATGGGCGAGTGGGAGGTGATTGCTATGGAGGAGAGGTCGTTAAGGGAGCATCTGGCTGCGCAAGTCGGGGATTTGGAGGAGCAGCTTGCTACGGCGCGCGAGGGGTTCGATAGAGCAGAACGGGAGAGGGAGAGCCAGGCGCAGGCGGTTGATCGGCTGCAGAGGGCGCTGCAGGAGTTGCAGGAGACGAGGAAGCGGGAGCTGAGAGAGATGGTCGAGGCGAACGAGGAGGCTGTGGCTGAGTTGAAGAAAAGGGTGCAGGAGGCGGAGGGGAGGGCTGCTAAAGCGGAGGAGGAGAGGGAGAGGTTGGAGAAGGAGTTGGAAAGGACGGCTCCGTTTGAGAAGGAGGTGAAGGAGAAGAATCTGTTGATTGGGAAGTTGAGGCATGAGGCGATTATTTTGAATGAGCATTTGACTAAGGCGCTCAAGTATATCAAGAAGACGAAACCGGAGGAGGCGATTGATAAGTACGTCCCTTTACCCCTCTTCTCACTACATTCCTCCAAGAGTATGGCTGACAGTTCACAGACAACTTATTACGAATCACCTCCTCCAATTCCTCTCCCTCGACCGCTCCGACCCCAAAAAATTTCAGATCCTTCAAGTCATCTCCGGCCTGCTAGGCTGGAACGACGAGCAGCGCGAGAAGGCCGGCCTAGCGCGTCCCGGCGCCGCCGCCGCCGCCGCCGCCGCCGCCGCCGCCTCAGCCTCGACTCCGACCTCCGCCACCTCCAACCACAACACCCTACGTCTACCACCGACCCCATCCTTCCATCGCACGCCCAGCTCGCCGGCGCTCAGCAGCGAGTTCTTTGAGACTCCTTTCTCGCTCAGCGGGAGTGCGAGCGGGTCAGGGAAGGAGAAGGAGTCGCTCGCGAATCTGTGGGCTAGTTTCCTGGAGCAGAGCGCCGATGAGGCGCTGGTGGGGCAGGGGAAACGGAAGGATAGCGCGAGTAGTACGGCGACGGGGAATACGGCTAATACTAGGCCTTGATAGATCAAAGGAGGAACGCTGTTGGCGAGGAACGGGAGAGGGTTTTAGTTAAATTGTAAGACCTGTTTAAATCAGGTGTACATCGTTTGTGGCTGTGGCGTTTTGGGGGGTATTGTAGATGGGTTCTGGGTGTCGGTGAAAGCTCGAAACAACAGCACTGTTGGGCCATTCAACAAGAGTATAGGAAGAAGGTATCCGAGAAAGAAATATCGACTTGAAGATGGATTGTGCCATTGATCCTATTGAACCTAACCCAACCCGAAGCCAGATCTACCATTCATCAACCAAACACAAGACATTATTATCCCACGTTTCCCAAATTCTGTCCTCTATCCCAATGTTAACCCAAATCCCCTTACTAATCATCGTCATCCTCTACTAACTCCCTATTCCCAAAAAATTCCCTTACATACGCCTCCGCATCCCGCTCGACACTCTTGATATCGATCCGCTTCTCCAACGCATCCTTGATCCCCTCCACAACCTCCTTCTCCTCCATCACCTCCCGCATCAGCTTCCCCTCATGCGTCCAGTATGACATGCTCCTGCCCCTGAGCCCCTCGTCCCGCTGTACAGTGTTCTTGATAATCCCCGCCGCGTTGATTCTGCTCTTGACTGTGCTCAGCGCGCGCGTCACGGATTCAATCCGGGCGGTTGCTGTCGGAGGGCGGACGAAGGCCCGGTTCGTGCCAGAGAGGTAAAAGACTGCGCTGCAGATGATGTTGAGTGTGGCTAGTAATAGATACCGGGTTGCCCGAGCCCGCCAGTAGAACATATCCAGCTCCTGCAGTCTCAGAGCACGGGCATTTGCGCCGTGGTTGTAGGTTGCAACGCTCCAGAGGTCGAGTGTAGCCACCGCGATGGAGGCTAAGGTCGCCGGTGCCCGGAAGCGCTGCACGTTCCCTCCGGTGATCCCCCTTCCCGTGAGGAGTGTTGACGTCGCGAAGGCCAGAGCGATCAGGTTGATCAAATGCGGCGTCACCAGCTCCGGCAGGGCATAGAACAAGTAACTCCTCGGATCGTCGGACACGCAAAAAGGGCAGTCTGCCACCGTCGCAGGGCCATACTGCAAATACAACAGCCGCGACTCGAGCGAGACGAAACGGCTTCTCAAAGCGACGTCGCGGTTCGTGAGAACCCGCCTAGGACGGAGTGATGCCAGCCGTGTGAAGAGCACATCGGTCGGGATTTGCAGGCGGGAGGTAGTCAAGGTGAAGATGTTCTCCGGGGTGAGGGGCGGTAGGAGGAGGAGGAGGTAGGAGAGGGTAAGGAGGGCGAGGAGGAGGATGGAGCGCAGTATGGGCGTGGGAAGTGGTTGCGGGTGGACGTTGTAGAGTTTTGGGGCAGCCCGGAGCGAGCGGTAGGTCGTGATTGCTCTGGGGATGAGGACAGGGGCGAAAAAGATGAGGAGGGATTTGATCCTGGACCTATTTGTTAGATTTGGGTTGTTGAAATTTAGTGAATTTTGAAAGCAGACTTACGTCCCCCAGGGTATTGACATTGCGGAGGTTAGATTTATTTTAGCTAATTTGAAGGCGTATGTTGGCTTCTGGGAGGTGTTGACGTTGATAACAAGCTGATGGTCAACAAACGCCAGCACGCGTCGACGAGCTGCAAGGTGGTCAATCTCAGATCTGCGAGGCTGAGAGACCCACAAAATTCCGGCGGGGTTTAGAGGGGTGGACCCAACGGTTCCATCTCAGCCTTGCGGTGCCTAGAAAAAAAATTATAAAATGGAGACGGTTTGCATTTTCTTCACTCTCCTCCAACTTCTAATTTAGCAAAGTTTACGACCACATTCTCAAACGCGGACATGCGCTGAGTTTGTCGCCAACAGCTTCATGTACAGTACATTGTGATCACAGCAATTACTGACAACAAAATATACGACATTGACCCTCGTCCCCGTCTCATGCGTGCTTGACGTGACGCCTCAGGAGAACCCAAATGACTCCCAAACCCAAACTAATGGCACTATCGAAGCTTTGGTGGCCCTTTGCCCAATGGCTATCAAAGTCAATCTGTTGCCTAGAGCAAATCCGAGCGCCCTGCCAAGGGCCATCTCACGTCGTGTTGCAGAGCTCTAGCTCCGGCGATGAAGAACTTTGCGTCAAATTGTTGAGAGACAATTCATTATATATACTTAAATTACTAGTATAATCCTATTCCTTCATGATCTTCCCCCCGTCCTCTATGCCCTTGTGATATGATGATGCTCGCTGTAGTACAATGAATTCCCGATGTCCTTCCTTCTTGATCCCATCCATGCGTAATCTACAAATCCTTCTTACTCGTCCCCGGCGCACCTCCTGCCGCAGGCACAGGCTGCCTCTGCTTCTGCATCCCCGTTCCCCCCGTGTACCTCACCACGGCCATGACCGCCTCAATCACCAGCGCCAGTACCCCGCTGCACGCCGACTGCCACACGACGATGCTGACACTGCCCATGGGCGCGTTGGGGAAGGACACGAGCCACTCGACCCAATAGGGGAACCAGCCGTAGGGCAGCCAGAACATGGGCTGCGAGCTGAACCAGAAGCACAGGAACCACTGCATTCCGCGAGTCAGGATCCAGCGGTAGATGGTCAACTTGCGGGAAAAGCTGGTGCGGTGGGCGTCGAGTTGGGATTCTGTTTCGGAGAAAGTCAGCAAACAACCCAAAAGAGAGTGTGTTGCGCACCGTGAGGAGAGAGGAAGTACGCACTCTTCTTCTCCAGCTCATCCATCAACTTGTCATGCTTGCGTTGCAGCCGGGCCCACTTAGCAAACTCGTCCTGACTGCTAGTTGCGTTGAGGTCGTGTCGCACTTGTAGGTATTCCTTTTGCTTTGCGCGCTGCTCGGCAAAGTCTTTGGCAAGTGGGCTGCCGGGGATCGAGAGGTAGAAGCGCCATAGCTGGGCGAATTGTTAGTTTGAAGCTTTGACACAGCATAAATCATCTGGACTCGAGAGAAAGTGCGCACCAGATTATTGATGGTCTTCGCCCCGATGGTGTTGACGAGCTGGACGACCAGCTCAAGCAGGAATATGACGAGCAAGAGGGACATTGTGGCGCTCGAATCAGAGAGAATGGTGACGCGGTAGATCGATGTTGTGGAAGCTTCGAAGTTTGTATTTCGTTCGTCTGTTGACTACCTGTGAGTTGTCGCTGTACCGATCATGCCTCACCCTTTTTGTTCTGTCTGTGTTGTGTTCCTTTCGCGCGCGAGAGTACCGAAGAGCCTCGCTGCCGGTTGACAACTTGTCGATGACGAAACTATCATCTGCCATGCCGCCTGCCCGCTGCGCTGCCACCTCCATGCCACTTGGCAACTGCTGAGTCGCGGGTTAGGGTTGTCTCTGCTCCGCCAACCACGTCGCGCTAAGCCGTGTTGGGGAGGCAGTTACAGCATCTGTCCAACATAACTCAACCCAGAATCACATGGCTCTAAACAATTGGCACGGAAAGCGGCTTCATTGGACAATTGATGGTTGCTCAAGCTTTGTATGGTTATGATTAAACATGTCGCGCGCGTTGGATCCAGAGACAGCAGCACTTCTCAAAGCGGGAGACCCTCTCGCTGCATATCAACACATCACTCGCGCTCTGGGGTCGCCAGACGATGGACTTTTGGATATCGAGATCTTGGGCAAGACTCATTTTCCTGACCCAAGGCAATATGTACTGCAAGATGGCCCAGAAATTGGGGTTTCGAAGCTAGGGCTAGTCCAGGCATTCCTAGTCGCCAGAAAACACCTGGCTGATGTGCTCTCTGGCACCAAACACTTACCAGATGATGAGCTGTTCGCTCTTACAGCGGTCATCCTCCTCATGGATCCGGAGCATCTCACAGCAGCGAACACTCGCAAGCGACTGATCCAGGCCAGGATATCCAATAGCAATAGCTCCGATGACATCTTCAGCATCATCTCCAGAGAACTTTGCTTCCTCGACAGCCTTTTGACAAGTCGCTTACACCGACACACCAAATCCCCGACCCTCTGGAACCACCGTCGCTGGGTCGTTACAACATCTTACTCCTCAGGCTTGCCAGTGGATGCCTTCACAGACATCACTCGCATCGTGTTCGTCGCCGCGGAGAGACACCCGCGTAACTACTACGCTTGGTGTCACGCCCGGTTTCTAGTCAGCTCAGAAGACCGATCCACCATTAATGGCAACGATAGCAAGACCAAGTTACTCCCCGTGGTGCAGAGATGGTGCTTCCAACACTACACCGACACATCTGGATGGTCATTCCTCTACTTCCTGCTGAGCAGTTTCCATTCCAAGACTTCTAACCCAGACCTTGTGCGCTCAACATTCGAGAACCTCCTGCAACTGGTCAGCTCGCTTCGCCTAGCCAACGAGTCAGTATGGGTGTTTCTGCGGACGTTAGCCGCGTCAGGGCTGGTTGGGGATGAGCAGTATGCTCGGTTCCTGGAGGTTTGTCACGAAGTCCTGCAGGCGTCGAAGGTGCCGGAGGATCAGACCGTCCTGCGCAGGGCTGTTGATTGGTGCGAGACATACAGACGCAAGAATGACAGCGGCGGGACGGTTGTGATGGCAGATGCAGCAACCTCGTCTTGAGTCAGCCAAGAAACGGGTTATGGTGTCTTTGGCATACACTCGCAGTTTGCTGCAAATACGGAGCCCAAGGGTCATACATCCATCCGCCATAGGGAGCGCCCAAATCATCGAACAGAATGAAGGAAGGCAATAAGCTAAGTTTTCCACATTTGGTTATGGGCAAACAAACCAGTTTCCCCTCCCGGCAGCAGCGTTGATGACGTCTGCAGCTTGCTCTTCATAAACGCTCAAGGTCCTGCATCGAGCATTTCGTTGGGGTAGCACGCAGGGTTCGCTCACAATTCAGCCGGAATCTGGAAAAGGGAAACTGTTGGCTTCTATGTTTGCGACAAAGTGTCCTCCGTTCTTGCACAGCGTAGAGAGAAGTTCAAGGTCTGGACCGAGCTGCTGCAGCACGTCGTACAACTACACGGTCACGCTGTTGCTCTGTACACTCACGGAAACGATCGATCGGAACCACAACAGCCTGGTTAACGGAAGATAATTGCAGGAAAGATGTCATTTCAGATCCCTTGACAGCATCTTTCTGGAAGATTCGGAATGTGGAAGCGGTTGCCCCAGGATTCTCCGCACACAGCAATTCAAATCACAAAAAGCAATTGCAAGAGTTTCATCTTAAATCCACACCGCCAGGATATTGATGCCGTTTTTACCCCAATCATCATGGAGAAAGATGGAAGTGCGTCATGGATCGTGATGATTAAGACGAAAGCACATGGACAGGAGACTGCGCCGTTTTCACTCCTTGGCATTGTAGTGGAGCCTTGGTTTTGAACGGGTAATTGGCTGAGATTTTCATCCCAAGTCGAGCCTTGGCAATCACTCCAACAGGGATCAGAGCCCATCGTTATCTGGGGCAAGCGCTGACACCCTGGCCAGCGACCTTACCCACACCCCTGGGCGGCCGAACAGGCCCAGCTCTCATTGGATTTGGCATCTTGTGGCTTTCGTCCAAGATGCAGCTCGCGAGCATACAACAATTATTGCATGCTTGCAGAGAGCTGCCCGGCTGATGAGACCGTGGCGCGCTGAGACAAGCTGGTTTGGGCGCCCCTCATAATCTGGCCGGCGGTTCCTGAATCTGTTTCGCTGCTTGAAATCTGAACCATTTTTTTGCAAGTCATGAGTCCTCAATGCGCTACTTATGCAACACATAAGGGGGATTTCACAAGACATTGTGCTCGATCGATGATGAGGTCAGTTGATGGACCTGGTTCGTTCGACAGCCAGCCCGCAGCACCGGATGTTGTCCAAAAGCCCGGAGAACCGGGGCACACAAAATTGGGGTGGACAGCCACAGTGACACCGTGTCTCCACCTCGAAGTTTGTTCAACGCGACTGGCCAATCAACGCGTGGGATGCATATTGGGTCCTCCAAGATTGTGTCCATAATGAGCAGATCGCTGAATTTCGGACGACCAGGGGCCCAAGGCCCCCGCGGTTGCTGCTGATAATCCGTGCCGGCAGGCGATTTGTGGTCTTGTGCATGTAGTGACCGTGCTTTGCATAGGGTGAGCCTGTACACACACGCGGTTCTGAGGAGATGAGGGATTGGACGAGGTTCTGCGTGCTTTCAAAATCGTCGGTTCGTGCTCCCACGGTTTGCGATCGTCGGCAAAGATCAAGGGATTAAACTGGGCAAGAATAGATGCAATGTAAGCCAGCCAAAAACGAGCAATTGAGATCAATGGAGAGCAACAACACTGGGAAAAACGAAGCCAGTGGATGTGTTGTGCATTGTGGTCTGCAGACCTGTAAATCTGCAACCCTGACAGCCACCCTGCTCCAGGAATGCAACGTCAGGGGGCGATATGGGGACGCTTCTGGCCGAATGCCAGCTACGCCGTTGCTGGCTTCTCCATCATCCATGTTCACGTTCCTTTTTGGCTCTGGACATCCTTCCTCACTTGGAAGGACCCCCATGGAAAGCCAGATTACTCTGGATCGCTGTGGCGGCCACCAACAGGCTTGCCGAGCAGTCCGTCGACTTTCCAGCGATCCAGCCGCTTTTCAGCAGCAGGCCAGCAGCTGGAAACTACAGACTGTGCGCACGGTGGACAGAGCAACAGCCGACCTTCTCTAGGCTTTTCTCCACACCCTCCCCACCATCAGCGAGGCTCCAGGGACCAAGCGTTCGATGTTCAACCGGGCGATTGAGCTGCTCCAGTTCTCCTGTTTCTCCATCGATCCATCACATCCATCTCTAAGTCAAGCCCCAAATCCACATTCCCATACGTCACTGCCTCTTTCTCCTCTTTTTCGTAGACTCCATCACGCTCGCTCGTCCCTCTTTTTCCCGTGACTCTGTAAATCTGCGATACTTTGTCTGCGACTCCTCCTCGACTCCTCTCGCAGCATCCACTTCCACGATTTGCATGGTCCTCTCGTATTCCTTGTTGCTTCACGATTTTTCTCTCGTTGACTACTAAGTAATCGTCCCGGGTCGCTTGGTCTCGCACCTTCGACGCTTGAGCTGGTCAAGCATTCACCTTGAGGATTCGGTCGTGTTGTAGTCGCTTCAACAGACCCGGCATTGTCGGATACTCGTCTCGATTTCTGGCCTAATTCCTTTGCAACTCGTCTCGTCCGTTCTCCTCGGTTCGGCCTCTTTGACACGCCAGTCGGGTTCGGTCAGCATCTGTGTTTCGGTCTCATTCCAGCACGGTCTCGCTTGTTGTCTCCTAGTTTCGAGAATTTTTTCCCCCTCCAGCCGCATTCGTCATTCGAACATCGTTCTGGGCGCGACGTCAATGCTCTCTCCGTAATTCTTAATCGCCTTATTACCCATCTGTCACGCTTCTTCGAGTCCAAAACTCTTCGTCCCCACTTGTCAGTGTCGATCTTCCCGCTAGGCATCGCGTCTTAACCAGGTCTCCAAGCGTTGGGTTCCTATCGCTCCGATGCTATGAGCAAGTCTTGACTGTCTTGCTCGCCACTCTCTTTCTCTATATCCATACTTTGACACCCAGCTTCCTGGAGACTTATTGGCAACCTTTATCACACCCCTCACACCTCAGACCGGGGTGGGAGTGGCGACGCTCCAGGGCTAGGTTTCCACGATGCAGAGAATCACCACTCTGCTTCTCCAACTCACAATATGGGTCTCCGCCGTCCGTGCCTTCTACCCCTTCGTTCCCGAGGATCTGTGTGATCCCGGTGAGAAGTGCAGCTCGTTTACTGTGAAATTGGTTAAGGGGACCTCGAAGGTGCGTAAAGCCTTGTCTTAGGGGTTATCTGGTAAGGTGAGCTGACTCGATATCCAGGTGTCGAAGAAAGTAAGCAACTACTACGTCTCAAAGCCCAACCCCCCCACTGCACCAAACAGCGCCGGCGTCTACCAAAATGGCCCTGACTACTCGTACTTTGTTCAGGCGGAGATCGGCTCCGAGAAGGAGCCCTTCTACATGCTAATCGACACGGGCGCCCCCAACACCTGGGTCATGAGCGCCGAGTGCCCGTCTCCCGCTTGCAGGCTGCACAGCAACTTCAATCCGAGCACATCGACAACGTTCAAGGCAGATAATAAGAAATTTCACATTGCGTATGGGACAGGAGAGGTTGCTGGTACTCTGGGGAGCGACACGATCACTGTTGCTGGTCTGTCCGTTGGTATGGCCTTTGGCGTGGCTACTTCTGCGCACGACGACTTCAAGCATTTTGCTTTCGACGGGATCCTGGGTCTTGCTATGGGCGAGTCTATCACGGGTAATTTTCTGCGGTCTCTGAAGAGCAACAACCTGGTTGAGAAGCTGATGTTTGCCGTAACCCTGAACCGGGACTCGGACGGCGTCAATGACGGCCAGATCACGTTTGGAGGAGTAGACAAGTCCAAGTTTACAGGGGAGATTTCGTACTCGTCCGTGCCATCCCCGCAGAAGGAAAAGGGCGAGTGGACCATTCTGATAGACGGCGTGGGCTTCAATGGCAAGTCCGCCGGTATTAACAGCACCCTCGCCGCCATCGACACAGGTACCTCGTTCATCTTCGCCCCGCCGGATGATGTGGCTGCCCTGTTCAAACTGGTCCCTGGCGCGACCCCCTACGAAAACTCTATCTACGTCGAGTACAAGGTGCCATGCAACACACACCCCATCACCATGACCTTCGCCGGTGTCACCTACCAGATCCCCACCAAGGACTGGCTCGCCGGCTCGGGCGAGAAATGCCTCAGCCGCATCTACGGTTTGAAAGGCGCCAGCTCCTGGCTAGTCGGCGACGTCTTCCTCAAGAATGTCTACTCCGTCTTCGACGCCGATAACATGCGCATCGGGTTCGCGACCAAAGTTCAGCCCCCCAAGCCGACTACCACCGCTGTTGACATCACTGTCTCGGTTATTTCCACGGGCTTGCCTGATGATGGGTCATCGCGTCCTGTCATGCCGGGGACTAGTGAGGCGTCAGAGATGACGGCTCCGGCTGAGATTACGGCTACGCCGACGGAACAGCCTGTGCAGGCTTCTGCGCATCGTTTGGGAAGCAGTTTGTTTGCTTTGGCCGCGTGCGCCTTGGCGGTGATTGCGGTATTGTGAAACCCGATGGAGTGATCAACCTTGCATTTGCATATTATCTCGTTAAGAATGGGTAGCCGAATAGCTGCCTGACTTATTAATCGATCTGGTTGGCGAGCATAATGCTCTGTCAGGGTAGGACAAGCTGGCAGCCAGATGGGTGCCACTTAATCAGATCCTCCCTACCCTATCATTATCAGCATCAACATAATAGACCTTTGCCAACCTTACCTATCTACCTACATACCTGCCTATCACTACTGCGCTCTGCTCGACAACTGACGAGGAGGGCCGTGTACAACTTGCTTTGTGTTTGTCTCTTGCTTGGGACGGAGAGAGAAAGAGCTTTGAGCCGCTGGCAAACGCATGATACCCCCAGAGCAGGTGTGGTGTCCTTTATCAGTATTTCTCAGATTCGTCATTTGAGAGATAAAAAGCGGCTCCCAGATTCATCATCATTGGAGGTTTAGGTTCGGGTTAAGAGATCTCATGATGGGTCTTCCAGTTTCTGAATGGAAGAGGCCCTGATTTTGGACGATATTGTGTATTAGTAATGGGTGATTATAAGTACAACAACAGCACTACGGAGCTGGCGTTTTTTGGTCGTCTTGACGTTGTAATAAAAGTGATTCTTCGTTTCGTTTTTGAGAAGGTATGTTGTGTGTTGGTCATATAGTGATCTCAATGTTTGGGAATTTGGTTTGACGGGAACAGGGTCGTCATCCCTGTGATCAGATCTCCCGTCTCCGGATCTCCCATCTTGGGCTGGTCCAATGGTCCGAAGGCCCAGCATTCGTGTTTCGGCGACTTGCAGCGGTTGATGAGCCCCTGAAAACGCGGCGCTGAACCTCCTGTCAGGGGTTCTGATTGGTGCCTTAGGTATATCGCTATCAGACAGCTAAGGCATGCTCTGGGGAGGAGCGAACGCACTAACGGCATCTCCCGCTCGCCTCTAACATAGCCAAACTTCAACCTACATAAACTTGGTCGGTGAGTTTGACATCTTCAACTTATACAGCTGTTATAATTTTTTCATTTTAAATTAGAGTACGAAGCTAATTTTTTGAATGTTAGAAGGCTGCGCAAGCTGTTTCCTCTGTTCGAAACCAGAAAGGAATCAAGCAACCCCCTACAAACCCTACGTCAACCAGCGCCGCGGAGCAACACCTATCAACTCCGAAATCCAGCCGCGCGAGCGACACCAGTAGCCGGAAATGCCCTGATCGAGCGAGCACATAACGAACATAGACGACTCGGAGACACGCGAGAGAGAAGAGGCAAGAGAAGACAGCATGACTAGGGCCGGAGCGCATGGCGCAACGGCAGCCAAAAACAGCTCCGACACAGGCTCGAGACAAGGCGATGGAGAAGAAGGCGTCGGCCTGCTCGCCGCTGCGGCGCACACACAAGACGAGGATAGCTACCACTATCCCGGACAGGATCAGAAGAGTACACCGCGGCCAAAGGGGCCGGCAAAACCCCTCCAGCTCCAGCCCCAAGAAAGACTAATCGTCCATCCCGGCGAAGATGATGACGATAACAGCCTAGTTAGCCTGCCCCTCCGCACCCCCCGCACACCAAACCGTGTACGCTTCGACCTGCGCCCGACAATTGTCGAGAATAACAGCCGGTATAGCACTGATACTACGACTACAGCATCAGAGAGCCGCTCCGCGCAAGCACAGAATGGGCACACACGGAGTCGAGAAAGCCTCGACTTCGATCCCGACCCAGATCTAGATTTTGATTTCGACTTAGATGATCCCCTCTCCTCCCGACACCGCAGCGAACGCGGAAGCAACGGCTCCCACGCCCACCGCCAGCAGAGGATACCCCTCTTAACGGGGATAGAAGCCCCGTCGGTGACTGTTTCCAACCAGCTGTTCGGCGAGCACGAGTCTGCTGAGGCATGGCACCTCGCCGAACAGCGCAGACCTAAATCCTCACTTCCAGCTGCGTTCATGAACATGGCGAATAGTATCATCGGCGCGGGGATCATCGGGCAGCCGTATGCGATGCGGCAGGCTGGGTTGGGGGCGGGGATTGTGTTGCTCGTTGTTTTGACGGTAGTAGTGGACTGGACGATCAGACTGATCGTGATTAATTCCAAGCTGTCGGGGGCAACCAGCTTTCAGGGGACTGTGGAAAGGTGTTTTGGCCGGACGGGGTTGATTGCTATTTCGGTTGCGCAGTGGGCGTTTGCGTTTGGGGGGATGGTTGCGTTTGGGGTCATTGTGGGGGACTCGATACCGAGCGTGTTGAGGCAGATTTGGCCTGGGTTGAAGGATGTGCCAGTACTGGGAGTGTTGGCCGATAGGAGGTGGGTGATTGTGGTGTTTACGATTGGGGTTAGTTATCCGTTGGCATTGTACAGGGATATTGCGAAGGTTAGTTTATTCGTTCCAGAAGTAAATTTGGTTGGGTATGTCAGGCTGACGAAAGGTGTTGTAGTTGGCGAAAGCGAGCTCATTGGCGCTGCTGAGCATGGCGGTCATTGTGGTGACTGTTGTTGTGCAGGGCATGTTGGTTCCCAGTGAGGACAGGGGCCAGCTGAAAGACTGGAAGATGCTGGTGGTTAATGATGGGATATTCCAGGCCATTGGTGTCATCTCATTCGGTATGTTCCCCTGACATACGTACTCTGCTTTAAATACTCCTCTACTAACAGCTGTCAGCTTTCGTCTGCCACCACAACTCCCTCCTAATCTACGGCTCCCTCGAAAAGCCCACAATGGACCGCTTCGCCGTCGTAACCCACTTCTCAACTGGCATCTCGATGCTCGCCTGCCTTCTCATGGCCCTCTCCGGCTTCCTCATCTTTGGCGACCGCACCCTGGGCAACGTCCTTAACAACTTCCCCTCCGACAACACTATGGTCAACATCGCGCGCCTGTGTTTCGGGCTCAACATGCTCACCACCCTGCCGCTTGAGGCTTTCGTTTGCCGTGAAGTCATGCTCAACTATTATTTTCCAGGAGAGCCGTTCAGCATGAACCTGCATTTGTTGTTCACGACGAGTCTGGTGTTTAGTGCGATGGTGTTGAGCTTGTTGACGTGTGATTTGGGGTCGGTGTTTGATTTGGTTGGGGGCACGAGTGCGGCCGCGATGGCGTATATCTTGCCGCCGTTGTGTTATGTTAAGTTGACAACGAGGTCGTGGAGGACGTATGCTGCTTGGGGAGTTGTGGTTTTTGGGTGTGTGGTCATGGCTATGAGCTTGTTTGAGGCGATTGGGAAGATGATTACAGGCAAGTCTCTCAGTGCTGGTTTGACATGTTTACTCTGGCTAATGTTCTGTCTACAGGCGAGGGGGATACAAAGCAGTGCTATTGAACATCAGCATATCTATACTAGTAGTAATGCCTTTCCTGGCTTGTTCTGGGCTTGTTTTGAGATAGGTATTTCCACTAATAACCACCACGTCAAGGTCAAGGCTGGGTCCTGACCAGTTACACTTGCATCAAGACCCTCATCCGTGAGTTTCCCGCTTCTTGTGCCGACTGGTCCAGCAATTACACGCCCCTACACAGCTGCCTGGCCTAAACAGCTCCATATCCCTTGCTTCACGGATCTTTGTCGACCAACCTCTTTGAGTGGTTTTCCATCTTGCTGGGGTGTGATTGATTTGAGGCTGTGCATCATGAGCAGTCACAAGCCACATTGGCGTTCCAATTGGTCGAGCTTTTAACTGGCGTTTTTTTAGGTATCCTCTTACTACATGCAACCATAGTCACATTTTCAGCCTCTATATTTTTTAGCCCTTATTCCTACATCCCTGCTCTCGGAAAGCTGCTGCCTAGGTCATGAACTGTTTTCAGACACGAAATATGCTCAGAGTCTGTTAAGCTCTCAATCTACTTTTACCAGGTTCTTGAGGGCTTTCTGGAGTTGTCAACACTCGCCTTCATGATTTTTGGACTGTCAGTCGAGTGATTAAACGCTACCTATTCATCGGATTCTAACAGGCCAGCCATGTCTTCCTTATTCAACTGGGCCGGTAGGGGTCGCGAGAGGTCCAGTAGGGGTGGCTTATTTCGTCTCTTGCGGGACGGACCTGGCAACCAGTGGCATGGAATAACACAACAGATAAGGGGAAACATGACTGATCCTACGATTGACTGGGGGAGAGTGGGCGAATCTTTGAAACGATCATTTTCGAGCTACATCGCCGAGAGACGCCGGAGCGGCTCATTGGTACAATGTCATTGCTCGACTGCCAACTACCAACCTGTTGAACGAGTATTTGGATACATGATTCACCCGTTGACATCCTACGGCTTGTTTCCTTGCCACACCGATGCCCAGGTTGACTGCCTTGTCCAACTTACAAGACGAATCGTCGCTTCAACATCAGAACCTCAAGCACGTGCTCGCGCTTTGCAAAATCTCGGAAGAGCGCTGACGATCAAATATTCAAAGTCCGCAGTGCCCGTGGAGGAATATTTCGTGGAGGCTCGACAGGCTCTGGACCAAGCAACCGCATGCTACAACTCGATCCGGGACCAATGTGCTTGCTGGTACCATCTCGGAGCGCTTTACGCAGCCCGCTACAGGTGGACAGAAGCTGAGGAAGATCGGCAAGAAGGTACACGCTTTGCGAGCTTGGCGTACGAGAACAGCCCAAAACAACAGCCAACATCGGTACTTTCCTTCAGCTTGCTTGCTGAGCTACGGAAGAGTCGGAACAAGTTTATTGACGCATGGAGGACATTTTCGGCACTACGTTCTCCGGAGATGAGGTTCGACTCGAAGTCTCCTGAGGTGATGGAGGAGATGGGACGGCTGTTGAGCATTGAGTATGCTATTGTGGCCAGTGCCGACTGCGTCGACAACGCCGTAGTTTACCTTACTGAGATCTTAGACTCCGTACCGAGCAATGATCCGTTGCTTTACACGGGGCTTTGTGTCCTGGGAGATCTGCTCTTCGCTCGGTACGGCTTTCATGAAAGGGCGACCGATTATGACGATGTTATCCAGTTTGGCGAGATGGCCATGTCCAGCGATGACAATGAACCCCTTATTACAGAGTTCCTGCTCATTCGGACGATGTTGTGTAACCAAAGATTCCGGGTAACAGGAGACATCACGAAAATCAATGAGGCAATACAGTTGATGCGGAAGAAGCTTTTTGTTGACTCATCTAAGGGCCGATCTAATCCGTTGAACACCTTTGCACTTGGAAATTGCCTCCGTGAGCGGTACGAGTTCACCAATGCTCTCGGCGATCTGGAAGAAGCCATACAATGGCAACGTCAAGCGATGCGAGAAGCCCCTGAACACCATATGTTCGCAGCAAGAATGCACTTCTACATGTCTGAGATCTTGAAAAAGCAATATCAAAGGACAATGGAACTTGCTTCATTGAACGAAGCTATCGAGCATATGCGGATGGCAAGCTCGAGTCCAGGTCCACATTCATATCACCCTGAAGTTAAGCTGCTATACAACTGCAGCTTGGCAGAATTGCATCTCCAGAAGTATAATGCGACCAATGATACCGAGCATCTTACAGAAGCTCTCAGCCTTGTTCACACAATATTCGAAGAGAAGTTATCAGGTGAGGCTGCGCAAGCCCATGGCTTAGCGGTCGATACAATTGGCAGCATATACCGCACTTTGTACGAAAAGACAGGTGATTCTTCATATCTGTTAGAAGCTATTGCAACCTACGAACGGGCCACAAATCAAGGTGCCAAGTTGCCAATGAGCCATCGGTCTCGAAGCCGCCTGCTCAGCAACCTCACCTGGCTATATTTACGGCGCGGTGAAGAGACAAGAGACCTCGGCTATCTTTCAAAGGCCCTCGAGTACTGCGAAAAAATCCTTAAAGATAACAATGCAGCCGCGGCTGAGCGTGTTGAAGCTGGCAGAACCTACCTTACCAACATTGTGAAACTTCAGCAATGGGAAGCAGCGTATAAAGCAGCCAACCTCACAGCGAGCCTTGTCCCTCAGCTCTCGTTACGCTCCCTCCGCCACTCAGACCGCAAACAGTTGCTCGCCAACCTTTACGGCCTTGCATCAGAGGCAGCGGGTGTAGCCCTCCGAGCAGGCAAGTCACCGCTGGACGTGCTGCGCCTGGTCGAGCAGACTCGTGGCATCATCGGGGCATCCCTGGAGCAGCTCCGGGCCGATATGAGCCGCCTTAAGGATGTAGATCCCGAGCTGGCAAGGGACTTTGCCAAAGCCCAACAACAATTGACTTCACCCATCCATCAGGAGGACTGGTCGCCAGCACTGTTTGATAAGACGTCGTCGTGGGCCCATCGGGACTTTGAGGAGAGACAGAAGTTCGATGAGATACTGTCAAGGATCCAGCAGACTCCTGGGTTTGAGAACTTCTTACGTCCGTTGAGTGAGGCAAAGATATTTGAGGCTGCGTCTCGGGGACCGGTTGTCGTCATAAGTGTTGCACCTTTTGGTTGTGATGCGCTGTTGGTAACGGCGAACGGTGTGCGGGCGGTGCCGTTACCAGATCTTTCGCATTCAGAGGTTGTTTCTAAGGCGCAGAATGGTGACTTTGGGAGCTATGATACTCTGGAGTGGCTCTGGATGACGGTAGCTCGGCCTATTCTCGATGCTCTTGGGTTTACTCAGCGATATCAAGATTCCGGCAACGGAAGTAATAGTATGCCGCCACACATATGGTGGATTCCGACCGGTCCCTTGACGAACTTCCCTCTCCATGCTGCCGGTCTGCATCGTGCCCGTACTGGCCAGACGGTGCTCGACAGGGTCATGTCATCTTACGCCTCTTCTATCACCTCTCTGATTCATGTCCGTGAGCGCTGGTTTCTCCTCCCTCCCGCCCCTAGTGACTCTACTTCAGGAATCGACGGCATATCTAACCAAGTTCTCCTCGTCGCAATGGAGGAAACTCCTGGAGTCGCAAGACACGCCGTTCTACCATTTGCTGCCAAAGAAGTCGAAGTTGTCCGACAGCTCTGCACTTCCATGGGCCTGAGCCCGATCTCCCCGGGCGGCCACAAGCAAACCATCGCCCGTTACCTCCGTTCCTGCCAATTCTTCCACTTCGCAGGCCATGGCGCCACAGACCCAGTGAACGCAGAAAACAGCCGTTTACTCCTCCTCCCCGATAATGACGCTCCGGCCAACAACTTAGATGACGGAACCCCCACGAACGACGGCTCCCTCCGCGTCTCCGAAATTCTCGACATGGACTTAACCTCAAACCCCACACATCCTCCCCCTTTTTTGGCCTACCTCTCGGCCTGTGGTACAGGCAGCATGCGAGACGTGAGGGTTGCTGACGAAAGTATACATCTTGCGAACGCCTTCCAACTAGCTGGGTTTCGGCACGTTTTGGGGACGTTCTGGGAGGTGCTTGATAAGATGTGTGTTGATGTTACGCGGTTCGTGTATGAAAGGCTTCTAAGGGACTGGAAGAGTGGGGACTTGACGGATGATTCGGTCTGTCGCGCGCTGCACGAGGCGTTGAGAAGGGTGAGGGATCGGGAGGTGGATGAGATTTTTAGGGGGGTTACGAGGAGCGTGAGGGATGTTGTGCTTTGTGAAGAGGAGGATGTCGCGGCTTGGGCTCCTTACGTGCATTTTGGGCCTTGATATCTCTCGCTGTGGCTAAAATCATTAGTTGTTTATGGATTGTGTGGTTACTAGTTTGCTTCAACCCCATCAGACATATATGTCACGGTAATCAACGGAGAGAAACGTAGCAAAGCACGTTCATTACTGATCCATAGAAATTCATACATTCTTAGAGACATCCGTGTTCCCATTCCACAATGTCTCCTTAGCCCTTGCTACCGCTCACATCCTCGAAGAAGACAATTAGAATTGTCGCATACCTAAACAATCATAAGTTAGCACATGTCCAAAACACTGGAGTTAAGAAGGAAAGGGGAAACAAACGTTGCACCCGCGAGGACCAGCTCCATCGTTCTCGACTTAATTAGCAGGGAGACGACAAGAAGGTAGACCAAAGTGCATATCATGTACACAATGATGCGTATCGGCGTTTCATCGATAATCGTGCAGAGAAGAACCGGCAAGAACAGTAACAATGCGATCAATATGATTACCAAAGTCCTGGCCAATACTCTAATACAGGGGCCAGAGTAGATGTATACATTTAGGTCGTCCGAGATATCGTGGTGACGTCTCTTAATGGCAAATGGTGAGTATATGTGGCAGTAACTGCCGCTGAAATGGACTTTACCTTGCGAAAGCCACGCCAGAGCTTGATAAGAAGCTGTTCCACCAATGCTTCAAGCTTCACTGAGGCTCTGTCTCCATCAGGAACAAGCGATACAAGGTCTCTGTTATGTTTTATGTAAGTACATTCTTCTTCAGCTATGCACTTATTTCCCTCTAGCCAATTCCTCAAACTCTCGACATCTCGAGGAGTTGGGGGGCTGAGGGCTAGCATGCGACGGGTTCTTTCGACGAAGCGATCTATGAAACATGTTAGTCTATAAAGATGGGCCTGGAACAACTTTGTACGCACCATAGTCTTCGAGTTGAGAATCTATCTCAGCAACCAGAGCTGCTCGTTCAGAGTTCGCATCGCGGCGGCTTACACCAAGAAATAGAGGAAACTTTTCATTTTGATCTAATTCATCCAGTTTTGCTTCAAGCTGAGAGAGTCGGTCTTGCTTCAACAAGAGCAACCGAGCTCGTAGCCTCGTAAAGCGTCTGCATATCAAGAATGGGTCATGGGCAGACAGGAGAGCAGTATATCGTGGGTACCCTGGCCGGTAGTCCTCAACTGTTGTGTATTGTGTTGGATTAGCGATCATACGGCCAGCATAGAACTAAATCGCTGGAACTATCTCACTCTTTTTGTTACATACTTCTGATGTAGGAGTCTGGCCGTTCATAAAATTGTGAAGAGGCAGGGACGGTGATGGTGACATTGCTAACGATAACTTCAGTATTTTTTTTTTCGAAGACCTAAAAAGCTAGCGAAAGAGCAGTGTAAACATGCAGCTTGAAGCTCGCTTTTACTTTGCTTACAACCTTGTTTTCTGAGCAGCGCTGCATGGGCCAATGTTTCCTGCGGCAATGTAACACAGCCACCTCTAGTGCTTATGGCCTGCATTCCGCCAATGGCATAAAACCTGAAGGAGTTCGGCCTTATAGGCTTCCATTGATTGAACAAAACCATTTATATCCTACGATAGATGCTTCTAAATTGTGTATTTGTGATCCTGGCTTGCTGCGCGAAAACACACCTGCGTGCTATTGGTTTCATAGGTCGAGACACTTACGAGATGTCAGCCCCTGAAGAAGAGTATGTTTATGCTGATGTTTGCGTTTGAACTATCATTTCTAACATCATATCAAGTCCGCAAATTGCCTTTGATGAGGAAGATGAGAGGCCATATGTGAAATCTTACTCCAAAGTAGGTTTCTAGCGCCTGGTTCGATGGCCACTCCTTCATTAGGAAGGCTAATCTTATACTAATGAACACCTTATTAGAAACCAAAGTTCTCGGTCGGTCAAAGGGTTTACTTGTGCATGAATGGAGCCTATGAGGGGCCGTATCTGGTTGCAACAGTAGCGCCAGGAAAGGTGTCTCTCTGCCTGGGAAATGGGCTGCCTGTCCTAAATGGCAAGGAGATTGACGACTCTTACGTGCGGCTCAGCTGACTTGGCGAGATGGATCCTTGATGATAAAGAGCGAATGATTGGTCTGCACCTTTCCTGTACGTGCCTACATAGAAGATATAACTGCCCGTGAAGAGGTTGTCGTAGGGGATTGTGGTAACGTAATTCTACCCGACCAGGGATGATACCCCACAAGTTCGATCAATCATGAATGCTCAACCCGATACGGCCGCATATCATGCATTGTTGATTGGTATCAACGATTATCCAGATAAGCCCCTCAAAGGATGTGTCAGTGATGTCTACTACATCAAAAGCCACCTCGAGGACACCTTAGGCGATGCAATCCAGATACACCTCCTTATAGCTGGCATTCCAGCGGGACAGGATTTGGACCTCTCAGCACAGAACTCGGCGCTATGGCCCAGCTACCACAATGTCATCTCCGCCCTCCGCAATATTACGACACAATCGAAAGAGGGAGATTGTGTTTACATCCACTACTCAGGCCATGGCACCCAGGACCCAGAGGATGGGGACCTTGCTCTAGTGCTGCTGAATGAGAATCTAGGGCAACCCCAAATCGAGTTGCTCTGGACTGATGTCTTAGCAAACATGGTGCAGGCTATGGTGGACAAGGGGTTAAGGTAAGTGATGATCCATACTTATTGAGTCATTCAGTCATGCGTGATGTCTCCGTGATTTTGCCTCTGCTAGGCATATCCTGGATCAGATTGCCGGGATCTCTGAAAATCCTCAATGACACAAAAACAAGATCTCTAACATGAGCGAAGAGTGACCCTAGCCCTCGACTGCTGCTTCTCCGGGGGAATCTTTCGCGGTGATGGCCCGGAGGAAGGAGAAATCCTCCGCTTCTATCCTTATGATAAAGTTACTAGGAAGAGGCCAGCGTCCAGCCATTCTCGAACATGCAATTCAGCCTCTACTAGGCCCTCGGCATACCGTGATCTCTCAGCACTACTCAACTGGCAAGTCGACCCAAACCGACATGCTATCCTCGCGGCATGTGGCGCCAACGAGACTGCCAAAGAACCCAAGATCAACGGACAAAACAGAGGGTTGTTTTCTTACTTCCTCCTAGACGCCATGAAAAAGTACGGTCTCTCAGCAAGTCACGCTGACATCTTCAGCTACCTGTCCGGGAATGTAAAAGCATCCGGTGTGCGTCGACAGAATCCTTGGAGGGCAGGAAACAGGAACCAAGCCTTCTTTGGCCGGCAGCTGCATAGAAGAACCACAGAATCACTGATCACCGTCCTGCGGGATAGAGACGGCACTCTGGAGCTTCAAGCCGGTCATGCACACGGGATCTGTGCCGGGGATGAGTTCAGCATCTTGCCTGCTTCGGTTGCACTCCAGTCTTCAGCCCAGGACTCAGCAATATATAAGGTTCTCTTTGCCAGGCCTCTAACGTCAGTTCTGGTGCCAAAGGACGACTCAACCCAAATATTAAGTAGTGGTCGAGTCTGGATGGCACGTCCTCTTACTCGTCTCTCACTCCAAAGATTTCCTGTCTGGATCCCAAGAAACCTACCAGCATTTGAGGAGTGGATAACTGCGTTGCAACAGCGATCTCTTCAACTTTCGGACTTTCCTCAGACACCGCCAGCTTTCGAGGTAGCTCTTATACAGGACGGAGGATACCGTATCCTCAACGGATCATCGGAAGAGCTCCTTATCTTGCCTTCGCGCGCCAAACCCAGCATTAGCGACGTAGTCAACATCCTGGAGCATCTTGCCAGATACCAATTAGCAAGGACTCTGGTCAATCAGTTCCCAAATCCCATCTTCACGCAGTCCTATGAAGTATACATGCAGCTTTTTGGGAAACGATACGAACCTGGCTCCGAGCTCAAGGTATCCAACTTCAGCAAGATATCGTTAGTTGTCAGAAACTTGGGCAACCAGCCGATTTACATGGTTGTTCTTAACTTCCGACATGGCTGGCAAGTGAATAACCTGTTCAATGCAACCTACAATGTCATCCTGCCGCGGAGTGAGGGGAGGAGTTCGGAAAGGACGATCAGCTTCAGAGCTCAAGTTCCGGACGAAGTTATGGAGAAGGGGCAAAATGAATGCAAGGATGTCTTAAGGGTTATGTTGACATCCAGACCGACGTCGTTTGAGTTGTTGGAGCTTGATAGACTGGGCGAGGTTAAAGAACGTCTAAGTAAAGAAAGCTCAGTTCGTGCAGGCGGCGATGATGAGGAGGAGGAGATTTGGAGTGTTGAGGAATTTTGTATCTGCGTTTCTGCATAGGATTTTTGTTGTAAAGTGATACAACAAACCAGCTGCTCTTACAGTCGCGAATGAATTTTGGAATTGCAACAAGAGGGAACTGCTGTCTTCAACTACCACAGGTCCTCGCAAGCTGCGTGCAGGGGTCACTATAAACCCGGTCTTTGCCTGGTCGGGTTGAGCTGCACTAGCAGCCTGCCTTATGATCTCTCACGCTCTTGGCCCCAGCATCCTCAGTCTCATGCCGTGATCAGTGGCGTTGCATGCTTGCATTCCATGCTAATCATCTGGATCACTTTAATGATGGCTTTTCTGCCTGAATCTTCGACTTGCTCTTCATAGGACTTGGTAGACCAGTTAGCAGTTGAAGTGACGTTGGGGGACGAGCTAAAGCACAGATCACCTCCAAACCCACATCGCAGAAACACTCCATCTTGGACATGATGGGATATCGCCACACATGAACCCTCGCTTGACCGCCGACTTTCATGAATCCAAGCCCCCCTCCTACCCGGTAGATGCCTTGCACTTGGGAGCTTCATACTTTAGCAAGCCAGCCTTGCTCCCTCTGCCACTTTTATTGGCCTATTTCCTCCTCAACCCGCACAACAACCCCAATCTCGACGTCACGCGACACCCAGCGCCTCGCATCCCGTGTCAATCCGGCCAGCAGGGCGTCGTGGCCGTGAATGTGGGGTTTTTATGCGCGGTCCCGGCGGAGGAGGGGGGGTACATACATGATACGACCCATACATACAACAGACAGCTACCTAGGTACGTACTTTTTCCTAACGTACCGTAACTTTTTGCAAGCTTTTTGTGCAAGTGCCTTGCTTAGTTTCGGAGGAAATCAAACGGCGTGTTTCCATTTGCAAATGCGAATGATGTGACTTGCTGGCCTGGGAAGATCGGCTGGGGACACGGTGTGGAGTGTGGAGTTGGATCGGGGGTCTTTTTGATCGATCTGTGCATTCATGCATTGTACCGCGACAAGCAAGGGCTTACACCCGCTCACCGTCGACAGCTTGATGGAAGGGAGGGAGGTATGAGGCTCTCTAGATGTTCATCCTCGTAGGTAGATGGAAGGCCTATATGCCACAGCTCACCTGCCGAGCTCGTAGGGAGAAGCGTAGTACAAACTTGACATGTCCATGGCCAGATTGAGTGGAGGAAAGCTCCATCGGTATGTCTGTGTATGTAAGCCGACTTAAGGTGGTGGGATACACCTAACAAAGAGGAGGAGACGGAAGAGAAGGAGGAGGGGTGCTTGTTGCTCAGCTGGAGGCGGTGTCCTGCTCCTCCTCTCCTCCCCTGGTGTATAAAGACCCCGCTTTGCTCTCCATTACAGCGCATCCCGCTCAATCTTTCTTCCTCTATCCCTCACCTACTCGATCAGCCGCGCGATCTATCAGCAGCCCAAGGCAAACCTACGCCCCACACCCCATCAACAAGTCACAATGCACCATAGCAGCTGCCCTAAGTGCGGTGCCGCGGCCGACGGCCAGAGCAAGACTTGCGGCTCCTGTGGCGCTGTAAGTCCTTCTGTCTGCTTGCTGCCGTTGCCTTGGTGGTTCTGCCCCATCCATACCATCAGGGGCAACAGGCTGTGTAACAATAGAACCATCGGGCTGACTCTGTCCAGACCTGCCCCAACTAAGAAGCCTCACTGTTATCATCCATCGCTTCCTCGACAGTTATGACGCCCGTCAGTCGCTCTGTGTAACACAAGATTTTTCTCTACGGCATCCATCTGGTCGTCACGTCGAAGCTTGTTCCATTCGTGCCGATACTCCCCTGTACGGCGTGCCGAATGACCGTTCCTTGGCCCCCTAATGCCCAGAGGGAGCATCTACAGAAAGGGTTTCTCGTCCATGTTCCTCCATAATGGTCAGGCCCTGAACAACCACGGCAGCAGGGAGGATAAGGAGAGAAGGATGCCATAATCAATCGGTTGGTTGAGCTGTCGAGTCCCTTTTCTCGTGCTTTCTCTTTGGATCGGGGTGTTTCGATTTCAAGGAGAACGTCGTCACCGAGTGGGTGGATATGAAGATACTCCATGGTTTCGTAGTTAATGAGATATGAGTTATGACATGCACCAGCTGTTTGATCGATTGAAAGGACTGTCGTATGTAATTGTTGATATGGACAAATCCCGAGTATCAACTCCTTCTATGTGGGAGAACAGACCACGCAGCTTACGCAGGCAGCAGGCAAAGCTCTGGATGTAGGTAGGCAGGCAGGCAGGCAGACGTATAATCCAACAACCAGCTCAGCAAATAATAACCCGGGACAGCACATTATCAGAGGTATCAATCTCCTAAATAATCATTCTCTTCTTATAGCTACTACCCAGGCTCATCTGCTCAGTCTCAACCACCAACACACCACCACCACCACCAACCGCTCAAGCACCCATCACACAACTTCAGCTACAACCACTCCAGCGACAATAAGACTACCTATAAGCGGGGATACCATCCTCAATCTCACCACAACAATGTCAAGCCATTACACGCACCGCCATCTCAACAAAGCCACACGCACTTACTCAACTCACTCGCTCAACGCACGCAGCAACACCAACGTAACATGACATCAACACTGAAATAAATAGCTAGCTATCGGGAGTTTACCTAGAGAGAAAAAGAAAACGAGGAAAGCAAAAAGAAACTCCAAACTAAAGACATCAAAAGGAAAAGACAACACGGGAAACCAACAACAACCTGGATGCTGAGAGCGAGGAAGAAAAGGAAGCCACGTCGACAACTACCTAGGTAGGTCAATCCGATTTGGTCTGACCTGATCTGAGATACCTTGGGATATTGACGACGAGGAGAAGAGAGACGACAGAGAGCAAAAGACCACATGCAGAGATAGACAGCCAGAATCATCAGAGCCAATGAGGGGGGAAAAAAAGAGGGGAGAAGCCAGATGAGATGGTCAGTTATTTATGAGGAGGTAAGGAGACAGCAAAAAGGACGATGGATAAAAAAAAAGGAGAGGAGAACAAGGGCGTCGACAGCCATAGGATATCAAGTGGCCGAGTGAAGAGGGCAACCAGTTGAACTCGACTCGCGACCGACCCGATGTCCAAGACCAAAGGAGACGATGACCGAATGTGAGTGAGATTATCAATAACTGTCAACCATCCTTATTACTCCCCTCTATCCATCCATCCTTCTCCCTCCATTTAATGTGGCCAATCTCTTCAGCTCCGCCTCGACCTGCCTTCCTTTGTTTTGCAGGATAGCAATGGTCTTGACCAATCAGAATTAAAAAGCAAGCTAGGTGCGAAGGCGGTCCTGTCCCATCCCATCCACTTGGTTGAGGATTTACTCGCAGCTCGTCTGGGCCTTGGACCAGGTTACATGGCAAAACCCAAGAGTTGTTGACCCTGTCCAACATCATTCAGGCTCAATGCTGCTCGCTTTCCCTTTGCTGCTGACTCATTTCTTTCCTGCTGCCGTCCTGCTTGTTGCAGTAATTCCTTTGATATTTCCTGTCGAGGTCACATAGGCGTCGATGAGAAAATAGTGGTGTTGGTGGTGCAAGAAAGCATCATAACTCTCTCTCACACTCTCTTCTCTCTTCTGCTTCTTTCTTTCCAGGAAATTAATGACCCATTGCTGGATTTTGCTTTGCCGGTTGTGCTAGGGCCTGTGTGGGACAATATCGTTGACAAGATGGCGAACTTCTCGGAACTCCAACCCCCACTCCGAACGAGGAAAAAAAGAACAAAAAAGATCTTCGCGCTTAAGCAATCACGCACTTGTTCTTCTTTTTCCCGGTCTTCTTGAGCAAGGCAGCCCGTGTTGCAGTCTCAAACACCTCGCGGACACCCTCGTTGGTCTTGGCCGAGCACTCCAGGTACTTGGTAGCCTTGATGTTGTTGGCAACGGTTTGCCCCTGCGGGCATTATTAGCATAAACTGTTTGCTAGTTGACTGTTAGCTTCGGGGAAATGGGGTAGTTACTTGTTCGGGGGTAACAGGCTGCTGGCTGATCTTGCGGAGCTCCTCAATGGTCTTGGGATCGAAGCGCAGGTCCTTCTTGCAGCCAACCAGGAGCTTGGGAACGTCAGGGCAAAAATGGTGGACCTCAGAGCACCACTGCAGTCATGTTAGCACTGTTAACAACTCAAAGGCAGCAGGGACGACATTGATAATGTGACGTACCTTCTCACCGACGTTGTCCAGCGAATCAGGAGAGTCGATGGCGAAGCAGATCAGGATGACGTGCGAGTCAGGGTAGGACAGAGGGCGCAGACGGTCGTAGTCCTCCTGACCGGCGGTATCCCACAGCGCCAGCTCGACATGCTTGCCATCGACCTCGACATCGGCGACGTAGTTCTCGAAGACGGTAGGAACATAGACCTGTAGATAGTGTCAGCTATGCCTGAACCATATAGATGATGTTGATAGGCATAGAGCGATGTGGATGTCGTGTGTCGATGTTGTGGTCTGCCTATCGAACGTCGGGGAAGCGAATGCCGAGGCGGTCTAAGACCGTGCACCAGGGGTGCAAGATGGCAAAAGTTCGATGGACGACACGGCACGAAAGGGGTCAACAAATCGACGAGATCGAGATGGCGCAACTCACCTCTGGGAAAGTACCCTTGGAGAACACGCTGTAGAGAGCGTCAGCAAGTTGATGATGCGAGTGCGATGTGATGATAACCCGCGGATGGATGTTGATAAGGGGGTTGACAGAAGTCGCCCGCCTAGGGTCTAGGGGAGTTGTGAAGATGAATTAGGAACCGAGACTCACATCAGCAGGCAGGTCTTGCCGCAGGCACCGTCGCCGACGATGACCAGCTTTCTGCGCAGCTCGGCGGTCATTTTTGCTGTGTTAAGGCTCTGCGGATGGTGGTTAAAGTGATGGTGTTGGGTGATGGAGGAAGACGAGAAGGGCAAGTGTCGGTGGGCGACGAGAAGAAGTACGGGAGGCTGCAGCAGAAGGGGAGCGAGCTGCAGATTAGACCGTGGATTAGAGGCTATGCGCGATGCACGGAATCAGGTTCCCTTGGGTCGGGCAGAGGTCGCAGAGCGCGTAGAAAGGCGGAGCGGTGATAAATTCTGGATGAAGCCAGCACCAGGTTGTCGATGCAGCAGCTGATGGAGCGGTTTGGGAGATGGGAAAGGGTGAGAGTGGAAGAGTGGAGGAGGTTGGAACCCGAATGGAAGTTATCGGTCGGTGCCAGCAGGGCCAGCAGGTGGAAAAAGACCTGGCAAAGAAGTCTTGGCGATTGGCTACTTGGGAGCCTGGCCTGGTCGTTTACAGTCTGGATTTGCCGCGCCCGCACTGTGCACCCTGGGAGGCCTGCTGGGGCGCTGACTGGTCCCTGACTGGCTTTTACGCGGTTTTGGGGAGTATTTCCCGGTTCCCAGCTTGGGATGACCAGTGCAGGATGGCTAGAAGGGGACAAATGGGCAAAAATTGGAACAGAGGCCACAAATAGAGGTCATGAAATGGGTACAGCAAAGGGGGCAGAAGCGGATGCTGGTGTGCCACTGGGTGCGCGGCTTGGAACGCTGCACTGTGGCCGGGGATGCGTTGGGGGACTCGTGGACCTCCCGGGGGCCTTGGCCTTGCTCCAGCGCCGTTCGCTCGCTTGATGCTTGTGCTATCGGGGCTGATCTGACGAGGCAGCGTCAGACCGTCAATGCCCGTTACTGTTTCGCTGTCGCCGGGAAGAGCTTGTTTTTTTCCCTCCAGATCTCGGACGGATTGTCGAGCATCTGGAGACTTTGATTTCTTGCAACACCTATGGATTACGGTTCGCAATGCGAGCAGAACTGCGTTTGGTAGGGCAATTGTGCAGTGCGAGCCCTTTCGGAATCTCAATTTATTTTCCCACGTAATTTCTCTACCAGTAAACTATGCCCCGTAGCCCTGACTCGATGTCTCCGTTCCGCCCCGTACTTCTGGATTTCTGGACTTCCCGATTTGATGGCCAGCGCGAACGAACGAGGTCACCTCGGGAACACGCAATCAGCAATTCGCCGCTACGAGGGACGGGATCCAGCAATCCGGATGGCTGAAATACGCATCGGGAGCCTACCGACCAGAGATGGACTGAAACGCCCATCTTTTCCTGCAGGACTGCGTTCTGCTTGCGTGTTGCCCACGCGTAGGTTGGGTCGAGAAGCACTGGCTGACAGAAGTGTGTTGTCTAATACCAAACAAAGCCCCTGAAAAGCACTGTGGAGACTTGCCCGCTTAAAGTGACCCGTCTCAGTAGGCCACTGGGCACTCAAAACTCAAGGGAAGCGCAACGACTCTTGGAAAGTTCTTCACCTCTGAGAGAGCTTCAAATCATGGATGGGACATATAGGCTACCACGTGGCGAGGTTTTATCTACCTACGATAATACAAACTAGCAGGGCAAGGTTGCAGGTGATCACGGCAGCAAAATTATGTCCCAAGGCATGCCAGTCTTGGTCGGTCATCATGCAATGGGCCATCGTCCAGTACTTGACAGCCCAAGTAAACACGTGCTTGACAACATCCGGAACAGACCATAAAGCAGTCAACTCGGCTCAGCCTGCATGAGTGAACTGCGCACGAGTATCTTATACTAAGCTGCCAACCGCACTCGAAAACTGGCGCGACTTATGGCCACATAAACATATGGTGAACCGGCAACGTCTTTGGTCTCAAGAGTCCCCTCCAGCCATTCGGCGAAGATAACCGGGCTGAGTGTTTGTGGCGCATGCATCCCCCTCGCATCCTCGGAGATCGAACGAGTCCTATGATGGACAGTGCAGAGTGTACATGTGTAGGACTTCGACGCCCTTCCTCAACAACGTGAGAGACACAACAGGGCCTTCGGGCCGCTCGACAAGTTGAACAAAGGAAGAATCAGATATTTGGGAAGACCGGCTGCCTCCAAAAAAAGACCCTGATCCACAGGATTGGCTCTGGAGAGCCTTTTCTGAGGACAAACCCGAAGCAGCCATAAAGCTGGTCCTAGTCGAGGTCTGAACACAGTAAGAGAGATGATGGAACCTCTTGACCGTCAAGCGTTCGCGCTTCGGTTTGTGCCTCTTGTTCATGCACCTAAGGATGCGTCAACTGCACCAAGACCTACCTCTGCGCTGTATGCATGTGTTAAGTACACTGTGTACGGGTCTGGTTCTGGATCCCTCCTTTTGGAACCCGCTGCCAGCCGTCAAGAGCTGTCTGCCAACCGCACAAATTTTCCCGCTAGGCTTGGCCAGCACCGGACGATGGCGGCCAATTGAAGCTTGGCAGATGCTCCAACTTTTCGATCGCAGACGGCCTGGTCGACCATCAACGGATACCCAGCCCGCACGCCGCATAACCCCGCGAGCCTGGAGCAGTCCAGCTCTCCAGACCCGACTTGACCGTCTTAATTCGACTGCGGACCGGCCGCCGCTGAGTGTGATCGCTTCCGACCGTCTCTCCCGAACGTCGGCCTGATGGACAAGATCCTCCGCCGGGTGCGCATGGCTGAGCGCCAGGTCGCACGCCGGAACAAGGAGCGTGCGTTTCGCGAGTACATGCAGGAGAAGCGCAATCGCAGGAGAACGAGGGCGAAATTGGCAGCAGAGGTCCGTCTCGACATTGGCTATGCCATCGGACGCCGCCATGAGGACCTCGAGATGGGTCCCATCACCCCCAACCGTGATATCATGAAGGTCAACCGCTTCGGCAACTACTACGGCTCGATCTCGACCAGCCGTGCCCTGCTGGACTTTCCGATTACTGAGAAAGAGAGGGAAGCCCGCTGTGCCTGGGCTGGCGGTTCTAAGTACTTATGTCTGGCTCCCGGCGACCGCGTTGTCATTACCGAGGGGCACCTGAAGGGCCGCATCACCACTATCGAGAGCATCGACCGCAACCTCATGACCGTCGAGCTGGCTGCCGACTTCACTCTTGTGAGTCAGCTTCTTCCTGGCTGATATACCAGCCCTACCCCTCGCTCGCTCACTCACATCGCCCTTCAGGTCAACGCCACTGTCCCTGAATATGTCCGCGAGCCCGGCCAGAGCCCCGTCCAGCTCGTCAAGGCCCGTTTCCCCATATCTGCCATCCGGCTGGTCCACCCGGTCGCTGACCCGGTTACGGGCGTGACCCGCGATGTAATCATCCGGGAGCTCAAGCCATTCGGCATCGTCCACGACCGGGTCACCCGGAAGGTGACCTGGGCGCGGTTCGTGCCAGGGCAGAACATTAAGATCCCATGGCCGAAGCTGGAGCCAAAGGAGAAGCCAGAGTACGCGGGTGACACGTTGCGCATCGACATGGAAGAGCGCACGTTCGTGCCGACGCTGCTGCGCCCGCCGATGCCCGAGCAGGTGATCGATGAGCTGCGCAACCGCTACTCCAAGTTCCGCACCCGCCACACCGCCGAGTACATCGCCGAAAAGGAGGCCGAGGAAGCCGAGAAGAAGGCCCGCAAGAAGGCCGCCGACGCCATGCTCCTACCCATCCAGGAGTACAACCGCCGCATGCGCGAGCTGCGCCGTGCCCGTGGCCAGCCCGTCCTCACTGAGGGCATGCTCGAGAAGATTGGCCAGATCATTGCCCAAAACCTGGCCCGTCGCCAGGCTGCTGCTCGCCCTGCGCCCCAGCCGGCTCGCGTGGCCGGTGTTACTGCCCTTACTTCCAGCCAGGAGAAGAGGGACGAGAGCGTCGAGAAGCTCGAGAAGGCAGTCGAGCAGCTGTCGCTTGGTGGGGATGCGGCGACACCATCAACGCCAGATCAGCCAACAACGTCGTCATCATAATTGCTTGCTAGGAGACTGGCGAGGCTTCTTTGAGTTGGCGCCGGTGTCCGGTGTTTTACGTACGGGTCCTCGAACAGATGCGCTAAAACCCCCTCACTCCTTGACCTTCGTTCAGCCATCACTCATTAGTGGTGCTGCACAAAGCCATGTCAGAGTCATCGGAGCTGTTCCTGGATGTGGCGTTGGCGCTGGCTTTGACGACGAATCTGTGGACTCCACGGAGGCGCTGAGCTGCGTTCGTTCTGAAGTCCACGGCTTGTAACGATAGCTGTGAGATGTCTTTTATTGTAGTATATACATGTGATGGGATACAATCTAAACATGTCTGGCCATTGAGATTTTGGTGCCAATGCTGGCTATGGGATCAGCAGGCTGGGAGGGTGGGCTTGGGAGCAGGTTGCTTCACGTCCACCGCTGGTAGACTAGTTTACAGAATGCCGCTCCTTCGATCCTCTTTCCCTCCTCACACTTGCTTTGCTCAGATCCTATCGGCCCTCTCCCCCTACTTGTCGTTCCTCCAAAATGGCCGACCGATTCGCCCCTTGCGGTGGCTGTCTCTTAAGGGCCCGGTAAGTAATCTTTTACACGGTTGCATAGGTAATCAGAGAATGTTGCGGAGAACCCTGCAGCTCGTAGATGTTCTAGCTTCAACAAACCAAACAAGAGGGGCTTTCATAACCCAGTATCTCAACAGAATCTTGTAGTTTATATACCCTTTACTTTCGTAGGGCACAACCGAGAGGTTGACAACAATATTAGGCAACCAATCAAATCAGCCCGGCTCCCCGAAGCAGCCTATAAACTGGGAATCACAAGCAGCTACCTCCATAGCTTTGCTGAGATATCTGGTGTCAGATCTGACCACAAGCTTGCCGCCTACTAACTTTTCAGCTTGTAAAGGATGAATAAGTATAGCTGGATCTTGGCCCTGCTAACGCCTGTTTGGCTGAAGCGTAACTACCTGTTTCCAGCTGGCAGCATTCGGGGCCGCTGCAGTGCGCAACCTTGCCCATTCCTAAGCTCACGTTGACCATTGGACTTCCCTCCTCGGTATCTATCGCTAGCGTGGGTGGAAAATGGAGCATAGGATTGAATGGACCATATGTCTCTCTTATTGAGGTATGTCTTTTCCTTCTACTCTTCGTTCATTATTAAGTTGTTGTTTGCAAAGGAATCCGCGCTTGCCCATTATAGATGCCAATCCCAATGGCCACTTTTCCAAGTTATCATTCTATTCCTTTGTCCCAACCTGACTTCGAGCACCCAACAACCTATCCAAGCCAGGGTCCTATAACTCTCATCACTATCTTGATTCACAGCAGTTACCATGGGAGTTTTCTGATCAGAGGACAGCAGAAGCTGAAGCTGGCACTTCCAGAAGGGATGCCGATGGTTTCGCTTGGTGGAGTATTACCTGGCGCCTAGTACCCTTTCTCATCTTCAGCCCCTTGCTCATTGCGATCCTCAAAGTCTACGCAGACAAGCGCGGGCTAGGCACGTCGAAGCGGCGGACGTCCAACGTCCTGATCATCCTTTTTCATCACTTATCAGCTTATGCCTTGGGTCGCCACTTGGCCCTTAGGTGCTACCATCCGCTGGTGGTTGCCGGCAGAGCGCTCGCACACCGTAAGAGAAGTTGACTTTCTCTTGGGCATCAGCAATCGCCCTGTGGTACTCAAGTTCATGTGGCATGGCTTGACCAGTCGGTGGAATTTGAGGCTCCCTCTTAGGTTGCAATCGACTGCAACACTATCAGTTGCATATCTAGTAGTCAATATACTTGTTCGGTTAAGTGTGACATTCGTCGGCCTGGGATATAACTTGAAGGAGGACAAGATATGTGCAGTTATGGTCGCCGACTTCAGCTACAAGAATACAACCTTCCAGTTTGGTAAGTTTGACTCCAATGCCATATTAGGACTCTGATATATATTGACATCTGATAAGACGTCAAAGCCGAGGTACCGAGAGGTCGCTGTGCGAATGAGATACATGCGAGCCTTAAGTTTTGATGGGATTCCTAACTACGCTCACACAATTTAAAAACGGCCCTTCGACCTGGATCATAAGAAATCTGGGCAGTGTCAACAAAATACACTGGCACCGCCATTTACACATGATATCTCCGTGAATATCTTGGCCAGGAGGAATACCCGTCCCTCCATATGGTTGTGCAGAGCTCCGCGACCTACAGGTCTCCCATTTTCGACAGAAATCCGCTCATTTGTAACGTTTATGCAAATGGCACCTTGGATTCCAGTGCCCCTCCTTGTAAGTCACTCTGAACGCTCAACGATAACCCTTTGCTTGAGCTTAATACTTACAGATTCCAATCCAAACATACTAAGAGGTTGAAGGGAGAACCCCCTGAGTGGTTGCAATTAGTGCATGCCATAGCTATCGAGGAAGAAGAAAAGCTGATATTTCCCCATGACTTTGTATGATTCATGGATTATGATGATGTAATAACCGGACCCCTTCAGCCTGTCGGACGCACCGTAAGAGGAGATATAGTTATCAAAATCCTAGCTGCTAGAGCCCCAGACTCACTAACATCTCTCCCTAAAACATATCACAGACATTTCTTACCGACGCTGATATTCACAACTTGCAAACTTCGGCAGAACCTAGATGACCTTTTGGGTGCATGCACCAGTTGTTTAAGCGACTAGCCGGAAATTCCTGGACTAGGTGCCGGCGTGTTCTTGAACATCCCGCCTTCCAACCTTTCCAGAGTAACTGATACTCTTCTCGCTGTCGCTTCTTACGGCAGAAAGTCGGTAATATCCATCATAGAATTTATCTTGATTGGCATGCCAGCCATCTATATGGAGAAGTACTGCTAGTGGAAGTCGGCGAATCCAGCGGTGAACGTTCCCTGACATTTTCAAGCCCGAGAAAGATTGGTCAAGAGCCAAATTCCCATGCGCTGGACGCTGAAGGCCGCGCATCTGGCAGCTTGTCTACCAACATTAGCCATTATCTGCGCGGAGATCCATCTACCGCACGTGTTCTTTGACCCTGAGGCATTGGAGAGTGTGATTCTAGCCAGGATCGAAGCAAGTGGCAGTGATTGAGCGTGGGTTGATGGTTGTTACCATAGTAATAATCGTGCTGGTCAAGCTCCTTACTCGTAATGTGTCTATTCCCGAGCATGATAGTTACTTGGGAGTGGCAAAGCTCCTGCGAACGGCGGTTAATCAGGTAGAGGGACGAAGTGCAGCATTCAGGGATGAACTAGCAAGGAATTTACATGAGAAACCGGAGACTGATAGAGTCGGATATTGGTCAAGGAGAGTCGATGGAATGACGAGGTGTTTGGATTTGTGGGAGGATGTAGCTGGCAAGTTCCTTAAGGAAGTCAAATATGACTGAAGGGTTTGCAAATTGGTATGATGATACCAACATAAAGAGTAGGAATTGGCCTATTGGAACATATTTGGGCCTTTGGGCATCAAAGGAGGCATCTCGGGGCTTCAATTAGTCTGCATGATCGATGAACTTGTGTGGTTGAGTTGGCAAATTGTTGCCTCGTCATCGAACTAGAAGTGTGAACACCTGAACTGAGATGTTGACCGAAGTATAGTAGGGCAACCATCCAAATCAGTCCGCAGTATGGAGTTGCCCTCCGAAGGATGCAGCTGGCCGGGCGTTGCCACCACGTCAGCTGTCAATCAGCCTTACCGCTTCGCTCAGCTTCCAACACCATTTTTTCCACATGCCCCATTCCGTTGGACCCGATGAGCTAGTTTAGCTCGGCACTCAACACAATTCAACAGACTGCATCTCAACTAAAGCCGGAGCATTTAGAGTGCCGGGCGGTCTGTCAGATGTTGGATGGGTAGATTATAGATTGACACCAAGCTATGGACGGATCTCTCGGGAACCGTGTCGCTTGTATCAGGCTACTTGTTCACTCTAGATCGCCTCCTAAAATCTTGATGGGTGCTAAAAATATTTGCCACATCCAACGGCACCGTAGGAAGGAGAATTTGTCATTTGTCTTTATGTAACTTGCGATGTCAACTTCGGCTGACACCGATTGCTCAGGCGGTCAAGGGGAAAGGGTTACGTGTTTCCCTTTCGGACTTACACAGTAATAACACAAGCCGCTCCTTTCAAGAAAGGCCTCCTCTGAGCAAACACACAATTTTTTTTTCCTGAAAAGTTCGCACTTGATTCACGAGCATAAATTTAAAAAACAACTCAAATCTCCATGGACCGAAAGACATAACATCAGCAGAGCATCCTGCTTTAAAAACAGAAACCAAACCCCCCAAGAGCCTTTATCGACCATTTGCAACCAAACTGTCAAGCAGTTGCTTGAACGATTAGGGTCCAATGTCCTCACAAGTCCTCCGTCATTATACAGACCGATCGTCAAGAAAAAAGGTCACTCCAACTCTCAGGTCATCGATCAGCTAACTTCCGTCATCTCCCATACTATCTCTGCTCAGACAACTGACCAACAAAACAACATCATGATAAGATTAAATCAATGAGAAACTAAGGAACGGTGGTAACATAGTCCAGAGAGCACACTTAAGCCCTGAACGACGTCACAGCAGCTCAAACCAGAAAAGAATGGGGCATACCTTTTCCATAGCCCACAACCTCGTTATCGAGGAACACCAGCCCCGAGAATATACCGGCGAAATTTCAAGTCACTAGGACTAGTGATCAAAAAACGTACTGCATACGAAAGTCAAGCTCAAACAAATCAAGTTGGAGAGGGAAGGGGAAGGGTAGGAATTGTCGAAACGCAAAACGACAACAATGATGATGGCAAACAAAGTTCTACCAACCGTCTCAGTCATGACGTCATCAAACCAACTTGCCTACCCTCGACGCATCAGCAACGGCCAAACGAACTAAGGACAGTGTTTGTCCCATTCGAATCAGCCTTTGACAGAGAAGAGGGCGGGACAAGGACATGCCAAGTGGGGCATTGCCCGAAGGAACACAACCCTGCGATTAACACGCGCGGCTCCAACGCCGTCTTTCCTCCGAAGGTCCACTTTCAACATCATCTCTTTCCTTCAACAATCGTAGTTTTTCATCGGAGTCCATGAGCTGTCGCTCAGGTTGGACCAACTGGGATAATTGAGACTGGCCTTATGGTGATTCCATAGCTAGGTATGGCTGGTGAGTCCATTCTCCAGTTTAGTGTATCTTTGTTTCTGTCGATGCCCTGCTTGACATCTCTCCGCTTCGTTTTGCCTTTCTCCAGCTACTGCGGTCTTCTCAACGGCGGCGTGGATCCTTTTGCATCCATCTAGCTCCCAAGCGGGAGCGTCACTCACACAAGTCCGGATGTTGGAATATCGGAGGAAGTCTTCTGGCCTTCTTGAACGCCGCCTCACTGAGCCAACCGTTACGATACATGTGATCGACGACGTTCTGGTCCGACACCTGGACTTTAGGAGTGCTGCCATCTTTCCGGATGTGCTTGTGGATATGCTTCATCCGCTTCTCAAAGTTTTCTTCGAGGCTGTGCGGGTTGCTAGGCAATGTGGCCTTGAAGCGTTTAGTACAGAACCAACAGAAGAGCTCAGGCGGATATGCTTCCCCTAAGTGTTTCGCGTGGTGTTCTATCCATGAACTTCGGTCTTCGGCCTGGAACAGCTGGCGGCAAAGTTTGAGTTCCCAAAATTCGCACCACAGTTCGCCAGGGCCCGGTTCAGCTGAAGAGTGCTCAGTCTCCTCGCTATCCTGGTCTTGCTCAGTTCTGGTGGGAACACGGTTAGCCCACCAGACATCGAAGTCAGACCCAGGGGCCCCGCGTTCCGAGGGGACTGTGAAGACTGACTGTGTGTCATGACTATGAGCACCACTGGAAAATAACGACATCGCGTGGGTGTTGGCATGTGACGTCACCGTTGTTCCGGATAGTGCAGACTCGGATTGGGTGTCTACACTATCTTCAACTAGCAGAGGTGTGGAGCGTGGATGAAACTTGTCGAAGTCTTCATAGGCACGGTCTTTATAGGTGTTGAGAAAATACCAGATGCATTGTGGGTCGACACTGTTGTTCGCCATGGTGTCTGCGTTGTGGGCTGTGAGCGGGAGGCGGTTCAGCTCAGGTGCAGCTGGGACAGTGTGAGGGGCGATGAAGGTAATGGGTGCAGTACCGCAGTGTGGCTGCTGCACCGCAGATGAATCAAATTACTGGGATCGTGAACGAAAAGGGAAACAGAGAGAAAGCAACGCTAACGAAATGTCTTGCGCCAGAGCACGCGCTCTTCTTTCCCTTGGATGATGCCACAAGGAAGATGAGTTAAGGTGGGGTTGGAGGGATCGTGTTGGGTGGTTATGTGGTGGAGGGAGGCCAAGTAATCAGAGGTCGGGAAGCCGGAAGCACCCGGGGGATTCTCTTCTCGTGCTTCTCGAGTTAAGGAGTGGTGAGAGCGAAGCTTGTGGAGTTGAGCTTTTTGTCTTGAAATCGTCCTTGGGGATGCATGCGGTTTAAGTGCTTGTGAGTGTCAGGATCTTTTTGCGCTTGAGCGATCATCTGCCCAGTCTAGAGCATCTATCGGCATTCGGTTCCAGCTCCGAACGGTGCTTTCACTTTTCTCGACTGCGGGTTGCGTCTCGTCCCGCAACACGTTGCCCCGGACTCGTCTACCCACCCTTCCTCAGACCCTTCAAGCCAGCACAACCCTCTTTTTGTGGCTGTCAGGCAGAAATGGAGTAGTTGCAGGAACTCATCCAGATGATCATTTGTGGCAGGCTCTTCGAATACATAAACATGCTTTATGAAACCTACAATCCACATCTAGCATATAATACCTTTTAAATCAATAGTCAATCCATTCTTTTCTTCCGCACTGTCTCGAGATCACCGTGCATGACACTGCTTCCAATCTGCACCTTTTTCGCTGCTCATGGCATTCGACATCCAGCAAGGACTCAATCTGAAAAAGAATGGACCTAACCCTTCACTTCCTCTTTTTGTGCTGTTCCGTCTCTCTAGAGCATGCAGCTCCGCGTAGTTCGTGAAGCACCGTCAACTCTTCCTCTTCACTCACTGGACATCATTGCAGCCCTCATGCAGCTTCGGGACTGGCTAGGTTTTAAGCATGGCAGCCTGTCTTTGGAAGTCCGCTCATGACCCAGTCCTTCACCGAAAACCAGTACAAAGGTTCCGTCAGACGTGTCAGGTAGATAGGGAGGGCACATCGCTCACTTCCTGCTCACACATTTGCGCGCTGCTGGACTGAGCTATCAGCCACATGTTGGAGAGCAGTTCCTGGCGCAGTGATCCTAAGCCTATCAACGACTGACACGAGGATGTAGATGGCAGCTCTCTCGGGACCATCCGCAAATGTGCTTATGGCAGCACGATCTTGATTTTCTCAAAAGGACGCCGCGCTCTTGCAGAATGTGCAACGTATGTTGACGCAAGCGCGCGAATCGATTGTTGCGATGACTGTCTTCGGGTTGTCTCTCCTGTCCACAGGCCTCAACCAATGCCTGTGTAACGCAGGGTGAGGGAGCAAGAGGTACAGATTTGAGCCTCAAATGAGCTCAACTATCACAACATCCGGCAGAACTTGGTTCCTCATTCGGTTTCAGTAGCTCTTGTGACAACTGCTTCGGCAGTGCTGTCAAACTTGGCGATAGTTTCGAAAGACTGACTTCTATGCATGTAGTCATGCGTCGCCTAGGACAGAGAGGTTTGGACCACCAATCAGTGATTTCTGGCTACACCACTCCGAGGACACTTCGTCCTACCAACCTGATTGCGGATTCTTTGACAATAGCGCCGGATCTCCTTTGACTACTACCCCATCTAATGCTGTGATACACTGAATCACCCGAGGCTCTCTATCCTACTAATTGTATTCTCGGCTGTTCTCCTCCTCTCGGTCTCCGAGCGTATGAATAGGTCTGTTGCCATGGGACAAACCTAACTTGGTAATATGGTCAAGAGATGCAGTCTTACCGCATTCAGGCACTTCGCCCAGAACGCCACCCGAACCACCGACTGTTACACTCATCCATCCAAAGGCCATATTCCAACGTCTTTCTTAAATCAATGGCGCTGGGGTCGCCACGTCGAGGATGACTGTTTATGCATGAATGGAACAGTTGTTCAGCTATCGCAGAGATGGCTAGGGTACTACAATCACATGAGGGGATGGATGGTAGGAAAGGTTCAAACTGATCTCGATTACAACTGTTCTGCTACTTCTGTGCTACACTCTTATCGCTAAGCTACACACTTGACTGCATGGTATTTGTAGAGAGGGGTACGCTGTCCAAGTCAGCAAGGTACTGTATCTGTGTGCCATGAGGCTCTGCATGCCTGTACTTATTTGATATCTTGACTCAAGCCTAACTCGAGCCGTCCCGTTTGGTGTGCCGTCATTCACCAATCTAACTTCCACAGCATCCAGCCGCCGCAGCCACAAAAGCGTTTGTCCATGCGAAGGGGGGGGGGGAGGCTTGGGTAGGGGGAACAGGTTCCTATTCTGCGAGCGAACAGTTCGAGTTGCATGGGTTTCTGTGACAGGACTAATTTTGGCTATCCCGCTTTCCCAAACCGGTTTTCAGAATGAGACTTGATTACAGCATATATTACCTATATCTTCATCAAATGTCGGCGAGCATTGTATACTGCGTCGATTGTCCGAAGGGGTTTGCAATCCCGGCTCGGGTGGGCGTCTTTTTTCTTTTTCCTGTTGGAATTAAATTATGGGACTTCGGGTCGTAACTCCGAAAAAACAGGGAATTTAAGGGACCTTCTGTTTCTTGTTTGGAGAAGAAAATCCTTCCGAAAGCCTTTGGGCCTGACCCTGGATCTTTGTGCAAGTGTCATTGGATACATCTCAAGTCCGTTGCTTACCCCCGCTGCGAATGCGATTGGTCGAGCGGCGACCTTGGTATTTTTGCTTCGACTGGGTAAAGGAGAATTTCGCCAAGTTGGTGACTGACCAGTTGATCGGAGCCCTCCGGTCACGGATACGGAATCCAGAATCCGGATGCTTGCAGCTCAGTTCCAGACTTACCACGTCCATTACCGACCGGCGCGAAACGGCGGTTACACCTTGACGCGGCACGGAGCATGCCGATGGGCTAGGTGAAGATCATATGGGGATGATTGTGTTTGCATTGGATACTACCATTCTTGCATGTGCTGCATAATATTGCGTCATGGCCGGCGCGCGCGTGTACGTCAGGCTGAGATGACAGCGGACATAGCTACCTGCCTGCCTTGTTGAAACCAATTAAGAGATCGGAGTGGATGGATTACAATTGTCGATCTCGGCCTTGATTCCCGCGAGCCTCTCGGGGCCAAGTTTGATACCTACACCGGCATGCCATGCTGGATGTGCGTATATGCGTTGGGCATATGTCATAAACTCAAGTCCAGGCTCGAGCGAGAGTTGGAGTTGGGTATCATATCATCTCCGGTACAGAACCTGTATTGAAGGCAACGGGGATCTGGCACACACCCCGAGCTGCCTACAGCCTGTTCCCGGATTTTCTGATGCAGTTTGAAGGATATGCCCGAGGAAGGAAATTGGAATTTGATCCAGCGACGCATCATGCCGGGTCACCAGATAGGAAGAGTGGCATTTCACGGCTAATGATGGGTATAGTAGGTGTGTCAGCGATCAGTCGGGTCGAAATTTGTGTCTTGTTGTGGGTTTGCGACGCGAGAGAAAGAGATAGAAGACCTGCTCAAGCGAACCAGATCTTTCTCTCGGGGACGATGGCGAGAAGAGAATGGACTAGGTCCATAACTGCGGCTCTGTTGTCCGCTGACATAGTATTTGGTTAAGTTGACAACAGCAATACTCAACTAAGCAGTTGATTCACTTCTCTTGGATAACCGTGGGAAGAAACATTGACCAATGAGTCCTTGGTTCTTGTTAGCTCCTAGGGCTGCTTTCTTCCCATACAGAACACAACCCATTTTCTTGTTCTCTGCTTGAATATCACAAAACCAGGACAGTCAGCCTCCAATTTCCCTACTCCCTTCCTCTATACCTTCCATCCCTGAGTCCAACAATCCCCCCATCACACCTTGCCCTCCTTCCCCAACAACACCAGCCTCTTAACCCCCCCCACAGAAGGCGGCCTCTGATCTTTCCTCAACGCCTCCATACTATCATACAACACCCCTTCCGCTCCCCCGGGCCTCCACCCCATCATCTCCTGCTCTCCATCCCTCTGCTCCTGTGTCTGTCCCTGCCCCTCTTTGACAGGCCAGACCTCCCCAACAGCCTTCTCACACCCCGCCAACAACTGCGCCAACCCTTCCTCCATCGCCCTCGCCTGCTCCTGCATCCCCCTCCTCACAAGCGCCCACACAAGCCTCTCTATTTCGGGCTTGCTCTGCTCCACGCGCTCAACGAGTCTGCGTACGCTGTTGACGAGGTATTCTTCTTCATAGATAGTCCCTTTTCTGCCTCGAGCACGCTTTTTCTCTTCTCTACGACGATTCCGGCTTGTTGCGCGGGAGGATGCCTGCGAGCCTGCAACGGTCCCCGGGGCGCCCTTGCCGGTGTAACGCGTGAAGAGGCTCGCGCTGGTGCTGACTCGCGATGCGGCGACGGAGATGTCGTCTGGTATGTCGGCGCCCGCTTTGGAAAGGTCACCTTCGTAGAAAGAGAGGGGGTCTTCCTTTGCCTTGCGGCGCAACTCTAGAATGCGTGGAACTTGGGCGCGTAACTGAGAACGGCAATCAGCCAAGAACTCGGTGCTAGAGGAGAAAGCGTCTGCCAGGCCGGGATCGATGGCAGATGCGAGCAGATCCCGACGGTTGTGCAGTGTGATGAGACGGAGGGCGTCGGCGAAGTGGTAGCCTTTGCAGAGCAGAGGGATCGCGGTGTCGAGGGAAGTAAGGTAGTCTAGGTGGATGGTGGCTGCGGCAGAATAGTCTTTTGCTTCACGGAGGGCATCTGCGAGGGAGGTGGCTATTTCGGCGAGTTTTTCCTGGCTAATAGGGGGGTCTTGTTGCTGCGCGGCGAAGAGACATTCCCGCCAGCAAGAGACTCCGGCTTTTAGGTAGCATTCTGTTGCGTCGACAAAGTTGCCTAGGGATTCGTATGCCAGGCCGGCTTCCTTAAATTGCGATTGGGACTTGAGGTAGGCGGCGAAGAGGCCGGTGATGGCGCGGTGGTGGGGCTCATCGTGGCGATAGATGGTTAGGGCGTGGTGGTAGAGCTTGTGCTTGACGACGTACTTTTTGACGTCCTCGAAGTTGTTGAGGGCCTTAAGATGGTCGAGGGCGCGCTCATAGCGCTCGAGCTTGTCGTCGATTGTGAACTTGCGCTTGAGCTCGGGCATCTTGTGGAGGTTCTGGATGAAGGGGAGGTACTCGCGTGGATCCATCTGGGATTGTTGGGCAACTAAGAGGGTAAGTTCCAGGTTGTAGAGACCCAGGGCGTGGTCGTAGAGCCGGTTGACGTCGGCCAGGAAGCAGATGTGCTCGACTGCACGCTCGGCAAGTTCTTCGTCCTCCCTCATGAGCTCGGCGACGACTAGCAGTCCGTCGTCGAGAGCAGGAGGGTGCTTGCACACGTGAGCTGTGATGATGTTCTGCAGGTTGGACTTCTTCTGCGTTTTCAGAGCCTTTAGGACAGCATCGCAGATGGTATTGATCTTCCCAGGCCTCTGGGCAGTCTTAACGTCGGTCTGTGGCGTCCCAGACTTGGTGTCCCTGTAGATAGTCTGCGTGACATCCTCATCCCTAGCAAGGTCAGCATATCCCCAAAAGTTGTGGGTCAGGGTAAGCATACTTCAGCGATGACAAAAACAAATCAATATTTGCCGGGTCCTTAACCTGCTCCAAGAACAAACCCACATTCTCGAAGAACTGCTCGGGCCTGTGATCAAACAGAATGTTCATATCCACGCGCTGGGTCCGGCAAGTCGCAAAGGCCGAAGCGTAGTTTTTCTGCTCGATCCGCTGCCTGATGCCAGCAAGGACCATTGCGCGAGGGTAAATAGTCTCGAGATTACCACGAGGCATCTGCAGGACCAGACTCATCCTGGTCGGAATAGCAGTAACCAACCTGCCTCCGCGCTCAATACTCCGGCAGCGCTCATCCTTCTCGGGGTCATCCGGCGGGACATCGAGAGCTATCTACGTCAGTCTCTGCTCCTCAACTCTTAATGGTCAGAGGTACATACCATCCACAGCAGTCAAATGCACAAACTTCACGTAGTGATTGCTTGTCGTAAATATCAAATGGTCTTCCGTCACCGCAAACGAGGTGCAGTTCTTCGCCAGCTGCCGAGTATTGGCATACAGATGCCCATTCCTGGACAGCCCAAACGCGACGACCTCCCCGTTTAAGACGATGTAGTTCGCCCAGGGTAAGAATGTGGGGAACTCGACTGAGACGAAGGAGTGCTCCCCACCAGCAATGCAGCTTAGTCGGCCGGACACGTGCTGGGCTACAACACCGTCGATCTCGCCCGAGCTGGGGGTTGTGATGGTGCCGATGGAGCTCGCGTCCGTTTTGCGCCAGGGTTTGCCTTCGACGGCGGAGAAATCATGGCTTAGAAGCTCGAGGTCATCTGCCATTTGGAGTACCGCGACCTCTGTTGGTCGGGAGAAGCCGATCTGCAGCAGAGGTTCCTCGTATTGCTGCTCAGTGGACTTCTCAAACATCACGGTACACACTAACTTCGGGGCCGGCAGCCGAGGCCCATTAGCCTCGAAGGCGAAGAGACTGACACCTCCCCGATGCAAGACAGCCATCTTGGAGCAGTCTGTGGAGAAAGCCACATCGATAGCAGGCGTCTCGACCTCAACCTCGCAGAAGGCCATCGGGGGAGGGACGTTGGCAGTACGGAAGGGCGTGAACTTGATAGTGCGGCCGTCAATGACAGCCACCGCACCTTGGTCATGAGGGGCGCTGGTTGGGCCGCGAGCAATGGCGAAGGCGTATTCGTTGATCAGGACCTTGCCTTGGAGGAGTTAGCACAATCCTGTCGGTAGAATAGGGGTAATGGGACCTACCAGGAGTCGAAGCTGCCCACAGCAAAGCCTTCTCCGCATGCCAGGCAAACAACGGTCTCAGATTTCCCGACCTCGGATCCCCACATAAAACCTCCTGTTTCAAATAATAATGATAATTCCCCATCGTCCACAACTGTACCCGATCCCTTAAAATCACTGCCAACACCGTTGAGTCAGCATTCCACTCCAACGCAATATTATCCATCGCACCCAGCCCGTCTTGGGGCGCGCGCAGCGTAAACTGCCCATGCCGGAGCCCATTCCTCTCAAAAAACACAACGTCAACCTGGCCGGGTAGGCGCTGAATTCCCGCGATGAGATTCCCCTCCGGCCGCCAACTCAGACTCCCCTCGAGTCCATCCACAGGCTCACTCACACTATCCAGCTCGCCCTCCCGGGTATACACCCTCACCACTCTCCTTACTCCCTCCATGAGGAAATTCACCGCCACATATGCACCATCCCCCCTCCAACTAATACTGCACCTCCCATCATCTTTCTCACTCCTCTTCCCCTCATCAACCTTCTCCGGGATCGTCGGGTCCCTGAGCTGTCTTGCCTTGGCACCCCGTCCCTGAAACTGCGTCTCCTTCTTCCCCCACCCAACAGACACATGCTTCGACAGCTTCAGATCCTCTTCCGTGCATACAGTCTCCGTGATAACGTCAAAATTGCGAGACATAAACACAACCTTGCCATCCCCTGTCACCAAGACGAGGAGTTCCTCATCTGGGGACCAGCGCGCCGCAGAGATGGAGGGGGTAAGGGTGCCGACTATTTCGACATGGGCTGTGCCTTCAGCGTGGGGAGGGGAGGAGAAGGCAAGGCCAGTCGCGCTGTCATCATCTTCAACAACGGAGATGATGTCACCTGAGGAGAGGATCAGGACTGTGGTAAGCGTGTCGGGGAAGAAGTGCATGTCACAGATAGAGTCTGGTTCTCCATTAGGGCTTTGGGTGGGGTAGTCCCAAGAGGCGATGGGGCGGGAATGCCTAGTAAAAAGAGATTATTGTCAGCTTTATACTTCAATCAACAAAGTTTGAGGGTAGTGAGACGTACAACAACGCCGGCGAAGTCCCTCTTACATTCCTCCCGATCCGTAACAACTCAATCCTCTGATCCTCTGCTGTCGGCCCGCATGCAACGATCAGCTCGTCACGCGAGACATCCCAACACAATGCTGAAAAAGATGACAACGGTGAGGGTGTAGTATAGGCTCGAAACACGCCATGGCTGATGTTGCGCAGGTTACGCATCTTGGCTGTGACCCTGGCCCTGGCTCTCTGGTGAGCCCCTCAGTTTATGTGGGATTTGTGAGCTCAGGGGTGAGGGGAGCTCATAAATGGTTTCATAGAAGACTGAAGTCAAACCTTGGAGGGGTTCACATGATTCAACTTTCAAGAATTCAGGACTCAAAACATTGGGGCTTTCGCGGGGTTAATCTGCCCCACGTCAGAGGTGGCTATCGTCCAATCAGAGGTGGTATTTTCTGCCTTATGCCCCACCTTGTAAGGGCTTGGCGATGATGCCCCACTGTTTGCTGGACCCTGGATCTTCGACTCTGTTCACCAACCTGTGCGCCTTCTCACAGTATTTCCCATGACTTAAGTCTTGCGTTTGATTTGTAACCTTTGATTTTCGTTGTTCGCAAGTCCTATGGATCGGTAAAGTCTCTAGACCATCCTCATGAAGTGCTAATTGTGACTCATGAACACTTCCTTCTGAGGTTGAGATGGACCAGCTCAACCCAGGAGTCTCTAAACACCGGAGTCCATGAGCAACCAACCTACTCACAACTCACTTCATCCTCCTCAATCATCACTCACATCCTGTCATTGCCCGTACACAAATATGTACAGATACTATCCCAATATAGTATGCACACCATGATGTTTCCCATTCATGTTCAAGGGTAAGGGTGTGTTCAGCCACATACCCTTACCAAACAGCACCCATATCGTTCCAGCTCTGTAAACGGCAGAGCAATGTCTGTCTCTGTTGTCATCGGGCCGTCCTAGTTATATCCCAGGTCTTTCTTATGTTCCTTGCGTCCATGAACTTCGTTTTCCTTATTGTGTCGTTTTCATTTTCCAATCCATAAACCCAGAGGACCACCAATTGACCTTGTTGGCTTGATTCCAGGTTTCATGATTCCCATCCATCCATCATTCCCATGATACCCATACAACCATATTCCCATCATCCATCCATCCATCCATCCATCCATCCATCCACAGCAGCCTTCAACTCTTTGTGTACCCTTTGACAAACAAGGGAGAGAAAACGAAAGCAACAAGATGAAAATAAAAAAAGGCAGGACATACTCCATGCAGTCCGTAAAATAAAGCCAGTTAGACAGGACAGACTCTTCAGCAATCATCATCCCGTCCAGATATGCCATCAAATGCAAATCACACACACAAGATGATTGATTGACTTCCTTCGTCAAATGGGCGCGAGATGCGTGAGTTCTAAATCGAGTCAAGTCGAAAGTCGACAGTCGACAGTCGTGAGCATGACCCCTCCAGGCCAATAAACAACCAGAAATAGAGGAGCAAAATCACTCGCTCTTATCATACTCAAAAAACTCACGCATCATCTTGTGCAACGCGACGGTGTCGACACGGGCAGATGCGAGAGCCTCGGCAATCTTCTTGAGGCAGACCCCTTCGTCCGGCTCGCTGCTACCGTCCACGTTGAGCCCATGCCCGTACTGCTGGATCAGCTGGCAGCTGTCACGGATCTTGGTGAACCCCAGCGTCGCCGACGACCCCTTGAGGAAGTGGCCCAGTTTCGAGAGCTCTGGGAGGTCCTTGTTGTTCCTTTGTTTTGTGGGGAAGGTGATGTCGCAGTTAGCGGGTGCATTTCTCCATTTTTGAACTCAAGTTGAACGACTGCTGGGCTGGACTAGACTGGGCTGGGGCTGGACGAACTGCCAGGTCTTGGGCAGTAAAGCAAGCAATGGACAAACAGCAGACAGAAATCGCAAACAAACAAGCGCCGTTAGAACTTACAGGGCAGTCTCCATCTTCTGAAACGTTTCCTCGGCCTGCTCGAAAAAGTTAAGCACGAGTGGCGCACTGAAATCGTGATCGTCTCCCTCATCCATCTCCAGGATCTGCCCAAAGATGCTGGTGTCGACGTGGTCTCCAAAGTCGGGCATCATGATTGCTTCTTCTTCTTCTTCAGACACTTCCTCTTCTTCTACCACGTAATTGCTATTACGAGGAGTGTTGTTATTGTTGTGATCCTGCGCCTTTGACTCACAAGTCTCTTGGTTAGCCATCGCTCTTGTTTATGTGCCCCTGTATTTCAAACAATAGCAGTAGCGACAAACACAAAAATGCAATGCTCTGCTCCAGCGCAAATGCCCGACGTGACAAACCCGATCAGCATTGTCGACGATAAGCCCCGGCATGGTTGCTGAACACCGTAGCACAGTTGTTACTTGGGGGACTTGTAGTCGTCGTGAACCGTTTGTGAGACTTTGACTCTAGAAAAATGAGTGTATGTAGAAGGGCTGGAAATAGAAAGGCGGCAATGAAGAAGGGCGCGGACCGGGCGGTGGTAGCAAGTCGGTCGGCTGCTCACGGAAAAACGCGTCGCGGGAAAAGACACAGATTGTGGAAGATCAGAAAAAAAAAGGTGGGGGTTACTTGGAGGGTTGTGCAGCGCGATGGATAGGTCGGTAAGGAAGTTTCTCAAGTCGAGGTGGGTAGGTAGAAAGGTGAGTGGACAATTTGTCTGGCAAGGGGGGAAGGAAGGCGTGGGATGAGGATGGGATGTATGTAGTGAGCTCAACGTCTCTTGTCCGTGTTGTGCACTGTGCACAGAGGAAGCATTGAACTTAGAAGAGACAAAGCGTTGTATCAGTCCGTCTGCTGACTGTTTGCCAGGGCCTAATGACCAAGGCAGCAGCAAGTTGTCCGTCTGCTGGTCAAGAGGGGGGCAAAAGGGAGAAAAACAGGCAAGAGCAGTAACAAAAAAGAGGAAATATCAAAACACCCCTCACAGGCGGAGTTCCAAGCTGAGTGAGGCCACAACAGATATATGAACAAGACATGAGGAGAAAAACAGGGGAAATCTTACAAAACGCAGCAAATGCTAAACCCTTGGGTATCTGATCTGGTATCTCTGTGCGTGTGGGTGTGGGAGACCGCAAAACAAGTGAGGGGCCGGTCCAGAGGTAGAGGCAAGCAAGGTGAACGGGCTGTCTTCCTCAAGGGGAAATCTGGGGTAGGTAGCAGCAGGGCAGAACAGGGCAGAGCTGCACCACCGGCCACAACGCGGGGACAGCAGACGCGGAGAACGGTGCGGGCGGCCAATGTGTGTATGTATATGTGGCAGGCGGGCGTCGGGCTCTGGTGTCTGGCAGCTAGTATAGAGGTTGAACTAGCGGCAGCAGCGTTCAGCCTTTGACTCGATATCCCTCACGCGTTCATTCGGACGGGTCGTGGAGCAGGGGTGGCGGTGTTGGAAAAAGAAGTCAAGTCAAAGTGAGGGGAGGAGAAGATGGACAAGAAGGTAAATGGCTTCAGTCGCCGAGGGCCAATATTGGATGTATTGTGTGCGCTGCTGACGAACGCGACTCGGGGACACTCGGGGGGAGGAGGGGTCGCGGGGCGCTAGAGTGGGACCCCTCAAGGCGGCATGAGGGCGGCCCGAGGATGGCGGCAGAGGTGGAGAGACAGGAAGAAGACATGTGTGTGCTTGTGCTTGGAAGCGCGTGGCATACCTGAGTGTGTAATTCTGAAGCTGTAGAGATGCTGTGTGTCTATGTGGCCCCTATAGTGTACACAGCTCTGGGATGCTGGGATCCTGAGCTTCCACGAGGGGTAGCTCGCAAAGAGCGAGGAAAGCTGATGATTTGATGATCAGCACGGCAGCTCTATCCAAGAGGCCCGGTTGCCTTTGCTGGAGACAAGACGATAGTCTGTACGATAGCGGATAGCGTCTAATCCGTAGTGCGCGAGAAATTCTGGCGGGGTTAGAAATGGAGGAGGGACCAAAACCAAGAACCAAGAAAGGCAGGGAATGACAGAGTGGAGGATTAACTAGGTTCCGGCTCGTTAATCACGGTGGGGATGCTGGGTTCTGGGATGGTACAGCCCGCAGGTACAGTTTACGGCGGAAGTGGAGGTCAGTAACGTGCAACCTAAGCTCTCTTACATATTACCGGGGATTTTGTCTAAGGAGTAGTCTGGGCTCTCTGAGTCTGGAGCCCTGGAGTCGGGGACGCCAGGGCGGCGATGATATTCCCGATCCTGACGGAGAACGCCCCTTGCACATGCAGCCCTGCTTCCTTGTTTTTTGTTGTTGGGGAAAGCTTATAAAACCACCTGTTTGTCCGCTATTTGTGATCGTCAACCCCCTTCTCCAGATCGCCCCTCATTGCCCATACTTGCCAGCATACCAAACACCTGGCCGTCTCGCGCTGGCTGACCTTGGTGGTCCCCAATCAGGAAACCCTCGAAATGGCATTCCGCCATCTCTTGGCTATTGACAGTCTTTGCCTCTCTCTTCGTGTCAGTCTTGCGCCGGTCAGCTGCGGTCTCGATGGCAAGGAAGCCGTCCGTTCCGTCACTGCTGTGGTACCACAAATCCTGCCTGTCTGCACAAAGCCCTTGTGCGGCCTGTAGTGGCCTGTCCGTTGTGTTACGCAGGATCTCCGGTTTGTGTAATCGTCCTTGATCCGTAGCACGGTATCGCTGAAACGAAGCAATTGCACGTAAGCGGAGCAAGCCCCCACTCAACCAGCCCAAGGTTTCGGGTACAACCGCAGGGCCGCGAATTCTGCCTGCACCGCGCTGCATTCTGGGCGTCTGGAAGCCTGCCCGTCGAGTAATCTGGGTCTATTGGCTGCGTGCGTTTCTTCTCACGCTTACTACTATCGTTCGGGCACAGCAGCACGCCTTCAGCGGTCCCCCTCACCGGTTTACATCGGTCGCCACGGTCCTGCGCGGGAACGAGAGGAATGGTGTCACAGAGACCCAGGTGCACGGATCCTCGGCCGCAGGAAATGACGTCAACGCCTCAGGGCTTTGTGGACACCTCCTGCATTTTGCATGGCCCTCCTGCTCCCGGAAGCGCACGAGATTCCAGATCGCCAGCCATATATTCTCGGACGAAAATATCTTGTGAAACGTCATTGTTTAAGATGCCAGGTTGCAATGATAGCCGTTGCCAGGCTGATGAGGGATAACGGAAGCCAGGGTCTGGCCCGATCTGCCCTGGCCCCAGCCTCCGACGTGTACATACAGCAGCTGGCGGCAAAGGCCAGGGACCAAAGGCTTTTCTGACCCTCAATGAAATGTCTTGGCTCTGATGAGAACTGCCGCTGCGTTTTAAAACTACATGGAGTTGCTACTTGATGCCGCGGCAGGCCACTGCCTCTTCCTATATGCGCTGCCAAGCACAATTCCTGCTGCAGATAGCACAAGTGTGAGAAGAAAAAGCTACATCCGTAAACCGGTGGTGAGACCAGAGCTGCACAGGTTGGTTGCACAGCAGGGGAGTACAAACTTCAACCGCGGGCAAGCTGGGCCAAAGCGAGCCATTGGCCACTCCCCAAAAACGCTCATCCTCACCGGGCATAAACCCGCCCACCCTCCCCCGCCCTCCTCGTCTTACTACTCGCCGCAAGCGGTTAGCCGGTGGCCGTTTGGAGGCCAGGCGAGTAGCCGGAAAATAGCATTAGTACATACCCGTCGTCGCCTATCCGTCGGGAAGGAAACAAGCTCAACGATTGCACAATCATCTCTCGCCAGTACAGCCCGAACGAAGGGTCCTGCCCAGTGTGCCTAACTTTTAGCCAATCAACCCCACCTGGACTGCCCTCCTTTCTGCCCGAGACCCTCAAACCTCCAACGCCATCATTTTCTGAAACTTTGGCCGGCCGATGAGGAGATGGTGCACCACACATCCAAGGGCCAGGCTAAGTTTCAACGCTAGAGCGCGGAATTTCACTGTTTCCCGACGTCATCCCGCTAGCCTTTGGGTTTCCTCGTCGGGTTGTATCGTCTTCCCGGGTGGAGGTGCTTGCTGTATGCACACAGACACTTTTAGCACACATACAACGCACACAAACTTTTTGAAGGTTGAAAATAAAAAATTCCTCTGTAACACTCAATTCGCTACCTGCACCTCTCTGCAGCTTACGAAAATGGAAATTTTTCTTCAGCCTTCCCTCCCACCCACCAAATACCCAATAACTACATCCCCCTCTTCAGCTCTTGAGCATGCCCCTCACATCATCATTGGACTAATCACCAGCTGCGGCACTCCAGATCTCGACCATGGCGCGGGGTGGGGTGGATGGGGATGGAGGGGAAACGGTGGCTGTAGTGAGAAATCCTTGGTGGGGTGGACATCCGAGCAGCCAATCGTAGTCCTTCTTTGGCTGGGGTTTCTGCGGGTGCCACGCCGCATTGGGCGCTTGGTGGCTCCGGCTGGCCGGATATCGGCACCATCAAGCCCGGTGGGCGGCAGGCGGGCATTCTTCAGGAAGTGTCAGTCGAGTCGACCAGGGTTGGGGTCGAAGCTTGTGAACTGAGTGAACTGCGAGACGTACTCCCTACAGGCGAGCTTTTTCTTAGACCTGACCAGACGGACCATTCGCGGCTACCAGCTACGGGCTACAGTTACAGCTACAGCTACGTACAAGCTCCATCGTAGTGCAGTGCAGCGTACACACACGAAAAGCTTGGGGCTGCGTTATACCCAAGGTACTCCGAAATTTCCAAGCATGCTTGCGGCTTGCTGTCCTGCAATGAGACGCTCACCGTTCCGAATCGGCCTCCGGCTCACCTTGATCCCGGGGCAGGCGACAGAGGGACAGAAATGGTGAGAAGATTGTCACTTATCTCTCGATCCAATCTTCTCACCAGTCTTAAACCTGACCAAGTCTCGCTATCCATACGGAATGAAATCCGTACAAATCATCAAACGGATCTCGCGCCTTCATTTTAAGATTAAACGGAACGGAAACCGGATCTCACAGACTAGCTTTCATCTCTTTTCCGAAAAGAGGATAACCTCGTCCCACTGGCCCGGCGAGCTGCCGTAGCTTCTGCGCTGTACATATGTGGCTCCTGGCTACCTAGGTAATATGCGTGCGCGCCCAAGTCTTACCCCTGTGGTATGGGTCGTCTATCATTCGCTCGGAGTCGGACAAATCGCCCCCGAAGACGCTCCCAGATACCGAGCACCCGATTGGACCGATCGGTGCAACACCACACAGATACTGACACCTATGACCAACTGTAGCCAGAAGAACCGACAAGCAGACGAATCAGTGAACGGCCGATTGACGGACAACGCCTCTTCCAAGGAAATGGATATTGGACAGCAATGCCACGTCCTCCATGCTCTGCTGCGGCAGCCAAGTAGCAATCACGGCAAGCAACCAGGGCAAGCAATGTTCCATTTCGTCGTGCTTCTGTTTCATGTTCATCTTGTCTCATCTACTTGCCACGTCGGCTCCAGTTGGCTGAACTCTAGTCAGTGATCAGTGACCACATCAGCACTTGATTAATAGCTTGTTTCGATTTTCGATGTTTATCACCTCTCTTACACAGCGGTTCCCTTGCCTTAGTCTTTCCCTGGACAGCCGGCAGCTATCTAAACCTAGATTTCTTGCGAAAGGACATCCATTTACTCGGATTCTTGAACATGTTGTTCACACCTTGATATACTTACCTTAATCCCGAATAACACTTAACTCTCTCTACCCCTCACTCATCTCCCATCCCCCTTCCTTCTATCAAACCCCCTGGCCCTAGCCTCTTTCCTCATCTTCCCACCTCCTCACGAATATCTTTCTCACTCCTTCGTTCACTTACCGGCTCGCGGCTTGCCCCTCGTCGCCAAGCCTCAACAAGCCAAGGACCCAATCCAGGACAAGCAGGCTGCATAGGTAACCCGCCGCCAAAGAAAACCAAGCACACAAGCGTCGGTTGCCGGCCAAAAAAACCTGTTTTTGAGAGGGACATTTTTCTTAACAACCATCCAACCGGAGACAACCGGACCGAACGGGTACCCGGCACCAGCATCGGCACCGAACCAACTGCAAGGGCAGAGGACAGATGACGGGCAGAGACCGTCGTGCTGCGAAGGGTGCTGTCACGCGGTTTGCGCGGGGAATAATATAAAAATATATCTAAAAAAAAGTCAAAGAGATCGACAACCGAAAGAAAAGAACAGGAGGAGGAAAGACCTACACTGCGGTAGGGATTGACATTCAGCAGAAAGAGGGAGCCAAGACTAAGTAAGACAAATGGCGAGGCTCCTGGATGGATCTTCCTTCGATCTGTGCTGTGTAAATGATGAGGGAACCCTAGCCATATAGGCAGTAGGGTCCGAGCTTGCATCACCGGAGGGGTTACATACCGTGTGGTGTTCTCTCAGCCCTCACGGGAGGGGCAAGCAACCCTATATAGCGCAAGTCAGTCAGTTCACATAATGAGGGGAAATGCCCAAACCCCCAGATGAAGTTAAAGCAAGGTAACATGTGCGCTAACCGCCTGGATCGGCTTGGTTTCGATCTATAAACGGTGTAGCTTGCAGATGTCAGAAGGTTATGACAGAAACGGTCAAAGTAGCCCGGTTCCAAGATGCCCATTTATGGATGTAGGCATGAGAGAACTTCGTTCAAAGGAACGTAAGGGAGGAGGAAACTCCGCTCACCTGATTTCTGCCTAGTTCAAGGTAGGCTGAGACTTTTAAATGGTAAGGGACATGTGAAAATGGCCATGCCTCGGCGCCGGCAATGGGATCATGGAGTTAGGCAAAGCCCTTGGCTGGTAAACAACACAGATGATGACGGTCCTGAGCAAGTAACCCGGGAAAGGGGAAACAGAAAAGCACAATCATCTTTGCATCCTTCTGTTAACACGGAGTCTCCAGCACTTACTCGTTGCAGTCAGCTAGTCGGTTCAGTCAAACAAAAGAAACAGAGGAGAATCTATTAGAATACTTTAGGTTATCAAACGCAAAATAGTCCCCAGGACTATCCAGCGAATGCGCTTAGATAAAAGAGTGACGAGGACGAGAGTCTCATCAATATCACCCGTAGGGAGCTTGCTTTGCTGCTCCTCAACATTCCACTCTTCTAGTCATATACCGGAGTCAACCGCTGGCGGCAGCTCACGAAAAAAGCAGACTCTTGGCCAACCTGAACAACCAGGCCATATCCTCCACCCAAGTTGCTTGCTCCGGCGCCGGTTCTATCAGACCCGCCTCCTCCATGTCGGCCGCTTCATATTGGGCATCGATCCATACGAGAGAACCGGGGACTGGTAGATACCTGGGCGATGTCAACGGGTTCCCCCATTCGTCGAGCGGCCGGTGATCATCGCTGGACAGGTCTTCGTTACCGAAGTAGTACACACCAGACTCGTGCTGGCCAGCCTCCCAATAATCCTGCTCGTCGAAATCGCCCTCCTTCAGCTTATCCTCCTCGGTGTCGCCAGACAGACGGTAGCTACGAATACCGAGCATCTTGCCGAACCATCCGCCCGTGATGCCATTCCGTTGGCGCCTCAGTAACGTGCGGATGTCGCGTTCAACAGCCTCGAGAGCCGGCGGCTGCTCAGCCTCGGGAGGGAGCGGTTTTTCAAGCGCCTTAAGGGTGCGCGGATCGACCTGACCAGTCATACGGAAGTATTCCTCGTCCTCTGCGTCGCGCGCAGCCTCCTCCGCCTCGATCTCCTTGACCTCTTTCTCGATCTCTTCATAACCGAGGTCTCCCGTCATAGTGATGACGCCGGTACCCGGGGTCATGAGGACGCCCGGGGGCAGGCCATACGTCTCGCTGTTGCCGCCCGTGCCAATGCTCATCTGGCTGCCGATCCGGCTGAGCGGTGCCGACAGAGACTGCCAGGTACCGGTACCGTGTTTAATATAACGTCGCTCTGCCCAGCGCTTCTCATGCAGCCAGCGCTTTGCACGCTCGTGCTCGCGCTGCAGGCGCGCCATCTCCAAGCGGCGAGCCTTGGCGAGCTCCGGATTGGTGCGCTCCAACTCCCTCTCCTTCTCCTTCCTCTCATAGTCATCCCACCATCTCTTGCGGAAGTCGTCCAGTGGCAGCTCTCCACTGATGGCCGCGGACGCCTCCTGAAGGTCAGTCATTGACTTTGCGCTGCGAACCAAGTAGGTGGAGCCCGTCTCCTCGCGGACAGTGTTCGTCAGCCAGGCGCCGGCACGCTCCAGTACCTCGGACAGTGGCGCCTGCGGGAAGGGACGCGTCTTCCCCCCTGGCTGAAAGTAGAAGTCTGTTGGGCATTGCTTATATTGTTGTAAGGCAACGAGACGGGTCTGCAGACCCGGGGCAGAGGCGCCGCGCCGCCGCGGGGGCCGAACCCAAGAGTTCTCCCCAGGGCCCGGCTGGTGAGAGAAGAGGGACTGGCCAGGCGTTGGCGGGGCAGATCGACGGCAGAGAGTGGAGGATGTGTAGGGAGGGATGAAGTCCTCCACGCGGCGATTGGCATGGCGTTGCTTGTGCTCCTCAGGGAGAATGGGCGTCAGAGGATTAAGATTGAGGTTGTTGATGTTGCGATTCGCACGATTCGGTCGCCGTGGGGCGGGAGAATTGGGCGCCGATGAGGACATTGAGGATGTTGATGCTAACTCCATGTTGGGCCGTTTGTGTGTTGCAGGGGGTGTCGGGAACTGGCACGTTGGGGGTATATGATGGTATCCGATGGAAGTAGGTTAATGGCAAGAATTGAAAACCAACCTTGAGAAAATCTGCCAGGCCTTGAGAATTAAATATGCAACGCCCGTGCCCAACTGCAAGCCTAAGCGGACCAGACTCGTAGTCTGGGATCTGTTGGGGAAGTCTTAACACAAGTGCTTGTCGTCGCGACCCAAAATCCCAAAGGTTTTGTCGCAAGTCCGCATGCCTGCAACTTCCGCAGAAAAGCCAAGCTCGAGCTTATCCTTGCATTTTCGCTCGGCAGTAAACTTTCCCCAGTTTCCCCAGACGAATCGCAGCTTCTGATTGGTCGGCGAGTTACCTTGAGATGTAATTGCCACCCAATGGAAGAGGTCGGGCTCAAAGGCTTGAGTAGCCGGAACTTGCCTCGGGTGCGTCCACCCGAGCCCCGATGGTGTCACTGCGCACTCACTCGCAGTTTGGACCTCACTTTCACAGATCCATGACGTGTTCCGGGGACATCAACCACTCTTATCCGTCATCTGATCATGAAACTTGTGAAGCACCTGTAAAGCACAGCCGCATCTCAACATTGGACGCCGAGTTCATTCATGACATGAGAGCTTCGCTACCACGTGCACTGCACCTGAGCGGGGGTGCATTCTCCTGAAGTTTGTGTGTGCTATACGCCGTGATAAGGTGAGCGTTTTAGATTTGCCGTATGCTATCAACGACATACATAATGTTCCCATGATTGAACGAAGATTGAGGTTTGAGTTCGCAAGCAACTGCGGCCATTGAATCAGGAAGCAGGTTGCGAAGCTTTATTTCCCTGGCTGATAAGCATGAGAGATCCTCGATATGAGATGAAGGCATTAGACTTTTGAAAGCCCAAGTCTAAAGGCAGGTTTAAGGTGTCCGTATCTTGAAAGAAATGCAGAATTAAAGTCGGTTTGTATCTTAGGTCAACGCTTCAGGGGTGAGCTGTTCGAATAACCCCTCCAATCTAACTGAAGCTGCTGCCCCTCAAGCGTTGTAGGCCGTGAGATGGTCACTTCTCATCTCGAGAAATCATATTGAGGCCTAAGAAGAGGGGCGGACCTAACCAACCCTCAGGATCCAGTGGCAGTATCAGTATAGTACATTAAAACATCTATCTCTTCAAATAACGTATCAAGACACAACTCTTCCATCCAATACATCCGAAATGTGAGTCGGGTTGACTGGTCAAGACCTCTCGAGAACGAGAGCACGGACCACGTAGGCGGATAGTAATTGTAAATGACGAACGACTTCCCGATGACACACGCTGACTTCCTTTTTCATCGCCGCATCTCTCAAACCTATCAATCTTAGCCTTTGTCCGGGCTGTTTGCGGGTTTGGATTAGGGCCAATACCAACAACTAAGAAGCAATCTTGCAAATCACGCTCAGATTCAGCCGAACGAATCTCATCCCAGCGCCTGCTAACCCCTAACCCTCATCCAACTTGAAGGGTATTCCTCCCTCAACCCTGGGTCTCAACTCTCAGCTTCATCCAACCTTCAATCTCCAGCTCATCACCTCACTTCTCCCCTCAGCTACAACCACTACAAAATGCCCCCCAAACCCCGCAGCCCTCGCCTTAACGCCGCCTCCTCCTCCCCCCTCCCAACCAACTCCCTCCCCAGCACCCCGAGAAATAACAACCTAAATAACTACCAAAACACCAAAGACCCCAAACCCAAACCCCCTCCACCAACCCACTTCCTCTGCATCCCCCTCGCCGTCACACCCCAAGCGCGCAAACAACTCTCTGCCTCCCTCGGCCAATTTAAGCAGGATGTATGCGACCCCAGCCTGGGGTACGACCACCACTCTGGTCATGTTGCCCCCGCCGTGGGAGGAGGACAGTTACCTGTACTGGGGTCCGGTTCAGCGGGGGCGTTCGCCCTACCGGAGGATGCGGTGCGCCCGGTCGGGACGGTACATTTAACTTTGGGGGTTTTCGGGTTTGGGGAGGGGAAGAAGGCGAAAAAAAGGAGGGACGACCCCGAGGGGCAGGGTCAAGCTCGGGGGGAGGGGGAGGAAACACAAGAGCAGGAGTTGTCCGGCCCGGAGAAACTGGCCAAAGCCACCTCTCTGCTTCAATCCCTCCCCTTAAAGGAAATCTGGTCCTCCGTCGTGCAAGACATATTTTCTCGCATCAGCGGCAAACTTCCCTCCAATTCTCCCGCCCTCTCCACGTTGTTATCTTCCGACCGGCCGAGTATCACGTTGAAAGGATTAGCCTCGATGCAGCCTCCTTCGCGAGCAGCTGTACTGTACGCACCACCAGTTGATGAACTAGGTGCGCTACAGCTGTTTTGTGAACGTGTGCGGGATGTGTTCAGGCAAGAAAAACTCATGACCGACGAGGGAAGGCCACTATTACTCCATGCGACGGTGGTGAATACTATCTACATTAAAAACCCCAACTTCAACACTACTAACGACAACCGTCGCGGCGGGCATGGCCGAGGCGGCAAAGGCAAAGGAAGGAATAGTGGAGGAGGAGGAGGGAAGTGGGATAGACTGGTGTTCGACGCGACCGGGATCATTGAGCGGTATGAAGAGAAAGTATGGGTGCAGGATGTGCCGGTTGATCGAGTGGCGATATGCAAGATGGGGGCGAAGAAGTGTGTGCTAGATGGGGTGGAGGACGAGGCGTATGAGGTTGAGGCAGAGGTTGAGTTTTAGAGAAGAAGGAGGGGATGGGGGTGGCAAGATGGGATGTGGTTGGGGTCGTGTATATTGGGAAGAATGGAGTTTTGTGAAGGGGTAGGCGGTTGAGGAGGTAATTGTGCTGGTATATCCAGAGGGGCATTGTCTAGGTACCCCTCCATAGGGCATCCTGCAAATCATTTGAATCAAATATCAGCAGACGGCGACCACACAAGCATCACCAGACAAGGAATGTCGATATAAACGTTCACATCAGCAACTTGACTATTCCCTCACTCTCCACACCATAATAATGACAAGATCAGACCTGAATATACTGTCCCCCCGAGCAGCTTAGCAAAATTAACAGTTCCTCCGTCCGCAAGACTGTGTCTGACGTCCGGTCAAATGCCAATGGTAGGCATGCTCACCCTTTTCCATCATTGCTGGAGAATCTGTTTTGAGCCCAATCGCCGCATGGATGCCAAAGAGAGGGTCTTCATCAGAAACTCGTCGAGCTTCACCCTCTGTCATTACAAAGTCCAACTCTAATAACACGGCAGGGATCAATATAACTTACCTGCAACTCCAACACCCGTCTCCAGCCTCAACAACCCCACTCCTCCTCAAAGCCCAACACCTCTTCAACCCTCCAAGATTGAGACGCCGGACACATCCCCCATCTGAACCCTTAACTCCTCAAGCCTGCGACGGAGGTTCTGCAGAACGACCAGCAACCTGTTCGCAACACGAAGTATGGCAACCGTCGCGACAATAAGGCCGTACAGCGTCAGGGCGCTACAGAGGTACAGGCCACGGAGGAAGAAGTCCCAGGGCAGGACGATGAAGGTCAGGCGGATGAGTTGGGGCGCATTGAGGATGAGGGTTACCAGGTCCAGGGATCGACGGGGGGCCATTGTGTTGGAGGTGGTGTTGGCCGGAAAGAGAAGATTGAGGATGCGTTGGTATAGAAAGCTGAGCATAGGTAAGGTAGTCAAGTAGCAAGCTCGAGCTGGGAGATGGGACACCAAGCGAAGACAGGAAGTCGAACTTCTGGCTCGAAGAGGATTGACTGGAGGATGTATTTGACGAGAAAGCTCGCTGAGAGAGAGAGAGAGAGCAAACTGAGAATGGAAAAGAGGAGCAAATCCAGCAAGAACCACGTTCACATGCTCCAGCCCAATGGGAAGCCTCAGCCCAGAAACATATAACTTTGTCATCCAAGGACGGCGCGCCCAAGCAAGCAGAAGAAACAGCAGTCACGAAGCAACCTGCTCATCCAACGGCAGCAATAACACCCACCACTTCTCCCGCTTGCTCAACCCCTTCCAGCCATCAGTTCTCCCCTCCCCCATCCCCTCCGAGCCCACGCACTCGCCTTCCAACCTGGCTCCCCAGAACACCCAGCCTGCACACAAAAAACAAACATTAATTACTCCCCTCCCATAACGAAATCCAAGATGGGCGAAAACGACAACGAACTTCTCCACGAGCTCGAACAAGCGCAAGCCCAAGCCACCTACGAAATCGAACTTCTGCAAGACCTCGGACAAACCAAAGCTGAAGCCCAAACTCAAGCACAAGGCCAACCCCAAGACAAACCCCAACCCTCCTACTCAATTGATCTCCTTGAAGAGCTTGAACAAACCCAAGCTCAAGCACAAGCTCAAGCCTCCAAGCTCGAACGCGTCAAACACGGGACCTCTGTCGCCCTGGACCTTCTCCTGAAGCGCGAGGAAGAGGTAGCCAAACTACAGCAGAAGATAAAAGAGCTCGAAGACGCTTTCGTGTTTGAATGTCTCAGGGATCCAGAGAAGGAGGAGGAGATCATTCGGCTCAAGGCAAGGATCGAAGAGCTGGAGGAGAAGGAACGGGCATTGATAAATGCTGAGAAAAAGGGACAGATGGAGGAGGGCGTAGTTGTAGCGGCGATGGAACAGATGGGGAAGTGTGTGGAAAAGTGGGTGAATAAGTGGTTTGGGGCTTGTAAACTTGGTAGGATCTGTCTTCACGGGAAAGAGGGAGCTTGATATGAAGCTAACCGTGGACCGCAGTTATCGATAAAGAGAAAACGCCAGAAGACGTGCTACACTGTTTAAGGAGACTATTGCCGCAGTTTCACGGACTTATGTCGTCGCCTCCCCGGCTGGTACAGGCCTTCGTGACGGTCGTCTTGTCCAAGAGTATTTTCATGCGCATGTATCCTGGCGTCAAGCAGAAGTATGATAACGCCATTAAAGATATGTTAGAAGTCTTCAAAGAATACCGTACGTTTCTCCCTAATCCTCCCTTCTACCAGTTGAATCACCAACTAACCCCTCGGTTTAGATATCCCCCCCGAGCTGGTCTCAACCTGGCGTGTAAACACAACCAGCATGTTCGAACTGGCACCCCTCGAGCCTGCGACTTCTACTTTCGTCAACAACATCGCAGTTAGCATCCTTAATGTCCTCAACATAATCACCAGAACCGAGTGGACGCTCGATCCCGAAACACTTCAAGAACAGAGGGAACGGCGGTTCCTGGATCTACGAACCATCGCACGGCATGCCGTGGACTGGACGAGGAAGTTTGCTGAGCAGAAGACGGTGTACAGGCTCGTGAATCCAAAGATCACAACGCTGTTTATGGGCGAATACATGACTGATGTCGATGAGGAGGAACCGGGTACAACTGTGGAAGGTTATAATGTGCTTGGGCTGCCTGGGCCGTCCATTCCCAAGCCACAACAAAATGTTGGCTCGTCTAAGCAACAGCAAACGTCTGAGTCCTCTAGCCTCAAGGAGGGAGAAATCAAAGAAGAGCCTGGCAATGACAAAAAGAGCAATGAGCTGGTCACAGCAGAAAACTCAGAGTCCCATGTTCTGGGCAAGAGGAAGAGAGAAGAGGCCCATCCAAGGAGGTTGAAGTGTGTATTGTGGCCTGGTTTGGCAAAGGTGGTGGTTGACGAGGTGCCGGGCGTTAACGACGAAAAGGTGGAGGTTATTCTGAAGGCGAGGGTGTGGTGTAATTAGCGAATGGCTTTTCTTGGGTATGGAGGTGAAGGAGTTGGGTAGGTCTCAGGGTTAGCGATGTTGACTCGAAGCAAGCAAGCAAGGAAGGGTTTTAGTATGCCGGCCGGCTTGTTGCTAATGTGTGTAAACTGTATCCACAGTATACGTTTCTTATCTTATCATCTGCAGCAGAGCTGTGGAAAGGCGACCAGCCAGCCCCTGTCAGTTCGGGCGGATTCTCCAATCAGAGCACCGAAGAGTGGGTCCGAGCTCCTCTACTGGACACCATCATCGTCGTCGCTGCCATCGCCTCGCAGGCGTGTTTGGACCTCCTTTCCCACCGTTTCTCTGCACTGTCCTGTCAGATTATTTTTCCATCGAAGATGACGAGACGCTGCGCTGCCACAGTGCTGTATCCGGCTTGACGACGTGACGAACACGATACGACAGGGGGATAATCTCGTGCCCAACTGACGGTCCAGTTGGTAAGCCGACGATAATGAGGATGATATACGCTGTTTACGTCCGAATTATACCTACCTAATCAACTACGTCATTCTTGATACCATTTTCGATCGATCAATCTCTTCCAACACCCGCGATTATACACCAGTTCAAACACACGCACCGACACAATGCCCCCCTCCGACCGCTCCTCCCCCATCCGCGTCTTCGTCCGCTGGCACGACCCCGCCATCTTCGCGGGTGAAGAACTCCGCTGCACAATCACCTTCAAGAATACCGCCTCTCCGCCCCCTTCCTCGTCATCGGTGACTTCGCCCACGCCAACACCCACTCCTACCACGGTAAGGGGGACGCATTCTACCTCGTCTTCTCAGGCACAGTTCCTTTTCCCTGGTCCTGGTCCGTTGTCTAGTCCAGGGTCGGGGTCGGGACGACAGGCATTGGCGCATCGGCCGAGGACGAGTGCGCCGGTGACAGTTGGGCCTGTTTCTATATCTGCGTCTGGGTCAGGGAGCAGTACACCAGGGCCAAGTACAGGGTCGAACCTAGCCCCTCCGCCCGCAGCAGCTGCAAGGAAGGGGCATCGCCGCGGTGCATTGTCGCTTTCTGTGCCGCTGTCTCCTTCAACGAGAATAAGGGGTGGGTTGGGGGATGTGTTGTGGTCGCCTGCTGTGTCTTCGCCGCTGTCGCAGCAGCAGTCGCTTTCGGGGACAGGGACTACCGGGAATGGGACGGTCAACAAGGGGAATGGGCATGGGCATAAGAGGTCGATTTCGATCGTGAGCGTTTCGTCGTTGCCGGGAGAGGAACAAGTGTTATCGCCGAAGCCAAGGGCGAAGGGCCATGCTAGGGCGTCGAGTTTGCAGATTGCTGGGAGGGGAGGGTTTTGGGGTCCGAGGAATAGTAAGTCATTATCAGTGTGTTATGGTTTGTTTGGTTTGAAGGAGAGAGATGCTAACAGTCTGCAGCGAAACTCCCACATTCGATGTCCTCGCCAATATTTCACAGCTATCCCCCCGACCGCTCCCTCCAACGCCTAACCACTAGCCCATCCACACCCAACCCCCTAACCGAGTTCAAGTTCCCCCGTCTCGACCCCCCAGGTTCGCCAGTAGTCAGAGCCCATCCCAGCGAAGATGATCCGACCAGTCCGACACACTCCCTCCCGATCCGGCCGCGCGACGGCAGCAGCGTCCCAACTATTAATGAGCACTCCGTAGCCCCTTCTCCCCGCGCCCTCCCCACAACCAGTATCGCCGGCACGCCACGCAGCAGCGGAGAGTTCTACTCCCTCAGCAACCATTCTTCCGAGACACTGGCATCAGAATACGTTCAGCACCCCAACTTCCGCGGCCCGCATGCGCTGCGATCCCCGCCGCCGCATATCAGGTCGCCTTCGTCGCTTTCGGTTGTTTCCCTGCCGGGGACAGGGACAACTACGTCAACGGGGACGAAACAGAACCAGACGGAAACCCTCATGATGGGCTTTGCCCAGGTTCAGGGGAGTTTCGTGCTCGACGGGTCGCTGATCAACCTTGCGCCGTTTGAGAGCGTCAAGAGGAAGGCTGTGCTGGCTGGGCAGGGAGGTGGTGTTGTGGGGTTGGAGACGGGAGCGCAGAAGAGGGATAGCGGGCTGTTTCGACGGGCATTGGGCAGCTGGGGGTCCATCACAAGCAGTATCGGAGAACTGTTGGGCGGAGGGGAGATGAGCACGCTGAAGGAAATGCGTGGCGTCGCCAACAGCAAGGCGATACCCCTTCTTTCGGTGCCTCAATCGATACTGTTTGTGGATCTCCAGCTTGCACCCGGAGAGTCAAAGTCGTTTGAATACGCGTTTAATCTTCCGCGCGGCCTGCCCCCGTCGCACAGGGGTAAGGCGATCAAGATATCGTATAGTCTTGTAATTGGCACGCAAAGGCCGGGGGGCATCAAGGAGCAGAGGGTCAAGACAGTCGAGGTGCCGTTTCGTGTGCTGGGGAGTGTAAATAGCTACGGGGAGGTGCTGGGGCATGATTTGATGGCGCCATATGTCTTGTTGAGGGATCAGGCGAGGGTTGGGGAGGTGAAGGAGGGGGGCAGGGGGGAAAAGAGGGGGAAGCCTCCTCCTGGGGCCGAGAAGAAGGAGGGGAAGTCGACAAAGGAGGGATTTTTGGCTTATGTGGATGAGTTGCTTGCCCGGCCGAAGGCTGATGCCGTCCCGCTGCCTCAGTCATCAGCCTCGTCTCTCTTGAGCCCAACTTCTTCTCACCTAGCCATCCCTCCTCAAATCAACCAGCCGCTCCCCTCCCCCACAGCCTCACGCCGCCCATCCATCCACTCCCTCAACTCTGATATTCAGTTATCCCATTCAGCAGTCCCTCTAACAGCAAAAGAAGCAATCGACCTCGCCATCCTCCGCTCCGCCCGCCCCCCGCACCCCGGCGCCCCCTCGACAACCCGCTTCGACATCGCCCGCAACGGCGCCCGCGTCGCGGTTATTACCTTGCCTAGACCGGCATACCGGTTGGGAGAAAACGTCTTAGTGACCATCGACTTCTCCGATGGCGTAACGCCGTGCTACGCGGTGCACTGCTCGCTTGAGACAATCGAGCGGGTGTTGGATCAACAATTGGCGCTGAGGAGTGAGGCGAGTGTGACGAGGGTGACGAGGAAAGTCTGGAGTAGCGGGAGTGAGTGCGTGCTCTTTGGGAGGAGGGCGGTGTTTGGGTTGGGGGTGCCCAGCACGGCGACACCGGGTTTCGTGACGAGTGCTGTTGGAGGAGAGTGGAGGGTTAGGGTTGAGTTTGTGGTTCCTCCGTCCCAGCACGAGTCTAGCAGCAACAATAACAACAACGCAAATCAGAACCGGAACCAACATGGGGATGGGCAGGGGGAGGGGAATGGAAAAGGAAAGGGGAAGCATGCGTTGTTGGAAGAGATTTCGCGGGATGAGAAGGGAGGACTGGTGATGGTTGGCGTGGAGAACTTGGTGTGTGAGAGCTTTGAAGTGGTGGTGCCGTTGAGGGTATATGGAACGGCGGGTGGGGGATGGGAGAGAGAGGGAGAGGAGGAGGGTTTGGTTGTTTGATTTGTTAAAAGGGAAGGGATGATGATGGGAGTTTTTTTTTTTTTGGGGGGGGGGGTGTTTTAAGTAATGGGGGGAGGAGGGGAAAGAGGGATGAGAGTGTATGATGCTGAGGAGATAAGAGCGGGCAGCGAAGTTTAGGGAGAGGGTAATGCATGGATTGCATACTTGTTTAGGGGTAGCAGGCGAGTTGTTTGTTTATTTCTACTTAATGGGGTGATAGGGTCGTTTGTCTCGTTCAGCGTTGGTTTTATTGGGATGAATATCATATTATGAGCATGTGTGTTTACTTCACACGTACATAAACCTTTCATACTGGTCTTTGATGATGGCTGTTCGGGCACTAACGGAGGAACGTACGGAAGTAGCTAATAGAGTTATGTGCGATGTTACACTCGGTTTCATGCTCTGTGGCATATGGTCTTTGTACAATCCCCGAGTAGGTATCCAAATTGTAGAGGGTTAACATCTAACGACGTAGCAATCCGCTCGGGAGCTGGAACCGTCGGATGTAACTGCTTGGCGTGGAGGCAACTTCACTTCATCAACGTCTCTTAAGCTTTGATGGGCATGTGGGCATGCTTATTCCTTGTATTAAGATGATTTCCGCTGACATATGCTCTCGATTGAAGATGACAAGACAGGATGATGACGATGATGATGATGATGATGATGATGATGATGATGACAAAATATGCCATGATGTAATGGACATTGCTGAATATATGCACATGCGTAGGTGAAAATCTCCTTGTGTTCAGGTGTTGTATCTTATTTTCGACGTTTCATTCACTTATTTATTCCCTTTTGTTGATAAATGTCGCTTAGTTTATTTCTCAAACGCCTTATCAGGGCGAAGTCCGTCTAAAGGGACGGCCGGGTCTTCTGAGAGGGTTTGCTCGACATTGGATTCGTTATTGGGCTTCTTGATGCGAGTCTCTTCGGCCGGAACAACTCGCGGCGTCTCCAAAGTCTCAGGCTTCTTGGATGCTTCGGCGGCCAGAGTCTCGACAGCGCCAGGAGGCGTTTGAGTGGAGGAAGGGATTACCTTCATCTTGACCCATTCGCGGAGTTCACCATCCCAGCGGTGGCTATTCGAAATCAATCAGTCAGCATCATCATCATCGAAGCAAAGAAATAAAAAGGATAGAAGAAAAGAAAAAGGGAAAACTTACCCCTCCCACTCCGTAGCAACCAAGCACTTCTCCCCATACTCCGCCACCAACACCTCCTCCACCGCAAACGGCACCAGCGCCCTCACTCCCTCAAACACCGTCTCCCGGAGAGGATACAGCTGCTTCCACGGATCATAATAATGCCTGTTTTTGCAGCTCCACACCCCCGGCATTTTTTTGGGTTCGCGCTCCATCAACACCGTAATATCGACAAACATGCCCGTCTGTGTGTCAATCCATCTCGCGTCGATCACATTCAACCCTTTGCCGCGCTCGAGTTGTGACCAGTGAGGGTTGATGTCGAGCAGGTAGGTCCGTTTGTCGACAGTGGTTCCCTCGGATTCGTCGGGATAACTCCAAAAACTCCCGTTCAACCCCCGCCGCACCATCTCCCCCATCGTCGCTCCCGACACTTGCACGTCCACGTCATAATCCCAAGGCATGATCCTTCCATTCCACCACCACCCCAACAACGTCCCGTGCGCAAGCCAGGTTTCTATCCCCAGCTTTGACGTAGTAGCCAGATAACTCCGGATTAAATTGCGCAAAGCGATGCGGTGCTCCTCATAGGGCAAAGCATCCCGAAAGAAGCGGGCGTCGTAGTGCGTGAGTGCCATGGACTTGCCGGCCTCGTGAAAGTATTTGTACTCTTCGGGGACGTGCAGGCCGAGGCGCATGTTAGGGCGGGAGTTGGGAAGGGGACGGGAGGGTGGGGGGTTGTGGGAGGGGGCTAAGCGGAGGGAGGATGTTGAGGTTGAGGGGAGAGGGGGTGGAGGGATGGCCGCGGCTGGGGGGCGATGTTGTTTGGTGAAGGAGATGGAGTTGGCCTGTTTGGGGTTATTATTGTTATTATCATTGTGAGGGGAGGGTTGAGGAGGGCGGTTGGCTGGTTGTGTAGATACCGAAGGATTCGAAGATGAAGTTGTTGCCCGTGTCGACACCGTTACAGTCACCATCGTCTTCGCTTCCTTGATATCTTCCTCTTTCTTGGTGGTACTTTCCCCCTTCACCTGTGTCGTCGTCTCCTTCGGAGCAGTCATAGCCGTCGTCGTCGGTAGTGTCGTGGTTACTGTCGGTAAGACCGCCTTCACGACCTCCTCCACCCCCACAGCCACCGGCTCGCTGTTTTGGACCTCCTGCGCAGCAGGCGCAAAGGATGCCGAAAAGGCTGTCCGGTCATCATTGCGGGCGACGGCGGCCGAGCTGAGCAGGAAAGAGAGGGCGATCAAAGCCGTGAGGACGATGAAGGCGGGATGAGGGCGTCGTAGGATGGGCGGTATCATTTTGATGATGATTGTTGGTAATAGTGTGTGTGTACGATGAGAGAGGTATGTATGCTGCCTCGATTACCGGCGAGGCGTCGAGAATCACAAGCTGATAACGTTGAGGTTGGTATTATGTATGGTTGCAACATAGGATCGAGATCGGATTGAGGAGAGCGTATCGTAATGGGTATCACATTAAGTGATGGGTGTTCAACAAAACGCGAGAGTCGAGTCGAGTCGAGTCGAGTTGAGCACGTGGTGAGTCGTTCGAACAAACAACGACAATAATTATAAACAGAACACGATCCGATCTTCGCTCTTCAGATGCAAAGACGCAAGATGCAAGCACTGAAGTGCCGTTATAACATCGCCGAGAGACGTAGATGCAGACGCAGACGCAGACATACGACACGCGACAACAGCACAGACTGGCCCGCAGCGGCGGTCATCGCATCTTTTTCATCTCTTGTCTTGTCCGTTTAACCCCTTTTTTTTTCACTCTTGTCAATCGAAAATCACAAGCCTGCCTCTGTCATGTGGGATCCCTGACGTGGCATGTGCAGCAATCCAATGGGACTCAAGGACCGATGGAGAGGCGATCCACGATTGTCGAGGCAGATGAACGAATCGAGTCTGAGAAAGGACAGAGAAAAAAAACATGGATCGACTTTCCGGCTCGCACGGCAGCGTACGCTTGCAAGGTTATACCCACGGGGGGCGGTCCATTGGGATGGGTATCACGGTATCGCCAACATGGGTGCGGCAAGGAACATGGGTGAGGATAAGCCATGGATGGCGGATGAGGCAGCAATTGGCCAAGAAAGCTTAATGGCATCGAATCAGGACGGGGCCAGCTCCGCTTCGGGCTCGGAGGCCCACCATGGCCGCTGGTTGAGGACGAGGCTTAGAAAGAAAGGAGTGGGGCGATGCCCACTAGGCACTGTAGGATGAGAGGCGCATGCCGCTTGTGCAGGCCACGCAAACGTCGGCTAATGCGTCCCAGAGTAAACGGCGGGGGATGGGGGATGACCCGAGCTGTGAATCTCTTAAGATTCAGGTGTTGAGGCGTTGATGCTGAGTTGCGCCAGGTTGTTGGCTGTGGTATTTTTTTTTTTGCTCTGACAGTATACGCCGTATCAATGCTTAATAATGTATAGGTATTGTATATAAGGATAAAGTAGGTGTTCTTCTGGAGATTGCCCGTCTCGTGTTGACGCGCGTCCATCAATGACCAGCCTAACCTGACCAGGGAACTTGTCCATCTCTGCAGATCCCATCACCCACCGACAAGCCTATACTTCCCGTCATGATGCCCATCGTGCATCGTTCATCGTCCCGTAATCCCGCAACCGTCCCTCCGCCAGGCGCATGTTCCCCATCGCCGCCATCGGTCATTCGGCAACGCATGCACCGCAGAGACACATCGCACCATTGGTTGTAGATCTCTTGAGCTTCTCTCGTCGTCGGGAAGCCAGGCCTATTGTACATAGACTAGTCCGCTGGAGTGCGGTGAGATATAGAGGGGGAGATCACGTCTAATACAAGGGCGGGAGCGAGAAGAAAAAAATAGCCTTTGCTCCATCACGACCGGCATCGCCGGCGCTCCTTTCTCTGTTCGATCCCCAACCGCTCAGCCGGAGTCCTCAACCCTGCCTCATGTATGCATGCATGCTTCTTGTGGATGTGTGGATGAGACATGGACTGAACCCTGCCACTCCCCAAAAAAGAAAACACACAGACAAGGCCCAACTCAGCTCCATGTCTTCAGTCACCATCACCATCATCATCATCATCATCATTCCTAAGAGATTTGATCTCATTACAAGCGTACAATGCCCATCCCTATCAAACCATCAACGAAGTCGGTGACTTCTCAACAGCTTTTAATCAAGACGGAAAAAGCTCACACGCTAAAACCCGCCTGACGACGTCACCAGCCCTATCCCCCTGGTCGTCTAGTTGGCGGGCACCGCGGCAGCCACCGACAAGGGATCCACTCGCGCGCCAAAACCTACAAGAGCGGACCCAAAGCCCTGCAGAGATTTGCGAAGTGAAATGGTTGGCTGGAGACCGCGATGGAGCTTGAACCTCTGTTGCAGTTTGGGGTTTGTGAGCCTTATTGCATGTTTTTTTTTTTTTTTTTTCGCGCTGTAACTCTGAAAAGAAGGAAACGATCGTCTCATATCCAGAGGGGAGGTTAGGAACAGAGACAGCAAAGAAAGGAAAGTTGGCGTGTGCCCCACGGAGAGCTGGATTCCCATTTTGGACATTCACGCTAGCAGGGCAGATGATAACAGGGGGACGAAAACCCTCGGACTGCATGGCAGCAACAATAACAGTTCGTTGCCGCCGCACCACAACGGTGTGAGAGAGACGGCTTAGGCTTGGCTAAGTGCTGCTACTGTTTTAAGAGAGGATGGGAATGTTCGGTGAGGGACACCGTTTCTCAATGGTTGGGGGATTAGCCATGCCTGAAATTGCCTTGATAGGACAAAATGTAGAGGCTTGTGATCAAGACAGGGGTGCTCATTGAAGCGGCACATTAGCGATACAGGGGGTAATTGATCGCCGGTGATTCGGATTGACCTTGGTGCCTGTTTTCGAAATGAGAAGGGATCAATTCACAACTGATGGTAATCATCAACTTCGTATCATCCCCATCAAAGTATTAAGAAAACGATCTCTTCAAGAACTTTGCAAAACTGTGCACCTTAATGGCCTGAAGATCGGGATCATCCGAACAGTCAAGAAAACGTCGACCAGGCAACGTAACACGTCCTAGTAATATCCCGTCGTGATCAGACGGTTGCTGTATGGCGTGTGGATTGTGGCATGCGGATGTGGCTAGTAACAAGTGGGAGCATACGTAACCCAGCTCCATCCGGTCGTCACCACACTCATACGTGAATGTCCCGAAACGAAACAGAACTCCGTTGGTTCATGAGGCATTACGCACGCTTCGCTTCAGAACAGACCGAGAATCTCAAAGAACGGGATAAATTTGTGGAGTCCCCGAGTGAGATGATTGCGATCGACTTTTGTGATTCATGATTCATGGAGAGATTTATGAGATGGGGCACGATCCTAGCTGCGGCGATAAACATGATGAGCACAGCATTCATATGGCTCATGGTATCCTCTAACTCATCCATATTTACTCTTCTGAGCCCCCTCGTAGAGTAGGTCGAGGGCGTTATAGTTGCCATTGACTATACTTCCTCCACCTTCGGGCAACTTATGCATGCAGCAGCCCGTCCGTCCCACATTCCTTCTCGGTCTTGATGCAAACAAGCTTTTTCCAAGACCACTTTGGTGGTCCTTCGATATTACTCTCTGTCACACATCGTCAGCTTCACTAACTGAAATAGAAATCTTGTGTTGTTCATTTGGCAATCCCAATCGCCATCCCCCTCAACCCCACGCCCGCGCCGGCACCTCTTCTCCCTGCTATTGATGATCCTGCGCCAACAGCAGGTTGTAGAGCCGTTGCGAATGGGCTCACCGTCGTCCCGTCACGGAGCCATTTGTCAAGTGTGGGATTGCTCAAGCTGCTGGTCGTGCTGACTGCGCTATTGGGGACTGCCGCTGCTCCACCAGTGCTACTGTTGGTGACACCATCTATTTGTTGGTTTTGCGTTGGGGGCTTGTCCGACGAGGGGTCTTGAGTTTGCGAGGATGTTGTTGAGGTGTTTTCTATGTTGGACTGTTGTTGCTGTGGAGATGCTAGAAGGGACCGAGGTTGGGGTTTAGGGAACAAAGTGAATTTTCCAGCTTCTGAGCCAGATCCAGTCCCTTGATCTGTTCCCCGAGGAGCTGCCGCCTTTGCCCTCGCCCTCGGCGGCGGCGGATTCCCCAGTTGAAACGGCCCTCCCGTATCATTACTCACAGTTACCTCCTGCTGGGATGAACCATAATAATTTGCCGCATACCCGGTCCCAACCCCTTTTCCGGCACTGCTATTAACACTCTTCCTCGGAATTCGATTGACAGTATTACTCCTCGTAGGCTGGACCACCGCGGGGGGCTGTTGTACCGCTGCCGTCATTGGCGAGTCGGACATACGCAAGAAGGCTTTGATCTTCTCATCTTCGGTGCTGTAAATGGAACTAGAGTCATCACCGCTGAGGGCGTATTCCTTACTGGCAGCATAGAACCCAATGTTTGTCTCGTTGACACTACTGTTTTTGCTGCGCTTCTTCATGAGCTGGTCGCGGAACGCTTTGTTTGACGTGCTCGTTAGCTGGGGGTAGCCTATGGGAAGGATGCCGCCGTCACGGCTGTTGAACCGGTCGCGATCTCCTTCGGATTGCTGCTGTTGACGGCGGTTCCGCCTATGCCGCATGATCAAAAAGAACGCAACCACCGTAATAAGAGATGACCCGATAATCCCTCCCACAACAGCCAGTGCCGTTTGCGTAACCGACAACGCAGCCCCTTGAGCTTGTTGAATCTGCGTGTTGGCCTCATTCTGAGTATTGCCCCGTCAGCACTTATCTCTTCTTCCCCTTAATTGAGACTCCACACTGAAACTTACCCTCAAAGCCGTAACATCCGCCTCCGCCTTCAACACCACACTCGCCGCGCTCTCCCTCTCGCTTTCAACCGCCCTCGAAAAACTCGCACTCAAACTCCGACTCACACTCTCCACTTGCCGACTCATTCTCTCCTCAACACTCCTCACCATCTCGCTCGCCCTGCGCTCCGCCTCCTCGATCTTCCTTTCTGCCTGCTCCGCCCGTTGCACGGCTGATCGCGAGGCCTGCTCCGCATTTTGTTGCACGATTCGCGCGCTCGCGAGCTGTTGTTCGGTTTGCGACAAGCGTTGTGAGAGCTGCTGGAGAGATTGGGAGAGCTGTTGGGAAGTGATGGAGAGCTGTTGGCTGGCTTGCGAGACGGAGCGTGATTGATCTGATAATAAACGAATGGAATTGCTTAAGGCAAGGATCTGGCCTTGGTCTTGACGGGCTGCTAGTAGGAGGGATGGTGGAGGGGTGATTGTGGCCGAGGGACAGCCTAATGTTGCTGCTGGCGAGGCAAACGTAAATAGGGCTGCTACCGGATCTGGGAGGCCGGATAGTAAACTCCGTGCTGACGGGTCGGGCCCTCCCGCGGGCGCATGTTCGGCTGACGCTGCCAAAGGGTTTACAGCCGGAGCCGGGATCGGGCCGTTGTCACCGGATCGAGCACAGCTCGGGGGTAAGGAGAGCAGGAGGAGTAGCAGTGAGAAAGAAAATACCAGCTTCTTGGCCATGGTATATAATTAATCAAAACAAAAACAAACAATAAACCAATAATAATCCAAAAATTCTCTATTTTACCGCCGGCGGCAGAATGAGAACAAGAATCGAAGAGAGGAAAAAAAAAAATATCAGGTGAATATTAAAGATCCCTCATAACCCGAGACGATCATTCTTTCAGCCAGAAGGGCTAAAGGGATGAAGGACAAATGTCCATGTGGAGGATAGATTCAGGCAAAACGGCAAAAGGCAGAAAGGGAGGAAAAGATAAGAGGGGAAGAAACAAGGATTGCGGGAGGAGGGATAATAGATGAGAATCTGGGAGAGAGTGATCGTCAATAGTCGGGTTGCAAGCCCTGCAGTAACCGGCAGAGGTCGGGAGAGGGCATTGGAAACACTTGACTGCCATATGGGAAATCCCATTCTATCCAATTCCAGTAGGGTTTGAGTTCCATACCATCTCTGACAGCCACATTCAATCTTGAACCTAAACCTGATAGACACTATTGGTGTCCCTTCCCCAGGATGTGGGGGGCCCAGCCAAGTCAGCCCTCCAACCTCACAAAGGCCATCCTGTGATTGGGAATCTCCCTCGTGATGCCCTTCTTTGCACAGAAACAAAAGCAACTCAGCATTGACATTTCACTCCCCTGCCGGCGATCTCACCGGGACATAGCAACGCCGAGCGGGGCGCACAGACCCTGAGGGGGAGAGCTGCGACATGAGGAGAGTGTCACATCGTAGACAACTTTATGCGCTCTTGTTGTCACGGGTTGAAGATCTGTCTAGTAACATAAACCAGTGCTGGGGACCGGGGAACTGTCAGCTTGATCGTCAACAGATATCAGAGCTCAGGCTTAGGTGAGAGGAAAACAATAAAATCACACGGGCTAGATAGCTACCTGAAAGGGAGGTATAAACCTCCACAACACTGTACAAAACCGTCCCTAGTAGCATCCCGGGATTGAACTAACTTGATTCCGCCAGGACTGATACGGCCCTTCCCCGTCTATGTACCATGCCTACGGATACACTACACCACCACCAGCCACAAACATGCTTGAACACACACCGAGGAAATCCGGAATAACACACTGAAGCCACTTACCCAGCAATCCCCAACGCCACCCAACCACGATGTATTCATTCATTGTCCGTCCTTTGTTTTTTTTTTTTTTTGGTGTAATTTTGTTCGTTTATGTCCCTGGACCCGTGGAATATCGCCCGAGTCGTGTCCTGCCTGCCTTGAATATTGATCATAAAGCCTTTCTTTCTCTGACCACTCACCCATCCGTACAGTCAACAACAGCGTAGTCCCCATAATCCATCGCTTGTCATATTGTTTGGCACCTGTCTGTTGTTTGGTGCTAAACTGAGCAGTAAACTGCCCTTATAGAGCCGGGCATCCTCCCATAATCTTTAAGCATCTCTCCCGAGCCTTAAACAGGCAACTTAAACTTCTCCCCGCGCACAACCTTCGTATAATAAATCCAAAAGAAATCGCTATACAACAGAGTCTGTAGCACGCCCGCTACAACGGCGATGGTATCCACCTTCCTCGGCCCCTCCGTATAATACCTATAAATCCAATTCGGGATATACAGCGCCCTGTAAGTTCCCAATGCAAACAGATAGTGCGCGGTAATGGCCTCTGCTTCACCGGTCCGCTGCAGCATGAACAGCTGCGGCAAAATGGCGACGCTCTCGAGCCAAATGCTGAAGGCCCAGGCGATTTCGAGGAAGGTGTACTGCACGGGGAAGAGGATGGCCAGGATAAAGGCGAAGCCGAGAAGGAATTCTACGCGGAAGGTGTCGAGGTTGGGGTCGTTGGTTGGCTTGTAGGCGCGCGCCATCAGGTAGATGATGTAGCATTGCGAGGAGATGAAGAGGACTTTGAAGATGAAGTTGTAGGAGGATCTGGTCCAGGGGAGGTCTGGGGGGTGTTAGCAGGGCCGAAGAGAGGGGGAGAAGTGAAGGAAGGACATACCAAGATATCGTGTGATGTAGACAAGCAGATACAACATCTGCGATTTGAACGAGATGCCTGAGCAGCTCTGCGCGCAGTCCGTTAGCCATCTGCCCTGCACCCAACCCTTAAATCCAGCTACACACCTTCAACTGCACGATCTTATGCAGCAAGATAAAGATGGACGCTAAATGGGAAAAGTCTCCTGCATCGCATGTAAGCCATCTTCCCCCCTCTAGAATCACTCGCACAGAGCAGCGTACCCAGCACGCGAAAGATATTTAACGTCATTTTGCCAACAAAAGCAGCACTACTATCTCGACGTCAAGCCGCTCAATTGTTGCTGATATCGACGCGAAGATTTGACGTTTCTGGGGTGTTGCCCGCTGCGCCTGCCATACAGCAGCTCAATACGGCAACGGCGACAAAGATGGATGTGGCGTATCTCGGTATGTATCCTATTCGATCTTGCGACAGGCTGAATTAGTCTGGACGTTTGTTCACCTAAGGCGGCCAGAAAGGATGTCGTCGTTTGGTCGTTCGTTGGTCGGTTTGGTATTGAAAATCGGCTGGAATGGATCCCGCGTAAGCAGGCAAGGCCAAGTCAAGAAACCAAAGGCCACAGTGGCCCCTTCAACAACCGAGAGAATCAAACAACCTGTCCCTCCCGGTCCTGGGCACAACGTTGACTCTGTTCGTTCTGATCGGGAATCTCTTGGGATGGATGTCAAGAGATCTGGCCCTCCGGCGCTTTGGCCAAAAAGGAAAAGGACACGAACGCGTTTCGGCAGCTTTCCTTGGCCTCTTGTTGGGTCCCGATCTTTCTTGGCAGAGGACCCTTGCAGCAATGGCATGCAGCTCTGCCGGACCGTTGGACAGGATCTTGGGTTGGGGTTGGGGTTTTGACCCACTAGTAACATTGACCAATCAGAAGGGGAGGATGGGCACGGGTTGGTTTGGGGATTGAGACTGCGAGAGTTGTCAATGGGATTGTTTTTGATGATGGATGGAGGTGATAAGGCATCGGATAATAGTGCTGAAAAGGACAGAGAGTTTGCTGATGAAAAATGATTGGTTGTACAAATTGTCAGGCCAAGATCCAGCTCCAGAGACTGCGTCATCTGCTGTGTACAGTTGACCTGGAGCTTCCACCGAAGGCTGACCGAGCTGTTCGTTGCCAGCAACCTCGGGAAACGGCACACAAAAGTTACGCCATCAGATACCTATCTCTTGTGAGATGTGCTTGTCTAAACTCTGAATTATCATAGCGCATTACTCTAGTAAACAAGCCCTCGTATTCCCAAACGCCAAACGCCCGCCGGCCTGCCTCTGCCTCACATATCCATGCTCATCAAATACATTTCCAATATCCTCATAAACTTGGCTACGAAGGCTTCCAGGTGGAAGATCACTTTGGTTCCAGTCTTGATGCGATGCTCGAAGAAGGCAGCCCACTTGATGACCTCGGCCTTCAGAGCGTCATCGATCAGTGGGATCAGCTTGAAGGCCAGCGTGCGCAGAATTGTTGTTGCCGGGATGCAGTGCGTCAGCAGGTCATACAGCTTCGACCGGACCTGTAGAATGCGTGCCGGCGTGTGCTCCTCCATGATCTCGCGCGCGATTTGGCCGATCAGGGCTTCCCAGTCGGGAGGGGGGATCGGTGTGGTGTCGGTTACTTTCTCACTAGAGGGATGTTAGCAACAACAATAAGACAGTGGTAAAACTGAAGAACCTACTTCTGCGCATGCACCGTCTCCAACATCAACAACGCCTTCCTCAAATTCCGTCCACTCTCGACCGCAATCCTCTGATGCAATCCCTTTACCACCGGCCAACCCTCCCTCTTCGCCGATGCCGCCAACACATCACAAATCTCCTCATGCGTCGGCGCCGCGACCCTGACCAACAACGTACGCGACCGAATCGGCGCGATGATATTCGCCGTCGAGTTCGCCAACAGAATCAGCCTCAAATTCGGTGAGTACTTCTCCATGGTCCTCCTCAACGCAGCCTGCGCGTCCCTGGTCAAATGGTCCGCTTCGTTGATCACGACCACCTTGAACCGCTGCTTAGCAGACTGGTCGACCTGTTGGGTCTGGGCGACCTCCTTCAGGAGGTCCTGGATCACGACCCGGTCGTAGTTGCCGACATCGGACGGCGTGATCTCGAGGTGGTAAACGGACGCGACAATGTTGAACTCGAGCTTGCGGTTGTTGCTGGTCTGGAAGACGCGCGCGTCGATCTTTATTTTTTCAACACCGGGCCCGAAGAGCTCTTTGAGCGTAGCGACGATACGGGTTTTCTTGCCGGCGCCCGAGGGCCCGTAAACGAGAATGTGGGGGAAGTCGCCACTTTGCGCCTATTGCTGTTAGAAGAGCTTTCTTTTTTAGAGTAGGCCGTTTCGTACCAAAGAGCGCAAACGCTCTGAGAGCTCTGTGTGGTATGTGAGCTGGTCCAGGGACCGCGGCCGGTGCTTGTCAACGATAAGGGCCATTGTGATGGTGATGCAGGTAGGTGATGGTGTTGGGAAGCGTCTTCCAGAATGCAAGGTCTCGAGATGAACGCGGACGCGTCTGTGTGACGCGACTTCACGGGTCCACCAAAAATCCATTAAAGTTGTGGGGAGCGCACGGACCATATCTGCGCTGATCTTGGTATCAAGTCACCGACGTCCCCCAGCAGTCAGACAGCGAGTTGAAGAGGAGAGTGAGATTCATCATCCAATGTGCATATAAGGTCATATGCGAGTCTTCTACTTTCAACTGAAATGTGAGGTGGGCATACTAAAACTTTCTATGCAACTGCTCATGCCTTGCCCCTCGATGACTGGCCTTTGAAACTCTCTTACTCCCGAGACCAAACATGTAGAGGTACTCATCGGACCTAAAACCGACCATTATAGGCCTGTAAGTATAAAGGGGCATTTGGGGAGGTTAGAGCTCAAATACTTCGAACCCCTGGTCAGTTTTTCCTGGGACCCGGCCGGCTGGGTATCAAGTCACCATTGCACAGATGGCCGCTCATTGCCGTTCGTTAGTCTACATAATGTACACAAACAGAATAAGATACAATTGATCATGAAGAAGCCGTCGCCGTCTCTGTAGCCGACTCTGCAGCCTCAGGTGGCGGCGGGAGCTTCTTTCTTGGCCGTTTGAGGTCTTCCAATGTGATGCCATTCTCCAGCTTCGTGATGCCGACGACCGGCGGGTCGCCCTTTTTGACGAACTCATATTGCCCTACAAACTGTCAGCATTGATCGAAGCAGAAGAGACAGACGAGGCGTACCTGGCAGCTTGTTCCCCGCAAGCCGGAAGGCGTCCCGGATGACCTTCTCGTGGACCTGGCCACGGATCTCAAAGATAATCTGGTTGACGGCAACCCTTGCCGCCCAGTGGTCGAAAGAACCCTTACCCTTACCCATTCTCATCTACCCCAGAACCCGTCAGCTCTGATTCCCCATACCATATGCACAAGCTGAGCTCACCTCGTTACCGCTGACGAACACACCCACGTTCGCCGCGACCCGAGTATACAGCCGGTACTTCTCACCACGCAGACGCTGCTTGATGGTATCGGCGGCCACCTTCAGCTGAGCAGCGCTGATACGACGGTGGTGGTCGCACATGCGCAGCCCATAGTCGCCCCAAACCACCGTCGTGCCCTTGGTCGAGCCGCCAGTCGGCACTCTGGGCCGGCCCTTCCTCATCTTCTGCGTTCGCTTGATGTTGGGCTCCAGCCAGTTGCCCTCACGCATGGCGGTCACGGAGAACAGGCGGACATGTTGCGATTGCAGCTGCGGGCTGCTGCTCTTTGCGAAGTTCAACAACCCCGTCGTCGTCGCGGAGAGGATGGCGGGGCGCACGGCATTTTGGGTCGCGGGGGTGCTGATGCGAAGGGCTTGGAAGGCGCTGACCAGCGCCAACGAAGAATTTGGCCTCATGGCGGTCGGATTGGGCGGGAGGTGGGAGTCTGGGTGCGTCTGCTGTTCCCGTCCGGCGCCAAAAGACCCCTTCGAACCACAGACTCGATGTCGCTGATTTCGGCTCCAGCTTGCGCGGAACTCAGAGCGCCAAGACCAAAAATGACGCCAAGGTTTTGGGTTGAATAGAAGGATATGCGGATAAGGTGCACGAAAAACGCACGGGCCTCCTGTCACGTTTGGGCGCGCTTGATGCCAAGAATGGCCTTGGGAGCGCGTCAGCCCGCAGCGCGTCACGTAATTTGATAGATCCGGACCTTGTGTCCCCCAACGGCCAGGCTCCCACTGCCGGCTTGAAGCAACGACGACCCCGACTTGGGGTGGTTTATAAGTCTACTATTGACTCTAATTGAAACCCCCTTGCTCTCCCCATCAACATCATCATGCCCGACATCCGGTCCTTCTTCGCCCCCAAGGGGTCTGCTCCTCCCAAGCCTGCCAAACCAGCCGCAAAGAAGGAAGAGGAAAAGAAGGCGAGAGCCAGTATGTCATACATATTAGGTTCTTCATTGTAGCCAACATTTCTGACAATTATTAGAAGGACGGAAGGTGATTGAGGACAGCGATGATGACATAGAGGAGTAAGTCTGAGCTTTGATTGTGCTCGGGCCTCACTAACAGCTTCAGGATCCCAAAGCCGACGAGAACTTCACCGCGAAAGAAGGCAGCGTGAGTAAGCCCTTGAGGGAACATATCAACTTTCACTAACTTGAACAGCCCCCCTGTGGATATCAAGGGCGTTGAGACCACTGCTGCCAAGTACTTCTCGTCGTCCAAGGCAAAGTCCGAACCCACATCAGCCCAAGGGACGCCAAAGAAATCCAAAGCTCCCCCGGCCGCTGGAAGTGAAGTGCGCTTGAGCCCCAGAACCAAGACCACAAAAGTTTCTCCCGAACCAAAACCTACAAAAAATGGCACCAAAAAACCGGTGACCGCATATAAGAAACACGAGCAGTACGATGATGACGCATTCCTGGACGACGACGATGACGCTGGCGACGACATCTTTGCCGCAGCCGTCAAGAAGAGGAAGAACGACGACTACGTCGAAGACGACAGCGACGATGAGGTGCTTCCTAAGCCCAAGCGCGTGGCTTCTAAGGCCACCAAGGCGATCAAGACCGAGCTGGACGAGGATGTAAAGCAGACCCCGAACAAGGCGGCTCAGACGGTCCCTGCTCCCAGTCGGAAACGCAAGTCGCCGACCTCAGACAGCGAGTTTGACGACGATGAAGATGTCAAGCCGGCAAAGAAGGCTGCTCCTGCGAAGCCCCGCGCGCCGCGGGCCAAGAAAGAGGACGAACCCGAGGCCGATGACATCAAAGCCATTCTGGACAACGTGCCCTTGGTCCAGGCACCGGATGCCCCGCCCAAGGATGAGAGCCAGAAGTTCGACTGGAGGAAGAAGTTTGCTGGCGGCGGCAACGCCGGCCCTCCTCCCAACCCCGGCGCTATTGAGATCCCCGAGGGAGCGGAAAACTGCCTGCTGGGCAAGACGTTCGTGTTCACCGGCATGCTCAAGACCATCAGCCGCGAGGATGCTCAGGCTCTCGTCAAGCGATATGGTGGCAAGGTGACCACGGCGCCCAGCAGCAAGACCGATTTCGTCGTCCTCGGCGACGATGCCGGACCGAGCAAGCTTCGCAAGATCAAGGAGCACAACCTCAAGACTATCAATGAAGAAGGCTTATTCTATCTGATCAAGACCTTACCCGCACATGGCGGCACCGGCAAGGGAGCCGAGAAGGCCAAGCAGAAGCAGGAAAAGGAGGAGCAGAAGGCTCGCGAGGAAGCTCTGCGGATGGAGCAGGAAGAGAAGGCCCGGCAGGAAGAGGCCGAGAAGGAGGCTCAAAAGGCTGCCGCCGCCCGTGGCGTTGCTCCTCCTCCTGCTGCCCCGGCGCCGGTCCTGTCCCAGCTCTGGACGACTAAGTATGCGCCCACGCAGCTGAACCAGATCTGCGGCAATAAGCAGAACGTGGAGAAGATCCAGAGCTGGCTGCGAAACTGGCCCAAGGCGCGCAAGTGGAATTTCCAGAAGCGCGGTGCCGACGGTATGGGCGGCTACCGTGCCATTATCATCTCGGGTCCTCCTGGTATCGGCAAGACGACAGCCGCCCATCTGGCGGCTAAGCTGGAAGGTTATGATGTCATTGAGAGCAATGCCAGTGACACCCGGAACAAGAAGCTCGTTGAGGAGGGTGTCACCGACATTCTCAACAATACTTCGCTGCTTGGTTATTTTGCCGGCGACGGCAAGAAGGTCGATGCAACCAAGAAGAGAATCGTGCTGATCATGGACGAAGTCGACGGCATGTCAGCCGGTGACCGCGGCGGTGTCGGCGCGCTGGCCAAGCTCTGTCGCAAGACAGAAGTTCCCATGATCCTGATATGCAATGACCGGCGGCTGCCCAAGATGAAACCGTTCGACCACGTCGCATTCGACATCAAGTTCCAGCGGCCGACGGTCGACCAAATCCGGTCGCGCATGATGACCATCTGCCATCGCGAAGGCCTCAAGATGTCACCGCCTGTGCTGAACGCCCTTATCGAGGGCAGCGGCAAGGACATCCGGCAGATCATCAACATGCTCGCCACGGCCAAGCTGGACCAAACCACCATGGACTTCGACCAAACCAAAGCCATGACCAAAGCCTGGGAGAAGCACGTCATCCTCAAGCCCTGGGACATCTGCCAAAAGCTCATCGCAGGCGGCATGTTCAGCCCCGCAAGCAACGCCACGCTCAACGACAAGATCGAGCTCTACTTCAACGACCACGAGTTCAGCTTCCTCATGATCCAAGAGAACTATCTCCGCTCCCGCCCCGCCGCCCTAAACGGCCGCAACTTTGCCAACCCCCGCGAAGAAAACCTCAAGTACCTCGAACTAGTCGACCTCGCCGCCGAATCCATCAGCGACGGCGACCTCGTCGACTGCATGATCCACGGCCCGCAGCAGCACTGGAGCTTGATGCCCACGCACGCCGTGTTCAGTACCGTGCGGCCTGCAAGCTTTATCGCGGGTTCGTTGGGCGGTCAGACGACGTTTACCACGTGGCTGGGCAACAACAGCAAGTATGGCAAGCTGTCGCGGTTTGTGCGAGAGATACACTCGCATATGCGGCTGCGGAGTTCGGGTGATCATAATGAGATTAGGCAGGAGTACATGCCGGTGCTGTGGCAGCGGTTGGTGAAAAGGTTGGAGGTTGAGGGACGGGAGGCCGTGGACGAGGTCATTGAGCTGATGGATAGCTATTACCTGACGAGGGACGATTTTGACTCCATTAAGGAGTTGGCGGTTGGGCCGTGTGCCGAGGAGTACGTTAACATTGAGACGCAGACCAAGGCGACGTTTACGAGAGTGTAAGTCCTTCCCCCTCTCCCCATTCTATCTCACATGATACCTGACTGATACACTGCAGGTACAACGCCAACCCCCACCCTATCCCCTTCATGAAAGCGTCCAGCGTCACCGCGCCCAAGAAACTCAGCCGTGACATCCCCGACCTGGAGGAGGCCATCGAAGAAGAGGACGAGAATGATGTCCTTGAGCCGGCTGAGGCCGAGGCTGCTGACGAAGAGGAGGAGCTCGACCTCAATAAGGATAAGTACATTAAAATGCCGAAGGCGAAGAAGCCTGCTGGGAAGAAAGCATCGAAGGCTGCTAAGGCCGCTACTGATGATGAGGATGATGGGGAGGATGATGCGCCTAAGAAGGGGAAAGGGAAGGGGAAGGGGAGCGGACGGTCGAAGAAGGCTTGATTAGCGCCACAAGGGGAGAGGGAACTTTTTTTTGGAGGGAATGTTTTGTAACTGTATCGATTTTACGTAGTGTTTTTGGATGGGTTGGAGGACAGGAATTGGTATGCATAATCTTTCGTAGACGAGATGAAGACAGGCGGGTCTTGGCTTTGAAATTGTCTTGTGCTGTGCCTTCGTGGTCTTGAGCTCAAAGACGAAGTTGCATGCTGGACTAAGTGCGTAACGATGTTTGAACTGGAATTTTCGTCTCCCTCAGCTACGAATACGTCTGACCACCTCATAGCATTCCAGTCTGACAGCTAACCATACTTATCATCTAATTGAAGTACAAAAAGCACTAGATGCTCCAATTGCTCTCCCTCTTTACCTAAACACATTCCTGCCTACCTGGTATATACCCCATAAAATAAAACATACGACCTGCGTCCCAAACTATAAAGGTATATATAACCCCCCAATACAAACCCGCCCCAAAAATAACCCAATACACTCCCATTTCATCCCATTGATACCCACGTAAACCTCTACCCAAACTAACAATATTCTTCTCCCGTTACTCCCACAGAATCCCAGACCCAGGTAACTCATGGTATATCCATCTTTTAATTCCGTTTACCCCCTCCCGGCCGGATTCTCGTCCTTGCCCGCGAGAAAGGGCTTCGCATCATTGGACCATTAGTCCCTCCTAACACGCTGCTAACGGGAGTAATATCCCTCTTTCTTCTGGGCTCAGGGACAGTCTGCGGCCCGCCTGACGACCCATAACCTTGGCCGTGACCCATGGGTGTAGGCGAAGAAGAGGGCACGGTTGACAGCAGGAAGTTCTTACCTCCCGCTCCCTTACCCATACCCATATCCATCGGCATATGCAGCCTAAAATCAACCGGTACGTCCCTCTCCTTTACATGTTCCCTTTCATGGTGTTCCCTCCCCCTCCTCGGAAGAGAAGCCGTCTCTCCCACACTCCCCCACCAGCTCCCCCAGTCCTCTTCCCCAAACTTCTCATCCCTTTCCCTCTCATCATCACCAACCCACCCCTCCCTCATCAACTTCCTTCTTCTCTCGCGACGCTCTCTTTGTCGGGAGAGCATCCTCTCTCTCACACCACGCCATTCACGTTTCCAGTTGTCTATGGCTTGGAGCAGCTCGCGGTCGATACCCACACACGGGGGTTGGGAATACACAGAAGGGGAAGAGGAGGTCAAATGGCGTTCCAGTTCCGTGCGGACAACGGTCTCCACTGCGCGGAGGGAAAGACGTAGATGGCGGAGGTCGGATTCGTTTAGGAGGAGGTCTTCTTCTCTTTTGAGGGGGTTAGTATCCCTGGATTGTGGGTGTTTGAAGGAAAGGGTACGTACAGATCATCGATTTCTTTCTCTAAATCCAGTATCCGTTCAGCAGCGGCTTTGGCGCGTGAGGCAATTATTGCTTGGAGGTGCTGCGATTGTCAGAATCCCATCTCACATCATCACTCATACCTCTTAGCCAAGGATATGGATACATACCTCAGACTCCTCCTTCCTCTTCTTGATCGCCTCTACAGCCTTTTCAACCTCCTTCTGCAGCCTCTGCGCCTCAGCAACCACGCGATTGGCCAGGGCAGCGTGAGTGGCTGCAGCCCGCTTGGCTTCCTCGAGTTCCTCGCGGGGGACCATATCTACCACGGTTTGGGTCGATGCTGAGCGGGTTTCGGGCTTCGGCGAGGGCTGTCGATGAAGAGACTGTGTCTGTAGAGGAGGGGATGATGACACCTCCATCTCCTCGTGCTTGAAAGACCAGGCTTGCTGGCCCACTATCCCGAGTTTTTCCTCATCCATTTGCTGCAGCACCTCCTGCTTCCCCTCTTCTTGCTGCTGCTCTTGCTGGCCATTACCCTCCTCCACGTCCTCATCCCTCCAAACCGTCACCTCATTATCCCCCTCCTCGACGGTCTCCCCTCTCGCTGCCCGCTCCTTCTCCAACAATACACTCTCCTCCACTTCAGCAACCTCCTCGGCCATCGCCACAAGCTCCTCCATCTCATCAACTTTGAGATGCAGCGCCTCCAGCACCTCAGCCTCCATCTGCGGATCGGTGCCTAGCCGGCACGTAGAAAGGTGCTGTACTAGCGCGCAAAGCCGTTCCATTAGCTCAACGCGGCTGTCGTGGGGGTAACCGGCCGCTCCTGTTCCTTCCTCATACTCGTGTTTTGGGTCGTGATTGTGATCAAAATCGACTTTGTGCGAAGGGATGTTTTCTTTGTTCTCCTCCTCATCGTCGTCTTCTTCATCGGGGTTGAAAGTGGGTGATTGTTCGGGTTCGGAAGCTAGGTCTCGTTTCAATTCTGGTGAGGGCTCTGAGGCGGGGAAGTGTGCAGGAGGTAGTGGGGATGGTTGTTGGCGAGCAAGAGAAGGAGGTCTTTTACTTGATGAGGTGGCAGATCGTTTGCTGAACGACGCAACCGACAGCTTAGCTGGTGACATTGAAGGTAAGGTGGGCAGTTTTTGCGGAGATCCGACAACAGTCGACTTCACTGGCGACGAGGAGTATATCAGTTGATCGTCGACCAGACGCGCACCCTCCTCACCATCTCCTAAGTCACTCAAGTGTCTCCTCTCGATTGGACTCCCCGTCCGCTCAACCCACTTCCCTTTCTCCTCTCTCCGTCCCAACATCACCGGCGGCGGGGAAGACCCAATTTCATACTCCCTCCTGTCCCCTCCCCTCCCTCCTCCTCCTCCTCCTCCTGTTCCTCCTTTTCTTCTTCCACTCCATCTACACCTTCTACCCCCGTACCGGCACCCTCACCAGCACCCTCACCCTCAGGTTCAGATTCAGGTTCCCGTCCCTCTTCCCACTCAACCTCCCCCCAACTCCCCTCCCTCGTCTCAACCCCTGCACCATCATCCACAGTCCCCTCCCTCGTGCCAATCCCCGTCCAGCTCCCCGCACATGTCCCCACCGTGCCACCATCATCTTCCCCCGCGCCATACCAGTACTCTCCTGCCTCCTTAAGCCCTCTAGCGCTATAATCATCATTCAGATCGATCTGCCATCCTTTCTCCTCTTTCAGACGTTCAATCAAAGACATAGCCAGGCTCTTAGAGGGGGACGGTTCCATTTGGGTACTTCTAACCTCTCCCTCTTCCTCGGTATCAGTAACAGGGTGCCGGTGGTCGGATAAGTGGTCTTCGTTCGGATCCGGTAACACTTCCTCGTCCTCTGCTTCCTCGCCTGCCCCTTCATCGTCAGTCTCCTCCCCTGACGACTCCGACGAGAAAACTACCGTCGTACCTAACAGATTAGACAACCGTAATGCTTCTTCCATGCTAGCGCTCATGGATTGCTTCGTACCCATCCCTGCCCCCCCGCGAACGTTCCCTCCAGGCATGGGAGATGGGCTACTAGGCGGCCCCATTACCTCCCTCCTCCTCTGGTAGCTGGTACTTCCTGGTCTAACCGTCTCTTCTTCTTCTGTCTCTTCCCCCTCAGTAACCCCGATGACAGGCGTCCCAATTTGTGAGTGTCCCCGTACAACGCTCTTCATCTTTGCTGGCTTAACAGTAGGCATAGCCACCGGCCCTGCTAAAGAAATGGGCGTCATACCCGCCACATTGATGCCAACCCCGATGCCCAAGCCCAGGCCAGGCATGCCAATGCCTGTGCCTAGGCCTAGGCCGGTGTGGATAGCAGGGGTTGTGGCTGACCCTGCAATCACAGTTGCTGATGCTCCCTGCACGGGCTTGCTGCCATTATTTTTGCGGCTATTGGAGGTACTTGGGGAGGATGTGGGAGGGGGGGTTTGGACTGCAGGGTTGGGAGTTGGTTGTTGAGGGGGCATGGGGGATCTCTGTAGTTGACCCTGTGGCTGCTGTTGAGATTGCTCGGGTATTTGATTGGTGAGAGAAGTAGTGCCATCCCCTTTATCCTGAGAACTCTGCTTCGAGTGCTGCGGTGAGGTAGGGTGCGACGACTGTGTGGCGACTCCTGGGGCCGCGGTGTTAGAGGGTCGCGGCGTATGACCGTGAGGGTTTTGACTGCCGTAAGGAGGAAAAGAGTAGTCTTCTGGGATGAAAGATGAGAGTGTGGAGATGGAGGGTGAGGGGATGCGCTCCCAGCTGTTGGGGAGGGAGTTGTCGTCGTCGTCTGGTTCCAGCATTGTGATTGTGTTGCACGAAATGAACCGATGCGAATCGCTGTGACGAGTTAAGCGAGATGAATGAGTTTCAAAGACTCAGTTCAGTAATTCGTATGTGAGTGCTGTTGTAATGAGCGATGCGAAGAGTGTTGATGACAATGAAAACGATGATGATGATAATGACGTCGATAAGCCCAGCAGGCAGGCGGTGAAAACAATCGCCCACTCTCAACTCAAATGCAGGTTCACTGCGCAGAGCTGCAATGCGACGACGAACTCCTTGCGCCAACGCCAACGCACACGCACTGCAATGCATCGGCCCTGTCCTGGGCCTGCGATAACCTCTTCTTTGTTTACCTTTTTCCCATTAGGGCTGCAGCCCGTTGATGTTAATGTTATAAAAGACCGGTTTATTCTCTTATTTTGGGAATTTAGCATAAGGAAAGGAAATGGAGCCGTTGAAGGCGCCTGGGTGCGGGCGGAAGGCCGATCGATACGGGTGCGCTTGTCTTGTGTCGTACACATACGCAGTTTGTTGCGCTGTCATTGCTAGGACGCCAAGACTAATGTGTCCCCACTTTTTTGTTGTCCGGGTGAGAGCAGACCTCCTCTCCCTCAATCTTGGGCCCACCATTCCAGGCAGCCCCAGGCAGCCCCAGGCAGCCCCAGACATCCAGGGTCCGGCTTCACAACGGCCCGGCGTCTGCCGTTGCGCTTGCCTGATTTGCTCACCTCGGTAAGTACTGCCAAGTCTATGGTGAGTTCGGTGAAAAGAGCCAATCAGAGGAAGACAGTTTCAGAGATGCCAGAAGGAGCGGCATCCGAGCTTTTTCCGCTTTCCGCCTGTCCGACGGTGCAGAAGACGTGCAGCTCAGAGCCGGTTCGAGCCGATGGGCAGCCTCTTGGGGTGCTGGCTGAGCGGTGATGGAGGAAGCTCTCAGCTGTCGGTTCGGCATTTGAAATTGAGATTTCCATGAGCTCATCGTCATTGGAAGTCTGGAACTGCACTAGTCGCACTGTGTTCTACCTACGTGGTGTTGCTACGCTGCACTGCAGGTCGAGATGAATCTTGATCCTCGAGAGACGAGAAAAGGTGCGGTGGCAAAGAGATGGCATGGCGAAGATTCGAGGGCGTTTGTGAAATTGTCGAGATCGATCCTCGATTTCTATCGTTTTCTATCTTGCTTACATGTGACGTCAAGCTTCATCAGGTTGGGATCCAGACCGAGACTGTTATCCACGATCTCACTGTCTGCTTTTGAGCCTTCGAAGGATACTATACGCAGGAAGTTGGCCCTTGTCTCTGAAACTGAGAAAGACAAAGAGGGAGAACAGAAAACATATCAACAAGCAGTATTCGGCATCAAGACAACCAACAGCTTCCAGCCGCCGTTGTGGCTGCTGGCCTGCTTCTACTTGTAGGCAGCACAGTGCGACAACTCGGCAAGACCCGGGTACGGTACGCAGCAGCTGGAACAACGACTGGAGCAACTCGTCTCGCGAGGTCTCGACAGCCCACAATCTGCATTCCAGGATAACTGCACCGGGACCAACGGCCAGATAAATGGTGGCAGTCGATAGATTGCAGATTCTGGGAGGGCACATGGCCGGCCAAAAAAAAAAAGAAAAAAGCCCGCCTGTCTTGTGATGGTCGGTTAACAGTGGAGACAAAGGTGTCGAAATCGAGTGGGTGGAAGACCAGGAAGTTGACATTCCATGAGCTCAGCACGCAGACAGATGAGGGAGCATACAAACTTCACCACCTCTCCGTCGCGATTGAGAGTACACAGCAGCAAAGCATTGAAGCAGTTCATGGATGTCAGCAACAGCAGCCAGCCGTTCAACGGCCCTCGGGAGAGACAAGCCCCGTGCGTGGGGTACAGGCGCCACAGCTGGCTGTTACTGGACTCTGACTGGCCGTAAGACCACACATCAGGACCTGTAGGATGGAGAAGCACGCGCTGAATATGCATCTAGCATGCACATGGATGCACCGGGAATGCACTTTTCGAGGGTGCGAAGCGGGGTAAGCCGTTTTGGAGTTTGGGCGATCGCCAACTGCTCAGGTGAGAGCCAGCGGGTGACAGCGGGCAACACCTGGGGAGTCACCTGCGGATGGGACCTGGCCTCCTCCAGCAGAGTCGACAGAGGGTCATGGAGATGCTGTCCTGACGTGGATTGAGAGAGGGCTTGAAAGCTGGATCTCAAAAAGAAATGTTACGGCAGGTCCCGGGAAAATTAAAAAAAAAAGGGAGAGTCGGCCACCAAAAAGCATCCGATAGCACAACCGACCCGCGGCGAGGCCTGCCTGTGACCTGATACTAGGTACTTTGTGCTACTGTCAGTACCTGGTCGTTGTACCACAGTACCTTCCACGCTGCCCACCGAGTCAAGGCGGGGGATGAATCAAACCATGATGTCTGTGTAGAAAGAGTATCACAGCAGTGGCGTCTGTAAAAGCTGGATCTAAGTTCGAATATTCGCTCTGTTATAGCAGCTGCATCCGGACTGCCGTCATCGAGATCGAGGAAGAAACGGACGGATCTCCAAGAGTTCTGGACCAGGTGGAAGTGCGTCATCGCGTTGAGTCCTCTTTTGGCTTTTCTCCTTGCCTCGGCTTTGGGCCAGTGCCACAGAGTCCCGTCGTCAGTGAAGGGGCCCCTTGACAGTCCACTGCACGAACGCTGACTGGCTTGCGAAACGTTCGAGCAGCAGCGAGCAGCGTCGAATGTGACTCGATCAGGCTTCTCCAGCTGCTAGGGCCATTCCTGCCCCACCTCCGCTCTCCACAATCGAAATCGCTGACTCCACACAGCCGAGCGGCAAGACGCCAGAGCCGGCCACAGCCCGCAGAACCCGCAGAACCCGCAGTCTGGGAACAGGCACGGCAACGAGACGAGAGCGAGTCACAAGACAGACAGTAGCAAGCAGGGGACTGTCGGGAGCCGGGCTAAAAGAAAAACATCCGCCGAGCATCCATCCGTCGAGGCTGGTCTGCATCAATCCCGCCCTCTGCCGGGCTGTCACCCGTAACCCTTGACTAACCCTCAACCTTCTCTCAACCGTCAACTTCACCCGACACACTTCCATCCTCGCCAACGTCAACGCCAACACCGAACGCCCCGACACACGAATGCTGATGCTGCACGCCATACGATTTCCATATCCCCATCGCAGTCCCCAATTGGCGCACCAAGAGCCGCCAACATGTCGTGGAAGAGGTCGGAGCGCTTGATGGAAAAGATCCGTCACTATGCCAGCTTTCCGGCGACCGGCGTCAGTCTGCGCCAGATGGTCCAGTTCGGCGAGCGCCCGTCGACTGGTAGGGTTCCTACTTCATCTTCATCATCATCATCATCATCATCTCTATTCAATATCTTCCGCACACAGTCTCGGCATGCTGACGCTGCCACCTGCCCAGGCACCCTCTTTCGCGCCTCCATGTTCCTGGCCGAGGAGCTGCCCATCCGTCTGGCTCATCGCGTCCAAGAGCTCGAGGCCTTGCCGGATGGCTTGAGCGAGATGCCATCCGTTAAGAAGGTCGCCGATTGGTATGCACAGTCTTTTGAGGTATGCCATTCCTCCCTCTCCAAAAGTGCAACTTGTCCTGGCTCAATGACTCACACCCACACCCTCAGGAACTCACCTCCATGCCGCGTCCAGAACTCTCGCGCGAAGTCCGCGAGCGCCTGATGCGCCCAGCCAAAGTCTCCGGCAAGAACACGTGGCTGGATGAGCCGACGCCGAACCCGAGTATCGAGGAGGGCCAGTACGTGTGGAACGGCAACGGCAAGATGCGGCCGCTGACCACCCGCCGTTACTACGCCATGGTCGATGACAACGGCGACTGGCCGCCTGAGCTGCAGATTTACAACCAAAAGTTTGCCCAGACCCTGCACCGCATCAAGCGCCGCCACGACGGCGTCGTCACCACCATGGCCCAGGGCATCCTCGAGTGGAAGCGCAAGCGGCAAAGGCATCTGATCGACAATAACATCCAGGCGTTTTTGGACCGTTTCTATATGTCGCGTATTGGCATCCGTATGCTCATCGGCCAGCATATCGCCCTGACAGACCAGTCACACTACCGCGACCCCAGCTACGTCGGTATCATCTGCACCAAGACCTACGTTAAAGACTTGGCTCAAGAGGCGATCGAGAATGCGCGGTTTGTCTGCGAAGACCACTACGGCCTCTTCGAAGCCCCCAAGATCCAGCTAATCTGTGACCCCAACCTGCACTTCATGTATGTGCCTGGCCACCTGTCGCACATGCTGTTCGAGACCCTCAAGAACTCTTTGCGCGCGGTCGTCGAGACGCATGGGCAAGATAAGCAGGAGTTCCCTGTGACAAAGGTGATTGTCGCCGAGGGCAAGGAGGATATCACGATCAAGATCTCGGATGAGGGTGGCGGCATTCCGAGGTCTGCGATCCCCCTTGTCTGGACGTACATGTACACCACCGTCAACCGGCCGCCGAGCCTGGATCCGGACTTTAACAAGAGCGATTTCAAGGCGCCGATGGCTGGGTTTGGGTATGGTTTGCCGATTTCGAGGCTGTATGCGAGGTACTTTGGAGGGGATTTGAAGTTGATTAGCATGGAGGGGTATGCCTTCCCCCTTTCCCCCCCTTTCCTTTCCCTTTTTTGTGACTCTGACTAACTTACTTTTTGTCTCCAGCTACGGCACAGATGTCTACCTCCACCTCAACCGCCTCTCCTCCTCCTCTGAACCTTTGCAATAGCAATCAGCCGTCATGAGCGATCCCCCTTCCAAGTCCAAAGGAGGATCAACAGAAAATGGGGGCTCGCGAGGATTGACGCTGCCAATGCGCTACCTCCTCATGCGCAAGCGCTTGAAAGATTTGCCTCAGCTGGATCCGACTAGCCCGGCCGCAAAGACGGTGCTGGAAGTGTCGGAACGAAGGCAGGTGGGGGATGCTGAGGCGCTGCTTTCGCAACCGAAGGGGAGTGTGGAGACAGGGACAGAGGATCCAGCCAAGTGGAAGACAACGGCGGCGGAGAGAATGAGGGTTTATGAGTTCGGGGGTAGTGCGAGATAGGAGGGCATGCCCTTACTCTGGGGATTGGTTTTGTACTGGGACCACGACCACACACATATATGGTTATCGCTCGACTCTCAACCAACGAACGTAAACACACATACGCGCACACACACACACACACACACACACACACACACACACACCCATATATATATATATATATATAGACACACGCATCGAACGGAATTACAACATACGTACACACAAAACCGGAACAAAATGCGCACGGCAATATAACATACACATGCATAACATAGTGGGGACGACGGGCTTTTGGCACATCATCATCTCTACTTTTATGGAACAGAATAATGTATGGATTGTCGGATGGGATGAACGAGGGATGAAAAGACAGTCAGATGGATGGCAGGCTTAGGGGTTTTGATATATGTACGGTGAGAAGATGGAGGATCAACCGAGTAGAAAACAGCCAAGAAGTGAAGTAGAAGCGACTACCGGGAGGCAGCTTGATTGTTTCCGTTTGTGTTTTTCAGCATTCTCTTTATGGATACATACACACACACACACACACATATATATATATATTCTCTCTCTCTCTCTCTCTCTCTCTCTCTCTCTCTTAAAGAACTCCTGATCTTGCACGCATTGGTGGTGTCATTCGTTGTTGTGGCGGCTGGTGGGGTGTACATACATACAGTACAAGGTTCATGAGAAACACAAAACACAACAGAATGTGGGTAGGAAAGGGAAATGGAAAAGAGTTGAATTCGGTGTATGAAAATCTGGCATTGGTATGGCATGGTGGTTGGAAGAAACTGATCATCATGATAGTCTTGCATCTGCGGTGATACACAGGTCCACTTCCCAATGCCCAAATTTTTCAGTCTCATAAACCCGTTGCCCATGGAGAACAACACTGAGAACCAGAATGTTACAAACTGCTTAAGCAACTCAGATAGTCCAAACCATTAATAATAAAACAAGATGCGATCTATAATCCTAAAATCCAACAAGCAACTCCCCCAGCGCCTCCCCCCAACTCTTTCTTCTGCCCTTCCTCCTCTCCCTATCCTCCCTGTCCCGATCCCTATCCCTCTCACGATCACGATAATTACTTCTATCACTGTGGTGGTTATGCACCACAGGCGTAGTCCTCCTCCTCTTTGGCACTAGCTCCGGCTCCCCTTTGAATGAAGAGGGACGGGACTGTGTTCGGGTCCGACGGTCTTTTTCTCTTTTTTCGCGGGAGCAGGATCGGGAGCAGGATCGAGAGCAAGAGCAGGATCGGGAGCAAGAGCTTGAGCGGCGACGAGATCTCTCTCGTTCCCGGGCTCGGGCACTTTCTTGTTCTCGGTCTCTTCTCTCACGCTCTCGATCTCGTTCCCTTTCGCGCTCGAGGCGATCTCGCTCTCTGCGTTCATTTTCACGATCTCGATCCCGGTTGACTCGCGTGCTGCTCTCATAGATCGTCACCTTCCTCTCCTGATCCTTGTAGTACCTCTCCCTCTCCCTCTCCTGTTCACTTCCCCAAGATCGAGATCGAGGATGTGACATGGACCGATCAGCACCAGCCCGGTAGTGTGACGACGAGGCGTATCTCCCGTCTTTCTCCTTGGCTGGATCTCCGCTTCCAGCAGGACAACTCATGGTCCCAGCCACAGAATGCCGCTTTTGCGCAAGGGGAGCAGTACCATTTGGTGAAGCTGGTTTTCGTGGAGATTGTCTGAGGATAGGCTTTGGGCCTGTTCCTTGGGGAGGTCCAGCGGAGCACCGGTCCCGTTCGGAAGTTGATGGCACTGTTCGTGGGGAGGATGCCATAGGGCTGGGGGGTGATGTTGATGGATGAAGACGTTGTCGTGCGACATCCTGGGAAAGGGGATCTCGTCTTGCGGAGCCGTTGCTTTGGTACGTCGAACGGTCTCGCGATGCTGATGACGCAGCACTGCTGCTGTTTGTTGAAGGAGTCACACTCGCGCTGCCCCTCCTTTCCCTTTCCTGTGAGCGGGATCGGGACCTCGACCTCTCCCTCTTCCCCCTGGCCAACCTCGTACCCCTCACTCTCTCCTGAGAGGGCGCCCTTAGTCCTAAATCCTGAATTATCCTCTCAAACGCACAGTTCCACAGTTCACGAACCCTTTCATCACCCATAGAAGGCAGCAAGCGTCTTGGCACAGACTTCGGGATTCGTTCCTTCCTTTTGTCAAGCGCGTTCTCAACCATGATTGGCAGGGACGACACGATTTTGTTGAGACGGAGAAATTCGTCTTCAGGATAAGCTTGCATGGCGATTGTGAGAAACCGCACAAAGCCAGCAAGCGTTAGGCCCGGTATCGAAGGACGAGATGCGGGCCGGGAAGGGTCTGCGGCCAGAAAGTATTCGACTTGCAGATAGGAATAGAAGTCGGCGAGGGGAAAGTTTGAAGATGGTGAACGGAAGATTTCTAACGGACAATTAGTCAACTACTTAAGGTTGGGGATCGAGGGATGAGTCAAAGCGTTGAGGGAAGGACCTACCAAGGTAGGGAAAGAGCTCAGTGTCAAGTCTGCAGTGTGAGTAGAAAGCGGCCATCTTGTCTGGGGTTATGATGACCGTTCTCTGGGACATAAATTCATTCATCTGTCGAAGAGCAGTAAGTAAAGCGCTCGTTTACTTTGACTATTATCGCCAGGATTCACTGGGGCAATTGCTTACAATATATTGCCCAATTCCCGAAGCGACCTGCTCCCACCGCTTAGTAGGCCGATCATTTTGGTCAAAAAGCACGCCCCAAAAAAGCTCTATGGAGCTAGGACTGACGTCTCCCTGTCTGTAGGCACCACTTGGAGGTTGAGAATTGCTCCACTGTATAGCTGGATGGCTTTTTGGGGAGACATTCCCCGGACTGACGGGCTGGGGAAGAGAATAGCTGCGGTTTGGCTGCCCCGGAGGGTGAGGATGGGACGGTTGGAAGCGAGCAGCTGAGGGGCTTGGGGCTGATGGGCTTGAAGGATGGTGTTGTGGGTTGGCTCTGGGGTCCGCGGGTGTTGCTCTGGGGGTTGGGAGTCCTGTCTCTGTGAGTCTTCTGAGGAAGCGAAGGTTGAGCGAATGGAAGCATACCATTCTGCATGGCCACCGTACGGGGACTTCTTATACCATTAACCTGTGTCGGTTCCTGAGGAGGGATCCCCCCCTTCATCATCACAGGTTGGGGCTCCCTCACAGCGCCGTTCGCTCTTCTTCCCTCATGATCTGGCTCTCCTTCAGAGGGGGTCTCCTCCATATCCGCGACATCCTCTTCCTCATCGGATTCATCACAGACGGTTGGTCGTGGGGGAGAGGGAGGGTTGCAGATTACTGGTACTGGTCTTGCTTGAGCGCCATGGGGAACAGTAGGCAGGCGGAAATGATGAGGGGAAGGCCCCTGGACAGCGACGCCAGGGGGAGGAGGGGGAGGGGGAGGAGGAGCCGCTTCCTGCCAGGACCAGGTTTGTTGTGGGAGGGCAGACATCATGAGAGGTAAGTTCGAACAGTTGGGAACAGATATAGGAAACAAAAAGAAAGCAAAGATGCTGACAGTGCCGTTCAGACGACCGGGAGACAGAAAGACCCATACAGCTGCAGAAAGCCGTGGTTGATATACCCGACCCCAAGATCCGTAGGAGCCTCATTGTACCATCATGCATGCACGCGACGCAGCAGCAGCAGTGACAACAACAACAACACAATAGGTATCTATCCCAGAGCGGGCAATTGCCGTTAGCATCACCAACCACATGGTCCCGGCCGCCTTGCATGACGACATTCCTCCTCTCCATCCATGGTACTCTTGAGCCTGATGATAGAAAACCCCCCTAATTCATCCGTCGGGCATCAATCTCCCTTACAATGACGCCATCCCTTATTTTTTTCCCCTTTCAGAACGCCGGTTAACTCCCTGATAGATAACCGGGCATGGATGCCGGAAGACCAAGCAGTCCCCCGTCCTTCACATCCCCCATCAGCCGCCGGCACGGCTTGTCTCCAAACCAATCCTTTCTCAAATTCCCAGGCGCCACGGTCCAGTCACGCCCCGTTCACCGAGCACCAAACCGGGCTGGAAGCCGAACACAGCACAGAGATCACACATGTCATAATTGGGCCCCGGGCACCCGGAATCTGGCTGATGCACAACACGCTGCTGTTGTGTGACTGGGGCACAAGCTGCCTTGGTGAAGGCGCCCGGCGTGAGTTGGAGACCTTTGTGTGGCACAGATGTGATGCAAGACGTTGACAGAAGGACCGGATCCGGTATGTCTCAAGTCCATGGTGGGAGGGGTATGTATGTCCCCTTCCAAGGATGGAGTTGGAGCTGGGGGGGACTAAAACAGTCACAGGGAGTCAGAATGCTATTTGCGTGCGTTAGGAGGAGGCTCTGTGTGTTACAGCAGTTAACTGAACAATCAGGAGGCATGGAAGCAGGGCAACACACAGCCATTGCAGCCAGCCGGCTCAACAGTGGCCTGCTGACGCCCGGTTTCCGTCGTCCTCTGCCAAATCGCGATGCAAGGAGATTACCTATCATTCACACCATCTTCTTGTAAGCTAAAAACTTAGCTGTACTCTCTCGCTTCGGACATTACCAAGACCTCTCCTGATCAAGACTTTCTGTGAGAGAGTTACACCTGTGACTTGTGCATCCTACACCAATCACCTTGACAGGACGGCTGACGGCATGCGTTGAATGTTCTCCCGGTCGGAGAATCGGAGAATCGGCTGCCCGCAGGCTGGACACGTCTTAACGGCGATGGATACCGGCAGGGAAATGTCAGTCTGAGGTTGGGCCGCTACAGAGGCGGAGGATACGTCGGTATTTGAGACACTGGCTTCCTTGCCGAGCGCCACCGCCCGGTAAGTACGGATGAGGTAGGGAGTGCGGCAGGCGGCAGCCAACAGCCGGGGCCCCGCATAGGCTGGGGCACAGAAGGGATGCAGACAATTCAGTCCTGACTTACTGACGTGTGGCGGACAGCCGAATCAGATGGTCGGTAGCCGAGGGAACACCGACCTTGACCCTAGAGAACTCAAAAAGGAGAAGCGTAGCGGAACTCGGAAGAAAACCAACAAACGGAAAGCCTTTACACGGCGATAGGCCCACAGTTCTCACTCTCTTCTTTCTAACAGGCTAGATCCAAAGCCAAACACCTCAACATCTGAGTCGCCCAGCGATTCGGCTTCGAGAATTCAGAGGCTCATTACAAGTCATTCCGGGGAAACAGGAGGTTCGGATAATGTACCCAGCCAATCCTGTTAAGGCATTGCTCATCCAGTTGGCATCAACGGAAGCGTCCCTCACTGAAACATGAACAAGTGGCTAGGCCGGTGAGAAGCTAATATGTTGACGAGCGCCGCAGAGATACATACCCGAGACATCCGACTTAAAGAGAGCAACTGTTAACTTGCCAACTGGTCTTTGGCGGGATGAAAGCCTCGTTTGGAGGGTTGGGGGTTTGCCCTGAGTGGGAAGCCATGTGCCTCAACTCGTGACTAACCGTCAGGGAGATAGAAGGCAGTTGTGTTGTAGAGGTAGGTAGATTACCCCCACGTGGACTACCCTTCATCAATGCATTGCTGAGCTAAGTATAGCCATAGGACATTCCTATCTGGCCTTCGCCTTCACCGACAGACCTACCGAGCTACCTTGGGTTAAGCTCCACGTCCCAGTTCTCTATGCTGCATGTAGCTTATCACACACCACTCCTTCTTAACCTCTGCGCAAGAAATGACTTTGACTAATTCATGTCGTGTAAGTAGGGCAACCCTTTCCCGTGCAGGCTTAGGAGGATATCAACCAAGTACACAACGACCTAACAAAGCTTCACAGATAAGGCACCACCCACAGAAACCAGGAGAAGGCGACGCCGGTGAAACCCACAAGAGAACATACACCGAGAATAGATTGGGAAACCAAACCTCTTGCTTATACGACTTTCTTGGGTCGGATAGGACGAAGTTATGGACGGGTAGGTGATAACGCCCCTGGAAGGATACATTTCTTCGATGGGGTCCACGAAGTTGATGGGCAGGGACATACAAGTACATGCATGTCTCATTCCAGACAGAAAGCTTCTAAACCATTTTGTTTTTGCCCGCAAGCCATGTCTCAGGTTATGGAGGGTTGGTAACACTACGATATCCCAATAGGAACAGACTTCCTTTAGTGAGGAGTAAGATGAGGGCGATGGGCGAACAAGGAAGATGCAGGTTACTGAAGCTCAAGCTCACATGCCTATCCTCCCAAACCCCATCTCGAACCTGTCATTGACTTGTGTTCCGTCTATGTTGAGCTAGCTCTACATTGACTCCCGCCTTTGCTCCTCACTTTCCTCAGTGATGCCGGGCAATAAGCCAAGGAACTGCATACATCAGCCCTAAGCCTTACATTTTCTTCCTCGACTGCAACCCCACCCGCACTCATTGCCTACCTGGACTGCTATTATCTAAGATAAACTCAACGCCCTTGAGCCTAAATCGTTGTTGGGCATTGATTGACGCCTGCCTACAAAGCAGGTATCACTCACTCATGGTGGCAGACAGCATAAAAGCACCGGACTTAAAAGCAGGGCGAACGAACGCATGTCAGTACTTTGGCAGAACAGCAGGAAAGTATGTGATAACCGATCAATTCCCAGGTAGGTAAGTACGTACGTTTGAGCCCGTTGATCCCAAGTAGATTAGTAGACAAGTACGCTACGTAGCAAAACAAGTGAAGCGACCCAAACGTCGAAAGTAAAGCGATCCTTTCCATCCCTTTTCCCTAATCACCAACACCCTTCCACCAAAAAAAAAGCTCCTCCCTCGTAAGTCGGTTCTAAGTTCATGTTTCCCTTATCCCATTCCATCACAGAGTAGAAACCTATGTCCATGTCCATCCTATCTGATCCGCAAATCCATCTATGATCAATTGATCGATTGTTGCGAGCTGGTGGTAAGTAAGCGACCTGTGTCGACTGTGTCGAGGGACAGGTGTTGAGAGAAGGTAAGGTCACACACAGGAGATCAAATGATTGATCGATGTGCTGATCGTGGAGATCCATCGAAAGCAAGGTAATTAAAGCAAGCAAGTAAAAGTAGTAAAGTGAACAATAAGTAAAGAGGAGAGAAAAACTGCTCCCAAATAAGCCTGCCAATCATTCTGTCTTCTCTGCTACAAGAATCCATGGCCAGCTGCATGATTTTCTGCATCATGTCGATGCAACTCGAGCACCTCTACCCTTTGTTTTTGATATTCTTTCACTGACACACAACCTGTATTTTTTGTTGTTGTTTTGGTATTTTTTTTTTCATCAAAGTTACCGACAGAGACCCCGTTTTCTCGGGAGACTCGATGTGTCTATCTGCTGCTGGCTAGCAAAGGGAATTTGGAAGAAGGAGGGAAAGCAAGCGGGATAGATGTTTAAGGTATGGGGGCAAAGGGAAGCGAAAAGAGGTTGTAGTTGACACAAATTTTTGATACCCAGAAGGAGAAAGAGAAAAGAAAACATAACAGGATATCTCTATGAGGGTTAACCTCGATGCATGTGAGTTTGGAAATACCAACCGATGACTTTCAATCAAAGTAAAACACTCTGAAAACATGGTTAAGACCCGCATCTTTGTGCGCAGGTAACTTTGAATTCACTGCCTGGCCATCGAACCAGGATCGCGGTAGCTGGCAAAGAAGGGTAGGATGTGAGCCGTCTTGCGGGTGCCGGCGGGCTGTTGAGAGGTTGGGTTAGCACACACATCAAACTTAGAAGGAATGGAAAAGAATGGAGAAGTTGTGAGACTTACATCCTTTTCCCACCTGTTGTTTCTCCTGCTGCCAGAGCTGCCGTTGGAGTTGCAAAAGTAGTTGTTGCTGGAGTGGGCGTTAGAGTTGCCATTAGACTGGCGGTTGGAGTTGTGCCATTTTTCCCCCTGCTGGAACGAGTTTTGGCCAATATTGCTGTTGTTACGATGATGATTACCAAACCGGTTGTTGTTGTTGCTGCTGTTGGCACGATGGCCATTGTTATTATCAGGATGGTTGCCATTGCCATCATGGCGGTTACTATCGCCATTGTTGCCCGAACGGTTGCCCTTACTAGTATGTTTGCCGTTGTTCCCATGGTTTTTGTTGACATGGCCATTGTTGTTGTACTGACGGCCGGGGGCAAAGTAGTGGTTATGACGGAAGTGACGAGTCTCAACACCCCGGTTCATGTTCCGGTTGTAGGGGGTCTTGGTCCCGGTAGTGCCAGTGACTACATTGGTGGCAGAGTTGTCGGAGTTCTGAGTGGTATGGGACTTACCAGATGGCCGTGTGTTGGTCTCCTCAGGCCGCTCTGCAGCCTGGTCCGCAATCAAGGCAGGAACATTCTGGTTGCTGGACTCGTCACGACGGTGGGAGTTGTTCCGACGATGAGAGTTGCCACGGCGGCTATTGTAGTTGTGGTTTTCGCCATAAACATTGTTGTTATTAGAAGCGCTGTTGCTTGTGTTGTTGTTAGTGGGGGCGTTATTGGGTGCGTCCCAGGAGTCAGCGGCATTATTAGGCATATCCAAAGAGCCGGCAGCATTGTGAGGGGTATCCCAAGAGTCGACGGCATTGTTAGGAGCATCCCAAGAATCAGCGACGTTGTAGTAATCCTCGTCCCAACCGCCGTCTTTGTCGTTCAGGGTGGAATCCGGGGCGGGGAGAGACTCCCAATCATCATCGTTCACTTCATTGACGCCGATCTGGGTGCCATTAGGGCCATTGGCGAAGCCAGCAAAACAGGGATTGACGCGATAGCAGATCTCGGTACGTTTGGTCACAGTCGTAACTTGAAAAAACTCGCTGGGAAGAAGCCAATGCGGTGGGGTGTACGGCTCCTCAGCGACGTTACGCAGGTGCTCCGGGATGAACTGATCTAAGTCGACCTTGAAGGATGCCAGATTAAACTCCGCTTCGGCCTCGCCATTGGCAGGGGAGCAAAGGCTGGAAAGGTCAGTGCCTGAGCTGGAAGAAGACGCGCCAAGAGAGTTGGAATTGTCGGTCTCCTCCCAAGAAGCATCCTGCAAGCTGTTCTCAGAGCGACGGAAGTATTTCTGAAAGCCTGTCAGCGATTTCTGTTGAGAAAACTACGCCGTGGCTGGAGAACTTACCGGGTGCGAGAATGGAAGCTTTGGAAGAGTAGGGACAACGTCCTCGTCCTCAAACTCGTAGACTTCATTACTACCAAGGATGAATCTGTTGCGGTAGTAAAATTGTTCCTCGGTCATGCGCTCATCATGGTCGGCAACTACAGCGGCGGCCTCAAGGGGGATCTGAGTATCAGAACGGCAGCCCTTGCAAATCTAACCGACACAGGTAGAGTCAGCACAAGATCTTGAAAAAGTCAGAGGGCTGAAGTCGTAACTTACCGGCTGGCCGCTCCTAAAGGTTGACTTGCTGAAAGCATCAGGGGGTAGCACACGTTGGCAGATGTCGCACTCGACGCCATCCTTCGGACGGATATTGCCGTTGCCGTCAACCATGTCGACGTGCTCAGGGCAGCAAATCTGAGCATTGCAAGGAGTGGCCCGGCCCGCATTTTTGAGATTGTGATACTTTTGACGCTGGGAGTGGGAAAGCTCGGTCAGGTACACCCAGTGGTTGCCACCAACGCAACGAACAACCTTGGATTCTGCAGCCTTGCCGATGAAGCCGGTGCGAGCCATTTTACTGAGTGAAGCTTGAGCTGTGTTAGTCACCAGCGATGATGGAGAGTGTGTTTGTGAGTTGACTGAGGAGGGGATACCCGTGAGTCAAGTCAACTGTAAGTGTGAGAGGGCAAAGTACAAACAGGGCAGGGAAGGGCAACTTGGCAAGAAATGTAAAAGAAGGAAGATTGAAAAAAGATTGGAAGTGGTTTACAGAGGTAGAGGGATCGGAGGGATGAAACGGGTCTGGTAAGTCAAAAAAGATAGGGGCAAAATCCAGGGGAGAATGGGATGGCAGAGGGCACGACCTACCTATGAAGTGATGGAAGAGATCGGTTTTTTTTTTTGGGAGTGAAGAATTGGTAATTGAGATGATTCAGCCCTGACGAAGCTGGAAAAGACCCCGTCGACGTGATTGACGATACTACCAGGTGCCTTAGACAGCGATGCTGGAAGACCAGAAAGATGGACGTTGATGGATAGAAAATGTAAAGTGAGGTAGGCAAGAGTTGACTGCGAGGTGGCAACGATGGCTCGGGAAAGCCCTGAGAATCGATAACTGCCTCAGAAATCCAATGCTGGAACCGGGGTAGATATTTGGTGTGAAAAGAGTGTAAGGTTGCGAGGTGTAAGTGGTTTGAAATGGTTTGTGAGATGGTTGAAGGCGATGCTTTGCCAGAAATGCGGTGCGGGGTGCAATCGGATGTGCGATGCGAAGTCTGTATGCTAGAAAATCCTGAATAGATGGCCAATGCGATGTCAACTGGCAAGCTATTCCCATAGCCAATGCGTGCGCGAGGGGCCATCCAGATCTTCGTTGAATAGCTGCAGTTATTGCGCAGCTCGCGACAATAGCAAGAGGCTCTCCGACGGAAGGCAGGAGTCAGGTAGAATCAACAGAGCCAGCCTTTGCCTGTGAAAGGGTTGGCCGTGACGCGGCCAGTCACATCACTTGCAGCCCCAACAATGATAAGCACTCAATCCCGGCCTCTGGAACACATCTTCAGGCATAATGTTCCAATTTTTCCACATACTTGACTGCAGAACCCATGCAGCCCTTGGTATAATCCATTAGTATATTCCATTCTAATCGTCAAGGTGCAGCGGCGTGGATGTGGATGTCGGACTCTTACTATTCTCTGCGAGCGCTGATGGAGCCACAGAGTGGCCGCCCGCTCGCGAAATTCTGAGGCCTCACATTGTAAAAAGTAAATTTACATGGCTTCTTTTTGCAGCATGATGAAGTGTACTGTTGGCGTTGAAATGAGCATAGCTTTTACTTCTCCTTGATCGTTTCTGATGTGGTGCAAGAGTAGTTGATTTGATATATGTCTCTCATCTCATCTCATCTCATCTCATCTCATCTCATCTCATCTCATCTCATCTCACGCATCTCACTGTGGGATAGCAAGAAGTCAGTCCGAGTCCCTCAAAGCCGTTCCCAAAGCAGCTTTCCAGTTGTCTACAGCCCTTACCGTCGAAGTGAGCCAAATTCGTGGTGAGGAAATACATCGAAATGAACTGTATAACTGCGAGCTCACTTTTTATCAATAGAAATTGTTTTATGAGTTGATACGCGTTGAGTTGGGCCTGTCATGAGTTAATCATCTGGCGTTCTCACTGCGAGCCCGTCCCGGCGGGCAACCCCGCATTCTCCTGCGCCCCACTGAGCCTAGGAGCTCCAGACTACCGCTATAGAATACTCAGAACGGCCTTTTCCCCATAGAAGTCTCAAACTTTTGAATCTTAAAACACTCTCATACCAACAGAGTCACACATCATTAAACAACCGCCTCCCCGTCAACAAGTGTTGTCCTCAGGAAACCGCATGCTACTCCTGCTAACCGTTTACCAGCTGCTCTGTGCCCCTCCAACATAGGTCTTCAACACTTGAGTGGAGGGGCATTAGTCTCATGCAATGCAACAGCGTGGAAAGTTAATGCGACACGACACCTATGCGCCATCCATCGGATTGGAACTTCCCATACCATGCCGTTTGGGACTTGAACTTTCAGCTGTTTGCTTGAATTTGCAAATTGCACGAGGCAAGGCGAACGCCGTCACTGAGTGCATGAAATCGATGGATTTTTCTCTCCTCGCATTTGCCGAAAGAGCGAGGCCTTGTGACTTAACGTCTTCAGTCCGAGCATGTCCGCACCCCAACAAACGGCCCGCGCTACGGCGCGGGCGCGCCGATGCCGTGAGGGAGCCATGCTCGTTGGTCGGGTGGTTTGAGCCTTTGAGCCTTTGTTGTCTACGACCTGCAAACCATACGTTTGCTGGAGAAGCATGTTTTGCTAACTACGTGTCATACTCGAGATCCTGCACCTCGACAGACTGGCAAGGCCCCGTTTTATTAATTCAACTCCAAAACGTTGCTTATGCAACAATGTTTGTATCTAGTTAGATGACTGAGGGTCATCCCGCGTAACGGCCCCTAACATCGGCAAGAGACTCTCGAATATCTGGCTCCGCCCACCTGAAGCTCCCTTGCACGCCGTGGTACTTACCTCCCCTCACATCACCAACCTCACGACAAGGAGTCTTGTGATGGGACAGAACACTCACAAAAGAAACAAGGGATTCCGGGAGCCTGGCCGGGAGGGGTAGCAAACAAGGTTATCATGCAGTTTCGGCGATCAATCCCAGCGAGAGGGGAACGAGATTGGGGCGTTCGCGGTTGTGGGAGAAGTCATTCGACCCAAGAAAATGACCCGCGAGCTGCTGGAAAAATAATCTTGGCTTTTTTTCTTGTATTTTCTTGTCCTCAACTTCATCAACAAAGCAAATCTTTCTCATTGCTAGAAAATCTTATCAAACTACCAGGGTGATCGGCTGGTCGAAGGCGAAATCCCTTTCAGGCCGCGGAAACCTTCCGGGAAGTCTTGAGCGTGGCGCGCTAACTCTTTTTTTTTTTTTTTTTCCAAAGGCAACCCTAGCACCATCCATCCAACCACGCGCAATTTCCCAGACATTTGGGAACTCCAGATCGCTCAACCGAAAAATTGAAAGCATCTGATTTGTTGGGATTGGACCGGAGCGCTCCAAAGTTCTTGGCCATGCCAGGCTCAAGCCCCAGGGAACGACCCGGTGGTCTGGGGTCGAAGATGATCGCGGCCGGCTGCGCAGGCCATGCGTGCGGGCTCTCTCGACACGAAGCCGCGAACTTGGTACTCATACCCTTGTCTCGTGCGCCTAACGGAATGCTCCGCGTTCAGGTTGGTCTTTTTTTTTTTTTTTTTGACGACGGCAAAGGACTCTCCGTCTTTGTTGGTGGTTTTATTGCCGGCATCGTCGGCTTTTCGCGGGAGTCTTTGGGTGCGCTTTGGGACTCAACTGTTCGCAATGGTGACTCGGACAGCGAGTGTTTGGCCTTGATAAGGGTTCCATTGTTTACTTACAACTACGGCTAACTATCCTTTACTGCAGAGAGCGGCATGACAGTTTGCATTAACGGAGTACTCCGTGTCGTGTAGGGGAACACGTTTGGTCTCAGAGTCAAAGCTATGTTACTATCCAAGGCGTTTCGAGGTGCAACGGCGAAACCTCCTTGAGTGACACGCTGCCCTTTGCAAGCGATTGATGCCGAGGATCATGTTTGGTTCGGTAGCTACTCTGTTCCAAGTTGTTGGCCTCTTCTTGGCCACCGGCCACGGTGAGGCCACGAGGTCTAGGAGGACGGGAACATGGCATGGCATGGAGACAGTTCCTCTTTACCGAAGGCCCCTGGAAAGAAAGATCCGGGTTTTCGGGGCCAAAGAACGTTTTGATGAAGACGACGACGACGGTAGCCGGCACGCTGGGCCCTATCTGGAAGTTGCTCCGCTTTCTATGATAAGCACTCAGGATCGAAGGTTTCCAGAACACTCTGATATTCCTCTGCTATACTTTTGACGACATCGCAATTGGTAACGGTGACTGGGAGCTAGAAATAAGGCTAGAGACGGGATATCAAATTCGAAGGGGTTATGCGGTGGCAACGTTAGAAAAGGGGCAAGGCTGGCAAGAAAAGCCTCATCAATAGGGGGAAGCATCTACGGAGATGTCTCTGTAACGGCCGAGTATACCGTGAGGCTCGGTAGCCGGCTGTTCGCAACGCCGTGCTGCTGCAACATGGAGAACTTCTTGGAAGTCACTCTGTGAATTCCTGTGATTCTATGCCCTGGGATTCCCACTTGTGATAGTCCCGGGAGATTGATTCACGATTCAGATGAGATTTGAGATCCCCCTAGGCTCCGCTTTCGCGTGGCCTCGCGCTGCCGAAGTTGTAATCGTGCAGCCAGTGTCTCAAGCTTCATTTCACAGGATCCATCGACGTCGACATCTCGAAGCCATCGTCACCGATTCACGAAGCGTGTGGCGTCTTGGCATGCGGTTGGGATGGAACCTTGGGACATGGCCCGGGTCTGTGCCCGTGAATCTCTGATGAAGCCATCTCGTGCGCGCGGAGCCTGGTCGGTGATGAAGGTTGATGAGATTCTAGTCAAAATCTGGTCCTAATTTCAGCCACAGTCCCATCAAATACAGGGCTCTTTCCCCCAATGGGAATGGAGGGCGGGGCGACCCGTCATGGTTCCCCAGAATTGCTGCCTTTTTCATGCATGTCCTCCGAAGACGCCATCTGTCCCGCGCTGCAGAACAAGATTGGGTGAATGCTTGTTGCATTGAGGGTCTCTGAAACACCAGAAAGTGGTTGACGATGTTTTCCCCGACACAGCATTGATTTTATTTTTGGGGGGAGCTGGAAGATCAAGATTTCGACGTCGCGACGCGGTGGCTGAGGAAACGTGAAGCAGACACTGACACCCACAACGCCGGCAACACGCCATGTTGGAGCTCCTCGCAGGTTCACGACGCGGAGAAAACAGCCCTTTCCAGAGATGAGATTCGACAAATTAGGAATCTCCCGGCTGTTCCCTGCTCTTCTGGGAAGCCCCCTGTCGGACCGTTAGCCACACGCTCCTCATAGCTGCTTGCCCACTGGGCACAGTGCCGCCCAGGAATCTGGGTGATTGGGTCAACCCTTGTGTGGCCAATGCACGTTTACCCGTTCCTGGTAATGCGGGGCCTATGATGTGGGACTTATCGAATGAGGTGTGGCTCAGGTACCAGCCACTGAGAAAGCAAGTAATGAACGTGAAGACCGTGGAGCGTGATGTCGATCGTGCTCGGCACCGGCAATGCTCGTCGTCGACGGACTTATGAGCGGCAGTCGATCACGTTGCAAAAACCTCACTTGTAATTGTCACCGACGAGTGCAGCCGCGTGAGCGTTGCGATGCGTCCTGCAGTGGTGGTTGTTGGAGACTAGCCGTGCCTGTCGGATTGCCGCTTGTCCGCTCTCAAACCGATTTGACAGGATTCAGGACACCGGTGACAGCCTGCTGTGTGGCATGTGGTGCGAACAAACATGTGCTTGGCAACAGCTGAGCATTTGTTAAACAGCAGACCACCACCAGGATGATGAAGAGGCCGGTTGTCCATATGAGAGTGTATATGGACTTTCTATTGCCTGCTGCGTGCCGCAGGCTTTTCTGTGCATTCAAAAAGAGCAATTTCTGATGGAAAGGCGGAGCCGAGCAAGCGCGATGTCAGCGAGATGCGGATGACAGATGACCTGCTCCGGAGCCGTCCACGGTTCGGAAGATTGCAACGGCCAGAAGCAAAACGGACGGCTGGTTGGGGGGTTGGATGTAACGGCGGAGCGTGGATGCTTGGATGCATGGCTGCACTACATACAAAAGTGAGAGCAGCCAGGGCTGCGAGGTACGGCTGTTTAGTAAAGAGCGTGAATCCCTCGGCGATAGATGTATGCTGCCAGGCACGGCGTCGATAGTGGTGGTGGTACTGTGTGTGCGTGCAGTGCTTGAGGTTAAGGTCCGTCAACGCCAGGGTAGTCCGTCTGATGATGATAAAATCCACTGTATCCGCGTTATATCGTTGACTCAAGATTCAGACGAACTCCCACCGAACCGGCAACAGCCGGCCAATTCATATCGTTTCCAAAACGCAGGAGACTCTCACCTTTCTTCTTTTTTTTTTTTTCCAAGCACGTCGCCGTTCACTGTGGACGGTTGCCCCCTCATCATTATTACCCTGGCGGGCGGCCCAAAATTGCAACCTCAAAAGAGCAACGCTTCTCCGATCACTAGCGAGATTGGGACCTCCTGTGTTTTTTTTTTCTCGAAGCCCACCGGTGGACCCTCACCCTCGACCCTGGCTCCAGCGATTCATGCTAGCCAGACCAACTTAGGCTGCCCACCACTCGGCGGGTCCTCTCCTCCATTTCTCCACCCAGTCCCAGCGGTCCCAGGAGCTGCAAAAACAGTCCACTGTCCAGCATCCCGCCCCTCTCAAGAGAGGGAGCTCTTGCTCTTGATCTGTTCATTCCATAGGTCTTTACCAGTTCTGGCATATTGCCACGGGGATTGCGTGTCCTGTTTTTTCTTTCCTCCTTTGTGTTCGATTCGTAGAAAGTGCCGCGTGTTCGAAACACAGCCAAGCTCGAGAAAAGCAGAAAAACAAAAAGTATCGATTTGTTGGAGTCCAGCATCACATCACGCACGGCACACAGCCCGCTCGCTTGCTCGCTGGACACACACAGTCGCAGTCCAAAAGCCAGCTCCCCCTCACGCCTAGCCCCGTCAGGGCAAGACGTCGAATTACCGGTTGAGACCAGCACATTCTCCAGTTTCTCCTCTCCATCTCAACATCCTTTCTCTCTCTCTCTCTCTCTCAGCACATGCGGCATAGAGCAAGATTGCACTGAGAGAAAAAGCAGCATTGCGCGCGGAGACCCCGTTGTCGAAATCAAAAATCGAATTTACGTTTTATTGTCGCACTCGTACCCGTCGAGTCGGTTCACGCTATCTCGCTAGCTGCTCTGCCGTTACGACGACCCACGAAACGACCCTACACCCTGCCGGGGCACCCCAAGCGCCCCAAAAGCACCTAGCACACCAGCACCCTGAGTCCAGTGCACCCTGAACGCAACGGGTCATACACGCTCCCACGCCCGCCGTGTCCGCTCCGTTCTCCATTTTCACATCCTGGAGAAAGCTGGACACCCCCTCTCTCCATTTCAGTCATATCTCTTCTTTCCATCCTTCCCAAACGAAGACCACGCTTCCAAACAAAACCACGTTCCATCCCCCAGCCAGAGGGACCAGACGGTTTTGACTGTTGTGTTGTACCCGGCCTGCGCCCTCGACCCACACTCCCGCACTGCGCGAGAGATCCTCGCCTCGGCTCGTCTCCCGGTCTGCCATTTCGTCCGCAAAATCATCTCATGTCGCTCCTTGCCGAGTAACTTCTACTCGTCCGCTCCTTTCGATCCAGACTTTTGCTTCCCAACTATTTTCGCTCCTTCGTTCAACAATTGCTCTCACCGCGCTTTGATTGCGCCGCCGCAGATCCGTCGACGAACTGACGCTTCTCCGGCCTCGTACTACCCGCCCGTCCGCCGTCCAACGACCGACCTGACACACACACTGCTCAGACAACCGTCGCATTGGACGCAACGCCCGCTGTCCTCTTGAATGCCCAGGTGACCAATCTGTTGCTCTGTTCGAGAGCGTTTGTTTTTCCTGCATCGAGCTGTCCCCGCGTCGCTTTGGCTGCGCGTATTCAAGAAGGTTCGGGAAAGGAAGGGGAAACAAACGAAGATTGAGGGGGGTTGGTTTGCTGTGTCATCGAGTCGACACCGACCCTGTTTGATTTGGAAAACAAAAACTTCAAGGTGACCCGATATACTTTTATCTGTTCGCCATGACCGTCACACACGACCTGGCCCGTCGCGGGTCTACCCAGCTCGTCAATGGGCTGGCTCTCGAAGACAGGTTCGAGATCCTTAAGGAGGTTGGCGATGGCAGCTTTGGTAGCGTTGTGCTCGCAAGAGTACGGAGCGCCGGCGCGAATATTGCTCGCCGCGGCACAGTGGTACGTGTATCCCTTTCAACGAGGACGGCTTTTTGTAGCGCACTGACACCCTCCAGATCGCTATCAAGTCGATGAAGAAGACGTTCGAGAACTTCTCTCAATGTCTCGAACTCCGGGAAGTCGTTTTCCTCAAGACAATACCGCCCCATCCTCACCTGGTGCCGGCACTGGACATTTTTCTCGATCCATTCACCAAGAAGCTGCACATTTGCATGGAGTATATGGAGGGTAACCTCTATCAACTGATGAAGGCGAGGGATCACAAGTACTTCGACAATGCCAGCGTCAAGAGCATCCTGTATCAGATCATGCAGGGCCTTGAGCACATCCACGCTCACAATTTCTTCCACAGAGACATCAAACCAGAGAACATTCTGGTCTCAACATCATCCCATTCCGACTACTCGAACTCCTTCCGCCGATATTCCGCTCTTGTCACGCCCCCATCAACTCCCCCGACTTACACTGTCAAGATTGCCGACTTCGGTCTCGCCCGCGAAACGCACTCGAAGCTCCCCTACACGACGTATGTGTCGACGAGGTGGTACAGAGCTCCTGAAGTGCTGTTGAGGGCAGGCGAGTACTCGGCTCCTGTCGACATCTGGGCCGTCGGTGCCATGGCTGTCGAGGTGGCTACCCTGAAGCCGCTCTTCCCTGGTGGTAATGAGGTCGACCAGGTCTGGAGGGTATGCGAGATTATGGGTAGTCCCGGCAACTGGTACAACAAGGACCGCGTTCGGGTCGGCGGTGGTGAATGGAGAGAAGGGACCCGCCTTGCCAGCAAGCTCGGCTTCTCGTTTCCCAAGATGGCACCGCACTCGATGGATACCATCCTGCAGGCTCCGCAATGGCCGGCTTCGCTCTGCGATTTCGTGACCTGGTGTTTGATGTGGGACCCCAAGAATCGTCCGACTTCCTCGCAGGCCCTCGCTCACGAGTACTTCGCCGACGCCGTCGATCCCCTACGGCCAAAGTCGTCGACTTCAAAGCTCCTCGGGCGGAAGCAGTCCGATGTTGCCAAAGACAAGAGCTCGGCCTCGTCTCAAACCATTTCCTCGAAGCCGTCATGGTTCCGCAAGTCGCTCATCGGCGGTCGTTCCGAGAGCTCAGAGACCCTGTCGGCTGCTCCTCCACCGCCGGCCAAGGATGTTCCTCCACAGGTACCCTCTGTGCCGACCGAAGCCTCCTCGTTGAAGCCGAAGGCGTCCGTCGCCAAGAGGGCCACATGGAACAACGGTCCCTCAAGCATTGCTCCGATGCCCATCCTCCCTACTATCCGCCCCATCTCCCCTCTATCCGATGCTGTCAATGCCCAGGCCAGCAGTCGGACGCCCTCATACAGCGAGGCATACCACAAGATGTTGCAAGCTGATGACAAGGGATCCAAGAAGATTGGACGTCAGCTATCACTAGGCTCAACCGGAAACCACTATCTCGACGACCCGAGGAAACAAGCCGAGCGAGCACTCAACGGCTACGGCAATTCGGGTCTCATCTCGCCAACCAACACCGGCCACAAGGAGAGCTTCTTCTCGCACCTGCGTAAGCGGGCGCGTCGCTTCTCCGGCCGTCACCAAGCGCCCGTATCCCCCAGCTATGAAGACCTTGAAGCTCAAGCTGGGTGCACCCCCTGGGGCGGTAGCAACCGCTCGTCGATGGTGATTGACAGCCCGCCGCCTGCCCCGATCCCTAAAGACACCTTCGAGTCGCTCGATAAGACCCTCCACGAACGCCCTTCCATCGCCGAGGTCCCTCCTATTCCGCCTGCTCACCAGGTCAACCCCAGCGGGGGCCTCAAGCGCCATCACTCGCTGCCTCACCACCAGCCAAGGTCGGTTGATAACCTGCTCGGTATGTCAGCTGCCTCGGGTCTTGGAAGGACATCGACTGTGTCGAACCGAACCCGTCGTAATGCTGCTGGCGCGCACGGCCTCGGCCTGAGCCAGTACGATACCCCTGACGAGGAGGCAGAGCTGCTCGACGAAGTGCTGCACTCCACGCACAACGCTATCAAACGACTGGAGCGGGAGGAGAGGCTGCAGCGCGAGCAACAGCTCCAACAACAGCAACATCAAAAACAGTCCTCGCCGACCATGAATAATCCATACCCGACGCCATCGCACTCCGCCAGCGGGAACGTGATGCTCTGCGGCGGGTCCGGCGAGGCGGTGACGCCCAAGCCATTGCTTGACTTTAGCAGCAGCAAGAAGGGCGCCGAATATAAGTGGCCTACGCCGCCGTACGATGAGAGTGATTGGGCGGCGCAGGCAAGTGCGAGTATCTGGGCTGCGGGGAGCCGTTTTTAATTGGGGCGTGAAGGAGGGGGGAAGTATAGCGAACACACTGATACATACTACAACATAACATATTGCAGATACACAGATTACTTTTATTATGTGCTTTCTCTTGATCTGAAAGGACATACATAAACAAAAGAGTTGGGTGACTTTTGGGGGAGGGGTTATTTTGCTCTCTGCTTCTCTACACATGGGTGGATGGTGTTTTGGGGGGGTTATTATCTCTCTACATCTTTTTTGACTCTCATTTCCTGGGTGGGCATTGTTCAATCATCATCCACGCTGTTTTGACGCACATCGTTGTTACTATCATTATCCACTTAAGTCCTGTGGTTGCATTTTCATTTATTATTATCCATTCATCCCCTGTCGCTCACTCATCTGTCTTTCTTCCCCGGTCTCTCTGTGTCTCCTTTTCTCAACCTGGTCTTTCTCTCGTCATCAAACATCTCTCGTTTGTCATGGGCGGCTATCGTGGGATTTTTTTTTTCCCTGTCTCCTGTTATATCTCTAATACACGTGAATCTGGTTGTTTCTCTTTCGTCTTGGGACGTGGGGGAGGGATCCTCGGTTCATTAACTACTACAGTTACTCTTTTCAAACCTTCTTGCGAATACCCCCCGCTGGTGGAGGTGGGTTTTTTTTGGGAAAAAGAAAAGGTCATCCAGCAGCGGGTGAATTTTTTGATACCTACTGGTTTTTATTTTAATAGCTTTCTTCACTTCTAACTTTCGTGGTGTGGGATCTATCATAAAAGGTTGCTAGTATCTTTGCGTCTTCCTTCGTTTCATGTATCCCCTTCCCCGCTGTGTTTTTTTTTTCTCCCTTTCATGTTGATCTTGTGGTCTATCGTTGAGAGATAGTCGCAGATGGTAAATACCCCTATCTATATAGAGAGGTTGTGGGACAATCCAGCAAGCAAGCGAACGAAGTTTGTTGACTTTGGGATACCCTACCTGGGCAACTAAATGCTTAACTTACTGATCGTTCCTATGTGGTCGTGATAGCAAGTGGTGTATGAAAGTGTTATCTCGTCGACGAGTACTTACATTGCATGTGCTTCCGTTTTGTCCTTACCGTTTCCCATTCTCCATAGCATAACGGATACCATCCCCTACATCCAACCCTCAACCTTCTACCGTATCTCAACCCGAAAATACCCGGTGATTCAGGCCCCTCTGCTGTCCTACACCACCTATCGGTCGGGGAACCCTGCCGGATCTTGCCTGTCTAATTCTCTTCACAAGTAACTTTCTCTTATTCCCCAGATCTACGGTTGTGCCCGCCACCGCCTTCCCGAACGCCACCGTTTTGGGGGGGGGAACATGTCTTGGATGTTTACACGAAGATGTCTTGGTTCAATTAACACAACGGGGGTCCATTGAGCGTCGATCTTTCTACACAGCAGGGGGGTGCATGTGCAGGTGACTGCATGCACTATGCCCTATATGGGACTTCAGATGGGGGTTGTTAGGGAAGAGTGGTGTGATGTGCCTTGTTTGAGTTTAATCGAAAGTCCCGGTTTAGAACTTTGGACTGGGGAATCTGTGGTGTATGCAGAAAAAGGTTGGGTTTGGATACATCGCGCTATGTAGACCAGGCACGAATGCATGTGCGTTTCGCACATTGGGGTATGTCGGGATAAAAATTTTGAAGGTCAATTGTGCAGACAGATGCACTAGCAGGGAGATCTAGCACTGCAACGGTATGCAGAGACGTTGTGATCAGGATTACAGAGTGCAGAATGCATCGGTATTGTGATCATCGGAGTCACAGAGTTGCAGTCTGGGTGGTTGGGAGTCTTGGTATTGGGAGTGTGTGTGTGTGTGTGTGTGTGTGTGGTGGGGGGGGGGAAGGGGCAGGCCTTCAACACAATGTCAAAACATCAACAACACCGAGACAACAGACAGTGACATGAAAGCTTGAAACCAGAAAAGCTCTAGAATCGCTGGTATATGGTTGGTGACTTACAACTACCAACATCCATGTTTTTATATATATATATTTTTTACCCCTTACTTTTGGTAGTGTACAGTGTGCAGTCAATAATCATACAATGAAAATACAATGAACATTTATTCCCCCCACCCATTCCTTTGACCGTCCCTGTTGAACCCCTCATGATGCCCCGAAAGGTGTGATTCCACATGACGACTGCCAAAATCGAAGGCGGGGAGCTCTTTTCTGTCCCTTTGTGGAGAGAGAGAGAGAACCAGCACCGAAACAAAACCTCGAACGACCCCATTTACCCTTTAGTACTGAACACCATCACTATTGGCGACACCATCGGGATGTGGGCCCGGGTCCCGAGAATCCGCACAAACTGCGGTGTGCCCCGGGCCCCCGGATCCGGGAGGGTCCATCGCCTCACCGGATACTTTGGGGTTGCGTCGGACGATGGCCGCAGCCCGAGGCTTTCTCCAACGTCTTCGTCGCGTTTTCTCGGTGTTCCGTGGGACTGACAAGAATACCAACCTCTTCTTCCCTCTCCACAAGGACTAGGATGTTCATCTTATTGACACGTGATTTTCCGGTTAGCTCCCTGCATCTATAACCCGATTTGTCGCTTCCACTTGCTGCCCTCCGGAATGTGGCTGCTGTGGCTTACCACCAAGCCATCAATCACGTGACACAAGTATGCCCCTCTCCTCCCCCTTCAAAACCCCGCGATGCTCAAGGCCGTTAAGAACTGCAACCCAGCCAGGCAAGCGTATCCGGCGGTTCGTTCACAGGGCTGCGACCTTGGGATCGGTGCATGCAGCAGATACGGTATCAAGACCTGCCTGAGCAGGCAGCAGTTTTTGCAAAAATGAGGCACCGCTTGGAAAATGGGAAGCCAAGAGAGATGGCGGTCTTAGTCTTGGGAGTTTGCGTAATTTCCGACTATGATTCAATCGCGCAGATTTTGTGATGCTTCCTGCTTCCTGATGTTTACACTCATTTGTGATTTTGCTTTTTAAACCAAGACTCTGACTCGTTGGTCTTGTCAGATGTCAGTCAGTCGGCCGTTGATCGCAACTACAGGATTGCTGCGAGGGACTCAATAAGGGTGCGGCTGGGCTGCTGTGGGCGAACGACCCCTCGCCAACACGACGTGGTCAGCCCCGCCGTCAGCCATCGCCAAGCTCGGCGTCATCAGCATCAGCATCAGCGCATAGCACTTGCACTACATTGAGAAAAATTCAGCAGCCTTGTGTGAATCGTGAAGGGGAAGAGGGAGTTGTTTTAAGCTGCTCGTCTCTTCCCCAACTTCAACGAGACGGTTGTTTCTAGGGTATTGTCCTCTGTACAAGCTCAAGCAGGAGTGTGTCCATTCATCCTCGTCTCCGAGCAGCTTGTGATACATCAACGGCCTCGAACAGATCGGATGGAGTTTAGATAATGATTGTGTAGCGCCCAGCATGAGCCTCCCATTGCCCTTGCACACGTCGTCCAGCCAGCGGAACCGCGAGAGCAGGTCCTACTATACCACACAAACACGGTCGCCTGCTTCGGCGGAGGGCAAGTCCATCAATGGCGCGGCAACGACGGACGTTAAGGAGGAGAAGCCCAGAAGCAAGGAGCGCATTATTGTTGGCGTTGACTTTGGGACTACATTTTCCGGGTGAGCCCGAGCCCGATCCCGAGCCATATGTCCTCATTGCTCTTGCTGACAATACTAGCGTCGCTGCCGCATACACTGGTGCTCCGGACGAGATCGAAATAATCAAGACCTGGCCCGGCGGAAATGGTATCACCTCAGACAAAGTCCCAACCGAGCTGTCCTACGAACCTGCTCCTCCTAACTCCCCTCCCGGCACGCCTCCCACAGTAAAATGGGGCTTCCAATTCCGTCCCGAAGAGCCACGTCTGCGGTGCATCAAGCTCTTCCTGGACCGCGCGCAGAAGCTGCCCTTCTACGTGAGCCCCCTGGAGACGGCCAGCCAGTTGCGAAAGAACAAAAAGACCGTCGTGGACGCCGTCGCAGACTACCTCACCCAGATCCGGAAGCACACAATGGACACGTTGCGCAGGCGATACGGCGAGGGGCTCGTAGCCTCGACACCGGTCGATTGGGTGCTGACATGCCCCGCGGTATGGTCAGACGCGGCGAAGAATACCACGCTGTTGGCGGCCGAGCGGGCAGGGATGGGCGAGAAGAGTCAGATCCGGATGATTAGTGAGCCCGAGGCGGCCGCGGTGTACACGCTGAAGGCGATCCAGCTCCAGCCGACGCACTTAAAAGTTGGGGATAATCTGATCGTATGTGATGCGGGGGGCGGGACGGTTGAGTAAGTATGCTGTTCTGGTTCTGAGAGCTTGAGGAGGAAGTGCTGACGAGTCCAGTTTGATCGCGTATAAGATTGTGTCCTTGACACCTCTGCGCGTCGAAGAGTCGGCCGTCGGGACTGGAGGGCTGTGTGGCAGTGCGTTTCTTAACTACCGCTTCGAGGAGCACGTCAAGTCGAGGCTGGGTCAGACGCGGTTTGATGAGCTCAAGACCAAGAAGGCCAAGTCGTGGCAGATGGCGCTGAAGTACTTTGAGGAGTTTGTCAAGCGTAGTTTTAACGAAGATGAACATCAGGAGGTCAACATCCCGTACGTCTCTGCTGCACCTCCCCTTCCGCAGAAGCCCGGCTTAACTAACCCCTTAAGTCTCCCCGGCCTCCCCGACGACGAAGCCGCCGGCCTCGACTCCGGCTTCCTCCTCCTCACCTCCTCCCAAGTTAAATCCATCTTCGACCCCATCATCAAAGAAGTCTGTGACCTAGTCCAAGGCCAAGTCGACGTCCTCCGCCGCAAAGGTGCCATCGTCTCAGGCATCATCCTCGTCGGCGGTTTCGGCCAAAGCGACTACCTTTACCGGCGCCTGCGCGCCCACTTCGCCCCAGCCTACGACGACGAAGGCACCATCCCCCCTCCCCCACCCTACACCGAGCTCCCGACCAACCCCCCTCCCCCAGACCCCCTCGCCGACCGGCCCTTGCCAATAGAAGTAATGCAGCCCATCCACGCTTGGACGGCCGTCGTCCGCGGCGCCGTCCTCCGAGGCCTCGAGTCAGGCTCATCCACCGTCCTCTCCCGCCGCGCACGCATGCACTACGGCACGTCCTACGCCACCGTCTACGACGAAACCAAGCATCCCGTCACCGAGCGCTACTGGTCTCCCCTCTGGGAGCGCTGGATGGTCTCGGACCGGATGCAATGGCACATTCGGAAGGGGGAGCCCATCTCCCCGACCAACCCCATCGCCTTCCACTACACGCGCAACTTCCGCCCCGGCCAGAGCATGGTCGTCACGGATGACCTCATCGCGTGTGAGGCGGATGATCCGCCGGATCGGTATACTAGGGATCTTATTCATGTGTGTACGCTGACGACGGATCTGAGTGCCGTGCCAAGGCATTTGTTTACCAAGTTGACGACGACGAGGGGAGTGGAGTTTTTGAATTTGGATTTTACGCTGGAGATGACGGTGGATAGTGCGGGGTTGGGGTTCGAGTTGAAGGTGGATGGGGTTAGGTATGGAAGGGTTGAGGCCGAGTTTCATTCTGTGTAGATACCTATCTAGGGAGAAAGAAAAAAAAAAAAGAGGGGAGAAGGAAGGGGGGGGGGAGTTGGGGGGAGGGCGGAAATGTTTAGAGGGGTTGGTCTTTGTCTTTGTAAGTTTAGTGTTCAGTTGGGATAAATAAGGGTGCTATTGGGTTTATACTCGACAAGCTTGAGGCGTTTGCTGGCAAGGTTATCAAGCATAAACATGAGGTTTGGATAGTACGGTAGTACGGTAGTGATAGGCATGGTATATCAGGCAGGCATTCGAGCACATTGAAATTCATTGGTTGGTTAAAATCTTGTTAAGATTTCGATGGGTCACCTAGGCCAAGGTCAAGCAAGTCAGTTGAAGCGCCTACTTCGGGAGGAGAAGAGGTTATCAGCGACAGTCCTCCTCCTCCTTTCTCCTCCTCCTCTTCCTTACCAAAAAAAAAAAATAAATTATTGTCGACGTGGGGTATCAACTTTAATTCATTGCTTAATTGATATGGATGAATTGCTCTATCCGGCATTTCAAACCAAACCAAACGACCTTCCTATTTCTTTGACGAACAATGTCTCGTAGGTAAGTCATCCTCTCTTCCTCATCAGGGGCTATTCAATTCCTCAGCCTTCACAATGCTGCCCTGACCATCTATTACCCAAGCACAAGACTATGTATATGTACAAGATGCAAAAAAAAAGAAAAAGAAAAAGAAAGAAGACAAAATTCTAGTTCTTAAAATGAGGAGAAATCAAAGCTCAACGTTCTATAACTCCGGTATCGTCCCGTCACCTTCCCGGTCATAATTCTCAAGCTCCTTCTTCTACAGACAGCCAATACGGCTCCCTCCTTAAAATCCTACACGCCTCCTCGGCCACCCACGTCCTCGCCTCATCCTTCGACCTAGTCCCCCTCACCTCAGCAATAACCGTCCCATCCACCAAATACCGACACCCAAACCTCCTCTTGCTGTCCTTGTCCTTCTTCTTCCCCTCTTCCATGACGCTCTCCTCCCCTTCCGAACCCTCCTCCCGCTCGCACTCAAACACCTCATACCCCACACTCCTCCCCAAAGTCCTCATCTTTGAAGTCAGTACATTCAGCTCCTCCCGCGGATGCAACACTCCCATCGGGCCCAGCTCTACAATCCTCTTCATCAGGCGGTCCAGTCCAACTCTTTCTAACACCCGGCGACAGACATCCATGTCCCCTGAGTCGACCCACACGGCGGCGAGTACGGCCTCGAAGACGTCGGAGAAGACTTTTGGCGCGCGAAGCTGGGAAATTAGTCGCCAAGGGTAGCGGTCGCCGTGAGTAAGGGCGTGCTGCACTTCGTGGCGCATGGCGGCGTACCGGCGGGTGGTGTCGTTCATGAAGCGGGAGAGCTGAATGGTGTTGTGGCGGAGGAAGGCGGTTAGGGGGACGCGGACGTGGCGGGTGCGGAGGGTCACCCCGCCCGAGTGTTCACCGTTACCCTCAGATATCGCGGTCTCAGACCCTTGGGACGAGCTAGGAGAGGGCGGCGCGATGATATCCAGCTCCTCCTGGAGGATGGTCCATTCCTCGAGGATCAGCACGGCCATAATATCCTGGTTAACGAGCGCGCTCTTCATAATATGTAAAATATACGGCACGACCATCTGCTGCTGCCCGTCCACATTGCACTTATACAGCTCATACAGCTTGGTCGCAACCAAAAAATCCAGCAGCGCATCGCCCAACAGCTCCAACCGATCCAGCGAGCCCCTGACCCCCGGGCCGGCTGGGCAAGAGGAATGTGTCAGGGCCTCAACCAGCAGCGACTTCTTCTTGAACTCATACCCCAAAAGCTGCTCCTCAATCCGACGCATCGTCTTAGGCAGCGGGTCGTCCGCTGCGGCGTGATTAAACAAAATATCACGACACCGGCCGACGGGCAGCCAGTCGATGGGCACATCGGGCAAGAAGAGCGGGACGCAGGTCAGGGCGCGGTCCGTGCCGCCGGAAAGATAAGCGGCGCCAACCAGGGCCTCGACGACATCGGCGACCGTCTTGGTAGAGAGCTGGCGCGGCGCTGTGACGGAGGGCGGGCGGCCCAGGATGGAGGAGATGGTCGGGGGGCGCCAGCGCTTCTGGACCATTTTCGCATCGATGATGTACCGGTCAAGGCCAAAGCCGACGGCGGCGCGGAAGAAGCGCATGTTGGAAACGATGCGGTCCTTGATGGGGGAGAGAAAGCCTTCCGGATATGTCAGGTCTGGACAGTTAGCGTGAGGAATATTCCATCCATTAAGGATGAGGGGGAAGGCCTGTTAGGGGAGAGGATTACACTTTGCCTCGCAATTCACCGTCGTAAGAAACTTGAGTAAGGCATCCCCCAAGAACTCCATATTCTCATAATCTCCTGGCCTCTGAGCCCCGGACGCCCACAACGCCCTGACCACATTTCCCAAATCATCCCCCCCCATCCCCGTCTTCTCCCTCAACCTCTCTGTCAACAGATCCCTCGCCAGCAAGTGGTCCCCCAGCACGACCAGCAAGGCCGGGATCATCAGCGCAGCCTCGGCATACTTCGCCGGCACCGCGTCCATCACGACCTCTCGCAGGGGCACAATCCGGTCGAACTTCGGCTCTCCATTCTGCCCCATCGAGACGGGCATCGCGTCAGGCGCGGAATTCTTGCGAAAAAAGCCAGCTTTGTGCGGCAGCACTTTCCGCATTCCCACTTGCGGCTCGTTCTCTGGCTCCCGCGGCGGCAAGAATGTATGGTCGCCGAAGGGGTAGTTCCTATCGTGCACCCACCGCAGGAGATGGTCTGGATGGCGCTTGAGGAGTCTCTCCGTGACTCGCCCCTGGAATGTCAAGGAGGACGGCAGAGAGGGGCAGAGCAGCCGCAGGACGTACTCTCCCTTGCCGAGGATCCGAAAACGATGGGAAAAGGCAAGAGATAGCAGCGCCGGGGTATCGTCCGGCTCTGTCTGGGTGTCCTCCGGGCGGTCGATGGCCTCCTGGTCCTGATCCATCGTTACCTCCCACGAAGTCTCTTTATCATAAAACATGAAGAACTTCTCCATCCGCGGCACCTCCACAGGCAGGACGACCTCCCACCGAATCTGTTCGCCATCCCTGACCCTTGTCAGCGTCATCCCCCTCTTCCACAACTTCTTGCTCTGCCTCCACGCCTGGGCAACGGCCACCCAAGGATCCATCACGTCCTTGACATTCGCGAGCCCATCTCTGCTTTCCAGCTCGCCAAACACCGATTCCTCCCGGATCGGCAGCAAATGCTTCCCCACAAGGCCAGCCTCGTACAGCTTCTGGTACGCCTGGAAGGCCGCGTCGCGACACGCATCCGCCTCGCTCAACCACGACCTGATCCCTTCGATGCGTCTGAGTTCTGGTGGAAGCACGACCGGCAGATGGACCGTCGCTCTCAGCGGAACGGGAGCGAACGTGTTCACGGACTGGCCGTGTTCGCCGTGGAGGATGTAGAACGGGCGTAGCTCGGTAAACGCGCTTGTTGAAGACCTCAGCGTTCCGCAAAAGTGCTCCAGATGGGCTTTGGCGTCGTGCAGAGTCACCTGCGCCCCGGTCTCAGGATCTCTTAAGACCGGATACTCGTCCTCTTTCTCCGTCTCCACGACGATCCCATTCTCGATCTCTTCCACAATCCTCACAACCCGCATGTCATCCTCGTACATCTCCTTCATCTCCCGTTCCCGTTCATCCCATCCCTTCGCCTGCTCCCCTTCCGGCACCATCAGCACCAGCTTACTAACCCCCATCCTCGCCCTGCCCCGTCTCTGTATAAAACTCTTCAGATTCTCCGGCACATCAAAGCACACCACCAGATTACATGCGGGCACGTCGATCCCTTCCTCCAAGACGCTCGTCGCAACAACGAGGTTGACCTCGCCCTGCCGGAATGCCTGCAGCGCTTCCAGCCCGTCGTCCTTGCCCTTCTTTATTAAGTCGATGTATTCCCGACGCTTGTTACTGCGGCTGCCGCCTCCGGAGCCAGGGACACGGGTTGTCCCGCCGACCATGCAGGCAACGCGGTAGTGGGGTGCTGTCCGGGGATGGATGGAGAGAATATGGGACAATACCGCGGCGGTGGCACGTTCCCGGACGAAGATGATGCCGACGGGTTTGCGGGAAGGGTCGTCTTTGGCGAAGGACTCGAGAACGTCCAGCAGGGCGAGAATTTTTGGTGATAGGGGAGAAGGTCCTTGGTCGGTTGTCGCCGGGGGCTGGGCATTGACTTGGGAGAGGATGGATGAGATGTAGCGGCGTTCTTGCACCTGGAGGTTGTACTCGAAGATGGGGTTATATAACTCCACTTCTTCTTCATCCAAGGGGCCAGTTGAAGCCTCCGGGTCGTCGAAAAACGCCGAAATGACTTCGTGAATGTAGTACTCTGCTGCCCAAGGTCCCAAACGTTGGAGCATGTCCTTGGTGCGGATACAGAGCGCATACATATGCTCCATGCTCCGAGTCTTCCTCTTGCTCACTACCTTTTGCAGCTTCGCCCGGCTGCGCTGGCTGCCGTCCATGACCAGATGCTGGATATATGGATCCTGCGCGAGCTGCATCCCCCGGTACGCAGCGATCAGCCTGCCCAGCACGGGAGGTTCTGGCACTTGCCCTTGCGGATCCCCCGGGTATGTAACAGTCACCAAGTCAGGCTTGGTCACCATCTGCATCAACTCTGCCCGGTGCCGACTCGGCGTCTTACACACCGCGAACAGCGTCTGCTCCAGTTTTTCCAGATCAGCGGGGTTAGTCCTCATCACGGGGCTCGCCGTCAGTCCCAGAACGGCCGGAACCTGCGCTCCTTTTGCTTTCAGTGGAGCATAGTGTTCCTTCATCACCCTGGAGACGGGGTTCATCTTGATACAGTGGTGCGCCTCGTCGATGACTATGAGTGACAGCGCTGAGAGCGGTACCAGAGCGTGGGCGACAGCATCGAAGAGGATTTGGTAGGTCGAGACGATGACCCGGGTGTGTTTGAGCACGCCGTCCCAGACGCCGGGAATGGCGGACCACGTCTCGATGTCGTCATCGCCGCAGATCAGGCGGGTTGTCACCGCGGGGAGTTGGGTCTGGATAACAACATGCTGTTGGTGGCAGAGAGGCACTGTCGGGGCAAGGAACCAGACGACCTGAGCTGTCAGTTGAGGCTTTTAAGAAGCAATTCAGCTTTTTAAAGCAGGCTGGCTCACCTTATCGCTGCGTTCGAGCTCGTATTGTATGCGGAGAATAGCCCTGGAATCGTCAACATGACCTCAGGGCCTCAAGCCTAGAGTTTGGAAACTCACTTACACCTGTGTCTTGCCGCTCCCAGTGTCCATCTTCCAGCTAGCATGTCAGCGCTGTCACCTTCGCAATCAACTGCACTTCATACCGCTACGATAACATTCTGCTTCAAACTCTCCTCCAGCATCTCGAGCTGATACGCCCTGGGTGTAATTGGCGGCGGGGGGCTCGGAGGGCTTGCGGTCACGGACATTCTGCTGGGACTGTCCTCCCTAGGAACAGCGTCGGCCGTCTCAACCTCGCGGGAGAGCTGGGCTGAGACGGCCTCAGAGTCCGAGGCGCTGGAGCTACAGCTCAGCTCATCGTCGGTCGTAGTGGCTGACATCGCCCTCGTCTGGGAAAGAGAGCGCAAAGGCATGTAGCTCGTCATCGTGGGTGCTGGTCTGGTGATGCGGCGACCGTAAGGTTGGGGTTGCGCATGAAAGGACTTGAAGTTGGGTTCCTGGGATGCAATTGGAGCACCCGGCGGGTCTGATAATAAACTCGTCGAATTAGGTATGCCTCTCACGTCTCCCGTCCTGCTTTTGGTGCGGTCCTGGGTAAGGACGTGGTGAAGCTCACAGCTCGAGGATGAAGCTGACGCAGCACTATGTCGTGCTCCTCTGTTGGTGTGCGCAAGGCGACTGGATCGAGATAGTGACAGGCCTGAACCCAGCCTTAATTCCGGTTTTGTCAATTTAGACCGACTCATGCACTTCGTGACATTGGCGATGGTGCCGGGCCTATGGTCCGTCAGCGTTGCGCTTTTGCCGGCCTCAGTTATGTACATTATTATTAGTAAGGAAAGGACATACTCGAGCCTGGAGGGCATCTTGACTACGTCTCACAAACGAGCGCACGGCTTCAGACATTTTCCGTCCTCTCAGAGACCACAGCCCACGCGGTTTGCGACGCTACCTGCAGCCCAACCGTGGACTAAGCGCAGTACGCTGCTGTTGTGCTGCTGGCTCTGTGACCGTGAGACCCCCACTATTTTTTTGTGGCAAAAATTGTAGAGTTCGTCCCGCTCAGCGGGAGCCTGTTTGTGCATTTCCGTCTGAACATTGGACTCCCCTGTCAAACAGAAAGTCATGAACATGATGAGGCTGTTGGAGAAGAGAATTTATCCTGGCTTGGGGACTTGGACTTCGATCACACGATTAACTGAGGTGAATATTCTGGAGTTAGTTGCTTCTTCCTAACAGTCTAGGTTTTTTTTTTTTTTCCCAAGGCGCTTCAGACCTGCCTTGAATCTCAAATGTAAAAAAAAAAAAAAATAATGAGATCGCTTACTATATCTTTGGTTATCTGTCGCTCGAAACCAGTGGGGTCTCAAAGCCACCAGCCAACATCAATCACCCGCTGCCGTTCGCATATCCCCCCTACATACATACCTTGGTCTCTATCAATAGTGGAGCATACAAGCCACAGCAGTCTCAAGAGCAACTCATTCACCTCACTTCACTCTCATAAAACCTCAAGACTTAACACTTCAATTCATGAAATAAACCCCCCAATTTAACCCCCCCCCCCTCTTCAACCATTCAAGCCTCCTACTCTTTTTTATACTTGACTACTTACCCCATAAACAAAACCCCCCCCCCAAAAAAAATAAAATAAAAATGCCCACAGCCCTTTACGCAGCAGGCCACAACGCCTGGAACCAACTACAATTTAATCTCAACCCCTCCACTAAAATCCCCGAACCAGACGACATCCCAACATTCACTTGTGTCCTGCGCGTGGATGAAGCAATCGAGCGTGTTAGAGCATTTCCTACATATACAGTAGGTAAGCAATTCTCATACTCACTCACGATTCTCTCAATTCTCTCACATCCTCTCGGGATATGACCCCAACTGAGAGTGCTCACTAAAACCAACACCCTTAGTCTACACTAAAACTGGCCGCCATCTTGCCGGGTCAATGAGTAAAGCTCACTACCACCTCCTCACAACAAACCCCTCCCTCTACGATTCTTTCATCGAATGCTCTAACGGAACCGTCGTCGGTACGTTTTTCCCTTCTTCCCCCCCCCCCTTCCCTTCTAATCTCTTACCTTCCACCACAGGACCTTAGGTAGCTAATTTACATCCCCAGTCCAAACTCCCTCCGGCTTAATCCCCCACCATTCTCTACACTCCCTCCTTTCCCCTCCCCCTGGTCCTCACCCGAACCCCCCAGACCCCCTTCCAAACATCTCTTCCCCAATACAAATAGTCCCCTACTCCACCGGCTTTGCCTGCCTTACCTCCAGAGGCCAAGTCCTCACCTGGGGCGACGGGCGGTATCCCGCGTGCTTAGCACGCGACGTCTCTCCTTCCCAACCCGCCCACCTCCCGGCAGCAGTTCCTTACTTAGAGGAGTTGCCTACGGGGAAGATTACCAAGCTAGCAGCGGGGTATGGGGGGTTATTGCTCGGTGCGGTGACGGAAGGAGGGGATTTATATTGCTGGGGAGTAGGGCGACGCCTAGGCAACGGGGTTGGTGTTGGTACCAACACGACGGATGCAGAAGAGAACAGGGTGTTCCTCAAGGGAGTGGGCGAGGTACCGAGGCCGGCGGTCATTACTAACACCGACACCGACACCGACACCGACACCGACACCGACACTGACACTGACACTGACACTGATGCCGAGGAAGGGAAGGATGTAGCTGATGTAGCGATTGGGTCGGCGCATGTGCTGGTGTTGACTACGGAGGGGGAGGTGTATGTTACGGGGGATAATCGATGGGGACAGCTTGGGCTGGGGAAGGAGGTTACGAGTACGGGAGGGAGATGGAAGAAGTTGGATTTGAGGGGGGTTTTGCGGGAGGGGGAGGTTGTGAGGGGGGTTGTGGCTGCAGCAAAGGGTTCGTTTTTGGTTGTGGAGAGTAAGGGATAAGCTGGGACATCACTGGTCCATGATACCCTCGGAATGTAGGTGTTGTTTTGGTGGTAGATACCCTTTGTTGTTGTTGTAGGCCGTCCATGAGACCCGTCGGCTCCTGTGTGTCTAGTACACCGGTGCCTTATGCCCTAACCCACGCCGTGCCGTCATTAACCCCTCTCCTAAGGCCAACTGATCATAGATTCGTCAGGTAATCCTCAATCTCCTGCGGTGTCAGCTTCCGGAAGCGCGGGCCCCTTGCACCCTCGACGCCCTCGACACCGAGGAGGTGGTCTGCCGGCGGGCCGACAATGCCTGGACAAATCAAGCAAAGTTAGCAGCAATTCAGCCCCCCCCCCCCACACACACAAAGAGTCTCGGTCCCAGTACGCACCAATCTCGATCGTCTCCCCGTTCATCTCGCCCTCAATCGTCTCCTTCAACGTCAACAGCGCAATATGCACCGCATCCTCGAGCTCCAGCCCCTCCGTATACCGCTTCTCCAAGAACGTCTTAGCCGTCGCCGCGCTCTTCCCAATGGCCGTCGCCTTCCAAGGGAAGTAGCTCCCGCTCGGATCAACCTGGTACAGCATCGGCCCGCCCTTAAGGATCCCACCCGTCTTACCACCAGGCGCCTTCTTCTTTTCCCCCGTTGACGTCCCCTGTCCCTCTGTTGTCTTCTCCTCCTCCTCAGGCAGGATCCCCTCATCCCAGCCGGCAATCAACAAGCTCACACCGTACGGCCGCACACCGCCCGACTGTGTGGCCTCCTGCATGACGCGGGCCACATCCTGCACGAGGATGCGTGTCGGCGGGTACTCGTTGTAGATGCGCTTGTAGTTGGTGTGTGAGACCTTGCGCGCGCGGTCGACCAGCACGCGGTAGTCGGGACCCATGCCCGCGTAAACCATGCCGATGTTGGGGGTAATCAGGCTGATTTTGGAGAGGGAGGAGGGATCGGCGAGGGGCGTGGATGATTTCTTTTCCGTGGCGAGGACAATACCGTTGGTTGCTGGGGGAGAATCATCAGGATTTGTTCAGTTGTCTGGAGAAGTTGAGGAGGGGAGAAGGGGGGGGGGAGCGCGCGGGGCATACCCTTGATGCCCAGGGCTGTTACGCCCTGGTTGACGGCGTTGAGAGCATATTCTGGGATTGTTAGACCGGACGTCGAAGTGATAGAGGCTCTTGTGACTGACCAATCTGTACAAGCTTGCCGCTGAGCCGGGTTAGCTGTTGTTCGCTGCCATCTCCAAGTCTGCCGGCGACATGCCCTGCGCTAACAGCTTACCTGGGCGAGAAGGTTGTGAGCGAGAACGAGTACCGGTCCGCCATGGCGACTGGGGGGTTCTATGGGTTACGGATCGATATTTTCGGCAATGCTCGGTCTGATAGATTCGTCGTCAATTCGCAGAGAGGCAAATTGGTGTGAAGCTGGTACGGGTGTTCAGGGCCAAGGTGGGCTGTTGTCGATAGTTCCAGTCGATTATCGATGCACCAAGCTCCCCAGGCCGCCAGGCAGCGCAGGCACGGCGGAGTGCGCGTCTGCTGAAGCCGTGCCCAGCCTCAGCCTGGGAGCTTGGGCCAACCTGCGAGAAGATACGCAACATGATTGGTCAACTTGACCCTTCGATATGGGGTATTGGTACGTACCAGGCTCCATGCGACTGCGGGGCTACTGAATTGGGCTTGGCAACATGGGCCCGTGGAGATTTTCCGTGCGAGGGACGATGCGCGTGAAATTCTCCTTTTTTCCACCGTTTATTTTTTTTTCGTTTTTTTTTCCCTTTTCGCCCCTTCTGGGACCTTTTCTTCTTGTCGAGCCATGCGAGGTCGAGTGCAGCATGCACCCGCGCGTCAAGGTAGGTTAAATCAGGGGCAGACGTATATTGGCGCATTATATCGAGATGCTAGACGCCCGAGTCTGCTTCAGTGGCAGTGGCAGTGGCTGTGATAACAGAGGCGTGGCGCCTGCGCTTGGCTTCTTGCCTCAGACGGTTGGTGTGGGCTAAATCTGGGAGAGCATTTGCCATAGTCGGCTTGCAGCGCGCAGCAAACGCTGGCATCTTTGACAACAGCCGGCGCTCACACTTCTCCTGTCTCCCTTAAATGCGCAGCCCATCCGCGCATCTAATGCCGCTTCTAACCTCACCAGACACATAACATTAAGACCAGATCGCATCTACAGACACAGCGTCTTAATCGATCATTCGAATCTTAATCGCAGCGACTCCTTAGCGTGCGGACACGATGGCTTCCCGACCCTACGGTCCCGACCAGCCGTACCAGTCATCATGGACCTGGCCGACCAACACGCCCTCTGAATATTCGTCCGGCAACGTGGTATCTAACGCGAACATCGCCTCCCCCGCATCTTCATCCAGCCAGACGCCTACCCACGGTTACTCTACTGCCCTGCCGTCGTCGACCCAGCATTCCGGCACATCCGCTTACCCCGCGTCTCAGCCACAGGACCAGCAACAGCAGCAGCAGCAGCAGCAGCAACAGCAGCAGCAGCAGCGCCGCCGTCATTACGGCCCGCGAACCTGCCGCATCTGTCTCGAGACCGTCTACCCAACGACCGAACTCGACGACTCCTTCGCGAGCAAAGTCTTCCAAACCAAGGCGCGCGTGCGCTATGTCTCTGAGGACCCGTCGCTCGGCCGGCTGATCAGCCCGTGCCTGTGCAAGGGCTCGCAAAAGTACGTGCATGAGGGGTGCTTGCAACAATGGCGCAAGACGTCCCCGCTGTCGGAGCGCAACTACTGGCGCTGCCCGACCTGCCAGTTCGAGTACCGCCTCGAGCGCCTTACTTGGGGCCGCTGGCTGTCGAACAAGTGGACGCGCATGGCCTTAACTGCGGGAATTATGCTGTTTGCTATGTTTGTGCTGGGCTTCATGGCCGATCCGATCATCAACTTTGGGCTCGACCCTATCGGCTGCATTATCCGCTTCTTCTTCGGCATCATGGCTAGCATCATTCGGCTGTTTACCTTCGGATACTGGCCTGCGCGGAGCGTGGAACCGGAGCCTGAACCGGAGCCGGCGACCTGGGGCTGGCACTTCATCAAGGGCTTCCTCTCACTCGGCCTGCTTGGCTTCCTGACCTCCGTGCTGCCCACGTCAGCCGGCTTCCACTTGATCGATATCCGTATTCCGGGTGGCGCGCGGCGCCGTGGTCGTGACCGTCTGGACTACGTCAACTGGTTCCTGGTCTTCCTTGGCATTGCGTCTTTCCTGACGGTAAGCACCCTTCTATGATGATGTGAAAGGTTGTTGGACAGTGAGCTAACTGAGCGCAGGGCACTTGGAAGCTCGTTAACTTCGTCAGCTCGATGGTCCTGGAGAACGCCAGCATCAAGGTCGTTGATATCCAGGGCTCGGATGAGCCTGATGAGGATGACGTCACGGCACCAACTACTCCGACCTCGCCTACGGCAACGTCGAGAAGCAGCTTTGTCTATTCTGAGTCTAAAAAAGACCAGTGACGGGGTGTCCTATTACCTCTCGTTTGGCTTAGTCTTCTTGTTCGTCGAGTGTACTTAACTAGACCGTAGGTTTTTCTAGTACATGTATATTTTCCTCGGGTAATATACTACTTCTTTCTGCCACTTCTATCTCTCCCCCCTCTCCCCCCCTTCCCCTCCCCCTCTCCTTTCATTTTCAGATCCCATGTTTTTTTTGTCACCCCGCACACTCTTAAGTTGCCACAGCTCTACCTCTATGCAGTGTCAACTAGTCTGTGTGCGAAGATCAAGCCTGGCTGCTCACCCTGAGACTGGGACGTCTTGTCCTGGTCTCACTGGGGTTGACGCCTGTGCGTTAATCTATGCCTGCAATGGAGGGGTCTTTTTTTCGGGGACTTTCTCATATATATGAGCTTCCTAGGCGTAAGGGTCATTCGTTGACCGCTGCCACCGTAGAGGATGATGGGTTGCTGCAAGGCTGGGTTAATACAGTTTCTGCTGTTTGACGTATGTTTTGTCATGCCCTTGTCGGAATAGAGACTTTAGTCCCCGACAGTCGTTTAAGGATTTGTATATCAGCTTCGTAGGGAAGAAAACAGGATCAACTGTCCCATTTACGCCTTTAGCCTGCCCTTCCTTTCGTGGTTTGCAACGCGACCCCCGGCCGAATCTGACCCGAGACCGCAGTAATTTCCCTTTCCTCCGCGCCCCCCCCCCCCTCTCCTCTTCTCCTCCAAAACCCTCCCTCCGTCCTCCCTGGAGGAGGCTGGATGGTGGATGGAAAGCCCACTGGAAGCTGCATGCCCCTGTGCCTGTGCGACGTCCCTCTATCATACTTAGGCCGCCTCTTCTCTATTCCCATTGGCCAGACACCAATCACCAGCCCACACGCCCGAACATGGCTGATCCGCAATCCAGAATCGCAGGGCTGGCCAGAGTAGAGTCAAATGTGTATGTGGGTTAACCCCTCCCCCCCCCCCCCAACTCTTGTCCCCCTTGGCTTTAGCTTTGCTGATGCCGTGTGGCTGTGGTCTTCTCCTTGGCCGGCGATTCGCCGCGGTTTTGGTCTTTTGCTTCCGATGCAGAGAAAGAAGCACCGCACCACCGCAGGACCGCAGGAACTGATATTCCGACATGCACCAGCGACTAAGGATTGGCCATGTGCGAGGGGGAATTCCTCGTTTGGTGTATGGGGAATCCGCAGCAAATGGGGTCTCCTCCCACGCGCATCAGTGATGGTTAGATTATTTAGTACAGACTTGCCATGTGCCAATGCAACTGTAATGATGTTGGAGCGATGTGAGTCTGGAGGGCGGCACTGCAGAACATACACTATTGTTTGGTGATGGGAAATTCTGGGTTGTAAAGATTTCTTTCTACCTATGGAGCAGCTGGCTCTCAGTTGAATACTTGGCTTTGTAGACTGGGAAGGTGTAGAGAGTATTAGAATGTAGTGTAGATAGCAAATTCATGATAAAAGCATGGCTCATCGATTGCAGCCCATCTGAGCATCAGACTCTTTCCAAGCTACACCGTTATCAACGGCTCGGCCATCCCCATTCTAGACATGCTGACGCTAATCCATTCGCGCGTCTACCTATGTAACCTAGGTAAAGCTCCAGCCAAATCGCAGATGTCTTTGACCTGGACCCTGCTGACCTGGGCCTAGGTACTAGGGGCATGCTGGATACCTCCTCCGCTTGGTAAAACCCACCCACCCCCGCGGGACCTCCATTCTGCAGTTGAAAGAATGCTACCTTGGCCTGAGACCTTGAAAAAGCTGCTCCCCTGCATGCATCATCCGTTCGGTTTTCGCGCTCTCGTTATTCTGAACTGCTGACTGTGACCGAGGACATCTATTAATGTCTCTCTTTCTGGCCATCAGTTGCAGTAATTCCATCCGCCGTCCTCCAACTGTTTTGTCTTGCTTACCACCTACTAGCCCGCCTGTCATTTCCATCCCGGGACCTGGCCAGAACCGAGGGATCAGATCTTGTAGCGTAGCGTTTCCGACACTCCTTGTTCCTTAGCCGCGATAACTTCCACGGCCGCGATAGCATCTGCTTACACTCATACTCTGGACTGCTGCCCGCCACCACGATGCCCGAAAGACCCTCCTGTCCCGCTTGGGCTCCCGCACCTGCAGAGCAGCCGTCGACTGCTGCCGCGGGTGCCACTGATCTGCCGCAGAATTTTGCTACCCTCGAGGCCGATGTACGTTATGTCTGGTGTTGGCTTCTTTTATTGCCGAATGCCGAGTTCGAGGGTCAATGCCTCCCTCTTCCCCTTTCCCCGGGGGCCCCCCTGGGAGACTGGGAATCAATGAATTTAAGGAGAGAGTTTGCGATGAGTGATGACTGATCTTGTTTCTTTTTGGTTTTTTTTAAAAAAAAAACACAGGACGCCAATGACAATAGTGATGTGGATTCTGTGATTACTACGGTATGTGCTTGCCTGTCTATCCCTTGTTCACGCTGAGAGCCAGTCGACTGGTTGTTTGTTTCCCGCTCCTACCCCTAGCCAACATACGTAACTCACTCTCAAATCATGCTCAGGAGCTCCACACTGACCGCAGCCAATATAACAGGGAAATCTCAGCGAGACTACCTCCGTAGCCTCGAGCATCTACAGGTTCCGTGTTGAGAATGGGCGGACGTACCACGCTTATAAGGCCAACGGTAAGTCACCCCATTAAGAAGCTTCTCTCACCCATTTTGCTGATCATTCCCTCGCAGAGAACGATTACTTCCTCCCCAACGACGAGGTACACTCACTCACTTCAGACTGACTCACTATATCTGTGAGCCCATCATGACTGACGGTACCATTTTGCCAGCGTGAGAACGAGCGCCTTGATCTCCAGCATGCTATCACCCTCAAGGTGCAGCACAACAAGTTGTACATCTGCCCTGCGGGCAAGGACAAGCCGTTGCGCCGCGTGCTGGATGTTGGGTGTGGTACGGGCATCTGGTCGCTTGACTTTGGTATGTTCACTTAACGCCCTTCATGCCAGTGTCTCATGAGTTGAGTTTGCTCACAGTTCATAATAGGTGATGAACACCCCGAAACCTCTGTACGTCTCCATTAAGGCTCCAGCCACTTCTCATCATCAGTCAGACTAACCAACCCCCAGGTCGTCGGTGTTGACCTCTCCCCCATCCAGCCTTCTTTGTAAGCCTTCCCGCCTTCCCGCCTTTCCCCCCATTCCCCCCCCCCCCTTCTTTCCTCTCTCTCCCCAAACTCCCCTTCTTTTCTCCCCTCTTCCCCTTTCAAACCTCCCTAATAGTGATGTAGCGTTCCCCCCAACGTAGAATTCTTCATCGACGATGTTCAATCCCCCTGGACCTACAGCTCGCCGTTCGACTTCATCTACATGCGCTACCTGACCGGCTCCATCCGCAACTGGCCTGCCTTACTCCAGCAAGCCTACGAACATACTTCGCCCGGCGGCTGGATCGAGATCTGCGACCCGGTAAATCCCTGCATCAGTGACGACGGGACTCTAACAGAAGACTCGGCGCTGCTGAAGTGGAATCGGTTGTTGGTGGAGGGAAGTAATAAGCTTGGCGCTAGCATGGAGGCAATACATAACATGAAACGATGGGTCGAGGAGACCGGATATGTGAATGTGACAAAGGTGGAGTATAAGTGGCCTATCAATGGGTGGCCGAAGGATCAGCATTTTAAGGAAGTTGGTATGTTGTTTCATCCCCCAACCTCCCACCCAAAGAAAAACTCTTTTTATCCTCTCATCCCTTCTGGCCGGGTGTTGTTGCTGACAAGAGAAAAGGCCTCTGGTCCTACGAAGCCATCTCCTCCGGCCTGCAGGCGCTCAGCCTGTTCCTGTTCACTAAGGTGCTGGGCTGGTCGGTCGAAGAGGTGGAGACGTTCCTGGTGGATGTGAGGAAGGATTTGAAGAATAAGAATATCCATGCTTACTGGCCTGTGTAAGTGTCCAATTTTCCCCAAGCGCTTGAGGGTTCTAGCTAATGAAAAGGAAGATATGTCATCTACGGCCAGAAGCCGGAGTAAACGGGGAGCGCTTCGACCAATCCGAAGTTTTCGGTTGACTGGTTTCTTTATTGAACAATTTATTTCTCATAGTTTTATATGAATAACGAATGAATAGGTCAAAGGGGTTATTATTGGGAGGTTCGGAATCAAGTTACATGTGTATTGAGACGAAACGCCAGCCAGCGCTGCAATATGCCCATCGCTATCCACTTGTATTATGTTGGATATCCCACGATCATTGATGGCATGAAGCTGTATCCGAAATACAAATAACACCGACGACATTCGTGATACCCTTGAACATTGCTGCTCCCTGACTGATCATGATTCGCCGAGATGAAGCTGCGTCTACAGAAACGCCGAAACAACCCTGCTACCGTTTCAACTCAACGGCTCCGGACCACTGGGGACGAAATGATTCAAAGTCAAAAGAACGGATTTTTGTTTATATCCAGCCAGCTAGCCAGCAACATTGAGCAGGTAGATGAACATGCCCCTTGGAGAGTGAAAGCCGAGCCAATTCCCTATTTTTCTTAAAAAAAAAGTTTGCATAACCTTAAGTCCTAAACAAACCTGCTGAAACATCCATGACCCATCAGGCTACCAGGGGGCTGACCACAAGCCAGGGTGAGTGCCTACGCCAGCGTCTTGCTTGCCTCGACAAAACTTGTCGTTTGTTTTGCTTAGCAATTTGTGCTGATATCCTGTCACGGACCAGGTTAATTGTTCGCTTTCTTCGTTAGTCTAGTGTCGATATCTACATCCTTCTTCCCTCTTCTTCACTCCTGTCTCCCACTATCCTCATTCCGAAAGGTCCGATCATTGCACTTGCTCATGGAATGTGAGCCATATATGTATCTAGCGGTCATAGCAATAACCCAAGCCAAACGGAAGACAGGAGCATGGAACGTAGTCAAACGACTAATATCCAACAAAAGAAAACCACGACCATCAGGCGCGTTTATTCAATTCTTTTTTTTTTTTCCTTTGATGTTAGATCAAGTATGTAAATACCCGAGGTTAACCCTCCTTTAGAACACAAAATCCGAAACCATCATTCAGCAGCAGCGGAAAACGCCTGCCAGCATGTCAACAACACCAACCAACAACCAAACCCCAACAGTAACAACACCAACGTTTAACTAACCAAAACATTAAGAACAAGAAGGGCAAGAACAGAATTTAGGGTTGGGGGAGGAAAGATGCCACTCTACGCCATCATTACCTATGATGGAAACCCTCCAAACCCAACAGCCACCCAACCAATTAACCCGGACGAGATCTGATCATTGCAAATGGGGACAATGACAAGAGGAGAGAGAGGGAGAAAGGGGGGGGGTATCAATCAATCAAAAAAGGCGTTTTTATTTGCAATCAGATCAGTCTCATAAACCGAGTAAGAGAGCGCGGGACACAAGTTATGGAAGGGAGAGCGAGCGGCGTTTGTGGGAACATCAAGTCAGGCTTCTCAAGCACCGAGAGCCTGCCGGCACGTCTGTTCCTGAGCATTGCACTGTGGGACGGTGACGCCTGGGAGGGCACCCGAGTTGACAGCATCCGCGCAGGCGTTGTTCTGGATGGCGCAGGCACGTTGAACGGCATCGGCTCGGCTGGCAAAGGTGTTACCAGCAACAGCAAATGGGCGATTCGGGTCGTTGGTGCTGGTAATCTCCGGAGGGTTGATACCGCCGAGCGAGTTGAAGGCAGCTCGCTGGTTGTTACCGCCGTTGCTGTTGTTGTTGCTGTTGTTGTTATTATTGAAGTTGTTGTTGTTGCGGTTGTTTCCGCGGTTGCCGCCGTTGTTGTTATTGTTATTGCCCTGATTGTTGTTGTTGTTATTATTGTTGTTCCGGTTGTTGTTATTGTTGTTGCCGTTGTTGTTATTACCGTTGTTGTTATTGTTATTGTTGCCGTTGTTATTGTTATTATTGTTATTGTTGCCAGTTGCGCAGGCACCACCAACGCTGAAGTAGCGGCAGTCCTCCTGAGAGCCACGCTGGGCCACAGGCATTAGGACCGGCTGATGGTTGGACGCAGAAGACATGGTGCAGACGCGGTAGCAACCGCGGGGCAGGCCGCCGGTGACTTCGGCCTGGACACGACCCTGACCATTGCCAGCATCGTTAATACCCTTGAAGAAGGCAAACTGGGTAGGATCAAGGGGTTGAGTCGGGTTGAGCGTGTTGCCGGTGTCCTGGACAGTGACGTGGGTGTGGCCGATGATCTGGCCAGCAGCATTGAGATCTTGGGGCGCGGCGTAGTAGGTGCTCGTCGCGTTGGTGAAGGAACCCAGCTGCATGTCCTTGATCTGGAGCACAATGTTGAAGGTCGTGAGCTCCTGGAGGTCGTCAAAATTCTTGGGGTTCAGGATGACGGTCGAGACCATGCGGTTGACTGAGGGAATCTTGCCCATGGCTATATGATGTTAGAAAAATGCTCCAACAGATGAATAGGAACAAATACGTACGAATGCCATTGCAAGAACCATCACGGTTCTGCAGACCATTGGTCAGGGTCTGACCAGCGCAGAAGTTAATGAAGTTGGCAGGGTCACTGTAGGCTGTCAGCCATGAAGCCCGAACTACTGGAAAGGAGGGAAGACGTACGTCGCCGAGTTAACCTGGCCATCGGCAGGAACGGCGCCGTTCTGGCCTGTTTGCTGCGAACCGGTCTGGATGGCGTTCGGGGCAAGGCAAGTAACCGACGCAGCATTGTTGTTGTTGTTGTTGTTGTTGTTGTTGTTGTTGTTGTTGTTGTTGTTGTTGTTGTTGTTGTTGCCGTTGTTGTTGTTGCCATTGTTGTTGTTGTTGTTGCCGTTGTTGTTATTGTTATTGTTCCCGTTGCCAAATCCTCCGTTGCCAAAACCCCCATTTCCAAACCCCCCATTGCCAAACCCTCCGTTGCCAAACCCCCCGTTACCAAACCGATTATTCCCAAATCGGTTGGCTTGAACCTGTCCTTGATCCTGCCGTCTCGCCAGACCAACAGACCGAAGCTGCTGGATCGAGACCGCCTCGGTAGCCACAGCCAGACCCAGGAGGGCCGTCAAAGCGTTCTTCATCAACATGCTGGGCAGCAGTGAGTAGGGTGTCGTGTGGTCGCTGAAAGAAAGCGAGCTCCCCGGGAGCTGGTCGAATCGAGATCGAAAAGCGAAAAGAAAGATGGTGCCAGACCGTCAGAGTAGAATGTGTCCGCCTTGTCAAAAGGAGTGGTGGTGGACGACAGCTAGTGTCGTCGACTGGGCGATGTACTAGTACGACTACTGTTGTAATACAGACTGGTACAGCCCCCGACCAGCGAAAAGGAACGAACGGAAAGAAAAGCAAAGAAACGAAAAGGAGATGGATGAAAACAGACGACACGCACTACCACCATATAAAGTGGGAAAGAGACATGGTCAAAGAAAAAAAAAAGGCGAGAGCGAAGGGCGGAGGGTGGACGAGGGATTGGGCGTGACAGATTTAAGAGAGATACGGCACTGGGGAAATGCGAGGGTGTGCCATGCGACGACGATCCGACGCCCATGCCAAGCACTTGTTTCTTGCGTCCCCCGGCGAGCCAAGCGGTTTCGTCCTGCTCCGGAGCCCCTCGACAAGGGTTACCGTCCGGGGTCATCTCCAACCAGGAACCCAGACTACCAGATGCATTGGTACAGGAGGACGATGGTGTTTGGAAAAAAAAAAGAGGGGGGGGGGGGAGTGGGGGGGAGAGGAGGATGGAGTTTAAGGAGGACGGGGTAGTCGAGTGTGCAGCCCCACGCTTCCCAAACTCCATACAGGGCTGGGCGCTGCCCGGGGGCACGTCTGAAGCGCTGCGCTCTTGTGAGACGTCACTTAGCCCTGGCACGGAACAAAGGGGTGCAGAGCCCATGTTCTAAGGGTTTGGAGAGGATGAAGAGGATGGGATTGCTGGGCTTGGCTGCCAATTTCCGATGGAACGGATGGGAAAGGGGTTCATCGCTGACTATGTGTTCCCTGTAGTGGCCGACTCGCTCTTCACGGACCTTGTCTGCGAACGGCACTTCTTTACACAAGATGCAACCTTGAACTGTTGAGATCGAAAACGTGTGAAAACAGATGAGACGAAGGGTTTCTTAGCCATGCCAGGAACAGATGAAAGCGGTTGCCCTCCAGGAAGGCCTGTGGGGTTGAAGCAGGCACAGAGTTAGGTCATTGGACCAATCTCTCCTCCACCCCAGAGAAAATTGATGATACAGGAGTCAAAAAATAAAAAGCGTACCTTGCAGATGGAATCTGGCCGTGGAATGGCGGGCAGCCATTGGACAATTGGTGATGTGGGCTGCGCTTGCAAGAGATCAAGGAAAGAGCCACCTTCGAGCCCCTCTCATCCCTATTGCAACGGCATCCATTTACCTTGCTATCAGACCAAGTGATACACCGAATTCAGTCCATCTGCAAAGCACTGACATTGGACAAAAAACCGCATATGCCTTGGATGCGTTGAATGCAAATTCCCATCTCAGGCACGTAGCCGACACGACGGTAAGTCGGATGTTCGGCGGCCGCGACAAAACCCAGTGATCCAGCCCGTGTCCCCTCTCTATGCTGGCAGCCGCCGTGCGTGTGATGTGAGAGATACGCCAAAGAACCCTTGAGAATGCCATCGCAATCTCCTCAAAGTTTAGCATCTTTACAAGCGACACAGCAACAAGCGGGCTTCCAGAGGACGCCGGGACTCAAAACTTTTCAAGATGGGGGATGTTGAACTTGAGGCGGCATCTGTCCCAGATTGCCCAGGCACATCCCTGTCAACAACCAGATTGACCAATCAGACACCCCTGTCGGGCGACGATCCGGCAGTCTGCGTCTCGGAATGAAGCGCAGGCGAGTGGGCACTGACAGCCGCTCCCCTGGCCGCGGGTTTCTTTCTCCACAGCACCAGCACCAGCGCTGAAGTTCTCAACGGCGCTTCTTCTCGGCCCCGACCCCAGAGCCATCTTCGGAAGTTGTATGGCGGGTGTTGCATAGAGCCCGTCTTAGATGCCGTCCGTCAAGGATTTAGAAAAGTTCTCAGGGGACCCTCTCCTCGGAAAACCGGCAGGAAGACACGTGCACCAGGAACATGAGCTACTTTATCGCCTCCATCGCTTCAGTGTCAGATTTTTGGCTTTTATCAGCTCAGGGGGTGAGGTTGTTTCTTGTCCCTTTTCTGGCGATCATCCGGTCAGAATCGACGCTAGGGCCTGGCCGGAGTTGGCCTGGACTCGATCGCTTTGATTAGGCGCCCGGCCGAGTTTGATATCAGATAGCTGTCAACCAGCCGTTCGAATGTGCCATCATCTCTGGCCTGTGACGATGCTTTTTCTTTGAAAAGCTGGAGTTCCTGAATGAAGCACCTCAATCTTGCTTCATCGTCCCGTTGCCCCATCAAGTAGGCACTTGAGCTTCACCAAGCAACTCCACCACCAATACCACTGACTTGCTACGGCCGGCCTCCAGGCACCCCAACCTCTTGCTCCATCTTCATTGCAACCCCCCTAACATTGGTGGCAGGCGAGGGCACTCTCGAGTTTAGGGTAACCCAGACACCCTAGAAGGCGTCCCGCGTGGTTCATTCATTGAGGGCGGCTGAAAACAAAAATTCCACGCGGAACAACGACGTCACCGAAACGATCTGCGTCTTCTCACACACTGGAGAGCTTCAAGCTCGAGTTTGTTTCATTGCTCCCCCTCCCCCCCCCCCGCCCTGCTTCTGTATACACAGAAACTGGAAGTAGGCAGGTAGTCTGAAGCCTACACCTCGCGGGGGGAGATCTAAACCCAAGCGTAGTATCGTCATCGCCATCCGATCTCCTTCACTACAAGATGACAAGCACAATATCGTCATTGGAGGGATCGGACTGCTCATGAGGCTAGCTAACAGATCACGGATCTTCCACTTGGAGTCACCAACTCTGTAGCCGCCACTGGTCGACGATGAGACACCGGCTATTCCTCATAAAGACCTCATTTCCTAGCAGCCCTCCATTTTTATAGGCTTTAAGCGCCATTGGGACACACCGCCGGTCATATCACTGAGAATAGGAACTGCAGCTTCCATTACTAGGCCCAGGCAGTTCTGCAAACAGTAGGTACCACCTAAAGAGCCCCCATGGGCACGTACCTAAACTAGTTGTCATATCTGATGCAACGCCGAGCTGTGATCGACCGAGGAAACAACCGAATGTGCGGATCCGTCTCAATGCGAGCAGGCTGCGTGTGGGAGCTTGCTTTTGTAGAGGGATGATCAATCTCGGCAACGGCGGTCTTATCCAATCTTCCGTAGGCAGTCCAACTTCATATCTTATCGGTCAATCAGCCGTGATTTCAATCGATCAGGATGCCAAACAAATCTAACAAGATCTTCGGATGGCAGAAACCAGTGCTGACAAGTCCTATTCCGCCAAGGGCAAGGCAGTCAGTTCCGAAGGCAGGATTTCTCATACCATTATCAACGTCTACGTAGGTTCCCCTAGGTATTACCTATCGATATAGGTAGGTGAAAGTTACAAATCACCTGGCGGGGAAGGGCTTTGCCTCTCTTCTGGCGTCCAAGTCAGCGCTTGGGCATGCAGACTCGCGGTTATCATATCCAGCCAGGCGGCCAGCCGATATCCCGCCTTCGCGATCTGTGCCTCTACCACGGGGGCCGCTTTTTGGTAGTATTCGCCGCCCAGTTCCTGCTCGACAATGGAGTTCACCCCGTCGGGGAGGACTGTGACAGCGTTTAGGTCAGCCATCGTCCATTCTGCTGAAAAGTTTCTGGGAAGAAAGGACTCACCAGTCGAACAAACATAACTATTCCCCTCCCTTGCCCACTCCAGCGCTGTCCCGACCGGATCCGAAAGATTCGCCGCCTTCAACCAGCCCTCCTTATCTCTGCTAAACTTGCCCCCCTCAATCTCCCTCACCAACTCCTCCGCCCACCGTTTCGCCATCTCATACGGCTTCCTTCTGAGCCCTCTCCCCCCGCCAACAAGTTTCTCAACAATACTCGTATCCCACACATGATGCAAATTCAACCTTGCCCCGTCAAACAACACGGGAATCCCATTCCCCCCGCGGGCAACATCCTCGTTATGCAAAGGCTGGTGCAGATCCCCCACAAAGTGCACCACGAACTTGGCCGCGATGGCCCTTTCCGACCGCGACAAACTCTCGTCCATCAAGCGGGTGGTGTAGTTCGCCAACGCGGTGACCACGCACCCCGCAGTCTGCTTGCAGTCGCGTTCGATGTCGACGTTGCAGGAGTGTGGGGGATTGTCCTTCGCGTCGATGAAGTGGAAGCCCGAGGTGAAGCGACCCCATTTGGTGTAGCGGACCGAGTCGGCCCAGGTGGCGACGCCGGCGAGGTAGAAGTCGGTGGTGTTATGGAGGAGGGTTTGGAGGAGGGTTGTTGTGTTGGGGTTGATAAGGGAGGAGGCGAGGTAGCCTATGGTGATGTGGCCGAAGCCTGGAGGAGGTTTATTGTGAGTTTAGAGTTTACATCATGTCTTGGGATTTGGGGCAATTCATCTGGATTGTGGGTAGGTGGGAAAGTATGAAAGGGCTGCCTACCACCCCAGGCATCTGCCACGCTCACGGCTGCGGCGCCGAACGCTAGTGATGATAACCTCATTTTTTTTTTTTTGTTGTGTGTGTGTGTGTGTGTGTGTGTGTGTTCTAGGAACTGAGACAGAGACAATCGATAGGACCACTAGACGGAGTTGAGGTAGGTACTAAGCTACCTGTAGGTATATCGTGAAACTTTACCTAAGGTATACAGTCTAAGGATAGGATAGGATGTTATCGGAATTGATTGAAGGCTGATAACAGTGAGCTGTGCCGCCGGACAGGCTGACAACATCGACACAGGCTAGTCTCGGAGCTCCAGCGAATCGTTATCGCAGCCTCACCGCAGGTAACTGGCCCACCCAACACACGGCGGGCGGCCGCCCCGACAGGTCAGCCAGCAGCATCTCTGGTCCCTTGCCACACAATGAGATGGCATCTCAACACTTTGATTTCTCATTTCACCAGCTCTTCGTTATACTTATCTTGATTTGATCATCAGCCCCTCACAAAGGTAGACACTAGACATTTCTTTCGCCCTTCGGCTGTCCAACTCCGTCTCCGTCTCACCATCCCTCATTCACTCGTGCGGGGTCCATTACCACGACCACCAACCTTCTGGTCTAAGCCCCTGCTCCAAGGTCATCAGGGTCATCAGCTGAGCGTCCTTCAACCCCTACCTCACCTCCAAGTTTCACCCAGCCGCGTTCCCGCAATTGCAGCGTCGTCTAGACGCGTGTTGTAGCCTGCCAACCAAGATCGCTTGCTCCAAAATTAACCAATCATCGCGCCTCTATTAGAACACACCTTTCCAATTTCGGCAGCCCGGGCAGTAGGCATCGGCTGCGGGCTTATCTTGTACGCCCAGAGATCTGCTTTCTTGCGATAAGGGTCCGCCGACAAGGTCACAGGTGGTGCAGGCTCCGAGGAGGAGGAGGATCCACTAGTGACCTCACCAAAGAAGGGGGGGGGGGGGGGAGGCGCTCGCAGTTTGCGGGCAAGCGCTGCTGACTGTCGCTGTTGTCTCTCTAATTGTCTGTAACGACTGACTCAGGTTGTGCGCAAACTTGGAACAACCTTGTTTAATCTAGGACCAAAAGAACCTGCAAAATTGCGAGGTTGAAGTTTCGACGTCAAAACCCGCACTTCAAACCTGCGAGTGTCATTGTCGAAATTCATCCGCCTGAGCGTCAAGTGTCCGTTCGCTGCGCTACATGATCGAGCTTCTGGTCAAGTCATTGTTCGGCCGGTCTTTTTTGTTGTGATCATACCTAATTCTTTTCTACGCCTCCCGTCGTCCAGACGGACCGTCACCTCCAGCCCCGACACAGGCTCCGTAACCGTTATGCTCCAGTCCCTTGTCACGGGCGTCCCAACCGCCCTGATGGACGCCGCCCCGAGCGTCGGCGAGACGTTATCGGGGATCTTTGGCAGCGTCAGCTTGACGGCGTGGATATGTCTCTTGGTGCGCGCAGATGCATAGGTGCTCATTGGAAAGAGTCCAACCATGCTGACCGAGATAGTTGCCCCAATTAATCACCAACTACAAAACCAAGAGTGCCGACGCGCTGTCCATGAAGTTTCTTCTGATCTGGCTGGCAGGGGATGTCGCGAACCTGTCAGGTACGTTTTCTTTTTCCCCTCCATACTCTAGGCACTTCTGCCGAGTCCTGATGCTGAACCCCCCCGTTCCCCCAAGGCGCCCTCTTCACAACCCTCGCGCCCTCCGCCATCGCCCTCGCCTGTTACTTCTGCATCAACGACCTGATCCTCATCAGTCAGTGCACCTACTACAACACCATCAACGCTCGCCGCCGTGCCCGCCACCAACAACACCATCACCAGCGCCGGCATCGCCGCTCCTCCTCTTCACATCCTCGCCCGGAGCACACAGATGATACGGCCACAGCCTCGTCGTCGAATGCTTTGCCGACTGAATATGATCCCCTTCTTCCGGCGAGACATGAGTCCCATCACAGGAATCACCACCATCACCCCCACCACCACCACCATCATCATCATCATCAGGAGGAGGACGCCCTGATCCGGATCATCACCGGCGGGTCGGCCACCACCGCTGATGGTGCCTCAGTTGATGGTGAAAACAACACCTCTGCCGACACCAGTGGCCCCAGCGGCTGGGTGTACAACACCATCAGCCTGCTCGCTGTCTGGGTGATGGGTATTGCGGGGTGGTTCGTCTCGTATAAGATGGGCGCATGGGAGCCATCGGCGCCGTCGGGCCCTGAAGGGGGGGATGATTCAGGCATCATCTCGCCCAATGGACCTGGGACAGGCGACCAAGATCCGCTCAAGACGGTGGGTATGGTGTTGGGGTATGCAAGTGCGGTTTGTTATCTCTGGTAAACCCTTTCCCCCCTCCCCCTCTCTCTCTCCTTTTTTTTCTCCTACTCCTCTCCCAACACAAATACTAACTCTGTGATGAATCAGTGCCCGCATCCCCCAAATAATAAAAAACTACCGCTCCAAGTCCTGCGAAGGCCTAGCCCTCCTATTCTTCCTACTCTCCCTAACGGGTAACTTTACGTACGGGGCCAGCGTGCTGGCCTATTCGCAGGAGCGGGACTACCTTGTACGAGCGGTGCCCTGGCTGTTAGGGAGTCTGGGCACGATGGTGGAGGACTGTATTATTTTCGTGCAGTTTCATATTTATTCGCCTCACAAGAAGAATGGGGGAGATGAGGAGGGGAGAAAAGCTGTTGCGGGAGCCGTTTAGGGGTTGAGGGTTCGAATTGGTCAGGTTGCGCTTGTGAGTAGATTTTGGGTTTGTTTCGCATGATTCTGGTTTGAGCCTTGATTTGGTCAGCTTTATCGAGGGATGAACGATGGGATAGACGAACGGAACGATTGAACTGGTAATCATGACATCAGGTTTGGCAGTTGGATGTGAATGACGGGAGAGGAGAGAGATCCAGGAACAGGGCGACAAGGGATAGGGAGATGGGGTTTTGGTTTGGTTTCTAGCATAGGTTATATGGGATTTATTGAGGAAATGTGGGGTCCTGAGGTATTTGCACCATTATCTAGGTAATTGGCATCATCACATCAATCACGCATTGGTATTATCTTGCTGCAGGGGGTCACAAGTGGTCAGTGAGGGTTATGGTGGGACAGATTTCGTTATGATATTTCGTGTGACAGTTTATCGACTCATTGAAAACCCCATCCGGTGACTTGCCTTTCATCTGACTTCACCATTCCACCTCAACAATTAGAAATGAGATAATGATGATGATGAGATGAAAATGCCCTTGATGAAGACAAAGCCCTGGTTCATTTGTTTGTGCTTCCAGGTAAATAAATGCAGAGAACCTAGAGAGCCTCAATGAACCTCAAAGGAATATCAATGCAGATGCTATGAACTTGAACTTCCTGCCCCAAGATATAAGAAATTAGAAATTACAAAAAAAAAAAAGAGGACAAACCAGAGAGATGCAATGAAGCATATGCCTCTATCCAGAGATCCAGAAATGAAAACCACAACAACCGTGAGATATAAGACAGACCCAGAACTCAAAGCCAAGCAAACAAGGTGAAACCCAAGTGACAGTTCAAGTTAATGCCCGTAACTCCTCGCTCACTGACTTGCTGCAAACATGACCGATTCACCCAATGAAGAACACCCAAAAAGATGAGAAAGAGAAAACCCAAACGAACGATGCCCAATGCGAACAAGATTCAAATACCCCCTTTTCCCCCTCTGAGAAAAAAAAAACAACCCAACCAACCAAAATAGCCCAACTATGGGCGTGATAATAATTTTATTTCATCATTTTCACTCCTCCCCTTCCCGTGATTCAGGCACCCCTTCCCAAAACCCCCTCGGCAACGTCTGCCTCGGCTCCGTCGAAATCTCACAATACGCCGCGGTCCTCGAAAACCAAAACGTCATATACAGCATCTTCTCCCTCTCCCTTTCTTCTGTCGGCCCATCCCCATCCCCATCACTACTCCCATCCTGCTTAGTAGTCCGAATCCGATCTCCCATGATCCGAAACTTCCACCCCTTCCACTGCCCTAGCGGAGGCTGCGAACCCGGCCCCACATCATTCTCCCTCAGTCCCGTAGCGTCGGGAACGAATCGTACCCTTACCACGCTCCCGCTTCCGTCGGGGAGCCAGTACGTCTGCCACCAGACGGAGCGCGGACGACGGGTGTGAGTGCACGGGTCCACGCCCACGCGACATTGACCTAACGCGCGGGCGCCGCCGTTATGGTAATGCAGCAGGATACCGCGACAGGTCATCGTCACAGGGTCATGGAAGACTTGTGCGGAGGAGACGTTGATAAGGGGGGCCCAAGAGTAGAACGGTTTGCTGCGAAAGTAGACTTGTATCCTGTCGGGGATGGGGAAGGGCCTGGGAGAGGGCATGGCGCTTCTCTGCGGGGGGATGTACGCCCCCAGGAGGGGAACGGGCCTCCCCTCGCGGGGTTCGGCATAGAAGAAGGAGATTGGGCCAGCGTTGGCAAGCCATCGGTCCACCGCACCTCTTCGGCGCTCCACGCCTAGTACAACATCCCCTACTAGCCGCGACCGAACCAGGATATTCGCCACCCCAGGCCGATCCTCCCTCTCCCTAATAGCAAGTACATCCACATGATCATTCTCTGGCAGCGGGAGATACGTCCAAATAATATGGCGGGCGCGTTTTTCGCCTAGGCGCTGGAGGGTCGGGTAGGCGGAGGGCGAGGAGGGGGTGTGGATGTGGATGGCCCAGATCTCGTTGCACCAGAGGAAGGTGATGCCGGTGATGCGGTTGAGCTCGACGGCGTGGAAGCGCTGCCAGAGGGGCAGGTGTTCGGGGTAGATGCGGCAGCGGTGTTGTTCGGGGGGTGCCGGGGTGTTCCAGACCCAGAGGCAGTTTTGGAATGCCGGAGGGACCCGTAGACGGAGGAGGCCGTCCTGCGGATATGTGAGACTGATGTCTCGGTTCAAAGATGAGAGAGTCAGGCCGGTACTTACTCTGAGGATCGCCTCGACTCCGGATATCTGAGCGATGTCCGTCACCACGAAGGCCCTGTCCGTCACCAGTTCCCCCTGATAAACCGGCGCAGTCTCCAGTCTCTCTATCCTGCTGATGCCGTAGCTATCAATAGTGATCTTCAAAAAACGAGGCACTTTATATACGCCGCCTTCTTTCTCCGCAATAACCACATCCCCATTCCTCTCCCAAGATACAATTTCCTGTATACTAAACGCCCTCGGTGGCCTTGGCTCCAGATCCATCCTCGGATCCGCGGACGACCGACAGACCTTCTCTGCTGTGCTTACAGCAGCCGCAAATCGCCATATCAGCGATTCCTGCGAATAATGATACACCACGATGACCAGCTCCAGCGGTAAGCGCAGTAAGAGCGGCATGTTGGCGCGCTCAGCAACGCGAAACAGCGCCGCGGCCATGTCCTGCACGACAGCCGGCACCGGGGTCAGATGAAGCGGCCGGGCACGACGCCACGGCCTTCTGTAAGCCGCCAGAATCCATAGCTTCGACAAAACATCATCAGATGGCGTTGGGAACTGCCTCGGCCAAGGCCCAGGCCCGGACTGACTTGATAATGGGGCAGCAGCAGCAGCAGCAGCAGCAGTAGCCGAAGAAGAAGAAGAAG